ATAATAAAATACTTATAAAAACTAAACTTTATTCTAAATATTATTTTCTATTTATCTTCTTTCTTAATTTATATTAAATTATAAGCTCTTTTTAAATCTAAAATAGTAAACTACTATTTATTCTATAACTAATCTCTAAGTTTAATAATTAATAATAAGGATATTTTATTTTTATATATAATCTTATTTAATTATTAATAATTAATAACTAAATAGAGTTTATTATTCTTCTTAAATATAAATATTATAAAGTATTCTATAGATAAAGTTAATAGTTATATATAGCTCTTTATTAATATATTATTAATATATTTATAGAGTATTTATAATTAAGATTCTATAAGATTATATAATTTATAGAAATTAAATTCTTCTTTTTTAATAATAAAGATTTTATAATCCTACTAGCTATATTCTAATAGTTCTATTTTAAATTCTTTTATAAATAATATTTTCTTAAAATAATTATATTTCTATAGAATATTTTTAAAATATTCTTTTTATCTTAAGTATTCTTTCTATTAGTATTTATATTAAATATCTTTTTCTTTATTCTATTAGATTTTTTACTAATTATTTATTTAGCTTTATTCTTAGATTCCTATATTAAATAGTTTTAATAATAGTTTTTCTATTTTCTTCTATTATTAATTATACTTAATTTTATATTCTTATTATTATTCTTTTATTAATTATTCCTATTTAATAGGTACTAAATCTATATCTAAAGATTATTTTTATTTCTATATCTAGTCTAAGATCTATATTATTTATTTTAGTTCTTATTATAATAGATTTCTTATTATACTAGATTATAGTATTATTAAGATTAATATTATTATATCTACTTATTATTATAAGTTATTATAGTTTTTTATAATAATACTTTTAGATATTAAAAAATAAATATATTTTTCTAATATCTAATAAAATTTTAATTTTTATTAATTCTAATATTAATATATAAGAATATCTCTCTACTCTATCTAGCTAATATATTAATTAATTAGTAAGTTTATATCTTAAAACTATAGTAACTCTAATATAATTTTATAGATTTCTAATAGTACTAAGTTATAAATAATATTAAACTTTCTTTTTTAGATTTTAATTATAAGATAATTAGTTTTAGAATTAATAATTCTATTATTATATTTAAATTTTAAGCTTTTAATATTAGTAACTATATATATTTCTTCTTTCTTTTTCTATAGTAAATAGAGTTAGTTAATTATTACTAATAAAATATAATTTTCCTATACTCTATAATTAATAAATATTATAAGCTAATTTCTTTTAATCTCTATTTCTATAAGAATATATATAGAGCTTTTTACTTTTATAGTTTCTAAAGTTCTTTAATCTATTATTAATATTATATTATACTATAGCTCTATTATAGATAATTTAGATTATTTTTTATCTAGTTAACTTATTCTTAAAGTTATTTTTAATCTTTATTATTTCTTAATATCTATTTAAGAATATTCTTAAAGTTTTCTAACTCTTCTATATAACTAAAGATATATTTTATAAATTTAATTCTCTAATTATATAATTTCTTAATTATTATAGATATTCTATTATTAGAATAAATCTTATTCTATTTCTTTTTATTAATTAAGATTATTCTTTATTTCTCTATTTTACTACTATCTTTATTATTTATAGAGAATAGTTATTTTTTTAAATAATATTCTTAGAGTTCTTCCTCCTATAGTTATTATTATTTAAAGTATAATTTAATAGTATTTATATTATTATTATTATTCTATACTAATATTAATACTTTTTATTTAATCTCTTAATAGTTTCTATAATTCTAATTATAATATTATTTAATATAGCTATTATACTTATATATTATTTAATCTTTTACTTACTAGTAATTATACTATAGTCTAATCTTATTATTCTTATAAATCTTATATTTCTATTCTTAATATATTTCTATTAAAAGTTCTTTCTTTATATACTCTTTAGAGTATTCTCTTAAGTCTTTCTTAAAGATAATATAGAGCTCTATTCTATAGTATTAATAGATAAATTATTATATTTAGACTATACTATATTTTCTAGATATTCTTCTATTTAGAAATAAGAAAAAGTTATTTAGTACTTTTTCTTATTAATATATAGTATATTAGATATTATAATATATTATTTAGAATTCTAATTTATAGTTATATCTCTAGCTAGTATTTATATATATTAGGTTTTTATATCTATTACTAGGATATTAGATAGTATCTATAGTATCTCTTCTATATAATATTATTTTATATACTTTCTTAAGGTTTTATATTTATATTTTTTATTAATAGTAGATATAGAGTTTATTATATTTAATCTTAATCTTATTTTTTATAAATATATATTAATCTTATTCTTTAGAGATATATTTAATAAGTTTATTTATATAGTAGAATATATATTTATATTTAGTAAGAAATCTAATATCTATAATATCTTTTCTATTTTTAAACTTTCTTTTAAGTTCTTAGAGAATATATATAATATATTATTAGTTTTCTTCTAATACTATTTATTCTTTCTTCTTATTATTAGTTTTTAGTATTTTATAGAATTTTAATATAGACTTTCTGGAAAATATAGATATTATAATAACTATATAATTTTCTTTCTAAATAATCTTTCTAATTATTCTAAGTATTTTAATTTTAGTTTTTCTAGTTATTTCTAATTATTTCTTATCTTCTTTAATAGATTTCTAGTTCTTCTACTTTTTTAATTTAGAATATTATAATAAAATATATCTAATCTTATTATAATTATAATATTTATATTTTTCTATAGCTTCTAGCTCTATAGGATCTATATATATTCTAGAGATTATAGATTATTACTATTATTATAATTAATTAGTATTAATATAGTAGATTATCTTTTTACTATAAATATACTAATAATACTATTAATTATTAATTCTTATAATTATAGTTATATATTTATAAATACTTATTAGTCTATCTTTCTTATAGAGTTCCTTTTAAACTTTTTCCTTTAATCTATTAAAATAATAAGATATAATATACTTCTAATTCTATTTAGTTTTTACTAAAAGCTAGAGATATTTACTACTAAATATAGAAATAAATTTTATTTATAAAAGCTTATTAATTTTATACTCTACTTTATATCTTTTATTTTAAATTCTAAAGATTTATTAGAAAATCTCTATAAAGTAATTAAAATTTATTATAATATTAATAGTTTATTAGTTTTCTTAACTATTAAGATATTTCTTTATAATAAGTTTAAACTAATTAAATATAGCTTTCTTAAGTTATAAATAGATATATATAACTTATTATTTATTATTATTAAAGATAATAGAAAAGTAATTAAAGTATATTTAAAATTAAATTATAAAGTCTTAGAGTTTATTTTAGATTTTATTAAATATCTTAAATAATAGTAGTTTAAAAAGTATTTCTAACTTCTTTTTTTAAATTATAATCTAGATCTAGATCTAAAGATTAGTATTCTAAGTAGCTTATTATTCTATAAGAATAATAGTAATAGCTATTTCTTACTATATAGTTATAAGATATTTCTAAAACTAGAGAATCTAAGCTTATAGAAGCTTAAGCTTAGTATTATTATTTCTATTACTACTATTATTATTATTATTTTTATCTATAGTATTATTATTATTTAGAGTAAGTAGATTATTAATAATAGAATTCTATTATTAAGCTAGAGGAACTATAATAGTTATAATATCTTCTTTATTATTATATAGTAATTAAAATAAAGTAATTAGCTAAATAAGAGTTATTAATATATAATAATTAGATAACTTATATTAGATAGATCTAGAGTAGATTAGAATTAAACTAATTAGAGTATTATTCTAAATAGTATAATTAGATTATCTTTAGATTATATAATATAAGTTATTATTAATATATAAGTATTATAGAGCTAGTAATAATAGAGATATAGATAATTATATTAATAACTATCTAAAAGAGTATTCTATTTAATAAAATAAATATATATATATACTAGGGAATTATTAATACTTAGTAATAATCTATTATTCTAAATTATTAGGATTATTATAAGATTCTAATAATCTACTAGTAATTAGTTAGAAAAAGTAGAGTAATCTATATAACTTTAATATATAATAATATAATTTATAATAATAGCTCTTACTATTTAATTAATTTTTTATCTATTTTATTCTATTAATTTTAATCAGAGTTTAGATTTAGAGTTAGTTAGGCTTAGTATTAGATAAGGTTTTATTACTAGGTAGGAAAAGTAGTTATCTAGAAGTTAATATTAATTTACCTCTATAAGTATAGTATATATTTATTATAGTAAAGTTTCTAAGATCTATATAGAGATATATTTTAACCTTATATCTATTTATCTATATATAGTTCTTTTTAATAATACTGGGAATAGTAACTTATATTATATAGTCTATAATAATCTAATTATACTATTTAGAATAATACTCTAATTAGTTTAACCCTGATCTACTCTAGACCTAGTTCAGTATAAGTTATCTAACTATTATAATTATCTGGGTTACTCCTAAATATATCTAATAACCTTTAATCTGTAGTAAATATATATACCTTGTTTCTTACGATCTGTGATAATTATATCTATCTGTGGCACGAGCTATAACCGCTATTATTAGCTCTTTATCCCCTATAAGACCCTCCTCCTCTGAGTTCGAGATAGGGATGGAGGATATTAACGAGGACGAGCACGATACTCGACAGAGCAAGCCCGAGGAAGTAACCATCCATTTTTAAGCGAGCCTATGACCGCTTAGTTCTATAGCCTCTATAGCTAGGGGACCTCTTAATTGAGACTGCCGAATGATCAATGTCTAGTTCATACCCAAATAGCCTCTCAACCAGCCCCCGCCATTCCATCCGCCACACTGAATGGCTCGCCGAGAGCAGCCAGGATGATATCGTGAATACATCTTTCCTGTTTTGATGTACTTAGGACTACTTGTAGTCCACATTCCTCGTCACAGACAAAAATGTCAAACTCCACAACTGTCTCACATTACTCTCCGTACCGCCACTCACACCCTGTGGAGGGGGAAGTGCTCCCAATGGTGCCATCTTATACCCAACGTTCTTACTATAGGTCCAACCCCAAACCTCAGACTGCAATAGACTAGAATTGTCGTCAATGGCGTCCCAAAGAATATTGTATGCCTTCTTTACAGCCCCGTATACTCCCTTGTCACCGCAGAATGCTGGGGCCGAGTTGTTAGACTCCGTGCAGCGCTCCAGCTGTCGCTCCAAGCCCTTGGCCATAAGGGCTAACTGCCAACTCCAGACTACGGTGCCATGGTATGCCGAGTTGGTGAAGTTGGCTATCAGTACGTCTTCGCCTGATAACGCGGGATTAGCAACCACCGCGCCAACAGGAGTCGTAAGACCGGCAGGGAATGGGCGGATAATAGCATTCGCAGTGGCATTAATGAACGTCGTAAGTTGATTATCATTTGTGGAGTTAAGTAAGAAGAGTCGGAATGCTGTATCTGTATGCATAATAGGGAGCTTTTCAGGCGACTCGCTGCTGTTGATCGCAATGGCGTAGTTGATGACTTTGCCCGATGAAGAGTAGTTTGTAAGAGCTTCGGCATGGGTCGGGCCATCATAAAATGTACTCTTATCAATATATTCTTGCAACCGAGACTTTGCTTCGTCGATAGTGACATTATACTGAAAAAAAGTAAGCGTCTTGTCCTCCCAAATCTTGGCTCTCTTCGCTGCAACTGTTGCCCAGTCTCGTGACATAGAATCGTTGGGGTAGACACCAGGCATTTTTGCGAGTTCCGAAATGGCATATAAAGCAGCGGGAACCAATGCACAATTCACATCAAAGGGAATCCGTCCATTAGCAAGACCATAGGTTGAATCACGCCATTGCCCAACAATTTCACTCTCTTTGAGATGCATCAGATTCTCCACTGTTGAGTTGTCTGCGAAGGCTTTGGTCATATTCATGATCTTTTGAGCGCCAATATAGCTGAGGTCACCCCACGTCAAATTCTTATTCTCGCTGTCAATGCTGCCGGCTTTAGCGCTCAGTAGGGGTCTGATCCGCGTAGGTGAAGCATCAAAGTATCTCGCCATCAGGACTGGTAAGAAGTAATCGGTGTCAATCATGGGGTATGTAAATCCAGCGGTAGTGGAGCTGATATTTTTTTTCAGGTTCAGGAAGGTCGCGTAATCTCCAATGGTTTCTTCGTGGCAAACAGATCCATCGGTGCGATTTATACGTTCGAGAACAGCTCCAATCACTGCTTCCATAGCAGAGGCACTGCCAGTGCTCAGAACGGGTTCGAGGAGTAAGGCTGAAATCATGCTATCACGACCGAAGTAAGTCAAGTATCTCCAGCCTCCCGCAAGGAGTTTCTCGGTATAGGAAAAGAAAGAAAGAGAGCCTGTCTGGGAAGGCTTTTCCTTGATCAATGTCTGCGCATCACTGTTCAGAACCTGCTCAGGGTTGAGCTGTTTCAATTGAGGGTAGTCCAGGGATGCTGAGAAATGATAGAAGCCGGCGCCAAAGCTGGCCGTTCCATTATTGATCTCGATCTCATTGTCAGGATTTTCCCAAGGTATGAGAGTAAAGGTTGTGGTCGTAACATTATCCAACCACAAGCGAGAGAATTGGACACCAGACTTGTTGAACTTGGTGACATTTATAGCATCTTGAATGATAGGTTCTAGAATGCTAGGACCCTCGGTAAAGTCGCGAATGTTGCGAATACTACCCAGAATGGCGGTCGCCAGGTTTGTGGATGTATTGAAAGAGATGACTCCTTCCACTCCCACATTCGGGACATCAGACGAGCCTTCATTGTTGTAAATACCTCTCAAAGGTTGTCCCAAAGTAGAATTAACAAGCTCGATTCCTAACGTTCCATTCTTCCCGCTTTGAGGCTGGAAGAATGTGCAGATGCCACTATTTCCCGCAGGCCAAGCAGCAATCAATCTCGGGCCGATGATTGTTAAATTGGAGTCGGGGAGGGGACTCGTAATGACGATTTGAGTGTCAACATGACAATCGGAGTAAAAGTAGTTTTCGTAGGGAGGGTCACTGAGTTGTTGTGTGATGACAGAACAAGATTTTTTGCTATCAAAAGCGTACCCAAGGGACACAGCTCCAAGCAAGAGAGTAGCATAAGATAGCATCATGGCGACAAAGAAACCCGAAAGTAACAACCTGGTAGTTTCTTGATGGTCAATTGCTCATCTCGCTCATCTCGGGGGAGTTGTCTCAACTTATACATATATCTATCACACCATCGTCGGCTACCATTTCGGCCAACACCGTAGAGATTTTAACATTCGGCCCGTCAGCTGATAGAATGCATGGGCCTGTGCCAAGTTGAACCAGGAATTTATCCCTTTGACTGTCCGAAGGCACCACTAGTAGGGTTTAGAGCCAATGAACGAACGCATTCAAAAAGGTACATTGATATAAGCGGCAGCCGCAATACATTTCAAGTATCCATCAATATCAGAGGTACTTTTGGTCATCTTTTAACAGCTCACCATAGGGCGAGTGATCAGCAGAAATAAGCTCATAGAGACGGAATGATATGTATTCTCGTTAGGACTGTCTGTTGTGGGGTAAGATGCCTTCGGACAGTCAGGGGATGGAGTGTGCTTACGAATAGAGCCTTGCGGAGAGGGCGGGGTTATTCCAAGTGATCGGGAGTCCCCAACACCGGTCTTGCGGGGGGTTAGTCGGACCGTCTGTGGAGATGGTGAATGAGAGTTGAAGAGGCGATGACGAAACTGAATTGAACGGGAAAAGCGGCGACATCTCGCTCTTTCGCGGACTATGTACGGATAGGGAGCTGCAAAACCGATCACTGTTGTTTCTTTTTTTGCAGCCCTACGTGGTTAGGCATTTACCATGGCTTAGGCATTTAACATGGCTGAAATCAAATTTGGTTAAGCGAGTCGTATTGACCAAGCTGGAAATTCGGTCCTTGTGTGACGGTATTGTATTGGCACATATTGCATGGTTTCTTCCACCAACCCATCAACATGGCGGGGGCTTGTGGGGTTAGCTTTGCTGTCGAACTGCAGGAAAAAAAAAAACGGATAAGCCGAAATGCCGCGCGACGGACAACCCGAGGCGAGAACAAACACCCTTGGAATATAAATCGTGCCCTCTTTACCCTTTTACGGGTTCTCCGCCGAAAGCGGTTTCTGTGAGCGAGTTGATCGAATTTGGTGGGCTGTTGATGAGTTTGTTGATTTATTGTAATAGATTCCTATTGTTTAGTATTGGTAGTGGTTGTAGTCTTTTGTAAGGGAGACATGATTTTGTCAGGGCCTGGTGCGAATCGGAACCGAAGAGACGTTCATAATGCCTATTGCTCCAATCATTTTCAAGTGAATACTGCCGCGACTAAATGCACTTTGGCTGTAGTACACAGGAATCGGATCCGATACTCTGCTGGGAGCAGTCTTGGCACTCTCCATTTACCTAGCTACCTAGATTTATCCTGTCCAATAGACGGCTTGCCCATCATCATACTCTACGAAATAGATGCCATCTTATTATCCCCCTTAATAATCTGCTCCGCCTCCGCAACGGGATCAATAACAGTGGTAGCAAACTTCCTCGCCGATACCCGCCTCTCGAACAGCACATCTAGCTCACCATACGTTCTACCCTTAGGCTCTGGCAAACGGAAGTACGCCCAAGTCATACACAGAACACCGAATCCAGCCCAGAAAAAAGCCCCCTTAGCGCCCCAGTCCCAGGCCGTAGAGTCAAGCATACGGGGCGTGATAATGCTCACAATGATATTGCCCACATTATAAGTAGAACGAGCTAAAACGATAGTCTTAGACCGAAGTCGGGTAAACGCCAGCTCAGATACGAGAGAGTAGCATACAGGACCAACTGTCATATCGTAGACCATGGTAAGCAAGAGAAGCATGCTTCCGACGGCCCAGCTTGCAGTCTTGTATCTCTTAGTATCAATAGTGGCACCCACGCTACCAATAATCACGAGGAGGGTAAACATGCCCATAATACCTGAGAGGTACAGTCTGCGTCGTCCGAAGTACATCATGAGCACCCATAAGAGCATTGTGCCAATACCACCAAGACCGTATTGCACCAGAGTCATGGTAAAGCTATACTCAACCGCAAGTCCAGCTTGTAGATAAAAGTATATAGAGTACGACATGAAAGCAACTCCTGAGAAGATCTGTGCGAACCATGTGACACATACAATCTCGGTACGGCGCAAGTTGGTACCCTTAAAGCAGTCCGTGTACGATGTACCCGCAGTCAGTACCTTCTCCATAGCATTGTTTTGCTCCATCATGGACATAGTAGCGTCGAGATCAACCTCTGTGTTACCGCCACCGGTCTCTGAAGTCAGACGGAGCAGTGCCTTTCTAGCCTCGTCGTGGCGACCGGTGCGGATGAGCCACCAGGGCGACTCGGGCGCAAAGTAGACACCAACTATAATAGGGACAGGCCATATCCACTGCAGGGCGAAGGGGACCTTATAGCTCCACTGATCAGTACGAGTAGCTAGGCCACGTAATACACCCGAGGCAATAAACTAACCAATAACCCAGCAAAGGTTAACGAAAGTGGTCAGGTAGGCTCGCAGGGCGGTAGGACACACCTCTGCAGCATAGACAACAGTGATAGTCTGGAAAACACCCCAGGGAAATCCGAGCAAGATCTGACCAGCAAGGAGATAAGGTAGGGTTTCGGCAAAGAAGACGATAAAGATAAAGGCAATAACAAGGAACATGGCAGCGATGATAGTCTTCCGGTAGCCGAAACGCTCAGCAACAATACCGTTAATAGTAAGGCCAACGACCTCGCCTGCCATAGAGGCAATTGAAAGAGCGGTTTGCCAGTTTGCAGTTATCTCGTAGGACCCATCCGGTTGCTGATCGCCGTACTTTTCTTTAAAGGCTGTATTCACAAAGAGATTGGTAATAAGGACCTTATCAAAGCCTTCCATGATAATAGCTGAGGATATCAGGATTAACCAGGCTACAGCATGAGGATACATCTTGAGACCTTGAAGTAGGGTCATGGTCTGCTCTGCTGACATGGCTCGAGCGGCCTCAGTCGCCTCGTGTGAGAGGTCATTTCTCTATTTTGGGGACATCGTTGGCCACTACTTTGCCAGCATTCTCATGATGGTTGGAGCCGAGAGCTTTATCCTCAGCGACGCCATCTTGCGGTGACATTGTTAGAATTAGGTGCCGATTGAATTTTTGTTAATGATGGGGGAGGGACTAAATCGGTTTAATCAAACCCAGATTATTGAGACAACCAGAAATGGTTCATCCAACACGCGGGCTTTCCCATGGTTCTATACACAGAGCGGCCCTTCAACGCATCATCCATGCTTGAACAACACTTGACAAACGTCCACCCTGACCCCAGTCTGAATGGCGCCACTACGCACCAACGGGAAGAATGGCACATCGGTTCCCAAAAGATTTGCGCTCACTCTTTCTCTAAGCGACCTTCCCCTTGAGGACTAACACTCTGGTGCGAGTTGGAAGCACTTCTACATGCAGATTAATCCTCATAGAGAGGATGTTTCCCTGTTATTTTATTATATATATTGCCACCGAAGCCAGCCAGATACCCAGCACCATTCAACAGCTGCAATGGGGGAATACCATTCGGCCCTTCTCAGGGGAAGAGTGCGCATTGCGGTGGAAATGGAGCCAGAAGTCTGCAACATTTCTTCCTAGGGAAGCATTGTGAATGCTTTTTTGGGAATGGGGCCGAGCGGTATGGAAATGAGTATTGCAAAGTTCAGTGAGGAGCAAACATACCAGATGTACGGATCCGTAGAGGTGATGGTATTCCAAATTATCAACTAAAATACCTAATAATATAATGGTATTCATCCAAAAATAGGATGCATGAGTGGATAGAGGCAGCGATTTTGTCCTTCTATATCATAAAATAATCAAAAATCCTTTCTTAAGTTACAGGCTGCGAACTCGGCTATTTGGAAGCCTTCTGCCTACTCATTGCGACGGAGACTCCGCTAGCGCGGTGGGGTCAAAATGTCGGTCCACAGGAGACTCCGTCTGTCCTACCCCTTAGCTTGCGAATTGTCCATTGTCCCTCACTCAACCCTGTCTTGGTATTTTGCTCTCTGGGATGATGATGGAGCAGTTGCTGGGATTATCGGCTTGGGCACTTAGCAACAGCGGCACTGGGCAGACATCTTCCACATTCTCCATGGCGTGGCAATCACCATCACCGATAATATGCCGCTATTCGATTGCGCCCACTGACCAATGGGCTGACCCTACAGGGTGTCCTCGTGAGTTGCTTGTACCCTTGGTCCAGCTGACACACATGGCCGCCGAGAAGGAAAAGATAAAACACATGAGGTTCGCTTTCTTCAATAACAAGCTGGTGGATAGAATCGAGGCGTCAATTAGCAGGCGGATTGGCCTCATAGATGCAGAACAGCAACACGATGATGAGGAAAACATGCACCTGAAACAGGATGAGTTACACTGCTACTAGGCTTGGCGGTGCAGCTTGTTACTCTATATCCAGCGCATCTTTCGCTGGGATGGCAAGTCAACGCCGGGAACCCAGTCAAGTTATTGGCGCGTAACACATTAGACTACGTCAGATCCTGTCGGCTCTTGTCGCTGATCTCGAAGTAAGTCCTTATCCCCATCTTCTTGGGGGGCGCAGAGATTCTCGATCCTGAATACCGTAAGATTGCACGCGATTACCGCCAGGCGTGGCATGAGAAGAGCGGCTACGAGCCATTTGCCCACGCCGTTCTGCTTTTAGAAGGAATATCGAGTCAGCAAGCAAAGTTGGATTCCAAAGTACATGGTGGAGTTCGGTTCTTGACAAAAAGCATGAGGACCTACAACGGGGAGAACGCTTAAAGCTGGTGTTGTAGCGAAAAACCCATGAGGTATGATGTGGCGATCTGTAAGCGACGATCACAGCCAATTAATTGTATTAATAATTATAAAATATGTAATAATTTTCTAATAATGTAAAACAGGCGTAACGTATATGATGCTACACGTTACGTGTGAGCATCAACTATGCGGTAGTGGCTCGCTTGCTCAGTTCGTCGCAACCTAATATGAAAGTAAGCCCAATCTATATATCCAAAACAGGTTTCTAATGTCCTCTTCTTCCCCAAACACCCCGCGCTGTTACAAGTCCCGTCGGTTTTCTCCATCATGTGATATGTGCTGTTCTTCTATGGCTCGAGTACCACGCAAAATTCTAGCCCCGAACCTTCCTAGGCACTCTCATCAACCAATAAAGTCCAACTGCAGCAGCACCATTGAACAAGCAGTACACAATGATGAGACCCAAGTTGCGCCAGGGATGATCAAAGCTGATACTTATTGACGACAAAAAGTCATTGGTTGATGTAATTGGGCAATAACTGCATTCTTGTCCGAATCCAACTTCCGGATTCACAAGATACCCCCCAGCGACTGAGATGTACTCGGTCATGTAATTGCCACAAGTGTCATTGTGTGGTGCCAAGAAATGGATGAGCTCGTTTGATGTACATTCCACTTTGGCGTTAGCCAGGGATGTGCCCAGGAAGCCCTCGACGACGTAGGTAAGTGGGCTCACCCGATACATGAAAATCCAGAATCGTGGAAGGTTCTGAGGCGTAGCGAGAACCCTATCGAAATTAGACGCTAGTCCAGACGCTTGCACGACATTGTGAAATAAGACTTACCCGCAGAAAACGAACATCATAATTGCTAGAAGATTTCCAATAGCACCAGCAATTTCTGGAGCTTCTACCCCAGCAATCATCAGGTGGGCAAATGTTCCTGTGAATATAAATAAAACCAAAATGTGGAGGAACATGCAGATGCCTCTTTCGTTGGCCGAGTTCGTCTCGTACCCATTCCTGTACAGACCAATCGGAAAATACCAGCAGACAAAGCAAAACACAGATATAAGCTATATCACTGCTGTTAGTTGGAGAGGACATGTTATGCTTTTCATCGTTACATACCGAGTTCCAGGCTATCTCAACCAAAATGTTGGCAATGATGAAGGCTTTCCATGAATACGCTTTTGATGGCCGCTCTCTGGCCTCATAGAGCGTGCGTTGCGACACGAAAATAGGCATGATTTGCTGCAGCATAGATGGAAATATGAAAAGAAAGATGAAAACCGCAAACATTTGGTTCTGCAGTCCGCGGGCTGTGTTCTCCGCATTCAAAAAGCAAAGCCCAATGAAAAGCGCCTATCGAATCAGCCTGTTGTCCAAGATGAGAGGGGCACGGAGGGAATACTTACAGCACCGACTGCGAGAACGGCTTTGGAATATATGTAAGACGGAGTCCTCCAATACTGCTGGAGGGCCCTCTGCAGAACCAGCCACAACTGGATCTGGAATGGCGCAGCAAAGTCGCTGTGTTCGGATGATTGCTGGTGCGATGTGGAGGATCGTGGCGGTACACTATCGCCGCAAAGCATTCTCAGCTCCTCCTCTACCCCACGGTACTCTGGTGATTCCCTCCATATTCTAGGCCAGTCGAACTCGGTGTGAGCGCCCGGAGCCGCCCCAATCGCTTCAAGCATATATTCAGCGGGATTGGCCCCTGCAGGGCAGGGAGCTGCTCCGTTCCGGGTAAAATAATTGGTCAGGGTACTTGAATTCTGTCCGATATCCCCAAAATAAACCGTTTGACCTCCCTTAGCGAGAAGAAGTAGGCGGTCAAACCTCTGGAAGAGAATACTGGAAGGCTGATGGATAGTGCAGAGAATAGCTTGCCCATTTTAAGTCAACTTTTCCATAAGGTTACAAATTGACCATGAAGTCTGGCTATCAAGCCCGGATGTAGGTTCATCAAGGAAGAGAAGTAGCTGCGGCCGAGCAACAAGCTCAACTCCGATGGTAAGGTACTTGCGTTATTCAACGTTTAGCCCCTCGCCCGGGATTCCAATAATAGCATCAGCATACTCTTTCATGCCGAGAAGAGAGATAACTATATCTACATACGCGATCTTCTCGGCGCGGGAGTAATGATTAGGCTGTCGAAGTAGTGCACTAAAGTTCAATGCCTCCCGAACTGTGCATGTAGATAAATGAAGGTCCTGTTGCTGAATATAACCAGTTTTTCGTTGAAATGAGCTATCGCGGGGTTGACCATTAATAAGCATGTCCCCAGAGATAACTCCCATGGTTGTTCGGCTTGCGAGAACATCAAGAAGCGTGGTCTTCCCCGCTCCCGAGACTCCCTGCTATTTGTCAGTGATCCGTCATCACAGCTTTGACGCACTTCTCACTTACCATCAGCGCAGTCAGAGTGCCTGGCTTGACCCAGCCGTCCACTTGGTCCAAGAGCCGTCGAGGTTTCCCATTAATTTGAATATCGTAGCAGACATTCCTCCAATGAAACACGGCCGTCTGCTTCTCAAGTTTCGAATTCTCACTGGACTCGTCGGCCATGACGGGCCGTACAGAAGCACTGCCGACAGCCTCAACATCGCGAACATTCTTTTGTCCCCGTGTCTTCATACTGGCCCGGGTGAAGACTAAGACCTCCCCTTTGGACTTCTCTGAAGAGATCCACTCGGTTGTAAGCAGGTGTAAGACGAGGAACAAGACTAGGTAGGCGACAATAATGCCAAAGTTGCGCCACATGTGGGAATGAACGTAGCCGAACGCCGCCTCGAGGTATGCTGAACCGTTGACGAAGTCCTCTCCTGGCACAGATCCGGCCACAGAACAAGCAACTTGATCCGCTGGCATCGAGTCGTATGCAGGACCCGAGGGCACGAAATCGGAGCAGCGAAAGTGCCGACCACTGAACTCATTCAGCATAACGCTTTCAAACCCATAGTAGACGGGATTGAGCCAGCGTAGCCAGCCGAGCCAGACTTTCATATACTGGGGCGGTATAGCATAACCTGTATAGAGCATGATGATCAAGAGTAGGAGGGAGGAAGGTGCAAGAGCCTGGTCGACAGACTTGGTAATTGAGGCAATGAAGCGGAACATCATTGACATGGTCAGCGTCATGATAAAGGATATGAGAAGAAAGAAAAAGAAGTGACCAGGCTCACGCCGAAGGTGACCCATAAAGTAAAGAATCAGATTAATGCAAATAGAGTTGCCGACTTTGAAAGGTAAGTCAGTAAGCATGGATGAAAAGGCCCCAAAGGGATGTCGACTATGGTAGTCTTCTAGCTCCTCATGTAGGCTGACACGGTTTGAACTCGCTCGCCAGGCATCCGCGAACTCCTGAGGGGTTTTGGGTGTCTTTGCTTCCCAGCCACGCTTGATGACACGTTCTTGAGGGCTTGTCATTGACGTAAGGAAGTCAGGTGTCGTCTGCTGCTCAGGACAAATGAAGCCAAGATTTTCGAAATAGCGCTTCGCTTCGCTTGCCTTGCCAAAGAAGATCTGGTGGCCTTCATAGAGAACTATGACCTTATCGAAAACCTAAGCCATGGAGTCAGTCGTGTGCATATCGTCACTAAAGGGGCCTTGACTTACATCGTACGCAGCTTGAGGGGTCTGATACAGTGAGACGCATAAGGTGCTGCCCATTATATCGGCTTGGATTCTCAAAGTGCGACAAAACTCTAATGCATTGGCACTATCAAGGCCACGAGTACTATTGTCCCAACATTGAAGGGATGCGTAACTCAACATCGCTTCTGCGATCGTGACGCGTTTACGTTCGCCGCCACTGACGCCACGGACAAAGTCATCGCCCACCCGCGTTTTCTTGGTATGTGAAATCCCAAACATGGCCATCGTGACATCTCTTAGATGCTCTGCATACTGCTGCCGCGTGATCCCGTCAGGAATATTCCTTGGACAACGCGCACGTGCAGCAAAGTAGAGAGTATCTCCAACACTCAAGAAAGGAAAGTGCTGGTCAACCTCAGCTGTATAGACTGATTCCCCTCGGAAGTCGGTGCGCATCTTTTCCGGCTCAATGCCTTGGTAGTTGATGACAGCACCATCATCGACATGAAGACCATAGATATCGCCAGCCAGGGTCTTCAAGAATGTAGAGCAGCCTGAGCCCGGTGGTCCCAGAACGGCAAGCATTTCTCCGCTGTGAACGATACCTTCGATGTTGTGCAGAATATCTACACGCTGTTTCTTCACCCCAAAAAGCGTTCTAACAGAATTTTGCACTGTCAAAATCAAGTTTCCTACCGTCTTCTGGTAGTCCGTTGGGGCACCGAAGCCATAAACGTTGACATCCTGAAAGGCGACTCCGGCAGTACCCGGTGCCTTGCCATTGGTAGCATCGGACCTTAGTCGGTAGAAGGCCTTTGCCCATTCCCGTGCGTCAAATTCAGGGCTGTAAGGATCCAATCGGATATCAGTTGGAGCAGGAAACAGGGTTCCAGGGACAGCATGGGACTCCTTTGTGAGTTTTCGGGCGAGTTGAAGCACACTCGCCCTCTCCTGTTCATCCGATATCGCCATGTTGACGTCCTCGATGTCTTGCAGTGTGTCATCAAGTGTGCTGGGTGAATCAGAGGCAACATGGGCCGTGAATGGGGCCCCTGGAGAGATTCCCAGAGGTTTCTTCTCGCTCATCTTGGAAAGTTGTAGAAATTTTAGGTTTTAGAAGAGAAGGTATATGCGACATCTTGAAAGAAAAAAGAACGAACGTGTAGTATAAGCTTGGAATCAACCGGGCTTGTAGAGGTTATAGTCTGCAAGAGAGGAGGAGTTAGGTCCTTTATACGTCAAAATATAACAGAGTCCCGCTTGCTTCCGTCACTCGCAAATCGGCATGATTTCGAGATGGGCCCTTCTACTAACCAATCACCTTAACGGAAAGTAGGCTCGGGCAATTCCCAGCTCCCATCCCGAGGCGGTTTCTCGATATCTAAGAACATGTGGGGCCACCGGGAATTGGTTGTGGGTTCAAAACCTGTGTCAAGGTTGAACCCACCACAATTCTCCGTCCGAGTTGACACGATGAGACGAGATCGGCGTCTTAGGGGGGCACCCTCCGGGATTAGTGCTTGTACCGTGATTAACGACTGTCATAGCGCTGATTAAAGGCTATGCATCCCCAAGTCTCTATTCCACCTCGACGATACCTGACAAATTGTTATTGTTCTCGCGCAGGTGACAAATCGTTATTGTTCCCGCTAGCCTGCGCGAGATTAAGCTCTTTTCCACAGGTACTTCTGATGAAATCATAAAGATACGTCGTGTCATGTCGGCCCATGGCTTGGAGGTAGGGCACATTTTGAGATCCTTCATCCCCCCCAACTTCAAGGATGCGAGTTGTTAGCAATGCGAGCTCCGGCGCATGTCCCGCCAACCCCATTTTTCGGAGTTCGTCCACGTTTAAGCGTTCAGTAACAGCCTCCCATAACCTTCGCCAACGCTGAAGTGCCCTCTTGAGCACGGCAGAGCACGAAGGAAATAATAACGAAGTACGTGCATTGAAGATGAGAGGCTGCAAGGCTGGGAAAGGAGTACCACGTGAGCCGGCATGCCATCACCAAGATAAATATTTGGAACTCACCCCAAAGGGAAATATATAACTGTTGCAAACCGAATTGATGATTAGACTGTTGACTTGTGCCTGGGAGTTCATCAGCCAATAGCTCTGCCACAATGTCGCGTATAGTTAGTTTGCATTGAGGCTTGGTCGTGGTACACCACTTGCTCGTAAAGTCACGTTCCGTTCCCGCGTCCCATAATTCCTCGTCGCAGGGGAACTCTCCAATCATCTCCGAAATTCCCATAGCAGGGGGCTGGTGACAGAATAAGGGGTGCAAACAATCTGCGAGAAATGTCCAAGTGGCAAGCCTGATGAGTGATTCTTTAGCCCGGCGCCTCCGAGACTTCGGTGTGACGTTTGCTGTAAACCTCTAAGGACCGAACTGCAGCAACAAGAGTCGGATGTCGCTTTGTGAAAATTCTCCTTCGCGTTGCGCTGTTGTTGGTGGCTGTTTGTAGAGCTTCGATCAAGAGAGCGGCCTGACATGCCTCCAGGGATTCAGTTGTAACCTGGCTCGTGCCAATGGATGCAATCGTGTTTTCTAGATGATCAAAGATGTATGTCTCTATGATTGCAAGGAATTGAGGGAACAGGTTAAAATTCCCTGCAGACTCGTCTTCACGCCGAGTAAATGCTGCGCCAGATATGGCAATGGCCAGTAGCAAAGGAGTTGATGCCTTTGCGGGATCAAATGAGGGAGCATGAATGATTGGCCACTGCCAATGTCGACGTTGGAAAAAGGCCGTGAATAACATGAGGAAGTTTGGCGCGGTGAAGAATAAGTTGGACTGATGGTCGGCCGTATCTTCCAGTACCAAACCAGTGTAGCCGAGGCGTTTGAGATTTTGAGCGAGAACAGTTATTCTAGTCTGCAGATCGCCAACCAAGATCTTTTGATGAGAAGACTTTAAGGAGCTTGGTATATCCCAATCGTTCAAAAGCAAGTCGGCTAACGGATCTTGGAAACCCCAGAAAATTGAGTCAAGGTCAAGGCTTTGTGTCAAGTCTTCAGCTATTTCCCATTCGTCCCATCGTACCTTCGGGGTATGCGCCTGATCTGGGTCTTCTGAAGCAAGAAAAGTAGCTGCAGAATGCAGCCTTGGGTCAGTCATATCAAGAAGAAAAGAACGATGCCGTTGCCCCGGAGGATATGAGGTTTCGGTAGCCTGGCTGTCGTCCCACCGATATGTGCAATCGACTTCATGGGAAGAGCAGCGTCCACAGGGCATACGCCGGTCACAAGATACTTTTTTTTGCGAGCACTGGGCGCAGGACTGGGGTTTCCTGCCACGTTTACGGGGCTTAGTCGAACCAGCAGCATCTTTTAGATGGTGGCAAGACCGCGAGTGTCGCCGGGCCACATCGCTTCTTGCAAATTTCTTGCCACAACCCGAACAGGCATGACTTGCTTCATTATGGGTTGCTTCATGCCTGCGCATATGCGTATTTCGCGTGAAAGTTCGCCCGCAAACGGAACACGTATATGGACGGTATAACGGCATAGTGAGAGCGAAGCTCGGTTCTCTGTTGATTATCATTACTGTAAGACTTGTGAAGAAACTCATCGGCTCAGAAAAACAATATGTGGGCGTGGGGCCCATAGGCATGCGGATTGTGTCAGCCCTCAATTAGGTCCCAGCCTCCTCGCGGTTGGAGCTCTCAGGGGAGACGGCAACTGCAGTTCCCAGCTATGGTCCAAACAACATTTCCTGATGACTTCCTCCCGCCAGAGGGTACATACAATTCGCGAGAGGCTTTACTCGCAGCTATCAATGAATGGGCAGCACCAAGAGGATACGCATTTACAACTGGGAGATCTTCACGATCAACTAATGGCAGACGGATCATCAAAAATACGCGTATGCGCTTAACGCTCTCTCTTAGCAGAAGGCTCTCTATATAACTCATCTAATGATCCATTATTCCCGCCTCCAGTTCAGGAAATCCCTCATGGACACAAAAGAAACCCTAAAGAAGGGCTATCTGCTTGGGAGGCTAATCTTGACCGTTCATTGCATTACACGCAAGAGACTAGCATTGATGTGATGAATACACAAAAGTACTATCTACCCGACTACACAAATAGTAGTAGTATTCATCCGACACGAATCTAACCACGAGAATTCGAAAACGATATGCCGGCTCCAATCGTACCGCTTTCTAATGTTTTAGAAGGTATGGGAATTATCGCCAAATATGTTGGAAATTACGTAGGCTACCTACGAGAGGGTGCACCATCTGCTCAACAAGGTCCAGCTTCTCTTCCACACTCCGCTGAGGCCACATCAAGCAAAGATACATCGCAAGAACCATCGAAACCATAAATACCATACCTGGTACCCGCTCTCGCCCCATTCGGAGAAAGGCGATATGGGAAGCATGGCCTTCACAAGCCAAAGTGGCGTCATTGATATTCAGACCGTTGGGCATCATGTATTACCAAATTGCACTCCCCTTCACATAACTTCACAGACCTTCGCAAGAGGCGAAGGAAAAGAGAGAACACAATATATCCCGCTCATGTCTTCTTTACACAATGTATTACTAGCTGCCAAGGCGCGATGCAACATCAATATAGATAATGATCTGTGATTCAGATTTAGAGGTCTAAACACATTGGCTTCAACCTGCTCAACTATTCACCTATCCAGCGAGAATATTCTTGAGATTAAAACATCCAAGCCAGTGCTAATTGGCCCGCTCAAACAAGATCACATATTTTATCTCAACTTCGTAATCGGGGTAGTAAATAAGTCACCTCTTAATTAAGATCTAAAATCATAGATCACCGTCTACCACCTAGCTTGACTTCCCTCCAGCATGGAAAACACGTCACCGGGGCTATTTGTCTTACTACCACACACTCAACCCCCCCCCCCAAACAAACCTTGTTTGATGATTAAACCCAGTTACTCTTTTATTTTCTCTAGAATAACAAAATGGCATGTTTTTGAGACAGTTATGATTGATGTACCTATCCTCTAACAGCCAAAACCTCCTCTCGGGTAGGTGGCTGGTGTAGACTTTTCCCCCCTTTCATTCCAGTCGTTCGCCCACGTGCTCAGGTAAGTGTCCAAGCTAACTAAAACGGTCCCTCAACGGTTCATATCTACTCGATAATTCTGCCCTTCAAGGCTTTTTCCTGGAACGGCCATCTACTACTTGCCGCATAATCCTCCCCAAATGGCCGCCAACCCTGGATTCCTGCGATTTGCCAGTATGCCCAACTCAATCCCTCACTGACCTCTCGCATCATACATTGACATCAAATTGCAGGCCCTGGCGAGCAGCGTTGCATTGCTCGTGAGGTTCTTGGCCTGTACAACTGCGTTGTTGTCGGTGCCATCTACACGTTGCCGAGCGACTTCGGGTCTCTTACCCAGCCTGAAGCCTTCTTCCATCCGCTCAAGCGCTGCGTTCGAGAGCATCCTTTTCTCAGCGTTATTGTGCGCGATATACAAACAGACAAGCCTTTTTACGAGCAGAACCCCACTGTGCAGCTATCCCAACATGTCTCCCTCCTGGCCCCCAGCGATCAAACTGTAACGCATGCAATTCAGGCAGCGCTTGCTCCAGAGCTTGATCGTCCATTCACAGACGGCATACCTCCATGGCGCATCGTCGTGCTCCCTCTGAAAGAAAGATCTTCTTGCTTCATAGCATTCGCCTACTCTCATGTCCTTGGAGATGGGGCATCTGGGGCTGCCTTTCATCGCACATTCCTCAAGGCTTTAGCAGAAGGTGACAGCAGCAAGCCAGGCAAACCCTCAGAAACGGCCCCTGCGTCACTCAAACTACTTGCGCCTCCATTCGATACGCCTGCAAGGTTGCCCATATCTTGGGGGTTCCTCCTAGGACCGCTCATCGCCAGCTTCTTACCAGCTTTCATTGCGCGACTGTTTGGTATACATGATGCGGCCTCGCACGTTGACGATGAGACCTGGACTGGCGGTCCTAATGCCCAGTGGGGAGGAAACCTGGCTACTAGAATCATGGTCAAGGAGATCGAAGCCCCAGTATTAGAGAACGCCCTACGAGCAGCAAGGGATCACGACACTAAACTCACGGCCATCCTACAGGCCCTCATCGTCGGTGCCTTGAGCAAGGCTATTCCGGATCCCAAGATTACAAATTTTGTTTCACAGACTGTCCTCGATATGAGGCCTGCCGTTGGTATTTCCGCTGACCAAATGGGAAATATGACTTCTGCAGCCTATCCAATCTACCCTCGTTCCAGTTCTCCAAAGGGCACATTCTCGGACAGCGACTGGGCTGTTGCACGGGACGCTACTAGAGAACTTGCAGAGAATGCTTCGAGGCTACGGGACCAAGCCATCGGCCTATTACGATTTGTCATGAGCGTGCGGATGTGGATGCTAGGGAAACTCGGACAGCGACGTGAGTGCTCGTTCGAGCTCAGCAACCTTGGGGCGGTCGAAGTCGGCCATTATCAGGACGGGCCTGGGGCAAAAATCACCAAGATCATATTCTCGCAAACCGCATCCGCTATTAGCGTCCCGATTAATTTCAATTTCTCGGCCGTAAAGGGTGGCGAGGGTCTCATCTACACTATAACTTGGCAGAAGGGTGCATTGAACATAGCCGAGCAAGATGAAGAGGACTTTGTGGAAGGGCTGTGCCAGACTCTGTCACAAGGGCTTGAAAACCTACGATAGTCTGTTACTATATACGGGTGAGTCAAGTACAGTAAAACAAGCAATGGAAGATGCGCCCTAGGAAGCTGCGGCAGATAGTTGGAAGAGGTTAGGAGAGATAGCTGTTGCCAGTTGTGCAAAGAGCAACAAAAATCAAGGAATCGGAATGACAACGCAGAGAAGTGACAGGTCAACATTTTGCCCTCATCAGGTTGCCACAAAGGCTCAAAGAAGCAAAGCCGGTTCAGCTGAACTGAAACAACTGAGCTCAGCCCAGATTACTTAATCAGTTCATGCTTGTATTTTAGAGCCCAACACTGCCACCTTTAGGCCGCCATTTTTGTGACTTGCATCCATCACCACTCCTCCAAGTGAACCCTGAACACTCGCCAATTGTTTGTTGATCGCTCGAACAACGCCAGCCGTCGAAAATTATACAGCCAGAATGGTTTCCATCTACGACATCTTGCCAATTGAACTCTTGGATTCAACTCTCGCCTTCCTCCCGTTGCCTGACCTCGAGGCATTCGCCCTCACCTCGAAGTACTCCCGAGAGGTCGCTCAGAACCGCCTCCAAATTCAGCGAGATCTATTCCGCCGAGCTTCAACCTTTAAAGTGGATGGATTCTGCGAGCTGGGGCCTGTTCCCTGGCTTGCGCCAGTAATCCAGGTTCTCCGTGAGCCATTCTTTGGAACCTACATCCAAAAGCTCGACACAGATGTCTTTGCAGCAGACAGGACACTTGAAGTATGCCTGAAAGAGCGCCTCGGGAGTACTAGACGCGATTTTGTGCCTGATTCCGACTGGTCACTCCTTCTTCGGGCGGCCCAGAGATGCTTCACCGACTGGTTCGATCTTCCCGAGGCCCCAAGTTATCGGGAGGCGTTCTTCAACAGTGTCGAAAATTTGGAGTCTTCGGCACTACTCGCCGTGTTGGCCTGCCATCTTCCCAATCTTCGGGTCCTCACACTCACTACCGAGTGCTATGGTGGCATGGTGGACCTCCCCTGGTTTTTAGGGTTGGCTCAGCGCATTCATGTGAGACCAGATGGGCCTCTCCTCGGCTGTCAACCCTTTGCTCGTCTAGAGCATCTAAAGGGGGACTCATACAACGGCTTCTATGGCTTAGACTTCCAGTGCATCGCTCCATTCATCGCACTCCCAAGTGTACGGTGGCTTGAAACGCCGCAGAACCACGAAGAGGGGTTTGACTGGCCACCCTACCTCCCCCGATCCAATATTAGAGAGATCGTGCTCGATGGGAGTTCGATCCCGGAGGATGTCATTAGGGAGTTCGCTGCAGACGCCCTCAAAGGGCCCTGTGTCATCAGGCAAGCATGGTCTGTGAGGAGAGATGGCGAAACGCCGGAGCCAACATGGAACCGACTGGAGATTCCTTTTGAAGGGGCCAAGGCGGAGGACCATATAGTAGAGTTCAGACAGGACAGAGATCCTTACATGGTACCATTCGGTGACATATGGTACTCGAAGATCGGATGGGAGGTCAAGGGTGGAGGAAGTCTGCTCGGGAACAGGCCAGTTCTGGACGTCGACGGGGGTTCTTGGCTTACTCCAGAATACTAGATATCATTGCATCTAGGTGGGTTTTTAGTCAACTTTCAGCTTATTTTCTTTGTTTATTAGTCATGAGTTGAGTTACGTTCGAAATACTTCTTCAGCCATACAAATGCCCTCATTGTGAAGTTCGATGATTACCCTTCCATTATATTGTCACCAAAGACACACAGCTGCGGCTCTTCCATGTACGAGCGACCCTATGAGACGCATGGACGTAATTCCGTACACAGCATGGCACTCTATTTTCTCCAGATAGAATGTAGGTAGTGGAAGAAATCTCCACTGTGCGTCCATCCCAATTTTCCCAGTGTGAGACTCGCCCCCGTCACCCCGAGGATGGTGACTGCTCCCACTGCCATAAGATCCCAATTTCTAGCCTTATACAATGGCATCCGCATATCTGCTGTCTGTAGATGCATCGGACGTATCTCTTTGCCGTCTTGATAGCGCAGCTCTGTGTCATACATGAGCTCCTCGATGAGATCCGCGCCATGATGTTTCCGCCGTGACGCAATATGAGCAATGCGTTTGAGCCTCAAAACATTCCGCTTGAATAGACCATCCTTATCCTCAATAATCTTTTTCGCCTTTGTATATAGTTCTTCGGACGTGAAGTGGAATTTATTGAGCGACTCGGCGACGCCGCCCCCGACAAGGCGTGCTGTGTTTGCAATCTGGTCGGAGAAGATGCCCATTGACAGCATGGGCTTTCCATGGAACAAGCCTTCGTTGGCGCTGGATCCACCTCCGTGGGTGTAGTAGATATTCACCGAGTCGCGATCAAGGATTGCACGCTGTGGGGCGAAGAATGGGAAGTAGAATTGCGAGTGCTTTCCTTCAACGAGATCACCAAACCGTACAGTCTTTCCTTGCAATTCGTATGTCCGGTTCATGTCCATGTCTTGGCGCCCACTCTTGCCCACTGCCCAGATTACACCATCAATCAACCCTTCTTCTAGGAGCCGAAGTATACCAGTCGTGATCTTGATGGTATCAGAGCTGGACAGAATGATATGAGTCCCCAGCGCGATGTACATGACCTTGCTATGGCTGCTGAGAAAAGTCTGGCAGACAGTATCCAGTGGTGGATATTCGTCGCTTAGGATGGGGCCGATGGCCTCGCAGAGGGGTGGAAGGTCCTTGGGGATCTCCAGGCCAAAGAATGAGTTGATGAAGAGTAGATAGTCAGGTTTTGAGGGAGTCGGCAGATCATAGTTCACGCCCTCCTTACGTCGCATTCTTCTCGTCCACCCAAAGAACTTGAGGATGTGAGGGAGGGCACGGACTATAACCCATTCGTTTTTGAAGCGTAACCACATGGAAGCGTTCTCTGATGTGAGTGTCCCGTCAAGCTGGAATCCCGGCTGACCTGGGATATAGGAACACGGCATCATCAGCATGGGCATTTGAGGCCAAACCATGGCAATCGGGACGTGATACTGCACGTGGATATCCTTGACCGCATCGACGAAGAAGTCTCCGATCACCATATCAGGTCGTGCCGCTGGAGCTTGGTCCATGATCTTTGTTAACCCATGATAGGTCATTGGCCAAAAAGAATCAAACATATACTTGGAGATCATGGAATTTCCAAGGCCCTTGGACATGTCCCATTCGCGCATACGGAGATAATGGGCGTCCATTTGCTTCTCAGTAGGGCCAGGGCCCAGTGAATAGACGCGGGAGATGAATTCATAGCCTTTGGTCCATTTTTCTTGACCGTCCAGTGTTGCAAATTCTACGGCGTGGCCCCGATCAGCCAGCACTTTGCCTAATTCAAGGACAGGCGCTGGATATCATCTATCAGCAAATTTGATAACTTCGGGGAAGTCACATTCACTCACCTGCGTGCGTATATCCTCCTGTTGTCACCACGAGCAAAATTCTCTTGGGCGGGTGGACTTCCATGGTGGCGATTGACCCAAATTGTGAAGAGTCCTGACCTCTGAACTCAACTAGATGAATTCTCTCTCCCGACCGCGAAGATTATAAGTGGTATGATATTCGGGGTTCGGAATTCATGCGAATTCGTCACGTCGTGGATTCTGCCCTTCCGAAGAAATGTCTAGCCGGGATTCGGGAAATCATGGATCGGGTTTAATTTGGGTTGTTTGTCTTCCATTGATAGCGAATCTACAAATGATACGTATGAATACTTCTCTATGAATGCCACTTCAACAAACCAAGATTCGATGCTCGCCTTGCACTGAAAGAGGCTGGAGGGAACGGAGCCAGGAGAACAACATTCATCTCCATCCGTGAGTTGGCCACAAACTGGGCACGGCTTGGCTGCAGGCTGGCTTATCAGAAGAAGAGCTTACGTTTCTGGTTAATTAGAAAGGTGGAGAAGAGCAAATAATCGATGAATAAAGTCCCTAACGAGCAAAGTCCCTAATGAGGTCATCAGCAGCTCCTCATCACCTAAGAATCAGAGAAACAATAACAATTGATTACATGGTTGGCTACGGCGATGAGCCTCGCCCCTACACAATACCCTCTCAGTTACTATATTTGATACAAAAGGACACATTACGTTTTCCATGATTTTCTATTCTTGACATCATAAGTTCAACTTTGCCACATCACAATGCAGTTTGGCTGAAGTAGTAGCCATTGTCTCATTCAATTGATCAACTGCATGAATGCTCAATAACAGCTGTTGGCTCTTGTCATAGGACGATGCATTTCTTTCGGTGTTGTTGGCGCTGTGTTATTGATTGGCAGGTTTATTTTTAAAGCCTCCATGGGTGTTTATTGTCAATGACATACCTATGCATTGGCATCACCAACAACTAAAAATTAGAGAACAATAGAATAGTGCCATTTATGTTGCTTCTGCATACCAACTGCATATCATGCCTGAGCCAACCGGCTGGAAGGATTCGGTTGGTGTGGTGCAGCATCAAGGGACGGGCCTTGCTTGGTGTTGGTGTACCAACTGCAGCTGTCTGTCTAATTTTAGGGACCGCCGCAACAAGGCACAACAATTATTAGTGCTGGGAGCATTAAAATATTAATCAGAGCGCTCCTTGTGCGAGCGGTTGGGGCGCTGACCACAAACTGGGGCACTGCCAACATCCTCCGGATCAGGCAACTCCCATCTTCTAATACAACGGCTGGGGAATTGCGAATCGTAATATCAGCGCCCCTGATCAATTGCGGAATCTGCCCACTGCGGGCTAGCGCTGACCGCGTGTGGAAGGCGATGCTGGTCGGCAGGGGACTTCGGGACCCAACGTATGAGAAGGAGGATCCATTTGCGAAAGGATTCACAGGCTTACTGGCCGTGATGTTATATTTAGCAGCACGCGCTTGGATCTTCAACTTTATATATAGACCGGTGCCGAAAAAGACATATATATCACATCTTTCCTCCGCTCCGTAGCTCACCGCTCGTCTCGATCATCCACCGATCACATCACACCAGAGCCTGTCTACGTGCTTTGCCATCTCCACCATTTAATCAATTTTCTTAAGTCGCGGTCCAACCGATCAATCACATCTGCCACTTTCAAAATGGTCGCCATCAAGCAACTCAGCGCCGCCGCCCTTGTTGGGTTTGGTCTTTTCAGCCAGGTTCTCGCCAACCCCAGCGACGCCGCACAAGACCTCGCTGCCAGAGCTGAGGGAGCGGAGGTGGCTTCCGAGGTTTTCGCCCGTGACCCCGCTCTCGAGGTTGAGCGAGCTATCGAGGAGGACCTGAGCGAGCGCGATCTTGAGGAACTGGAGGAGCGCGACCTTGATGAGTTCCTCGACGAGCGTGACCTCGAGGACATTCTCGACGAGCGCGATCTTGAGGAGCTTCTCGACGAGCGTGATCTTGAGGAGCTCCTAGACGAGCGTGACCTCGAGGAGCTCCTGGCTGAACGAGACTTCGAGGACTACCTGGACGAGAGAGCTTTCGAGGACGAGTTGGAGGAGAGAGATTTCGACGATGAGCTTGAGGAGAGAGACTACGATGAGGAGCTGGAGGAGCGAGACTTCGAGGAGGAGCTGGAAGAGAGAGACTTCGAGGAGGAGCTTGAGGAGAGAGATGTTGAAGAGGACCTGGAGTAAAGGGACTGGACCAGAGCTAGGAAGTTGGACGTCTACTTTCCTGTTTTCCAAGTTTTTCTTAATTCTTGCAGCCTGAAGCGTTATTGTGCATTTGTTAGAAAAATCAATCACCACCTAAACACTGAACAGAGCGCGATTTATCACTGAATATGTAAAGCATGCCCACAAAGTGACCAACCTGGCAGGAGTAGTCAACATCATTACAATTCTCGATATCACGGCTGGGCCGTTGCCCGCGAGCTAATGACTGCATAATGAATAATTGAGCTTCCACAGACCAAGAGATCGCTGAAGTTCCGGGGCCTACTTAACGCAAACTATAAGATTGCTCTGGATATTTATTGGCAGAATATTTATTTTTCTGCGAAGCTTAAAGTCGCTTTGCAGGAGTTTCACCTGATTGGTGATCATTGACTTTCGCACCCTTCTAGTTGCTTGCAGGCTTCGGGCGAATATCGCAGCCTCCAGACTTGCGCGATTTGCATAGAATCAAGATATGTTGTATCATAAAATGCAGGCATTTCTTGTATATCAGCAGCCGACGAGTCCCGTCGGGGGTGGGAACTGACTGGATAGAGATGATCTCAGATAGAAGTGCTGGGCAAATTGAGAGTGTATCCCGCCAAAAATAACGACGTCGCACCACCATTCTTCAAGTTTTTCATAACCATAACTAATTTAATAACAAGAAGGCCTATACAGCACGAGAGAAAAGTACTCGTTCTAGATTCTGAGAGTATACGCGACCCAAGGGCCTAGAGGCTCTTTCTAGGTAGCACTCAGCATTTTACATTCGACTCTTTCAACTCAATGCCTAGAATCTTCCTAAAAAAAAATCCTAAAATTCCTATTACAAAACAAGCGACACGTGGGAGGTAAGTAATTGGGCGTCAACAAACCGGGAAAGATCTCACCAGTGGGAGATGAGACAGCTTGCTTCTTTCCTAGATTCTTGTATCGGCACTCTACTCAAAAGACCTCTCGATGACCTTCGGCTCAAGCGAAAAGTCAGTCAAATTGTACACTAGGCCTATTTTAACGTCTTTTCTCCCACTTTTGCACTTGAATAATGTTACAACGTTCGTTCCCAGTTTTCTGTACCGTCCGTCCGTATCTAACTTTCCTTTGAAGCAGATGCTATCGGAAAGTTTTGAAGGCTTTCAGATTGATTGCTTTATCTCTTTGGTATTCACAACTTCCGTAGTGGTAGAAAGCGATTGGGATTCCACTCCTCTTGAGTAGGTAGGTCCTCGACACTGCAGGCCCATCACGAGCTGATCGCTCAGCTACCTCGAAATTGTGTACTTTTCACCACTCTCCTTAAATCTATGCACGTATCCTACAAGCTAAACAATAATATCTAAATCAATACTATCATCGAAGGGCGTGGCATGATGTCTTTCCTTTTCTTCTAGCGTCATTAGTATCAATGGTTGATGCGACCGTCGTAGCTGCCTTCAACCCATGAACGTATGATTTTATTCCTAGTATTATTCTGCATGTAACCGTTGAGTGCAACAGTCCTTGATCCAGGCCTCTCCAGATACTCCAAAGTTGGCCACGACTCACTCGAAACCATTAAAAAGACAGCAGATGAATAATCAGGCTGCCCCCAAAGTTAAATGCCTCAGTGTGCACCCGGGAATTGCTCGTCCCTGGTGCTCAGCGGGTCCGCTATGTCGCAATGACACCCCGCTATCCCCTGACCGCGATTCACGCACTGAATCAGTGGGCTCTAGAAAATCCCGACGCTGAAAAGTACCCGTACTGAATTGTCCAATGGCCTCTGTGTTCCGGTAGGCAGGGGCGGATCGAAGAGGCCGGAGGTCCACCATTGATGGGCTTGGCTCGGGACAAGGCCGCAGATATCGGCGAAATATTGGACTTCTTCTGACATTCAGAGATAAGGAAGGCAGAGACAGAGTGAAGAAAAGCGTCCTATCTTAGCTTATGGTGAACCATTCCGGCATTATTATACTTTATTACAATACATAATCGTATGGATAGGTACGGTTCCCATCATATCATTGGTTGTGAACCTTGTTTGCCGCTACGATTCGCCAAGTACGACCAATCTTTGGATTAGCTGGCCATCCAAGGTTATTATTAATACCGGGCCTAAAATCGTCTGGAGAAGCCTTTTTTGAAGGCCGTGCTCAACAAGACGTGGTCTCCGACCCGGTTTTCAAACACAGGAGTGTCTGGGGAAAGAGAACCGAGGGCGAACGCGGCCGGGGAACGAACCATGAGGGGATTTCTCTTCCATAAGAATTTTTCATCGGAACATCGATGACTGCCCACTATCAGTGCGAGAATTACAGATGCATAAAACAGAGCCACTTTTTCACTGCCAGCCAGCATGGGCCCTCTGTCATTCGCGCCTTATGTTGACGAGCCCGTGGAGCAGATCTCTAGCCATTACCTAATATGACAAACAGGAACCACATCAAACGCCGAAATGGAAACACGTTTTGAATCCTGTTGTCAGACTGAGGCCTGCCGCTTTGGCTAAGGGGTCTCGCTAGCAGAATTTGCCGCCTATCATTTGGAACATCCGTGAGTGTTCGCCAATGCTGGAGGTGGTTGGGTCGGCATCAACATCCGGCGGACGCATTCGTCACGAAGGTGACACGTCCGGCCAAACTTACACTTTTGAGTTACTTTACAACACAGATTAGGTTTCGTCCATTGGATAAACCGCGCTCCCTAAAACAAAGGATGTTGTTTTTTGTATCCACACTGGCCTCAGTCCATCCAGAAAGTTCCTGACCCCAACGGTTTGCTCTCTTGACGTAACAGAAACCAGTCCTCCTCGACTAGCCAACTAGCTGTAGCAGGGGGACCGATGCAGATCTATTACATATAGATGTCCGTAGATGTAATATTAGGATGACATGATTATAATCGATGTAGAAACACCGACTTACGCGGGGCCCCAATTCCCCACGTCTGCTTGGTTGTATGGAGCTATCCTGCGTTTCCCTCTTAAGCTTTACGTTTCTTATCTAGCCGCCTGGCCCTCTTCTTTTTTTCCTTTTCTCTTCCCCTCCTCCTCCTTCTTCTTCTCTACATCCTTCACTCGGAATCGGTGTCTCTCCCCCACTATCAAGACACTACTCCCAGGTGAACAGAATCTTCATACAACAGACAAGATGGCAACTGCAGATGATGAAAAGCCCGACATCAAGGACATTGAAAATGTTCTGGCTGAAAACGGCAATCAGAATGAGCTGAAGCGTGACTTCAAGCCTCACCAGGTCTTCATGTTCAGTATCGCCTGCGCCATCGGAACAGGATTGGTCATCAGCACTGGAACATCTCTCGTCCGCGGTGGACCTGGAAGTACCCTCATTGCCTACCTCCTCATCGGTGCCGCCGTCTTCTTCGTCATGACCTCCCTCGGCGAAATGGCCGCCTTCTTGCCTATGAATAAAGGATTCAGCGGTTACGCCAGCCGTATGATTGATCCGGCGCTAGGGTATGATTCTCCTACAATTTAAGTAGAGATGAAGGTGTATTGACAGATTTTTGCACTCTAGATTTGCAACAGGTTGGAATTACTTCTTGAAGTATATTGTGTCGACACCAGCAAACTTGACTGCTTGCGGTCTGATTATTCAGTACTGGCGACCTGACTTGAACGTGGCCATTTGGGTCACTGTCTTCGGTGTCCTGGTCATCCTCACTAACGTAAGTGGAACACAGGCATTCCCCGTCCAGGCAACCAGGATTTCCATCTTACCATGGCTGTTTCTAGGTTATCCATGTTCGCCATTTCGGTGAGCTGCAATTCTGGCTGAGCATCGCCAAAGTCGCCATCATGGCCGTCCTCATCGTCGGGTGCTTGGTTGTCGCTCTCGGTGGCGCACCCAGCCATAAGCGAACTGGTTTCACTTACTGGAACGACCCAGGTGCTTTCGCACACTATCTTGCCGATGGTCCCAAAGGCCAATTCCTCGGTTGGTGGGCAGCCATGGTGAAGACGTGCTTCGCGTACACTGGTACCGAGGTTGTAGGCATGACATTCGGAGAGACTCCCAATCCTCGAAAGAATATTCCAAGGGCCGTGAAGCAAACCTTCTACCGAATTGTCGTCTTCTACATTCTCAGTGTCATTGTTCTCGGCATGTGCGTGCCATACAACGACCCCGAGCTGCTTGCCGCCACCAAGAAGTCCACAAGCGGAGGTATGATTCTTTGCTCCATTCAATTGTCACAACAGCGACTAATTTAGTTGTATAGCTGCTTCTCCTTTTGTCGTTGCCTTTAATCTGGGCGGCGTCAGAGCCATGGGCGATTTTGTCAATGCCAGTCTCCTCGTTTTCACATTTAGTGCTGCCAGTACCGGTAAGAAACTCAGTGCGGAATATCAGTCCAATGCGATCAGGTGCTGACTTGTCTCAATGTTCAGACATCTACTGTTCTTCCCGATCCATTTATGGTCTCGCCAAGGATGGACAGGCCCCAAAAATCTTCGCCAAGGCGCTCGAGAACGGCACTCCGATGTGGGCCATTGCCGTTTCCTCTGTTTTCGTTGCTCTGGGCTACATGAATGCCAGCAAGGATGCCGGCCAAGTCTTCGATTACCTCGTCAGTCTCATCACCATCTTTGCCATCCTTAACTGGATCGCTATTCTCACCTCTTATCTGGGCTTCCGACGCGCTATCAAGGCCCAAGGCATCAGTGTCGAGTCGCTTCCATTTGTTGGATGGCTCCAGCCTTATGGTGCATACTACTCTTTGTTTATTTCGCTCTTGGTTCTCGTTTTCAGCGGTAAGTTCTCCCCCTTAGGTATATCTCGAGAGGCGTCACGAGGCAAGTTGGTATCTAAATTGTGAAATCTTGGCTAATTACTTGCGCTGCCTAGGATATGATGCTTTCATCCCCACCTTCAAGGTTGATCAGTTTATTCTCAAGTACTTGGGAACAGTTATTTTCGTTGGAAATGTTGTCGTCTGGAAGTTAGTCAAGAAGACCAAAATGCATCGTCCAGAGGACGTCGATTTGGTCACTGGGCGACGACAGTTCGAGGAAGTCGAAACCACAGATGACCATAGATGGAACGAGAGTTGGTGGAAGAATGTAGGTGCAAAGCTCAGGCTGAGGAAGTAACTTGTTGGGTGGATCGGGATACAGACGGCCAGGACACTCTGTCTTACCTTCATAGATTTAACCAACTTGAGCCCTACAGAGAGTGGCAACGCCTCATTCGAGAAAAGATTTCACTTGTTATATAGTCATAGCCATCCAAAAGAATATTGGACGAATTGGTTTACCTCCAACTCCTTCTTCTAGTTTGAAACATGCACCATTGTATAAATTATTTTAAAATTACCTAGTTCCGTTTCCTTAACCTGTCCCTTTTAACAACCTGAAAGAGAGATTCTCGATTTCCTCACAATCAAGCCTTGGAACCAGATGCAATAGAAGGTAATATTGATAAGTACAGGGTATGTCAACTTGCAGCTGACTCAGCGTTAATGCTTAAGTAATATAGTCGATCTAGGGTAGCCATCTCCAGCGTTATTAGTTGCCCGGCCTCGGGCAACCGCGTAAGAAAAGCCCACATTAAAATCAGGGGAAGCTTCGGCCAACTTCTCAACCAGCCAGAGGGATCGCAGAACCTCTTTCTCACCTCCACATCCTCCCCGTAGCAGGAAGCCGGTACGTAAGATTAGCCGGCCTCTTCCTTGGCCTGTTGGAATGATTGGCTATCATGCAGCACGAGCAACAGCCGCCCTCTGCCCCACGGGGAAGCCACCAGGGCGCCCGTCGGTACACGATTCAGAGTAAATTTGGCAATGCCCGCACACCACGGAGCCGAAAGAATAGGCCCTGCGACATATGCCGCCGGCGGAAGACTGCCTGTGTCATCACTGATAAGCCTCCTTGTGAGTCCCATATTTCTGTCCGGCTGTCTCTGGGACTGTTCACCTTCCAAGACATCCGCCGTCTTGTCTCTAGCCAAACAACTATAGATGGATAAGTTGGGTGCCGACTCCTCGCTCACCAACTTGTAGGTCACTTCTGCAAGAGCCGAGGTCTAGAATGTCTATCATCGCCTTTGGTACCAAATGCTGCTGCTGCCAGCGCGTCTCCGGAGGACGTGGAGTCAGCAGGTCAGTTAAGTGTCGGAGAAGGAGTCTTCTCCAACGTCGTCGCACCGTCACCCTCGAGTGCTGGGGGGCAAGACTCCGCATCTCCCGCCGTGGTTCACTCTGGCCTATCACACCTCCCACCAGTCATCCAACCAGATGAAACCGTGGAGAACAAGTCAACTTCTATGCCCAGTCGAGGTTCGTCCATCGACGAACAACAAGACACAAGCCAGCCACTTCATGCACTAGAAGATATCGGGGATAGAACCTCACATTCCATGGGTTCCGCGGCCGAACAGGACCCCCACTTCCTCAGCGCGTTTCGCTCTCTACTTCTCAGCGAGCAGGACGAGATTGATGCCAATATCATCCAAGTCCATGATGGTGGCCAGGGCGTAGGCCGACATCCTGTTCATTTTCTTCTCCTGCTGAATGGCTTTCCCGACCACACCAATAACGCGGTGAAGGCGGCCTCGGACACGATTGAGACCAAGGTTTGGCCTCATGGCCCTGCGCTTGTACGCTTATACTTCAAGCACATCCATCCAGTGTACCCCATCGTTTCCAAAGTACGATTTCTTCGCCGATATGCCGATGATAGACTGGAATTGCCCGCATCCCTAAGAGGCGCAGTCTATGCGCTGGCATGTGTATTCTGGAATCAAGACCCTCAACTTACCGACCCTTGCCCATTTCAACAATACGAGCTCGTTGCTGAAGCCCATTCCGCCCTTCGACGCGAGTTGGAGGCACCCAACTTGTTCAAGTTACAGGCTTGTCTCCTCCTGCTGCATATCACGCCACCAGATATCGACAGTGTGGAAACGCCCACTACTTGGTTCATGGCTTCGCAGGCCACAGCATGCGCGCAAATGATCGGTCTTCATCAGGACCCGGGCCCGTGGAATATTGCTCCATGGGAAAAGCAGCTGAGGAAGAGGCTTTGGTGGGCAGTGTTTGCTACAGATTGCTGGTCTGCAGTGTGTCATGGTAACCCACCCCATATTGGGCCCTCAACGTTCGACACAACGCCTCTGACTGTAGATGATCTCCGGTTCGACGAAGATGTGCCTGAGGATTTGCACTACCTCGTTAACCCAGAGGACAGACAATTCCGCGTCGCTAACAGCGCCCGGTGTTTGGAAACAGTCAATCTCGCCCTAACCTTGCGAACGATCCTTGATTGTAGCTAGTAAGTGTTTCTCAGTACACATGCAATCCTATATCAACGACTAAATATGACGCATAATTATGTTGGACGAGACTAACCTCTTTCACAGCTTAGTCAAACCAACCATGGTTGAGCCACAGACACAATGTTGCCTGCAAACAGCCTACGATCGGTTGCAAGAATGGCCAAGCCTCGTTCCGCACTGCTTAACGGTGGGATCAGGTCGAGAAAATCCTCACAATGGTACGTACGTCGGCTGCGCAATGGCACAGCTATCCCATAATATAATTTGGACATTGTGAGTGCTAACAGATGGCCCCCTTCTTCAGGTCCCCTGAACCTATCATACTATGCCGTTCAAGTCCTGCTGTTCCGGGCGCTGATGTCTCCAGCAACACGGGAAGCAAAGGCAAATCCCGACTCAAACCTATCCAAATGGTTCAGCACTGCTCTGGAATCCTTCAAGTCGTTTGCATGCTTTATGGATGAGATCAGTGAAGAAGACTTGACAGGCTTCTGGGGGCGTCGTAAGTATCTTGACATCTATCCTATGAATGAAAGCTGACATTAACACGTCCTCACAAATAGACGCGCGGTCGCAGCTGATCCTCTGTGGAAACTTTCTGATCTATCTCTTCTTGCTAGCCTCGAAGCCACAAGACATAGAAGCTGCATACAGGCTACTTGAAAAGTTCCACCAGTCGCTTCAACGTCTAGGGGGGACGGAGGATTTGAGTGCCAGGCTTCTTCTTCGTCCCGTAATTCTGAGGATTGACTCCTTTTTCCTCCAAGCAACGGAATTGATAAAAAAGGGTCGGCAGGATATTGTGGCCGAATCCCCTTCAGTAGTATAGGATAGAAAGTATGAACTACTACTTCCAATAGTCTTCACGAATTCCATGCTCTAATCTTTCCATGCAGCGGAGAACTTCTTGCACGATTACCAAGTGTGAGATGTTATGGCAGATTTCTACAGCTATTTGAGCCATTTCTACGTAGTACTTAGCTAGCTAGAGGCGTGAATAATTCTGATCTGTCGCCTATTCAAGCTTCCATTATTAGCAGACTTTAAGTCGATGTAGAACTAGCCAAGGCTATTTTGAATCCAATCCTTCTCGTTGAAGTCCCTCAAAATCCAGATCATTGAACGTCATGTCGTAGCCCTGTATCTCGTCAAGATAAGTCCGCAGTGCTCGCTTTTCAGCTGCAACGGATTCCCAGCCCTTCTTCTGCTCTCTAATGTTCTCTACTGCTACAGTAATCACATCCATTTCTCCCGGAGGTGTGGCATTTGGCACAGCACGCTGTCCCAGGATCCCAGGGATCGACTTGAGCATGTGGGCAATCGTGTCCATGGTAGCGAACACATCAACTGTCTGCGAAACCAGTTCTGTATCCCACAAAGGACTCTCGAGAGTAGTGAGGGAAAACAGAGTTTCAACATTTGACGAGAGCTGCACAAAAGATGCGATTGGGAGAGTTGTCAAGGCCTGGGCACCAAGTGGCAGAAATGTGCGAAACCATCCACTGACTGCCAACAAGCTTCGATGAAAGTTTGAGATGATCTGCATTTGAACTTCAGGGGGTTGGTAGTCGCCCAAGGTGCCTACAGCTGCAGAAAAGATGGCCTGCTCCGTCGCAAGGATGGTCATAGCCACGACGGCTGTTTGTGTCTAATTAACGCTACCCCTAACGGATAAGGAAATTTCGGAAAAAGACGTACGGTTGCAAGCTGCGTCCATCTGAAACGCAGTTTTGACCTTTTGGAGACGTGACGATGCTTCCTGCTGGTACATTTGTCTGGCAGGGTTATGTTCAACTTCAGTTCCAGGCTGTCCAAGAAACGAGCCTGCCAACGGCAAATATTGAAGGATTAGGTGGCAGTGGACCTGCGCAGCCAGCAATCTATCGCCCGGGCACTCTGGCGTCTCAGCGAGTATGGCAAGTGACTCGTTCATTATGGAGGTCCATTTCAAAGCCTGGACACTACTCTCGTCCTGATTTCCACATTTGATACATTAGTTGAGTCTAAAAGAGGGGAAATGAAACTAGACTTACATGGATGCCAGAATGAACGCGGCAAGAAGTGCCCTTCGGAGCAGCATTGAGTCCAGCCTAGTCACATTGAGCTTCGTATCATATACGACTGTTAGAGTGAGCTGTATCCAGGCCGTCAACATTTCTGGCTTTCCGTTATGGTGGATCCTATGACTTTCATCAGCCTGCGTATTTTTAGCCACAAAGGCAAATAGAGCACTGTCACAAACCACCCTGTAAAACAGATGGATGCCAGCAGAAGGTCAATATCGGCACATCTCTGGATGATTATCTTCTTTGTGAGGATCCCGGAAAGAGTCTTGCCCAGGACTACCTTCTGCTGCAGGTCCGAGCTTGCAATGAAGACAATGCAGAGGCTAACCATGGGGTATTGGCAACGAAATTGTGCTGGGTCAACTCCCTGGGATATGTAGATAAATGGAAAGCCTTGTAAAATCGAGAGCTGAAAAACTATGAGGCTTTCTTCCCATGCCTTGTCGGAGAGGTGGACAATTTGGCCATCGTCACTGATGCTAGGGATAGGATTAATTGGGTGCTGTATACCGGGGTCATCTGGTATCCCGATTGAGCTGGGAGCATGAGAGATGGTTGTCGAGTTATCGATTTGAGAACACACGGAAGCAGCAGCGGTAGAAGGGGCGAGGTCTGGGCTCTCCCCAGATCCTGTTCTGCTGGTAGTACCAACCAAAGCCATCAACTCACTCAACTGCTTTTCAAGCTTGGCTGCCCTAGATCGCGACTCTTTCTGCACACGTCGCCTTCGGACTGGCACAGTTGGTCGGCATTCTTTATCCAAGCGGCGGCATCTATCAAAAAGTCGAAAGCACGACTTAGTCTCTTGGCATCACATTTAACGAATCAGGACACTTGAAACAGGAAACTCTACCTCAGGCAACTTCCACCTTCAGTTGGATATTCGCATCTGCATTTCATAGCGTAGCAGTTCGTACAAGCGCGCCCGTAGAAGGACATGGCGGTCATGTGTCCATTGCCGTCTTCGCCCTGGTCTGCACCATCACGGCTTTCCGGAGGGTCGGAATTCTGCGCGCCAAGGCCGGAAAACATTGTTCGCACCTGGATCGCACGTCGGAGTCTGTACCTGTCGGACGGTGTTGGACAAGTTTTCAAGTGGGAGCGTTATGATCAGGACGGAGTTAGACATAAGAGATATCCAGCCCCCTGGCCAACCGGACGGAGTTGAAGACTTGCGGGTCGTACTAATTGTGGCTTATGTCGCTCTCTGAGCCGTGCGCTGCTGACATGCCATCCTCGTGCCTCCTGTAGCTTGGTCAGTCAGCGTCGTTAAACAATTCTATTGGTGATGTTCTAAACTAGCCTTCCGGTGGTTCCTAAGCAAGGTAGATAGGCAGATTACAAGCAGAAACGCAATGTCCAGTGGTAATTTTAGATTATTCTGATGCCGTTCGGGTCAAAATAGATATAAATATAATTTCCATGCTCCTCAAGTTTTGTTTCAATAGGAATATACTTCTTTTTAACAGCTTCATCTATCTACTTTCCTTTAGACAATAGACATCACAACATCAAATCCAATAGCATCATGTCAAGCACCGACGACTGCTCGATCGAAAGCTGCGCAGTCGAGCTCTCTTTGTACGGCTATCGACCAAATTTAGGCACCAACGTCTTTCTCACAGCCATATACTCTTTAGTCATCAGCACGGCAGTTATCATCATCCTAAGACAACATCTGCATTATATTAGGAAGTATCTTGGAACTGGTGGATATGCAGAGCGCATCAAAGGATATTCGAACCCTTTCGCCCTAGATGGCTTCACAATCCAGTATGCCCTCCTGACGATCGCCCCTGCTTTCATAACCGCCGCGTAAGAACTTATGCCACATCTTCTCCTCCGCCAAATTCAGACTAAACTAGGAAATAGGATCTATATAAGTATTGGCAAGCTCGCACAAAAGATGGGGAGAGGTTGTCTCAACATAAGACCCAGTCTGTATCCTCGCATCTTTATACCTTGCGACGTTGTTATCTTGGCCGTGCAAGCAACTGGAGGTGCTCTGACTACTTCCCAGACTTCAACTCCTGAGGAGGCCGCCAATTACAAGGACGGGAAACCTCCCGGTGTCATCATCACCATCGTCGGTCTTGTTCTCCAAGTTGTCTCACTCACGGTCTTTCTTGTGTTATTCTCGGCCATTTTGCTCGGGCAAACTAAAAGTAGAAGATTGTCTGAGGCCAAGTCCGAGGAGCCTACGGCGTGGACAAACAGCACGCGCCTTTCAATGTTCATTTATTCACTAGCAATTTCTTGCATCCTCGTCTTGGTTAGGTCTGCATACCGAGTTGCAGAATTATCCAACGGGCTTGATAGCGGGCTTGCCCAGAACGAGCGACTATTTATTGGACTAGATGGAATACTGATTGCGCTTGCCACTGTCCTCCTCATAGCATTCCATCCTGTATATCTACTCAAGGTTTAGCTATATTTCAGTATATTAGCTACTAAGACCTCTAAATTAAAATAAGAATATAATTAATTATATTACTAATATTCAATTAGATAGATTTGAGTAATTAATCCTATCAAATGAGCTAATATTAATAGAATTTAGAGATAATTTTATTTTATTTTTCTAGGAAAATAAATAATTAAAATTATAAGATATTCTATTATTAATACCTGACGGTGACGAATAGTACGAGCAGTCAAATGGCATCTTCCCGTTGATGAGGTTGTTTTCAACCAGGAGAAATATGGGTGGGATTCGGTAGATGGCCAGCAGGTAACTCAAATATTCGGTGTGGGTGTGATCAAACTGCACAAACATTTTAGCCTTATTGGTTCCTTACTAGCCGTACTACGCTTTTGGGAACAGTCATACCAGGAGAATTGGGCCAAGGTCAATATCATAGTCGGCGATTTTCGGCCTGTATCCGAATTAGCACAGTCGTGTGAAGGATCAATGGTGGGGGATACTGACCCATTGATGACAATTGGCCCGAAGAGACCGTCGATATATTGCGCCGAGTAATGCGCGTGCCACCAGCTGGTGCCAAACTCCAAGGCTCGGAAACGGTAGACGAAGGTCTCGCCTGGTGCAATGGGGCACTGTGTGATTGAGGGCGTACCATCATACCAGGGGGTTTCTCTCTGGGATATTCCGTGCCAGTGAATCGAGGTTGGCTCATGGGGGTTTTGGATCGCGTTGTGCACCGTAACTTCAATAGTGTCACCCCAGTCGGCCTCGATCTTTGGGCCTGGGAACTGGTCAGTCACTAGAAGCATGTGCTTGGAGACTCCATCAGGGGATCTGATGCCTCTAGCCACCGTGAAATTGTAGCTTCGCACAACACCAGTATCGGGAATAGGCCCGGGAGAATCTCCGTTGCATTTGGCTAAAACGATTGGGAATGTTAAGGCCAAGTCCAATTGTGTTAAGGGTAGCGTACTGTCAATCGATCATACCTACTGTAGCTGTGAAGACCAAGACTAATAGAAGCTTGAGTACATGAATTAGCATGCTTGAACCCATCATGACCGTCTGTTGAAGAACAGTAGGAACTCGATAGAAATGCGGATTTCCTCCCTTATTACGTGTTCGACACAATGATACAGATTGATTTATTGATTCTACGAAGTTCATGGGTCATTGACTCGTACTTTTATATCTGAAAATGGCGTGTCGGTAAAGCTAACTAGACCGCCTGGCGAGCTGATGTCAATGATTTCGTTTACCATAGTCACCTTATTTCGGGCTCCTCGGTCCAAGCTCTTGGGAGCTTGGATCCATGATAGATTATCAAAGACTGGTATGTTGGCTTGCAATTTACATGTAAGCTGCAGAGAATCCATCAATGCTACACAGCCTCATGCCACGACAATCACCCCCCGGGGTGGTGCTGCTTCCGGCCAAGGTCCCTCTTGAGCACACACCCAACATAGTCATGATTCCACTTGTTTCTTGTAGGTAGATTGGGTTGGCGAAATTATCTCGCCGCAGAAGGAATGTCTCGCCGCAATATCGGATTTCAACACATTTGATCACATGGCATCGCTTTGGGGCCTCCGCTGCGTGCCACCCTACGTGCATCTTGTTGGTCCAAGCCCTGCAAGCGGCCGCCAACGAAGCATTGCAGAAGGACATTGGAGCGGGTATGCATAAGAAACAGGTAAGCAGAACAAAGCAACCAACAGCAGGCAGACATTAGGCAACAACCTCGCGATCTCTTTGTATGTTGGTTGTTTGCTCTTCTGGCCAGGCTCTCCATTCATTTAGCTGACCTTACCGCCTTCGCTCCAGTCCAACTGATTTCTTCTTTACCCATACACACAGATTACCATCCCACTTTATCAATATCGTTTCTCCAAAAATGGATGCTGCCACCCTTGTCGACCAGCTTGAGGCTGTCCTTGCAAAGCCAGAGACCCTCTCTGGCCTTGACAATGATGTGACAAAGCGAAGACTTTCTGAGGCTGCTTTCCGCCTCAACCTGGCTCTTGAGGCCGGTGGTGATACAATCCACAGACTTACCAATGCAGTATGAAAGCAAAACCACATACAACCTAAGCGGCGACACTCAGGCTGCCCCCTCCCCCCCTTATGGTTTCTTTTATACTGACAATCGGTTCTCCAGCCCCTCGAGCTGGCTCTCTCTCGCGTTGGTGTCCAAACCGGACTGTGGACTGCCCTCACCAAGGAGAATGCCCTTCTGCCATTAACCAATTCTCAACTTGCGAAAGAGACCAAGATTGATCCTGTTCTTCTCAGTAAGCCCAAATTAATCTGTCATGTCTGTAGTGTTTTCTCTCGCTGACTATGATCCCAGAGCGTCTGCTTCGTTACTACCAGTCAAAGGGCATGGTCGCTCAGACTGGTGAGGATGCCTTTGCCCCCAGCAACATCACAAAGGCTTTGGCTAGCGTCGGCGGCTCTTCTGGTATCAACTACTTGTAGGTGCATAGACTGGGGGAAAAAATCCGGCACATGACTAACTTGCTGCTAGTGCCGAGATGATCTATCCCGCACTCATGGGAATCCCCGAGTACCTGCGTAAGACCGAGCATGCCAACCCAAGCAACCCAGATTTCTGCCCCTGGCATGTCGGCCACAAGACGGAAGAGTCCCCCTTTTCTTGGCTCAACACCCACCCCGAGTGTATGGGGTACTTCCTCCCCTGGATGGCTGGTCAGAGAGAGGGAAACCCTGAGTTCCTCGACTCCTTTGACTTCGAGAAGGAGGTCGGCACTGGAAGCGACAGCTCTGCGCCCGTCTTTGTTGATGTTGGCGGTGCCATCGGCCACCAGTGCATTTTGTTCAAGTCCCGATACCCTCAGTACAGCGGACGAATTGTCCTACAAGAACAGGCTCATGTTATCGAGCAGGTCAAGGCCGCACCGCCCCCTGGCATGGACGGCGTTGACGCCCAGACTTATGACTTCTGGGGACCACAACAGCTGAAAGGTAAGTCATCTTATTCTGAAACTTGCCCGAATTGAAGAATGATGAAGCTAACGATTGTGCCAGGGGCCCGGGCTTATTACCTGCGCAATGTTCTGCATGACTTCCCCCCTCACAAGGCCAAGGAGATCCTCATAAACATCAAGGCTGGCATGACAGAGCAGTCCGTAATTCTCATTGACGAGATGGTACTTCCCGAGATTGGTACACCATGGCGTGCGGCTTCGCTCGACATGGACATGCTTGCGTGTCTTGCTGGTGTTGAGCGCTCCGCCAAGGAATGGGGCGAGATTTTCGAAGCTGTTGGGCTGGAGCTGGTCAAGACTGTTCAGTACACCGTTCAGTGCAATGACTGCATTATGGTTCTGAAGCAGAAGTAAATCTAGACTATGATAAACTAGGTAAATTCAGATGATAATTACAACAATGAAACGTGGAAGCCCAGTACATGTGGAAATCTATTCTTGAGAGGTGCTTTCCAACGGCCATTCACGACCTCCGCATTACAATAGAAACTTCCTAATCATCACCCCCCTCTATTAATTACCAATATCTATCGTATTCAAATACTAGACCAATAAAGAGACTACCAAGCTTCATCAGTGTGCAGACCTTTGACAACTACAGATTACGGAAACCGACGATAGCCTCATAGTGGAGGAACGCCGGGGAAATGGTTACACTAATGCCGAGTCCTGACAGACTTAACAAAGTTTGCTACGACTCAGTTGATGAAAATTACACGCGACGAACACTCTTCCTTCTTTCTACAACCGATTCCCTGGCAGACATCATCGGCCCTCATACAAAGTTCATCACCGAGTCCGGAACCGAGCCCATCCGCAACACAGATTTTCCTGCTGGGGCTTCGAAAAAGCGCGAGATACTGGCCCAACTGTATGCCGAGGCATTTGGAACGGCCCCAATCACTCCAGAGAGGATCACATTTTGCCGCCTCCTGAACGGTCTGGGTTCCCATGATATCTCTTTGATGAGGGATTGCATCGGTGTGCCCAAGTCTATTGGCGGTGTATCAGTCGGGGACAAATTCTACTCTGCTATTCTCAATTACGAAAACAAAGACGGAAAATTCCCCGTGACATTCGAGATGGGATTCGATTCAGTCCCGAACTTTGACGCGCACTTCACCGTATATGGAGACACCAAGAGAGTTACGATCAAGTACGATTCGCCGTACATTAGAGGCCTACCAACGGTTGTCGAGGTCGAGGAGGTGACCGAGACAGGAGAGGTTCAGTCTCGGCAAATAATTTCCTCAGAGGATGCATACGCTTCGGAACTCTAGGAGATGTACGTGTGCTTTGCGAATGGAAAGCCAATCAAGACGACTGTCGAAGACGTGTCACAGGACCTACAGACTTTCAACATGATGTATGAAAAGTATGGGGATTGTAAGTAGTTAACAGCCCAATAACACTACTGAATTAGTGTGGCCGGGATGATGTCAACATATGAAATCCTATAGAACCAAGTCAACAAACGACTCATCAGAATCTGTATAAATGGGATCGGAGTAAGGAACTTGGGTGCGGTCTTGTTCTGTTGTGACATCTGTCGTTTATGCATGGCTGCTTAGTATTAGTATGAGAAAGCCAGAGCACTACTACGCAAAGCCTAAGGTGAAGAATTATCCCAATTATCGAACTCGAAACGTTCCTTTCCTCGTCACGGGCCTCGGATGTAGTATACTCGCAATCTAATCTTCGTTAGCATGTGTTATGTGTTGAGCGAGCGAGTCACTTGATATTTTCCCCCGCGGAATCGATAACACCATTGGCATCAAAACCCTTATTTCCCAAAAGACTTCAAAGCATGTGACCGTAGAAGACGACTGCTCCTGAAGAGAAAAGGTGCAAAGTGGACGACGGGGTTGCCGGCTTCTATGTTGTCCAAGTGTCGCCGCAATGTGAAGGATACACAATGCATCCCATTTTATAAAGCTAGCATGAGTCAATTTCGTGATAAGAAATCTAGGATTACTCAATTGATGAACTAGGAAGAGCATTCATTGCAACCATTATCGAACCGCGACAAAACGCGATACGGAGGAAAGCACTCCGAGCATAGTAGCATTTAGCATAGACGGGAAAAGAAATTCCATGACTAGGAAAAAAAAACATCAACATATAGACTCCACGTGATAAATACCAATGAGTATATATTTGTGATTATAGAGTTGTTAAATCATTTACTAACAGCTCAAGTAATCCCGCAGATAACGTTAACAGCTTGCCAACGACGTAGTACGAAGCATGATGAAAGCCAGTCTCTTCCCACTTCTGTTTCTCTCCCTCTCTAATTCTATAGCCGCGCAGTCGCAAACTACAACATCCGTTAAATGGCAGGCATCTGGTGGAGTCAGTTGCCCGCATCCTTCAGTCAACACCAATTGGCCTACCCCAGCAAGCAGCACGGCGTTTCCTACGGCATCCGTCATTCCCGCTAACTCCGTATTTGATGGGAATATGGTTATGTACGACCGTCGCGGCAGCGCTGGGGACTGCCAAAATCAAAAAGAGCAAGACGAGGCTGCTGCCGTCTTTATTCTTGAGCCTGGTGCCACGCTGAAGAATGTCATCATCGGCCCTGCCCAAGCTGAGGGTATCCATTGTCGTGGGCCTTGCACTTTAGAGAATGTGTGGTGGGATGACGTCTGTGAGGATGCCGCAACCTTTTGGGGGGAAGGTCCACGTTATGTCCGCGGGGGTGGCGCCAGGAATGCTAGTGATAAGATGTTTCAACATAATGGTATATAATGATGAATCTAGATGACGAAATACGCCGCCAAGAACACGCTGACTATTCGATAGGGGAGGGCTGGCTGTACATTGACGGCTTCTATGCCAACAAGTACGGGAAGTTCTATCGCTCCTGCGGAAACTGTAGCAAGCAGTACCAGCGTCACGTCGACATCAAGAACTTTGTTGGTATACAGGGTGTTGTTTGTAAGCTCATCTTCAAAGACCAATGTCGTCAATGTTTATAACAGCTGGGGTTAAAAACTAACACAAGAGATCTTTAGTGGGGGTGAATCAAAACTACGGAGATACAGCGACATTATCAAACTATTGTCTTGCCAAGATCGGTGTTATTTGTACAAGGTATAACGGATGCGAAAAGCCCTGTGAAGCTGATGAAGTTGGAGAGGGAGCACTTCCCCCGTTTTGTACTATTAACGGCGACGATTGGACTTGAAGATAGTATAATTCTGATTCAAGTGTTATCTACTACCTTCTTTTACCCCCGGAGACCTGTGAGCCCGACTCATGAATGCAAGATGCAAACTGGCTACGCAGGGAAGAAGTTCTTTATAGCTCCCAGTGTATAACTGCAGGACCAGTGCGGGATTAAGATCTAAAGTTCGACTAATTATCAATCTAGGGATAATTGAACTTTATTTTCCAGGGAAATAAATGATAGAAATTATAAGATACTCTGTACCCTTGCAGGTAGTCGGTAGTATTACCTTGATATTCCTTACCCGACTTGCAACGGCTTAATATTATTCCTCCAACGACCTTTCACATCTCATCCCCACTTGCTACGATCCGGGGCATTGGACTTGATCCACCTCATCTGGTCCTCCAACCAGTGAATGCGCTAAATGTACTTCTACACTTGCTCTGATAATCGGTGGTGTTGCCAGAGGCTTCTTCTCAATTAGGAACAAGATGTATTGGACCATAATATGGCACGGTCATATTTCTCAACATCTTTACTGTGTCATCTGTCCCTAGGTCGCCTTGGACCCTCAATACGATGCATAGAACTCTGTAAGGATAGAGGACAATCCATATCAGTGCCGTAATAACCGACGAGATGATGGCGGGGGAGTCCAGGGCTTCGGGACTGGGGTCGCATCATAGCCTAAATCCGAGCCTAGTATGCTCTACTCGTCAAACTACGTAGGCTCTCGAAACTTCCTGGGAAATTTGGCCGATTGGGACGTCTAATGGACTCTTCTCATATATATGCCGTGAAAATGGCCATCGATATCCTTCATGGGTATTCAGCCAAGACTTCCAGTCCCAGAAAACTAAATTACCATGCCTTCTATTCTCGGATGGAGCATTCAGCTCACCTCTGTCGCGTCTCTGGTACTCGCAGCTGAGAAGAGACCCTCGGCTACCTACAAGGACTGCCAAAAGAAAACAGACAACCCGCTGGATGGTTGCCCTGAGGGCACCATCTATGTGAGCAACGAGGATGCAACAGCACACTTTCCCACCATCCAAGATGCCGTTCATTCGCTCCCGAACGATACGACCCCATATGTCATCCTCATCGGCGCTGGTATCTACACAGAGCAGATCAATGTCACTCGTTCCGGTCCTGTCACTCTTCTGGGTCAGTCTGACCGCCCTTGGAACGGCGAAGTGTACTCCAATGTAACATACAATGAAAACCCCCAAAACGAGGTCCAGGTATACTGGAACGCAGCCAACTCGGCCACGTACCCCGACAATTTGTACACCAGTGTCCTGGCGGTCGGTCCAACATACAACGCTACGCAAACCGGCGCTGGCCCAACTGGCTATCCCGTTCCAGCAGATACTCCATTCGGGTGCTCCGACTTCAGGGCTTACAACATTGACTTCCGGAATGAGTTTGCCCCTCGTGCTGCCGGGCCTGCCCATGCTGTCGCAGTTGGGTATGCAAACACCGGCTTCTATTCTTGTGGTTTCTACAGCTACCAAGACACCGTGAGTGAGACGTCTTCTGCAGGGTCCCTTTTTGGCCTATCTCTAACAATAATAGGTCTATATCGGAAAGAAGGGCAACTCGGTCATGTATGACTCCGTTATCGCGGGCCAAACTGATTTCCTCTACGGCTTTGGCACTCTCTTTGTAGACAAGTCCACTCTACTGCTACGCAGCTGCGGCGGGGGCATCACGGCTTGGAAAGGGACCAACACCACGTTCCCGAACAAGTACGGCGTGTACATCGCAGACACCAACATCATTGCCACGAACACGACTGTGCTGCAGAACTACAAGGGGAAATGCTCCCTGGGCCGTCCCTGGAACTCGCTGCATCGGTCTCTCATGATGAACAGTTACCTGGACGAGGCAGCCCTTCCTGCAGGGTACACGACGTGGAATGGAGGCAACTTCGACAAGAACACGACCATGGCACTGTACAATATGAGGGGCCCTGGAAATAACGAGCAGGCTCAACGCGATGGGAATGTCACGCTGGTGTGGGACAGGGAACAGGCGCTGCCGTACGCGAGGCCGTTGAGTGTCTTCATGACGGCTGAAGGGGAGCAGCCGAATGTGGACTGGATTGACCCTGTGGTCCATGTGGGATGCAAAAAATCACAGTCGTAGATAGATATCAATCTGGTATATCATAAGTAGCACCATGCTTTATTTTACCAACTGTGAAGAAGACGGGATACGGTCAAAACCATGCCGAGATGACCTGGAGCGCTGGGCCGACGCGCTGAGGCCCTGTAACTCCAGTAATTATAGGGGGCACAGGTCCATCATGATTCGTACCTCAATCTCTTGGGGGGAGTATGAATCACGTGGTGATTAACGGTCTAATTCCAAAAGAATTTCAAAGAGAAAAGAGAGAACTCGCAGATCGCAATTCCAGCCACGGTTGGCTGCGTCCATCTTGGCCTGAGCTGCTCCGTTGGGAGATGGAGGCTCCGGGAAGCGTGGCAAATTCAGGAGCCTCGGCACTTGGTCAGGCATCTGTGCACGCCAAGCAACGTGTCATCCCATCTCAGGCGTTGCGATTCAACATGAAACAATGACATGACAGCCGCTGGTAGATCGCTTGACTTTTGTTGCGTCATTGGCTGTACAGCCCTGTGTTGTGTGCATGATTGAGCACTGCCCTGCGTTGACGCGACTGGTGAGATTTGATATGGACCTACCCTGTACCGCATCACCACAATAACAGATCGCCACACGTAAAGGAAGAGGTTGACGAATGTTCTTTCCGTAGCTGGGAGTGGCTAGATTAAACAATGAAATATCAATTTATCTTATTGAACTATAATAAGTATCGTTATAAAAGTTGTGGTTGATGGGATGGATAGCACTCGCATGTTGTGTCTCTCTCTAAGATTGGGACATGAATAACGGCTGAGTTCTTGTGTCAGTTCTTGACTCTCACATCCCAATATAATAAGCATCCTTTTTGTCTGAAATTTCACAGACAATGTATTTTTCAATATAGCCTCAAAGGCACTAAATACGGGCCGCCGGGAGGAATCTGAAAGGTTTGACAAGCATTGTATCATTTCGTCTTTCGGTGTGAGGCTGGCATAGGACATGGAATAAACAAAAATGGCCGGCATCGGATCTCCCGGTTGAACCATGGATGCTTGCCCTAATAATAGCACAACCTCCAGCGTTCAATCTGCACGGGCCTCCTCGCAACAAGCTGACTGTGGGCTTCTTGCGATGGGCATCATTGCAGGCAATTCTCTAGCGATGCGCGCTGCATGTGGCAGATAGAGCTTGCGGCACAATTGAGGCAGGCATACGGGCGGGCAGGCAATGTAAGTCTCCAGCCGAAAGAGGTGAAGTTTCAGACAAGTTTTCAACAACTACATATTTCTTGGGACGGGCGGAAAGCAACAGGGGTGGGAGTGTTGTAGGAGAATCTCGCCATTCTTCGCGCGCGGTGTGAGAATGGAACCGTGTTACGAGGGTACATGTTTCATCAATTGATAGCATAGATATCACGGTTGTGCATGAGAACCGATTTTTTGCCTCTGGAAGAACGAATAGAACAGCGCCGTGTTTTATGATCTCCTGGTTCATGCACAATAAACATCGCTCGGCTACGGAGCTTGAAGTGCACTGACGATTTGGTGATCATTGGGCCCAGGGCTGGGGTTCGCGTCAGCACGCACCTTGAGCAAACAAGCCGCATCAAATTCATGCCTGATGCTTTGGATTGATGAATCAGATTTGCCAATGAGTCAGTCGGTCTGGAGGACACAAACGAGATGTAGGCCAGGGAGTCCAAAGGCTGAGCTCATGTTAGCGCACGGCATGTCGATTTCCTTTGCTCGTACAGGGCAAGGCCGGGAGAGCGTGAATTAATTAATGCTTGCCACTGCTGACAAGGTTTGCAGGGAGACTGGCGCTGACCCAGCCCACGACGGAGGATGCTGATGACCAGATTAATTACTGCACCGCCAGCATGAGTCTTGTGGGCCGCCACAGGGATTCCTCCGTCTGGAGAAGGGAACACCACATGCGTTGCTGGGGCTTCCAGAAGGCGAACTGGGAGGCTCTGAAACAGGTTTGGGATCTGGCCCTCTGATTTGTCCATGTCTCTGGCTTGATCGGCCCCCGTGAGAGGCGGATGTCGAGGGCGTTGATCCGGTCCGAGCCCCATTCTGCTGCAACTTGGCAGCGTGCTGATATATCTAAGCTCGCCCGCCCTCCCTCTCTGAGGCGGTACTTGGCATACCAATATTCTGTGAATAATTGAGTGTCCGGTGAGAGCGCAAAGATGCAGGCCATCTTGTCTACCGTCTCGACTGCCATCATCCCGTCGACTCCTGCAGAGCCTCCTGCAGCCCCCGGGTGGGGTTATGAGTGCTATCCAGGGACGCTGTGCGTCTTCCCTCGCTGCAGGTTGTGTTGCTACAAGTTCGAGGAGGGTGATGATGCTATCATAGGTATGCCTCCAAAGTTCCAGTCCCTCCCCCCTTGGAGGAACTCCCTACTGATTGAACCCCCAGTCACATCGGATTATCGACTGTCGGCCCCCTTCCAGTACTGGTTCGATGAGCGACACTTCGACGAGGAGCTGAACAGGCCCATCTGGTGCTGCTCAGCAGCATTCGGATGGATCCGCGCCGACGAACGAGCCATCGCCTGCCACAAGAAATGCACCGACATGTTCAGCCACCTGCAGCCATCGGTCGCCTTCGAGGCATTTATTCGACAGCAGGACACCCTGGCCAGCATGGTCGACGCGGGCGACGAGAACTTTTCCGGTCTGACGGTAGACGACGCGTCTTTCAAGAACAACCTCCACCGACTCCATGAGTCGACGGTGCGGGCCACCATCGACGAGACCTCCCCGGCGGAGAACCCAGCGGCTAGACCGGCGGGCGAGATTGCAGAACCAGAGAGGATGAAGAGACCAGAGGGCCGGTTGCTGACGTCCAGCATCTACTGGTACGAGCCCCCCGGCGAGGCTGAGGACACGCGACGACTCGAGCGCACAAAGAGGCTTCTCGCGCCCGCGCTGAAAAAGGCCATGGACGCGAAGGATCGCCTTCCGCTCGACATCTGGACAAGGATCGCTGGAGATCTCGTGCACGAATACGCCATCTGCAGTCTGCTCAATCTCGAATACACGGGCAACTCGCAAGTGAGCCTCGCCGATAATATCTACGCGACCTACGTCACCATCGACGGCCGCAGATACGTCTCGCGCCTCACAAACTCGCCTGGAGCGAACAACAAACTCGTAATTAATGTCAAGCACAGGTCGCCTCACGACGGACTGTACATAATGGAGGACCACCTCGGAATACGCAAAGTCCACATCTCCCAGAACCCGCCCAAGTACGACGATCCAAGGGACCGCACTACCTGGTGGCGTGTTTATCCCATCGGCACGTACGATGGGATGCTCGAGTTCAGCTCGGATGTGAGTCCTCTTCGCTTTATTTTTCTTCCCTTTTTGCATATACTGACAGCTCGCAGGGTATCAAACTCCAGAAGGCTCTCTGCGACAATCTGTTCAAGAACTGCTCATGGTCCGAACCTCTTTCGCCAATGGAGCTCGCTGACATGTCCTTCCTTTACGTGGACTGGGAGATGCCTGTCTCGAGATTGCTGCCAGTCACCCTCAACGAAGACGACTGCACAGGATACTCCATCTGCTGGACGTGGTCAGCGACACAGAGGAAGAAGGGCGCCGTGCTTCAGATCCACGCCCACAGACCTGGTGAGAGCCTCGACTTCTACAATGACACTGTCCACGACGACGAGAAGTTGTTCTGGACCTACGTCCCTCTGAACAATGGAGAGCGCGTTAACGAACTGTGGAGGAACCGGGGCCGTGGTTATTTTGACATTACCTTTGCGGTAAGATATCTCATCTCCCAATGCGTCCTTCATGACAGTCTACTAACTTGACTTGATAGTTCCGGACCTCGCTGGGACGAACTTTGTTCGTCGGACCATACAGTGACGACTCCGATTTTCATCGCAACGGTTGGAGTTGTGTTGTCAAACCCTCCCGGACAGAACCTGACCGCATCTGGGTCGATTATCTCACCGCCGACGGCGATACCGTCACTCGTATCGTTGGGCCCAGGCGCAAGCAAGAACCGGATGGACTGCCACCCGTCCACGCTACTTTCGCCCCAGCCCCCTCTTTCCAGTCTGTCCACTCCGGACCAGACACTCTATTCTACTCTGCCGCTTCTCTTGATGAGGTGAAGGAGATTGTCCCTTGCAGGATGAACAACAGCCCCATTTCCCGAATTACCGGCTTGCTCTTCCGCTACCAGAATGGCTTTGAGGCCACGGTCGGTAGCTTCCGCCTTGACTGCGCCGGTGAGCCCATCAACACCACCGAGTCCTGGGGCCTCTTCCTGGGCATCAGCAAGGTGAATGGTGTCCGCTACGTCGGCGAAGTCTCTGTCCTCCCTGCCGAGGACCAAGACGGCCTCTGGTGGGAGGTCTACCCATGGCGCGGAAGCATCGTGTGGTGGTTCAACAGGATGGAGTCCGCCATCCACCACAGCGATGAAGACATCATCATCAAGCCAAACCCTGAGATTGGCGAGGCCTACAAGCTGGAGATTGAGAACCTCGGCCACGGCAGATCGTACTCTGCCCAGAGGAACTCGATGAGAAACTCTATGAGAAACTCGATGAGGAGCTCGATGAGGAACTCCATCCCAGTTGAGGCGCTGAAACCAGTGCAGGAGATTGTCATACCAATCCAGGCCGACACCATTCTTGAAGATGACCAAATCTCCGAATATACCAGCGAGATTGGCGATGACTGCCCAGAGTTCGACCTGCGGTCTTCTGACGACGATTCCTCAGAGTACAACTCCGACCTCTGCAGCGACGCCGGCTCCGACGCCGGCGCAGAGCATTACAACTTCCCGGTGACCGAGGAGCTTGTCAAGGGGGATACCGATGTTGCCAAGGAGTACCAGCTTGGCGACTTCGACTGGCTCAGCCAGGATAATCGACTCACCCTTTCATGAGATAGCATTTTTATTGGAGTTCAAGCGATGTAGCATTTTAGGACATAAGATACCATCTGCCTTTTTTCCTTTCTTTTGTTCTTCACTTCTACTAGACCTATTATTTAGATATTATTACATGAATTCTACGATTTGGAACCGTGTTTCTCCTTACCCCAAGTATCCAAATGTCACATCGTATTCAAACCCAAATTATCTAGCCCAAGTATTGGATCATATCACCTTGCCAATAGTGTCTTGTAGTGCATGCAAACGGTGAGTGTGACTGGCCACACCCTCCGTCAATGACAGTCTGGTGTGATATCCCCTGCAAGCATTGATGCCCCCCTGCTACGCGATACGACCGACACGACGACGACCTAAGATTGGTGCAAGCGAAATGCGTTCCATATCAGCATCACCCGACGGAGCATCATACCTCAATATCACGGTGCTGTTCCATCCCGCAATGTGTATATAAATGTTCTCGACCAGACGGTCGATTTTCTATTCTTCATTGGATTATCATATTACCCATGAGCTCTCTATAAAACTTTCTTTCGCTTTATTATCATGACCTCCCATAAGCCCTCTACCCTTGCTCTTTCTGATGGCCGCACCTTGTCATACGCCACGTACGGCTCGTCACTTACAAGCTCAACGCACATCCCCATCTTCTACTTCCACGGCTTCCCTTCCTCTAGGATCGAGGGCGCACTTTGGGACGACACGGCCAAGACTCTGGATGTGCCGCTGATCGCAATAGACCGTCCAGGAATGGGCCATTCCACCCTCCAACAGAACCGCAAACTTCTCAACTGGCCCGATGACGTGCTGGCCCTGGCAGACCACCTCGAAGTCAAGGAATTTGGCGTCTTGGGCGTATCCGGCGGCGGGCCCTATGCCCTGGCATGCTTGAGCGCCATTCCAGAGGAGAGGCTCAAGATCGGAGCGACAGTGTGCGGCGTGTACCCATTGAACCTCGGCGCTCAGGGTATACTGTTTCTGAGCAGGGCGCTATTCTGGGGAGGGAAGTGGCTCCCACGCGTGACGGCGGCCGTCGTGGACCATCAGGTTGGCCAGAGGGCGAGAGACCTGGACCATCCGGAACGGTTTGCGGCCAAGATCAAGCAGCAAATGGTTGCTTCGGGGCCAAAGGTGGACAGAGATCTGTTGGCCGCGAAATTGGAGGATCCCGCTTGGGCTGATACGCTTGTCGAAGCGTTGCGGCAGAGTCAGAGGGAGTCGGGATGGGGAACCTCGATCGACGCTGGTATTCTCGGCAGTGATTGGGGATTCCCTCTGACCCAGGTGGATGGCAAAAGACTTATGATGTGGCATGGCGTGCTTGATGAAAATTCTCCTGTAAGGATGGCCGACCAAGCAGCAGAGTTGATGCATCCAGCCGCTTATCACCGACTGGAAGAAGAAGGCCATGCGAGTCTGGGCTATGGGCGAATGGCAGACGTACTAAGTTCGCTCCTTGTTAAGTCGAAGTAGGCAAGGAGCTACTGTGATTGTACCTTGGAAGAATGAAACCATAATGGTAGTGTGTGCATGGATTTCACCCCCAATTAGTATCTTATAATCAGGGCTAATATGCACGCAATGTGTCAGAGAAGCTTACGAACAGCCGACGACCTTCGCCTCCTCTAAGCGGTAGAAAGGCTGGGCTCAACGCTGGCAATAGGAAAGGAGGGCGCAAATAAATCACTTATTCAGTAGGTCTCCGTTTCTAATAATACAGAGAGAGCTTCAAGCATCTAATCGTTAATGGGCGAGGAGAGTTTGGTAAATTTAGGATGGGGTTAATTAATGGTGGACATATTGTACTTTTCCCTGTGTTCTGTCTAGTGGTTATTTAGGGGTTTCTTCCATCCTTCTGTAAAGATTCCTAGGTATATCACAAGAGTCTCAAAAGACACATCAAATACTATGATGCATTTCAGAGAAAATAGTGGCAGTGATAGCTATACGTCGCCGAAAGACAACTCTATGTTATGGGCTTTACCATATAGTGGTCAAATATGCTCCTAGTTCCCAAGTCTCAGAATATCTGTGTACTTGAGTAGAAGACCTCCAGTTCCTCAATAGCGCTCACAGTCGCTTCCCAGATATATGTATACCTCTCTCATGGTCGTCTAGCTCAGCCGTGGCCAAGCACTGGCTCGATTATCTTTCCCGAGGATTCATGAACAATGTTGTTATTAAAGGAGATTATAAAAGGGAAGGAGAATGATTAGCCTAGTATCCTTCTGCAAGACGGAATAGCATGTTCGGGAGATCCTTAGGTGGAGTTGCCTGAGAGCTCTAGCAACTACAAACTCAACCTCAGTCCATCGAAACCTTGCGGGGTTGGAAATCAGCAGTGTGCGAAGTCTTTGGGTAATCGAAGTATATTGAATCTATATGGTAACCACCAGGGCTTTTCTGAATCTTGTGTTCTCAGTATGTTGATTACTCTAGCTCTCTATGGCAAGCCGGGAAAACGGCACCGCCCTCGTCGCCACGCCACTCTGGCACTGGCCACATATCACCCCTTGCCCCTTCACACATGCAAAGCCAACCTGCTCTAGGTAGTGGCGAAGGACTCATTTACATGTCGCAAGTGCATTTAGCTCCATCTCGCTTCTTCTTGCAATCAGTAGTACTACAAACGCGAAATCCCTTATTGAACGCCTCCTTGCACTGTTTCTCCCAGCAAACACCTTGGTGGGCCTAAGAGTCCTGAAGTTAGCAAAAGCATCATGGAAGTTACACTGAAGTTGCTTGACTTGCCTTGTACTTCGGCTTAGAGGGAACGCTGCCACGCTTCTCCATGATGTAGTTGTCGCGAGCCTCGATGTATTCGGCGCGGGCTTGGAGGAACTCAGCCTCGCGAGCGGCGAGCTCCACCGACTCATCGGCCTCGTAGAAGGAGGCCGAGGCAAAGGAGCCAAGGGCAAATAGAGAAACAAGGGTCTTGGTGAAATGCATTTTGACAATGGTATGGTAACTTGAAAAGTGTAGTAGTCGGAAGGTAGGGTTTGGGAGAGAGTCAAGATGGTTGAATTAGAATAGACTGGTGAGAGAGAAGATGCAATTGCCCTGCCGTTGACAGCTTTCTTATATAATTGAATGATCCTGTCACATTTGCTTAGCAGTTCTAATTTAAAACCTATCGCTTCTTGGGTTTCCAGGTCAAAGCTGCCGGGCAAATCCACACTGCTTATGGACGCAGGGTTCTTTGGAGGATCGCCATGACTTGAGAGCAGTCCAGCCGCTTTACGCTAGCCTGTGGCACTTACCGGACGGACATGATGGCTTCATTTCAAGGGAGCCCCGAGGAGCAAACTCCCTACCAGATTACTATTTCAGGCGAAACCATGTTTGCAGGATTGGCTGACCGACAAGTTGCACGGGCTAGCAGGATATTTTGCTGACTTAGCGATTTTGCCAACTACAAAATTGCCCGATGGGGGAGGATTCTGCGCCTCCGCCTGTAGTGCTTACGGAAGAGAGTGACAAACTGTCGCAGAAAGAAATTATTTAGGGGCCCTGTCGTCGGTGGCATATACGTGGGAGTTTTCCGGGTGGGGTGAGTAAATACGACCCGGCTGATCTTGGATTGCATAGACATGAAGGTGACGCTTCATAGCAGTGCGGAAAGGGTCTTGTTATGCATCCACGGACTGGCTCGACAAGAAGGTGCCTGGATGAAGGAATATTCGTCCTGATTGCACATCTCTTACCCCGGCGCGCGTGTACAGAGGGATTGACTCGCGGGTTCGTGGTATCCCGTTTCCCCACGAGTAATTGTCAGGCTTGGCTCTCAGCTCATGGATATCGAACGGGGATATCCGTTTGATCAACTGAGGTTGAAGTAATAAAGTAAGAGCCGTGACTGAACCGGGAAGGTCGGCAATAATGATGCTTATTTGCCGGTGTGGTAATAAGCGGCAGTATCTACCGGTCCAGGGTTAGTTGAACCAGGATCAACGCAAAATCATGACACACTGGGGGGACAAAACCCGGTTCGTTAATGCTAGACTACTTACTGCGACGCGGCCGTACCACTGCCTTTTGATCCCACAGGGATCCTGTTTTGAATGGCCGTTCATAAATCAAGGTAATTATAGTATTTGTTTTTTCATATGGATCGAAGAAATTCCAGCCTGCTTATTCTTCCCCTTTCCCGCATTATTTGCGAGCTAGTGCGCGTGGCACTGGCAAGAGGAAACTCGGTCAACGCCATCTCTCGGCTTATTCGGTCACATTTCATACCCGAAGCGCAACAAGAGATAAAGTTGAAAAGGGGCCTTTCGGAGCCTCCCAAGAAACAGCCCCTGCTGAACTCATCGATTGGCTCTAGGGTGTCCATAACACCCCGGAGCCAATCTTTAGCAAATCGGACGATGATGGTTTGACGGGGGGTTTATTTTTGGGGGACTGGAAGGTCCCTGTTTAAATTAGCCACGCGAGAAAAGGAGCAACAACGCGGATGTTGTTGTTAATCTCGGCGCCATATGATCTACAGCCTGCGGGATCATCAAGTTTCCCCCAAAATTGCAAACGGCTGGATATTGGACCCGAGGGCATGGTCCTGGGATAAAGTACAGCTGCGTCATACTCCCCCAATCCTTCAGTCATCCGTCTCTTTCCAATATACCAACTTGAATGCTTCTATTTCTGTCATGGGCTTTGTCCAAATACAGAAGGTATTCGCGTGTTCACCTTTTCAGATTACTTCCCTTTAGTAGGTACATACGAGCCACAATTATCCCCCCGCTAGCTACAATGGAGCACAAATCTAGGTATGAAGAAGCGCTTGTTGTCTGAATAGATGGGCGAATACGGCACCTATTGACCTTTGGCGTCTGCTTATAAGATTGCTCACCCACAATAGCAGATCACTTCTATAGCTAGCTATTTGACTGTACGTAGGTAGTTGTATTTAAGGGCCCTTTGCTCTGCACTAGCGTTGAACAAACTCATCATCACCATAACGTATAGAGTACAATTTGTTAGAAACAGTATGTAATCTAGTCACGTCTGTAGCTTGATCTAAGGACATCCTTTGTTCAAGGCGATAACTGTGGCTAGACCCGGGCGTTGGGATCTACTTATTAATGATGGAGAACACAGCATTAATGCAATAGTAATATTTGTTAAGATTTAACTATCAATTATTTCCCTCTGATTCTTTTCTTAATATAACTCCTCACCAGGCTCTAGCTTCTCACTTTCAACGCTGCGGTTAGATCACGCTGAAGGAGACCACATTCCCAAAATTAACCTTAGAGTCACAGCGTATTTCATACATGGCCCAAGTAACAAGTCTCATGGTGTGAGCCAGGGCGTGAACGTATAACCTAGATATCAATGCTAGGAGCTCTGCTATGCAGAGTTTTAACTAAGTTTATATGACCAAAGTAGCCCCTATCATTGATGATATTGATATGACGTAGTCGCGGAAGACTGGCGGCATATGTCTGCGACATAGACCAAAAGATATTTACAACTTTCTTGTCGAGTCTATCCCGCCAAGCACCATTCCAACCCATCCAAAGCAATGCTCTCTCAAATGTTAATTCATTTGAAAGAGAAAGTATTTTAACGCTGAGGAGAATATGGCGGTCTAGGAGTAGAGGATAAGACAGAAAAGCTGCCAGAGACATCAATGGCACACCGAGGTCGGTTATATGGTGAAACTCCGCAAAGCCACTAAACGAACCTGAAAAGGCTATCAATGATCTAGAGTCCTTGTAACTTTAAATGGTAAGGTTGAATGATAACCTCTCTATGGAACATATGCCTGGCATGTGACGGGGCCGCTTGCGGCAGTTTGGCCTAAGGCATCAGCTAAAGTCGAGCTATAAAGAGGTTGGCCATCGCTGAGAAATTTAGGGAACCTTGGAACCTGGGCTTAATTAAAAGCAACTTGTTGTTCGGTATTACGAAGGTATTTCAAGACGCGCTTGCAACATATACGGCATTTTCGTCGCGCAGAGACTGCTCTGATTCCTGCCACCTTTGTAGGTATTTCTAGCAGTCCGCATAGCAAAGAATTCTTGGCTAGTCCGAAACTCCTGCATTTGACACGCACGAAAGTTACAACATTCGTCCTATATGGAGTCGAATACTCCTCAAAATGCCGCTCACACACACGGCGAATCGACAGCGAAGGCGTTGAAAAAGAGACGAAACTAAGCCCAGGGCAGCATTAAGTCTAGAGAAGGTAGTCACCCATTGAAAAGGCTCAGCTTTCCTTGCAACTAAGCTAGAGTTTGCTCAGAGTTAATCAAAAAGTTTTCATACGAATTACCGTTTGCTTTAAGATTTTGTAGAGCATTTGCGTCCGTCTACAACCATTCCGTTCGAAACAAGGATTAATAGTAGAAGGTGTGTTATTGATCTATATACTCCCTACCTAGCGCGTGGGTCGAAACTGTGTCGAATATAGAAATAAGCACGCACCTCCTACCTTTGCATGCCGAAATTGTGCTTAAGAAGAGTAGCCACGTGATAAATACAAAAGAACTGGGACTTGAACTAATTTTGAACTTTCTTAATGCCACGGACTACTGAAAAGACCGGCCTCTGCCGCCAAAGCTCCCAGAAACTCGGATCATTTTGCATAGCCACAGCCTTCTCATGTGGCATAATCCGAATGTCCTCCAGGCCGTATTTTTCATGTAGCTCAAACGAACCCAAGCGGCTTATATCTAATGATGTACCCTGAAAGTTCCAAGGCTCGTCCGCGTGGACGATGGTGGTATATGTGAAGCCTCCAGGGACGGGCTGAGGGTTTTGCATGGAGACTCCGTACTTTTCATCGCTTGCGGCTGGTCCGTGGAGGTCGGCAACACGTACGCCGACAAAGATGCCGCCAGGCTTTAGGTATTTGGAGATATTCTGCCACATTCCTTCAAGAATCTCAATCTCGGACGCATGGTCAAAAATCCAATTAGCCATAACAATATCGTATTCCTTATCGAGAGGAACATGATCCATCGGTTTGGCAACATTGGCCTCGTAGCAACGGATGCGGTCTTTGCGACCAATTGATTCCTCCACGTCTTGAGCGACTTTGAGCATTTCCGAAGATAAGTCGACTATATCCACACGGGCCGCACCGAGCTCAATTGCTTCACGAGCGTGAAGGCCTGCGCCGCCGCCCAAGTCTAACGCAATTAGTCCTGAAGCATCACCAAGAGCCATCTTGATGAGCTGGGACTCCAGCGTGATTGATGGTACATGACTGGCATCGTTATAAGACTTGGCGGACTTATTGTAGTCCTGTTTGATTTGTTCTGCAGAAGACATGATGAGAAGAGTAGGAGTAATTAGACACTTGCCAGCGCTGTGAGGGCCAATAAATGAGTAAGTTCAAGGGACAATATATAGGTTTCGCCTTGGATACAATTTGCACTTCTTTCATGACAAGGCCCTTAGATGAGGGGTTTTCAGACTTTCATGCAATTCCGGTGGATGGCTAGAGCATGCATAACGTACGTACACCTGCCAGCTGTTGATAGGTGTGCTGAGAGCACATGGTTGCATACCCTGCATCAAGTAATCACTTGGTGTTTCATGAACAGCTCAATACGCCGTTTTGATAAAACCATATCGCATGATTTCCAAAAGAGAGCATATGCAAACCCATGTACAACGAAATGACTTGCTTCTCAAGAAGAGCTTAATGCATGGAGTGGATAGAACAACGTTATTGTGGGACACTCTTGATACTACCCCAACGACGAATAATACTAATAAATGCCATGATAGTCACCCTGGGCAAGTCAAGAAGCGCAAGGGGGAGTGGCAGTGGGGTTTTCATTCCGATAAAAACGTAGCATGCAATGTAGCATTGAAGCAATAATTGCATTGAAAAGGTCTGTTATCCTAAGGACAACCATAATTGAATTGACACGTTATTTGCCAAGAAAGTCCTATGCCCACACAGCTGGTCCGGGGTATGGGTACGCTCCATTCTCGGCGTAAATGTTGAACGTGAGACCAGCATCACTCTTAGAATAGGCGCCAGGGAAGGATACTAGGCTCGTAGGCGTGCTCGTTCCGCTTCCGGTCACTTGCAGCTGAGCGCAAGCAATGTAAAATTGAGGAGCGCCAGCAATATGCAGACCGATGTGCTCTGCACGGAGGAGATAATTGCCGGGCTTGAGCTTAGACGGAATGGTCGTGTAGAATTGAGTCATCTCCGTTTCAAAGGGTGGGTAGGAGTCGACTTTATTCCCGTACTGGTCTATCTTGAACCAAACATTCCCACTATGTGCCCATGAGTTGACGTCTTGGCCATCGGGGACTCGAGCCATGTAGAAAATAAGGGGTCCTGGGTGGCCCATGCTGTTGCTTGAGACGAACCCAATTCTGGACCCTGCAGCAACGGTTTGGACGGCGGATGCGGCACGGCCGGATTTTTCAAAGCAACCCATCAGGCTAGAGGTAACATCTTCAATAGGGTATGCGTTGGGGTTGTTTTGAGTGTCCCGGATGTATTGCCAGTCGCTTGATTTAACCCCATTTACAATAGTGTTGGGGAAGAAGTCTGCACAACAAGAGTATTGGTGAAAGAGTCAGTTGATTTGCTCACTTATCAGTAAGCCAATTGGAACTTTTCAATCTTACAGTGACCAAATGTGGGAGTCGCCAGAAGCAGCAACAGTTTCAGATTCATCATGTTGAATAATATGTCGTGAGAAAACTAAGTCTAGTAGGCTCTTTAACGCATAACCAATGCCGACGGTCCAGAGCCGGGAATTGGCGGTATATAAGTCTTGCATGTGAGGCACACTAGCATGGAGTTTAAGGAACGGAAGGGATCCTACGCTGAAGATGGAAACTCGGTAGTTCCATCCTCCGCGTTGCGAGACCCCGTTTCGGGTATGCCCCGCGTGCTCCAGAATTGGCGTATCGTCCAAGTTTCAACCAGTGGCTAGGAACTGAAGGAAAACATAGGTTATTGGTCAATTCATGCGGCAAATAGTTGACTTGGCATGCAAGCTCCGCGTGAAGGGGTTGCAATGCCTCAATTTTACGAGATATTCCTCGAACCAAAATCCTTGCTGAATAGCCAACGTGAGACTGTGTTCGTCTCGTGACTTAAACCCCTTGTACATTAAGATAACATATAAACCCGCCTTGGGATATTTCGGATTTATCGAGATTGACGCGAATTTTTTTGGACTCTGACGGATGAATCGGTAAATATGAAGTAACTGATGATTTTTTGACCTCATAACTCTAGTCCTTGCCGTGAATTTCATCGGATATTTGTCAACTAGAACATGGTTATTTTGTAATAGTCGACTATTCTTGCCGATCACAAAGCTTCTTAGGAGATACTATCTTATACACCAGATAACGGTACCAACTCACAGGCTCTATCTAATCACCACTACTAGAGGATGGATTAGTTGTGCTAAAATGTACCGTTTGGAGTCTTTTCGAGGCCTTTGTGTGCATTTCATCCATACTTTAGGGTGTCTGAAGCAATTGGAAAGACATATTTCGGTATGTGGGCCAATAATGGAAGTAGCCAGCAGCCGTGACCTCTGTTAGCAGATCGCACCGAATAGCCTCAGCTAGCAGAAAGTTGACACAATACCCAAGAATGATTATAGTCAAAGAAGTACAAGAAATCATCTGAGATATCGCCCCCAAGTTGCTACAGCTTGATTTGCAAAGGCTTGTACGCTTGTCAATCATGCGGCACTGGGAATGGTGGCATGAAGGCTCGCACTGTCACCCATTACGATGCTTCCGAATCCCACATACACAGGCGAGGGGCTGGGGAGGAGAAAGGCATCTGGGCCTTATGGCGGAGATTAGCCTGATTTGCCTTTTTTTGCTAACAACTACTCGGCCTATTGCGACGCAGATTGCATTAATCTAAACCAAAAGAAGCGCAATTCCAGGTAAAGAACGGAACTCCCTGTATCTATTCTAAAGCTTGAGGAGTCTATTTCCGTGGGGTAAATACCAGTTTTGTCCACGGCCTTGGGATCTTGGCCACTCGTCAGGAGATCCAGCGTGGAGCTTCGGGGTTGGCAAGCGTGAAGTCGTAGTTCATCAGGAGCTGAGCCACAATGATCTTCATGAATGCGGCAGAGTAGAATCTGCCAGGACTGGTGGAGAGACGATGAGTTAGCCAACGGGCACAAAACAGGTGCCACGGCCGCCTATAGATGCACGACGAGCGCAGTATTTCAACTAGACTCACCAGGCCATGCGTCCAGTACCCCACATCAAGAACGAATGGTCGACATCCGTCAGCTTGGAGTGTTTTGCTTGCCTTGCTGCGGGCGGATTTGTGTCCTCATCGACGGCGGCGAGTAGTGCTGGATCCACGAAGCGGAAGCCCGAGAACGATTTCGGGGATGGATAATAGTCTTCTCTGGTATTTATGGCGCCGGCAGGTGCGCAGGCCCATTCCCCGACTTCAAGCTTGGTCCCATCTGACATGCTGAAAGGACGAAGAGCGCAGCGCCGGACGCTCACTATGTACGGGTATCTTGTTAAAAACATCCAAATTACCAAATAGGGGAAAAGGAGAAAGTATCAATGGAGAAATTAGATGAAATAAACCTACTAGACTCGACCGGAGTCAAGCGGGCTGATTCCTTGATGAAGCTGTCAAGAAGTGGCAGGCCATGGCCTGTTCTTTCGAACTCGTCATACGAGGCTTCCAGCTCACGTCGGATCGGATCGATGTACTCAGGATGGAGACAAAGGTCGTGGATGACGTAAACAATGGTCTGAAGAGGACATGAATCAGCTCATGGAAAGAAATATCGAACGACTACTCTCAAAAGGAAGAGTTCACTTAGTTGGATGGCATCGACGCACCATTGAAAGAATATGAACAGAACCAAACCAAATGGCCATCAGCTCGTAAATGACCCGCTCAGCCGACCAAGCGTTTTGTTTAGGTGCAGTATCAATGATCCACTGGATGCAGTCGTTCTGTTTCGTGTAGAGAACCGTCTTAGTCTCCAAGGTATTCCCGCCTGCGATAGGCGGTTATTGGGCCACTTACCCGCTGTGGAGCTGACTGGCCTAGATTCCTTTGGTCTTTTTCCGCAATGCGCTGTTCTGTAGCTGGCATCAAACTCTTGAAAAAAGTCTTGTGAGAATTAAGACAATAGCTCAGAGCGCCGCCTACAGCGGGGGCGAGAAACTTGGGTAGCAGCTTGACAATCTCGGTGTTGAGCAAGGTCTTCTCGACATACCCCAGCGCCGAATTCATAAAACGCTGGTCCTTGACTAAGAAGATTGATATGATTAGGAAGAGGTTTCTATATTAAATCAAATCTGAAGGGTGTGTGGAAAATTATACTGAGCTCTTCCCCGAACAGAGATCGGGCATTCAAGAGTACGACCATGTTGACCATCATCGGATACAAGGGAGCGCTGATCGCCCCTGATCCACCCGTCAGTCTATTTTACTCGTCTTTCTAGGACATGGGATGACTACATACCATTCACTGTGGGCTTGGTGGACAGCAACTCTTCCCAGCGTGAGTGTGCTAGCAACGAAAGATCCGGAAGTAGCTGGGGCAAGTGGTTGGTTAGGAGAGTGCGAAGGGTGCGGACGAAGCCGACGCCTTCAACCCCTCGACGGTCAAACCAGTTGAAGCTGTTCATCGTGTAGACAGGCTGAGGCATCTATTTACCCATCTTGTCAACACCAAAACTCCAAATAGACGAGGGAACTAGCAACGGTGAATGTCGGTGAAGCCGGTGAAACTCACATGCTTTGCGGCGCCGTTAAGGGACAGCACCGTGTCGGGAGCACGGTCGAGTTCCTTGATATGCTCAGGCGAAGACACAAAGACCATACGGACATCCGGAGCGTGGACCTCGAAAGGCTTCCCGAGAGACTGGAGCAAATTCGGTGAGACTTGATGTCAACATAGAGGTACACATATGCATCACACCTTGAGAAACTCATGCTGAATGATGCCGGGCCCGGCAAATAGATAGGTCCAGGCGCGATATCGTTGCTTTGAAAAGCCAATTATCGTGGTAGTACGGGACTAATAGAAGGAGGAAATATGCAAGTCAATATCCTGCCTGACAAGGGTGTACACTTTGGGTATATAGGTACTCACAGTCTTCTGAGATGCCCAGAAAAACACAATTGCAAGCAGAGTCAAGCTAAATCCAGCAGCGAGCCTGGCCGGTAAATATGTTCCAGTCCTCTGAATCGAGAGCTGTGGTAGTTCCAAGGAATCAAATCGAAGGGGCAAAAAGCCGCCAAGGGTAGTGCTGGACATCATCGTGGCCAGGTAGTGTTATTTGAGTCAAGTAAGTGTGAGACAAGCAAGGGCCCCTTTGACGATGATGGTAAACATTAACCCATAAGAGGTGACCTCCCTTTCCTTTAATAGACGATGAGAGATGGATCCTTTTAGCAAATTGTCTCGGCAATGGATGCGTGCAGAACACAACCAACAACCCCGAGCGTAGATATTCTGCGCAACCGCATCTGGTTGCCTACTCTGCCCCACCGTCACGGCGCAATATGTACGAAACAAGCTGTGTTGGCCGTCGAACAACTGCATCTTATCACGAAGGCCTGCAAAGGGTGCCCATAAATATACACCTGTGGCAGTCGATCCTAGCTCAAGGGCAAGAAGCTCAGTTGGTAAAATATGGGTTACATGAGAAGGACAGCCCGTTACATCCTTCCCAAAGCGTGTTTTTGAGGACCTTGGACAAGACTATATATGCATGTACGTATGCATTGTTCAACGTTGATCACATCCTTAAGAGGGCATAAGGCATACGATTGTAACCATGTCTGAAATGATTGACCATCCTCATTCCCCGGAAGTACTTTGGGCTATAGGGGCGCATAGATGTATGCAGTAAAAGTACACACCAGTACGATCCCAGGGAATCAAGCTACCCGCAGTGTAGCTGTGGCCGGAAGCGGCATGAAGTACGTGCCTTCACTGAGGGGGCCAAGAAATAATACCGAGCGCCTTCTGAAGCAACGAAACGCGGAATCAAGGAAATAGGCGGTACAAATCACACGTCATTTTTGAGGGTAGGCTTTACTTGAGCGAAAACGAAAGAACCAAGGTCTCTATCATGATTCGTTGTTCTTAGTTTTGTTGGCTTGAAAAGGGGCCAATCGACGTGTGGCCACTACTTAGCAGGATAACAACGGATCGAAAGATAGCTAGGTGTAGTACTTTTCCCCCCCTCTCTCCTTGCTCAAGCAGTCAAGCACCATTCGTCGACTCTCCACCAACAGGGCCCCAGATGGACCGTTCGATCAGATACTCCATTTTGCGGCTGGCCTTGTCCACTTTGGCGAACATGAAACTTTCGAAATCAGTGTCCACACCATTGACCTTGATTGTGCCCGTCATATGAGCCGCAAGCTGATCGCCGTCGCGAAGAAACTCACGCCTAAGTGGTTGGTCCCATTGTGAGATGGGTGATGTTGTGGAAACGCTCAGAGCGAAGGACGAGGGTGAGGACTTACACGACTGGCTTGTATTCAGAGACTTTGCCACGCCACTCAGCGATTCCCGCGGCATAGACGGCGTAGGAAAGGCGCTCATTGTTCATCAACTGGTAGAAATCAGGCGTCACAGTGGCCTCGACGTACTTGATGGCTTCTTCTGGAGGGCCGGTCAGACTCCAATCCATGGCACGCTGGAAGCCTTCGCGCGTAGATGTATAGTCAGTCATGTTGGGCGAGTGGCAGTTACGGGCCGTGGTGTAGGTGGGTAGACAGGTAAGGAGGGTAGAGAACAGGAGCGGCTTCATTACAGGCACTAAGGTGAATGTTGTTGGTGTAATAGATGAAGAAGGTGGGCGATCACTGACACATACATGCGGATTATGGTTGAAGTCCGAGGTTTGTTGTTGGCTGCAGGATGCGTAATCCAACTGCACCGTTGCCTTACTAATACCCTCAAACGTGGTATTGATTTTCTATTTAATAAGCTGGCTTGACGCAAGTACCTGTTTGGGAGATTATATGCCGCAGTTGGCGTCAAGCTGGACGACCAACATCTGCAACCGTGACATAGTAATCCTGCTCCCTATACCCACCATCTGCATCCGAGTTTCGGACAACCAACCAAAGAGTAATAGGACACTATGCATGAATGCGCAGATCTGGCAAGATGATACGGCAAACCTCGGCTCTCCGCGGGAGCAAGGGAAGGCGGCGCGCAGTGGAAACGGATCTATCCATCCACAAACGACCAACACTCCTCGCCGTCGACCCATGGTTGCTGAGTCTGACAAGGGGCTATGCATAAGGCACCAACATTGGTCCCAACTATCTTGCTGTGCAGCGCCATGTCTCAGTCAAGCCATTTTAGGAGTAGGAAGGGATTTTGGGCTCCCGCAAGGATTCCGGAACAAGCACGGCTTACACGATCGTCCCACTAGTTACAACTCTCTGGATGGATGGAGAAGCACAGCCAGACGTCAGACTTATATCCCTGGCTCTTCTCTTGCTCACATTGACACGACGCAAGAGTGGTGCTAGTCACAAAGCAGGCGTCTCCTAGATGCATAGGCAAGCCATCTCATCATCCCACTCAAGTACGATTCTAGTGTGCGACCTAAGATGGAGTCCACCGTCGATCTCTGCAAAGTTCTTATTATTATACTGTTATTTTACTAATAGCTTTATAGAAGTTATTAGAACTAAGATATTATATAATCTGATATACTTAGTTAGAATTAAGGTTTATTTACTATAAATATATCTTTTTTCCTAGATTAGAAGAGCTTTAGATTAAGAGAAGAAATATATAGTAATTTATATCTTTTACTATATTTTTTCTTAAAGCTTAAAAGTATTTCTATTAATACTATCTCCTCTAACCCTTTCTCTCTTTATATTATACTTACTCTATTTATTCTTTTAGACAGCTATAGATAACTATAGTAATCTAGCTTTAGATATTAAAAATATCTACTATTTTAATCTATTTTTTTTAATACTATAATAATATTTATATTAAGCTCTTCTTAATATATATAACTAAGAATATCTTAACTAAATTTAAATATAGTTAATATCTACTTAGTAAAGAGATTATTTAGCTATACTAGCTATTTATTTTATCCAAGGTTTTTGAGATACTTTATATGGTCTTGGGACACAACCTTCTTGGATGACTAAGGCGAGGTGGTGACCACGTGTCTCCCCACCATTTGATCTCAACTCAGCATCTCCAGTCGATGAGCAGCATCAGCATTGCATCGACTGTCAAGTCTTCAACCTATCTTCTGAGACACCATGTCGTCGACTAGCATCGAGTGTGGGGGCAGTGACGAGGAGCAGCCGCTGCTAAGGCATAGAAGGCCACCGTTTCATGCCTTGAACCTACAACATTGGTACTCATCGCCAATCGACACAGAGCGGTGGGCTGTTCAGAGTACTAGAGAGAAGGCCAAGCGATTTCTTTCTTCCAAGGTCGGCCACTATTCTGTGCTCACCCTGGTATCCCTTGATGTTCTTGGCATGATTGCCGGTATGCTACACCCCGTCCCGCCCTGCTCTTTGAATACCCAAGTCTAAATGGTCACCGCACGCCAGATTTTGTTCTTAGGCTTTTCCAATGTGAGCAAGGCAAGAGTAGCTACGACTGGGACCTTGCGTTAGACATTCTGGGTGCTCTAGGCCTGGGATTCTCATGCCTCTTCATGGTAGAATTAATTGCCTCAATATGGGCATTCGGCTACGGGTATGTCCTCTTAAGTGCCCATCTAAATGAAACCCCCAAAACTCGGCGATTTCTGGTGACATAGATCCATGCTAACGAGGTAAGATATTTCACCTCATGGTTCCATTGCTTCGACGCCTTTATCGTTGTGGCAGGCTTTATTACCGATGTTGTGCTGCATGGTGTCATAGAGGAGGTCGCCTCCTTCATCGTTGTGTTGCGTCTTTGGAGAGTTGTCAAGATTATCGAAGAACTCGGGGTTGGCGAACAGGAGCGGGCAGAGGAGTCTCAGCGTAGAATTGATGAGCTAGGGAGTGAGGTTGACCTCCTTCGAAAAGAGTTGGCTGGTCTCAAGCAGCAGTTAGATAAAACCGGCGCGCATGTAGCAGACGATAACACGACTACTAACTTCCGCTAATAAATTCTCTCCATCTTCTTTAGAAGAGTGAGCTCGGTGCGAGCCCTATTCCAATATCCTTTATTGACCTCCGTTGGCGCCACACATCCCCCTTCTGCTCGACACCTATTCCCCTGTGCTATGAAAAAATGCGATACTAGTAGCCCGTAATTATAAGCAACCCACATCTTTATCTGTAGTTTACGAGAAATTCTAACCTGTGGAGGCATTCGGCAAGGCTGAAATCACCCAGCTCTCGTTCACGGTTCCAGGTCTTTACGGGCGTTGAGGATAAGTGAAGTCAAGAAGGAATGGTTAGTCAATTACAAATCACTAACCGAATGCTCGCACTTCGGACAGTTTCCAAAGTCCCTATTATATCTCTCTATTTTACGAGGAATTTGCATTTGGTCAAGTGCCTCTTTTGTAAGCTCCGCCTTGGAGGTTAAGGCCGAAAATCCACTTTATCTGACGCCGGATTTCACGGTGGTGAGGAATTACGGCCCCATCCCCAGCTCTAAGTCCGAAGTCCGGCTACGGCCATGCTAGAATGTAGTTACCGTTCTGTAACACCAGCCAGACTATATATTGTAGTCAAACTCCTCCGTCAGTAGTTTTTGTAAATCGCAAGTTCTTCGTCAGTAGCATTTCAAACGATAATATTGAGAAAAAAACAACCATTATTTCACAACCTTCAAGATGTCAACTCCGACGTACGCCCAAGATCAACCCGCCGGCTTCACCAACCGCATCGAACGAGTTGCAATTGTTGGAGTAAGTAGCCCACACTCATGATGAACTTTCCTAGTCGGGTTTCTAATGACACCTCTTTCCATAGGCAGGAGGAAAAATCGGAAAGCCCATCACCGATGCCCTGGTTGCAGCGGGAAAGCACACTGTCACAGTCCTCACTCGAGAGGACAGTCAAAATGAGCTTCCCAGCGGAGTAAACGTTGCACGAGTCAACTATGAGAATGATGAGTCCGTCATTGCTGCTCTGAGAGGCCAGCAGTTTCTCATCATTGTCATGGCAGCTACCGCTCCCCCCGGAAGCCAGGAGAAGATCATTGCTGCTGCTGCCAAGGCAGGTGTGCCATGGGTCATGCCTAGCGCATACGGTTCTGACATCTACAACGAGTCGCTAGGCAAGGAAACCATGCTGGGTCCAGGAATACAGTCAAGCATCAAAGCCGTCGAGGATGGGGGCGTTTCGTCTTGGATTGCCCTGACATGCGGGACTTGGTATGAGTTCTCATTGGCCATGGGCCCCTGGTGGTTCGGGATTGATTTTGCCAATAAGAAGGTTGAGCAGTGTGATGATGGAAACACACTTATCAACACGTCTACATGGGAACAGTGTGGCCGTGCCATTGCCAATCTCCTCAATCTTAAGGAGCTACCTGACGATGAAGAGGACACATCTCCCTCCATTTCTCGATGGCGTAATCGAGCTCTTACCATTTCAAGCTTCCAGATATCGCAGAGAGACATCCTGGACAGCGTCAACCGTGTTAAGGGATTGACAGATGCAGACTGGCAGATTCAGCGAGAGCCTTCCAAAGTGCGGTATCAAAGAGGTCTGGATCTCCTCAAGAGCGGATATCGACTTGGGTTTGCACTGGCTTTATACGCCAGAATATTCTACCCTGATGGTGGCGCCAATCATGAAGCCACAACGGCCCTCGATAATGAGATTCTTGGTTTGCCCAAGGAGGATCTTGACGAGGCGACGAGAAGAGCCATCGGCATGGTGGATGCAGGATTCAATCAATTGGGTGATTATGCAGCGAAGTATCCTATTGAGTCTAACAATAGCTAGACAAAGCATGTTTTAAAATACCAACGAAATGTTTTAGACTTGAGAGCGGTTGAATCTGAGGGAAGTGGGCATCCTCTCGGATTGTTTGGATAGTGGACCATCTCGGCCCAAGGAGACCACATTATTTTAGGTGGATAGTTTAGAAATTAGGGCTACAAAGATATCGGTTTAGCTCCTTACCTCTCACGTAATAATCACCAGCAACTTGGCAGTAGATTGCAGCTAACCTTGGGTACTTTGGTGACTGTCGACATGCAAGGGTGTGTGGATGCCTGACTGGACGGGACGTTGGTCGCAATAAATTCACCAAATGTGGACGCTCCTGTGGCCTGATAAAATGAATCTTTTGTCAATTCCGTCGCTCAGCTTTCCTTTCGACCTTCCATCACTTCGAAAGGTATGCAAGCTAAGATTTGAGTCGATGATACCGCCTACTCCGACTGTTTGGGGTCGTGTTGTTCAATCCAGTAATTGCCATTGACAAGAACAAGAAAACCCTTCTATCTTCCAACACACCCCGCAACGGCGCAAATAAACTGGTGATCAGATGCCTAGTTCATCAGACAGGCCGTGGCGTGAACGAGCCGGTCGGCAACCTGATGAGCGGAACTGGCCCCAAACCATTATCATTTGGATTCTCATTCCAGCCTTTGTCTCGTATGTGATTTGGGATTACTTCGAAAACTATTCTCGGGATAGATTTTCTATAAGCGAGAGACCGTCGCGGCTACTAAATGGGAGCGTTGTCTACGAAAATGAAACCATCCCATGGACACCATGCGGAGAGGTGGACGGCCACTTACTCGAGTGCGGATCCATAGAGGTGCCTCTGGATCAGTTCAACTCAAAATTCTCTGCAGACAAGTTCGGCTTCGATATTTCCGTCATTCGTTTGCGAGGCCGCCATGCAGGGCACGGCCGGAACCTCCTGATTCATCCTGGAAATCCTGGAGATAGCGGTATGGGCTTCATGTACAAGCACGGGGGTCACCTGAGCACGATCATCGGAGAGGGACATCATATCGTCTCCTTCGACACTCGAGGCTTGAACTCGTCATGGCCTCAGGTCAAGTGCTTTCAAGAGGATAAGGGCCGAAAGAAAAGTCTCGATCTGTGGTACAAGTACATCAAGAGCAAAGAAGACGCCCGCGTTCTTTGGCAAAAGGCCCGGAGATTTGTGAAGGCTTGTGAGACTAACATGGGCCAACACGGCAAATACACCAACTCGCTACAAATTGCAGCTGACATGGAAGCTATTCGGAAAGGCCTGGGTCAGGATACGCTGAACTTTTGGGGACTCAGCTACGGAGGTGTCCTTGGTCATACATATTCCGTCTTATTTCCTGATAGAGTTGGACGTGTGATTCTCGATGGCTCTCTCCACCCCAAGGAGTGGTTCGGCTTTTCTGCATTCGGTGAGCTTGGTTATAGAGTCACCAAGTGTTTTGAGTCGTTCATCCACAGGTGCCACTCAAACAGGGCGAGATGCCCGTTCGAGCCACTTCCTGATGATGATAAGGCTCTTCGGGCCGAGGCGCTCTCATTTGTTGAGAAAATTAAAACTCTCAAGACTCCAACCGTGCGGCTCAATAGCACCCACCATGGCCTTATTGGGAGACTGGATGTTTGGACCAAAGGTATAATACCCGCGCTGGGAAGTCCACTCAAGTGGCACGATCTTGCCAACCGGCTTGCAAGTCTCATGCGTGGAGATCCCGAGGAAGCATTTTTGGCATATGGGACTTACCACGAGCCGCCCTTTAACGGCCCTGAAATGAATGATTATTACGACCTTGTTGTTCTGAATGATGCCGCAGACGGAGAGTGGAATAGCGAGGAGTGGAATGATGATTATAGAATGAGCAACATTATCACAAGTTCATTCCTAGATTTCCACCCGACGGCCCTCATCGAATTCGAGCGCTTTTTGCAGGTGACGCGATGGCGCAATACTCTGACCAACCCCGTGATGTGGGAGGATCAACCCGAAGAAAAACCCGGCAACCCTATCTTGTTTATTTCGACCGGTGAACCCTGCGTTGGGGGCGATCCTGTTTTCAGACGTGACGGCAATGAATGGCTCGCCATACAGGATCGTGCGGGTCACACCAGCATAAGCATGCCATCCAAGTGCGTGGCACTGGCGATCCGCGAATTTCTAGACGGCCGCCCCCCAACAAGTCAGGGTGCTTTCGAATAGGAAAGCCACGTTTTCCCCGAATGGAAAAGCCACGTTTGCCGCGTGGACGGTCCAGAGTTCGTACATCCTGATGAGTTGGAGGCAAATGCTCGGGAGATTGTTGGGGACAATGAGGAGGATGTCCGTCTTTACCTTGCGCAGGTGGCGCTTGCTCGAGATACGAATTGGAGAATCTTTTGATGGTTTCTCAGAAGAGCAAGCCAGAGAACAAGCCGTATTGTGGCGATACAAGAACACAAGAGGACAAGGGGGAGGTGACAGTTGGTTAGCAATGGCTGCTCAAACTCGGGGTCGCCCTGATTGGTCGTTAATTGTTAGTCGCTTATTGTTACAATCATACGCTATCTCGACGGCCGAAGTACGATGATATGATTTGATCTGAGATATGCTTAAGGAGAAAATGATATGAATAGAAGCTATGAGAGCGAAGACGTGCTTGACCCATTGAATCCTGACTCATTTCTTCTACTCACATTAAGGTGCTGGTTCGCCTTCCGTCAAGGGCTTTCTACCCCAGACAAAGTGAACAGGGAGATAAAGATGGATAGAGGGGTCCTTAATCTCGTTCTTAACCTTGGCCATGAAGACCAGTATTTCCTCCTGCGACCATTCTAGTACACTTGAGAATATCTGTGGTGTATATGATTCAATAGCCTTAGCTTCTTGGATGGGTTGGAACCTGCCAATCTCCTTGAGTTTGGGATCTTTAGGCCACATGCCGAGTGGCATCTATCAACATAAATTATAAGCACGTAGTTTGACCGTTGATATGATGAACGTGTGAAAATATCTTACCTTTCGGACTTCCTCATGTATTTCGACAAAGCCAGCAGCTGCTAGCTTGGCCTTCCACGAAGGCGCACAGTCGATAAGCTTGCCAAACTTGGCAGATCCTTCGCAAAGGGTTTTGAGCCACAGCTGAGCATTCACAGCCTTTTGAACCGTGCCATCATCAGACAAAAAAGGAGCATCGACTGCCTGCAGCTCAATATATCCACCTGGGGCTAGATGTTGGAGTGCCTGCTGGAACCGCTCATCATCACCAATACAACCTTCTAGTTCGCGTGCATGAATGAAATCGAATGGCGTGTGATACAACCATTCAGCCTCAAAATCGTCCACTTCAAAAACACAATTTGGTGGTGTCCTGTGCCATCATTAATCAGGATATGACAGCATCAGACAAGTTGGGAGTTGCCATACCACCCGGGCTGAATAGAGCTTAGGTCAGTTCCAAGTACTTCGGCTGACGGAAAGTCACTTAGTATATAAGATCAGAATCAACAGCTTTCCCGAAGATTTGAAGGCTATTTTAGAGTATGGCGGCTTACTTACTCTGCGAAGTCTATGGCCCAAATGCCAGTGCCAGTCCCCAAATCAAGAACACGCTGGGGGTGATCGCCGATGGGCGCGAGGAAAAGTCTGCCATCTAACATGAGGGAGTAAATGTGATGAACCAGATCCATTCTATTTTGCTCCTCTTCATCGTTCGGCTAAGCGTGACTAAATCAGCAATTCAAATTTTGGCTGGTATCGACACAATCGACCTCCTCGTCCGAGGGGAGGACACCGCGAATAAACTTCGATCAGCTTACGGTGATTGTATCAATACTATCCAATGGGACGGTCTCCACGATGTCGATTTTATTACAGACATTGCCTCTAACTACGAGCTCATCATCAATGCTGGTTCAGGTTTTATCCCAGACGGCGCCGAAGCTTTTGTTCGATGCCTTAGTCGTCGAGTTCAAACAGGCGTCTCACCACCTTGGCTATTGCACATATCGGGATGCAGTAACTTGGCGGATCGCCCCCTCACCCAAAAAGGGTATCCTGACAGAGAGTGGAACGATGCAGATGGCCATGCAATCTATAAGTTCTTGAAGTCTGAAGATGACCGTGAGCCCTATCCTCAGAGGACTACCGAGGTTCGCGTCTTGTCAGCAGCACAGGCAACTGGCGTGCAGGCGGTCAGTATCAACACACCATTGATTTTTGGAACCGGAAAGGGCCTCTTCAACCAACAAGGCATTATCATACCCATCGTGATGCGCTACGTTGTTCAACATGGACATGGATTCAAACTGAATGATACTGCAAACTGGGACTGGGTTCATGTTGAGGATCTTGCTGACGTGTTCGTGCTCCTCACTCGCACCATTTTGGAGCGAGAGGATCATGGTGTGGGCTACATTCCAAGTGATACAAATGGCGTTATATTCCCCGCAGTAGGAAGGAGTCTCCAGACTGAGATCATGCAAAGGTGTCTAGATGTCGCGTTCGCCGAAGGAATTCTGCCTGGTCATGACACGCCTCTTTCAAAAGAGATTCGACAGGTAGCCCTTCAAGAGCTTGCTAACAAGATCACGGCTGGACTGGTTGACATGGCAGAGCGTGGTTGGGCTGGTACAAAGTCGATGAAAGGCAACGAAGCAAGACGACTTTTGGGTTGGAACCCCAGTAGACTGGAGGATGCTTGGAAACAGGGTTTCCAGGATGAGCTTGAGGCATTGAAGAATGGGCAAAGGCCTTGGACTTTGGAAAGTTGTATTGGCCAAAGTAGATAGACCACAAGCAACCTGAACGCACTAGATACCGGAAGGATAAGGCTAGTCTGATGGCCATCAGTACCATCTCATATAACCAAGCCACTAATTCAGGGTCTTCCGAACCCCTAGCATAAAACAATAGTATTCTTCTAGACAAGTTTTCTTAGTCTAGTCTTACGTCACTAACCATAGATGATTCAAGAATCTAGCCGATGATATTTGCTTTGCCAGCACGACAGGCTAGATGGAGGATGTACTGAGAGTCCGAAGTCAAGAAGTTAAGGTATGCGCCAGTGCATACAAGCTTAGCTAATTCAATTTGTGATCTTATTGCCGCTAAGTAAATAAGGGCAAGTCCATCCTTATCCCAGATATTAAAATCGACCATGCCATGAGTATTAAGAATATAACTAAAGTAAATGCGCTCAGATGCTAAACAACATACCCCCAAGGCGACCTCGTTTTTATACATGTATAAAGCAGTAGCGCAGGTTTTATCGACAGCGTTCACCGGAACGTCCAAGCTGACGAGGTAGCAATAAAACCATCATCGACATATCCAAAATCACAACTACATGCCATTGTCCTTTCCAATTTGTACACATACTTTACAGCGTGCGCCTTGCCTGTGAGAAGTCTTTCCAGCCCATCCGTCAGTACATCTTAGCCACGACCTCATGAGGGTGTGGCTTGAACCACTCTTCCGCAAGCCCAAGGGCAATATATCAATGAGTGTTTCTACATCCACCTTGAGGACGAGGGCGTTCAAGGTTTAGCGATTGCAAGCGCATTAAATTTAGGCCAGCAATTCACGAGCGCAAAGCAAATCCTTCCATCGTTTAATGTCTATTAGACTCTTTTACAGTATCTATGTGTCCAGCACTCAAGATGGATAGGCTTCAATCGGGGACAAAGTTGAATATCTCTTATGCATGTTCGTGTTACAGGGGTTCGTCGATTTCGATCTTTTTTTGGACCATTTCACGCTTCATTTTGCATATGAAACTTAACCTATAGATTGTTATCTTACAACAAATGTCATGAACCTACGTGCTCATCTACAAGGAGAATAATAGCACGGCTAGAATGGCTTGTTTCGCACTTGACACAGCTACGCTGATACAACTGGGCCCCTTGCTTAAATTTAATTGGCCTACAAGCGTCAAATCCGGAACGCCACTGGCGCCCAGATGGGGATGGTCATCCCTTCTGTGATTGCGGGGGAGTCAAGAAGTCTCGTCTTTCTTCATTTCCATTGAGAAATTTGCTCCAAGATGGCGAGATGAATAACGTACAATGCTACCTTCCATGTTCTTTCTTATTTTGGAAAAGCTGCTGCTTGGGGGAAAAACTGCGTGCATGAAATTGAAATTGTGTGGGCGATCGCTAGAAAACAGGGGCCGTCCCCCTGGAAGACCCCCGGGCAGGCAACTGGGCCAAGCACTAACCTAGGTGACTGGCGAGCACCCCGCTGACTCACCCCTTCAGCCTTGCCGGTCTAAATATAGCGACAGGTGCAGGCGGCCTGGTCCAGCGGCTGGGGCGAGACACGCGCTAAAGTCCCCTCTCGCACTAGGCTTGTCGCTTTCCGGCGTCTTGATTGACTGAGGCTGCGAGAGCTGACTGCCGCCGAAAAGCTGACGCCGCAAACAGCTGCTAAGTCGGTAGCTGACGGTCGGGAGCTACGTGTGTCCATTGTCGCTCGCCTAGGTCCCCACCTCTGGCTAGGCCCAGCCCCATCCCAGCCGACACAAACACCAGCACTGCCATCCTCCTGCCTAGCTTCAACCCAGTTCAATTGACCACCGCCACCACCACCGCCTCACCCTGCCCACTGCCCTCGTCCTACATTGTTCATTGATACCCGTCTCCCTGCTTCCAGCTTGTCGCTCGTTTCTGCATCTTTGCTCCAGCCACTCGACCCTCCCGCAGCTGACCCGCGACCGCATAATATAATACCACCACGCGTCCACGACCTCCAGTCTCTTCTCCTCCGCCTCCCTCCACCTCCGCTCCCGTCTCTCGCATTCGCCGACTCGCAGCCCAGAGCCGGCATCCTGCCCTATGCCCGCCGAGGACGTCGAATCCCGCAGGCTGTTAGCAGGCAGCGACATCACCTCCCAGCACGATCCGTACGCGGGGAGCCAGTTCTACGCACAACCACCCATCGACTACCCACCGACGCCCGGCTTTCCTGGCGCACCAGGCCATCCTTCCGGTCCCGCGCCTGGCTACGCTCCAGGCCAAGGCCCCGACATGTACGGACCAACAGCAGAGTCCGGGAACCACCTCGCGCCTGTTGCGACCCTTCCTGGTTATACCCCGGTGATGAATCCCGCAGCAGGCCCTCAGAAGCCTGGTGATGGAGCGGCCACAAGCGCCAACAGGTTTCGCCTTCGTCTTACCAATGCTCTGAGGGTCAAGATGAATTGGCGCGACATCTTGAGCAGGAAATGGGCCGTGGCCTTCATCTGCATTGTGGCTCTCCAGGCTGTCATCTGCTTGACCTTCGAGACGTAAGTTTGCCTCCCATCCTTTGCTGCCTGTGCAAGACTCTGACCGTACTCCCAGCTATATCTACCTGAAAATCAAATCGAACCTCAAGAGCGACATCCGCAACGACTTCCAAAAACAAATCAACGTCATTCCGACCTTTCTCCCCCTCTTCTACTTCGGCTTCGTCTACCAAAACATCCTGGTCTGGGATTCTTTGCGAGCCAAGAACACCATCCAGATCATCGGCGTGTGCTTTGCCAACTTGGCGCTCGTTGTGTACACCGCCGTCCAAGTCGACCAGACCCGCACTTCTCTCAAAGATATGGAGGACGACAAGGATAGGGAGCTGGCTGACGGAGTCGATGACGAGGTCGTGTTTGCCAGCATCAGGGCCCTTCTGTTCACCACGCCAGTTCTTCTGACCGTGGGCACTATGGGCATCGCGCTCTGCACGTGGCAGCTCTACAAAGTATTTGCGTGGGATACTCTCAAGGTCGTCGGCGCCGATTACAAGATGAAGAAGCGCTACATGTACCACCAGGTTGGTTTCCACTCTCGAAACAGGCCCTGGATATTCTGTGCTAACCATGATGCAAACTACAGATTTACATCGCTCTGCTCAAAATCGACTTCTTCTTCTGGATGGCCTTCATCATTCAGCTCGTCTCCAGTACACCATCGAACGACGTCGAGTTCGCACTTTCAATCGCCGCTATCCCCGTCATCATCGGGATCATCATCCTCGCTGCGTTTTCCGCCAAGAGAGAAAACATATGGGGCATGGTCATTACCATCATACTCTACTTTGGAGGCCTGGCGTACTTTGCGTACAAGACGTACCGAATCGGCTCCGACGCGGAGACGTGGTACCTGTACATGAAGAAGCCGCTCATCACCTTTGCCGTCTTGACAATCGTGATGATCCTGGTCACCATTGTCATCGCCATCATCGTCATCACCGGCTTTGGCAAGGGTCTCAAGAACTATTTCGAAGCGCCAACGTCCGACGAGGAGGGCGACGGCAAGGACGTGTTTAACATGACCGGCACGGGCAACAACCGACACAGCCGCATCACCATCGATTAACGACATTCCAAAATTTATCTGTGCTCCCACGCACATGGCAGGATAGAACCTGGCACGGGAGAAAATTGACATGTAATTTGATGATTTACATGAGGATCAAGGGATCTAATTTGGCGTTTGGATATTTGGGTAACGGCCGAATCAAGGCATCAACTTTTTGCATACTTCACTTCATTCATGCACACATAAGATAGCATTGGGTAGAGGCTCATCATGAGAGGCGTTCCATGTGGGCATCATTTGATTAATTCATTTGGATTTCAACCAAAACAGAGCTCGTAAAGAGGTCTCAGCCCTACTGTTTCACAATGACAAGGTGACTGACCCCCTGCCCCTTCTCCTTTCCCTGCATTACAGTCATCCAAACCCGAGGTTGCCTGAATTCTACGCCTCATTAGTTCAATGTCACATCGCGACGGCGGTGGCGAGTGCGGCCCGTCAGGCAGACCGCTTGGCATCTCTCCTCTGCCTCGGCGGCTAATTTGGTCATCCCATCAGACTGCTTCGTGGCTGTGCTGACTGACGGCTTTCCATCCCCACACGAGACAGCAGTTCACACTGGCGCTCGTAATGGAATGTTAAATGGGTACGCTTTTTATTAAGAAAATTACATGTAACGGTAGCTAGTTCTCACTCCAGACGGCTCGCACCAATACACATGGAGGCTGTCCGGCAGCGAGATCCAGGCTAGATTCAATATTCATCCGCTTCCCTCCAACAGTCACGACTGTCGTCAATCCCCGTGCTACATCACCCCGCTCAAGACGTGTTATTCGGTTACCAAGTGCAACGATAGTGTCTACGCCGGAACAGCATTGGCGGGCAAGCCATTCAGAGAACGGCAATTCCGGTGCCTGCGGATGAGGCTAGAAAAAGTGCCGATTTCGGTGCGGCGCCAATCCCTTGACAGTGATCCAGCACAGCCGCAACCTAGCCACATATCTGTCTTCCAAGCGCAATGGCACGCCCAGGATTTAAGCTTTAACCCTATGGTTGCTGTGGTTAAGGGAGATGTACCCCTCCTGCCATCTCATTCCTGCAAGGCTGTGCTTTGTCGTGGGCGCCACCATGTTACACTACTCCTTCTGAATCTCCAACGCCCGGGCAAGCTCCTCGACGGCAATGCCATACGACCGCTCCTTGAGCTCCCACAGGTGCGAGCCCTCAGCAGGTCCCTTATCATAACCGTGCGGAGCGTCCTCCAACTCCATGTGGGTGACCCTCCGCGTGCCGTCATCAAGCACCTTGGCCAGCTCGTTCCCCTCCGGCGCGAGGACATCCCCCGAGGCAGTGAAGATGACCACCGACGCGGGGAACAGCGCCGGGTCGGCGAACCGCGGCGACACGAGGGGATCCTTGCGCGTCGCCACGTCGGGCGCGTAGTTGTCGTAGAACATGTGCAGCAGCTTTGGCGGCATGGCCTTGATCGGGTGGGGGACCACCTTGTCCTCGGGCGCCTCGGCCAGGTCGGTGCCCGGGTAGAAGAGCACGACACTCCGGACGTGGAGGGTCTCAAGGCGGGCTCGCAGCGACGAGGCGGCCACGAGGGCCACGACGCCGCCTGAGCTGCCGCCTGACAGGGCCACGCGGGTGACGTCGAACTGGCTCGGGCGGGCCTCGACGTACTTCATCACGTCCTCGGCGTCGTGGATCGCAGCGGGGAAGGGGTCCTCGGGCCCCTTGCGGTAGTCGGCGTCCAGGACGAGCATGTTGTTCGCCTGGGCGACGCGGGTGAGGAACTCGTGGTCCAGCCCCAGGTTGGGCATGGTGAAGCCGCCGCCGTGCCAGTTGATGAGGACGGGCAGGGGCGAGGCGGGAGGCGGGCTGTCCTTCTCGCCCGGGTAGTAAAGGCGAGCCTCGATGGTCCTGCCGGCGTCTCGCGAGGGGATCTGGAGGGCCTCGCTGTTGGAGTCGGCGGGGATGGCTCTGAGGTGACCTTGGAATCCGGCCGCGAGGGTGCGCATTATGGCGGCGGCGGTTCGGAGCCTCAGGTACTGGAAGGTGCCGTGGCCAGTCATGATGTGGTATTATTAGTGATGTAGGTGAGCTCACGGAGGTTGGATGCTGGTGAAGGCATAGATATGTTGGACCGAAACTTCAGCAGCTGCCGGCCATTAAGTATCCTTCAGTGCCATCGGGTTGACTCACTCGGTGTGTTTGACGAACCCGACGATAAGAAAGGGACACCATGATTGATCCAGATAGAACGTCATGGCTTGAGAAGCATCCGATGATCCATGATGAATATGCAGAGCGCGGTGCTTTCTTTACTGGGTTTAGCGTCGTTTGCATCGGCGAGCGAAACGAGATGAGCTCTGATCAGTGGCGCTTCCCATTGGATCAGCTACGGCATTTGCAGCTTCACCCTCCTCCTATTTGACGGGACTAGGCTATTAATGAGCCGGGAGAGCAACGAATATCCATGTCATCTCAATCGCTTTTTTTTTGGCATCTCAATTCCTACTTATCTGCTGGAAACAGCTCCGATTTGATTTCCATGTCTGGCGCTATGCTCTTACTAGTTACCCTAGACCTGTTGATATTGATGTACCCAACCTCAATTCATAGAGTCGAGCTCATCATGCACATCTCACTGTTAATCAAGTACACGGGTCTGCATCCGTCAAAATGATTTCAAGACGGCTATATTATGAATACGAGGAAACGGCGAAACGGTCTTGGCAACCGTCTGAATGTGCGAGATCCGGGTGGCTGAGCAGGTAGTAGGCAGGGGATTATTTGCTTCACATATCAGCGTAACAGCAACACAAACCTGTCCAAAACCAATCATTTAGACAAGGGGTTTCTTGGTTAACGCGACAATTTGGTTGGAAAGAAAGCTATTTTAACCCCTATCCAAAATTCCTCATTCCCCATCAGGCCAAGTGGTCAGTCCAAGCAAAGGATCAGTCCAACCTCGCCATAGCCTGTAGAGCATAGACGATTGAATCCTCGTAGGTAACCGAACGGCGAGTCTCACCCATAAAGAGTTTCAGACCAATCCTTTCATCTTTAAACGATATGTTCTCGATGACATAGGCATCATCCGAAGAGAAATTCCAATGGCTCCATTTGGGAGACTCAGAACCGTCCTCTGCAATGAATTGAATACCTGCAAGCCGACTACCGCGCCCAACTTCTTCATCAATGGGCGAGAGAAAGACCCGTACGCTTTGAAGGCGCTTACCTCCTAGTTCCCACATATGACGCTTGTAGTGCGGATGGATGCTCAATTCGTCTTCAGCCTTCCTTCCACTGAGACTGCACCAGCACCAGTCATTGTCAATCCCTTGGATGTCAATGGGAGACTGTGAATGTACTTCCGGGCCAATGGTCACCTCTTCCTTCGCGCCATCGGCGTATCTGAAGGTGATAGCAGACAGTGGGACTTGCTTTTCTTCGAAGCTGTGGCAGAGTGTCACTCGCACCTCCAAGAGAGGTCGACTGCAATCTATCCAGGAGACGGTCGGGCAACGATCCAATACCTCAAGAGTCCGGCTATTTATCCCCAACGATTCCTTCACAGAGAAATCGCCGAGAATTGGACCTATCTCTTCCACGCCGGACGGAGCTGAGGGTTCCCATATACGACTTTGACCGGAGGCGAGGTTGGGCATCTCGGGTGCGTGCTGGTCGCCCATCTCAGCGGCGAAGAGGCACCCGACGGCTTCAAGTCTTGACTTTGGTGTCTCACGACTGGACCAGAATCCGTACATTCCAACCAGGTGGGCAAACTGCTTTGTTTCGGAGTCTTGAGGAGGATATTGCACCAACTCCTCTTGCCTCCGGCTCGCTTGGCCAACAACCAGCTGTCGCCCATAGTTGGTGACGATGCGTATCCCCATGGGGATATAATTCACGACATAGTTTAGGGCGACCACTCTTTCCCCGCCTTGTCCATCAATGGTCAGAGTCTTCATCGCCAGGTTGCGAGGCCCAATCGAGCGGGTTGGGCGGCTTCCATACCGCACTTCAATCCCTCCAAACAACACATCGATAGCAATAGCTGTGATGTCTGCTAGCTCTGCATTTGTCGTCCCGAATATAAGAGGCTCCATGGGACTAAGATCCTTTTCCATCGCATAACTCCAATATCCCGCATGATGTTCAGATATTTGTACTCCTGGAGGAGGGATCTGCTTGCGCCAGAGGAACTTGGCGGCCTCGAGGTTTACGTGGTCCGGAGTCGAGCCTTGCGAGCTGAGCCTGTCAATGCCGCGAGCAAGGAGCGCGGGTTGCTGCAGTAAGGAGAGTCTCGAGAGGCCGCCTTCTGGCGAGCTGAAAGTCTCGACCCCGACAGCAATCTTGCCCTTCGAAACATGGATCAGGCGTTTGTCACCATTAGTTGATCCGACTAGCTGAGACGTGGAGCTTCCGAGCAGGAACTCCAAGCCAACAATCTTCCGAGATCCTTCCTCGCCCTCGGGAATCTCGCGGCTCGTCACGATGATGCCGGCCAAGCAGTCATTGGCTGGTACTTGGACAGATTCAACAGTGGTAGGAAAGTTGAAAGCGTCTTGCGTTGGATCGCCTTGCGCAGAACTCTGCTGCCCTTCTGCAAAATGAAGGCCCCTGATGAACTGATCCTGGTCAAGGTGCACATGAAACTCAATCCGGGCATCCTTTAGTCCTGCTATAGATTGTGCGAAATAATACCTGAAGGACGAGTTGACTTCAGGCTCTGGACTGATAAGTCTTTGCAAACCCGTGGAGCTTGCGCCTCTGAGAATGTCGGGAAGATCCCGAGCATTTTCCTCCTGCAGCTTTTCGTACGGGCCGGCTATCTGAGGCAGAATCTCTTCCCAGATGCGGCGGCGGTTCGCAAGGCCGGTTATCTTGTGAGCAGAGGGTGTATATCTGCTTGCCAGCCACATGTCTTTGTACACCCGAGCCCACTCCTCCGTGACAACGGCCTCGATGGAGGCGACTTCGAACAGCCAGGGCATGTCTACCAACAACTTGCGCCTCCACCACGAACTGGATTGTTGTGTGGCGTATAGTGTTTTGCATGTAAAAAACAGGAACATCAAGCTCCGCATGTCAAGATGGAGGAGGATAGACCAGCGGAGCTCTATTGGGAGCGTGGAGAGCCGATCTGATGCATAATCATACTGTCCTATTTCCGGAGCATAATGCATGGGACGTTCATGCTCCATCCAGGGGATTCTGACCAAGTACCGCTCAAGCCACGGGATATCCAATGGCGAATGCACGAAGTGTTCGTCGCCGCGGCTCACGACCCAATACTGCTCTTGGTTCTTGGACACGCTCCCATAGTCCAGCTTCAGGGCTTGTGCATACTCTGAAGTATCCGCCGACTGACGCAAGACTTGGAAAAACATGTCATTGTCAATGCCGTCACTTCCGTCATCTTCAGTGTCGTCATTTCCGTCATTGTCAATGTCGTCATTTCCGACATTGAGGTACTTGGATAGTAGTGTCCGGCATGTCTGATGGTAGGGCACAGCAAACGAGTCATGACCTTTGTATGCATACCTTGAGGCAAGAGATAAGTGGTTAGTGCGAGTGCCCGGCACAAGACTAGGCAGAAGGACCATTGCACTCACGTTCGCAAAGAATCTTCCTCGAATAGTTCCATTACGGGGTCGCCTTCTTCCAGATCGAAGTAGCCATGCTCATCATGGCTTGCAACGCCAGATACCCAGATTCTATGTTTGTAACCAATTTAGCAGGTACAATCGCGGATGCGAGCAGCTGGTTTGCCTACCTGCTCAGTCCAGTGCTCGCCGGATCTTCGCCGATGACTCTGACGTCTTTGAGCCATTCCAGGTCGAGCCTGTCCTCCTGTACGACTGTGAGATCGTAGGTGTACTCTTCCTCGTCTCCATCCTCCCAAAAGGGCACGTTGACGGGTCCGCCACATATGGCACAGTAAACTTCGGCGCCTCCCATCGATGAGGTTTGCGGATTGCTGCTGGGGATGATGATGACAGCGTGAAGTTGGAAAAGGTGGCAGGAGGCCACTCCCCTCCCCACAGTTGATCAAACCCTCTTTAGGCTGCCGCGCGGATCGTCCAGATATGCGTGGGGTTTCACCATTGGCCGTGTCAGCAACTTTGTCCAATTGTGAGGAAGCATACAAGGGTCGCGCCGTGAATTCACGTCACCGGTGTGGAGAAGATGGACTTTGTCATATACTCGGAGTCGAATCAGGCAGTTTCTTTTCTGGTCACAAATACGGTGAGCTTTTGGCCTTTCATGGCTGCTTCACTGCATGATGCACCTGGAAATGATGGGAAGAGTGCTCCAGTTCAGCGCATAAACATGAGCTTTGAACACTAAATAGAAGTGCCGAATATTCTACATTTATAATTTTAAACCAAGGTTTACTTTCAAACTCAGTCAGTATTTGGATTCTTTTATGATTAGAAGGAAGGCGAGACTTACCATGGACAGCCTTGACTTGCGTGTATGCTGAGAGAGCGTATTGGCCCAGCTCTCGACCGATCCCGCTCTGCTTCACGCCACCAAATGGAATACCAAAATGACAGTCTTGGGAGCTGTTGATCTATTGGCGTTGTTAGAAATGATTCACCCAGAGTACCTTAGGGAACACTCGCCCAAACCATTCCCGCTTCAATTGCCGCTGAGATTGTATGACCCCGGGTGATGTCCTGTGTGAAAATGGCAGCGCCGAGACCATACTCGGAGTCATTTGCCTTCTGCACGACTTCTTCCTCGGTCTTGAATGACTGGATAACAACGAAAGGACCGAAAATCTCCTCGCGGACGGCCGTCATATCATCCCGCACATCAGCAAAGATTGTTGGGTTGACAAAGTATCCTTGGCCACTGGGAGAATCTCCGCCATGGAGGAGTCTGGCACCTTCATTCTTCGTTGTCTCGACGTAGCCGAGGATCTTTTCTTTCTGTAGTTTGGACACTTGGGGCCCATGAGTGACATTTGAATCGAATGGGTTTCCTACGACGGAATTCTCCTTGGTATATTCCACAAACCGAGACAGAAATTCCTCATAGACGGCTTCCTGGACATAAATTCTAGACGTTGAGGTACAAATCTGACCCATGTTGCCTATAGCGATGTTAGATTGGCTCTCAAGAACGCGATGCATGTGAAGAGAAGGACGGACTCATGATACCAACGTGTGACCACTTCACGGCTTGATCAAGGTTAGCATCAGCAAAAACGATGAGAGGGCTCTTGCCACCTGTCTCGAGAGTAATGTTCTTCAAGTTGTTGGCTGCGGCCCTCATGATAGCCTTTCCGGTGGTGGTGCTGCCGGTGAAAGCGATCTTATCGACGCCAGAGTGGCCAGCCAGGCTTGCTCCTGCGACCCTTCCCCAGCCGTTGATGATGTTCACGACACCTGGAGGGAATCCAGCCTCTCGGATCAACCCAGCGAGGTAGAGGATCGACAGGGGTGTTTGCTCTGCTGCCTTTAGAACTATTGTGTTACCAGTAGCCAGGGCGGGTGCAAGCTTCCAGCCTGCCATCTGTGGAAAAGGGTTTAGCAATGTGTGTCACTTTTACCAACAATTGGAGGCTATATTGTACCATGATGGGGTAGTTCCAGGGAATGATCTGACCACAGACACCTGGAAAATATCAGCTTTCGATCACTTGAAAGATAAACCCAGGTGGCATTACACACCAATCGGTTCATGCCGCGTGTAGGCAAGCTTAGCTTCGGAGGTCTCAATAGTCTGGCCATTAGTCTTGTCCGCCCAGCCGGCATAGTACTTGAAGACCGAGACAATATCAGCGACATCTTCCTCCAAAGCAGCTTGGTATGGTTTGCCATTGTCCCAGGCGTCAATGGTGGCTAGTATGTGGCTGTCTCTCTCGCAGAGCTCAGCCAGCTTGTACAGCAATGAACCACGGTCGGACGCTGGGAGTTTGCGCCAGCTTGCAGCCTTGAATGCGGCTCGGGCGGCGGCGACGGCGCTGTCGACGTCTGCCTCGGATGCTGCGTCCACAGCGCAGATCACAGACCCGTCATACGGGTTGATTGTCTCAATCTTTTCTCCGCTAGTAGCCGAGACAAATTCATTGTTAATAAACAGACCTGTCTGACATGTCAATACTATGGCCTTGGATACGCAAAAGGGATGCTGACCTGTGGGCTGCGTGTATGAAGTGCCGTTCGGGGCAGTAAGCTGGATGGACGCCATTCTTAGAAGGGTAGAACCCGCCGTTTGGATATTCCTTAATATGTTTGTGGATCGCAATGACATGAGGTTGAGAAGTCCCTTTCAAATTTTGGATCTCCCTGTGGCTAAAAAGGTGTTGGGAAATGGGGAATCATGAACAGTGATAAGGCAACGAAAGCGGCATATATGCCAAGCTGTGTTTGCCCATGTAGGATTGTCCTCCAACTGACTCGCTGCTAAATCCGCTTGTCTAATATGGGAATTGGGATACGATAGAAAGCAACTGGGGTAATCTAGGCTAAATATTAGCATTTGATTGGTTCGGGTGCCTCATGATAGAAGCTCCCATCTACCAATCTCTAGCCCGAAAGAGTAAATACTCGACATTGCCGCACATGTAGAGTCTTCGGCCGATCTCTGAGAGGCGATAAGAGAGACCGACCGTGGAGTTTCACGTGTTCAACTTAGAAACATTACTATATAGCTGGGCAACAGTCTCCGAGAGCGTGAGTTGAGGTCTCCAGGGAGCTTCTTGGCGTGTTAGGCAGGAGACTCCGAGATATCCATTGGCACGGGGCTAACTTCTCTCGGCGCTCCAGGGATGTCTATTAGCCTTCAGAGAAACAAGACCACTCGGCAACCTTCAGCCGAGCTCGGTGAAAACTCCCACAGTACAGTTAATTCCTCTTGTTCCTCTGGTTAAGGCAACCCTGCCCAAATCACCAACCATCCCCAGACTCATGCTCTCCACGCTGATTTACGTAAAATGTATTGTTGATCAGATCTCTTTGCTCATGTTGTTCTTATCACTATTATTCCTAGTTTTCCCCGCATGGTTCCTGGTCACAGAGCGCGCTCATAGGCCGGCACGCCTCGTCCGGCCTGACTGGGGTTACTAATACATGGCAGGGAAGTCAAAATCAAACATAAATATCTTCCTTTGGTACCCTCGTCCTTTCACGGCCTATTTGGTTTCCAACTCGCAGCTCCCTGGCTACCTTACCTGTCCAATAAAGTAGTCGAGGGCCGCCACTCGATCCTTCTCCACAACCGTATACCTCCTATTACTGGCACCAATCTCGACACAGCATGTCCAACAAAGCGAAATCGGAAGATGTGCGGCCAGCATCTTCCACCGCGGGAGAGATTGATGTATTAAAACCTGAAATACACGAAGAGAAGCTCGCGAAACGGTACAGCCCGCTCTCTGTTATCGCTTTCGCTTTCACGACAACCAACTCCTGGGTTGCCTTCTCCTCTACTCTAGCCGCCCCCTTGATCTGCGGCGGCAGCCCAACACTCATCTACGGTCTCATCGGCGGCGGCATCATCATGTCAATAATCGGTATAGGTTTCGCAGAGCTGGCCTCAGCTTTTCCTTCAGCCGGCGGTCAATACCATATTGTCTACATGGTGTTTCCCCCTAGCCTGCGACGCGGCGCAGCATTCTTCGCTGGCTGGCTATCCATCATCTATATTGCAGCAGCTCTGGCTTCATGTAATATATTTGTGTCGAACTCTATCCTGTACCTGGTGTCGACTTGGGAGTCCAGCTATGAGATACAAGCGTGGCATACTTACTTACTTCACATCGCCTTGTGCGTCGTGGCCTTCTTCGCCACATCTCGCTTCCCCGGGGCCATTGGACGTATTGGCATCGCCGTCTTTTGGCTATCTCTCATCGGGTTCGTTGCCTCTATGACAGCGATTCTTTCCGTGAGCAAGACCAAACAAACTTCTTCGTTCGTTTTCAAAGACTTTCAAAACGTTAGTGGGTGGAATGATGGTTGGTCTGTCGTTCTTGGCATCACCGGTTGTTTATGGGCCTACAGCGGTGTCGATGCGGCCACTCATGTGGCCGAGGAGGTCAAGAACCCCAGCCGAACAGTCCCCAACGCCATCTTCTTGAGTCTCGGACTGGGTATTGTCACAGTAGTTGCCTGGAACATCTCCATAATGTTTTCGATTACTGATCTTGACGCCCTCCTTTCGTCAGAGGTTGCTGTTCTCGAGGTTTACAGCCAGGCACTCAACAACAAAGCCGCGGTGACCATTTTCGGGGTCTACTACATTGTGATGTTTTATACGATTGTACTCAATCTTTTCATTTTTGGCGGAAGAACCTTCTGGTCTCTCTCACGAGATGGGGGCGTACCGTACTCCAAATATTTCGTCCACCTCCAGTGGGCCAGCCCCGTGCGGGCGACTTTCGTCATGCTCGTCTTGGAGATTGTCCTTGGAGTTCTATATGTGGCCTCCACCACAGCCTACAACAGTTTCGTGAACCTCACACTGTTCGCGCTCAACATTACAGTCGCCATGCCCCAGGCTTGTCTTCTATTCCGTGGGCGTGCGTGTCTCCCGGAGAGGGCCTTTTCACTGGGCAAGTTTGGATTTATTGTCAACGCCCTGGCAACTCTTTCTGTCATCTTCTTCTCCATCACCTTCTCTTTCCCACCAGAGATGCCTGTTACCGGATCCTCAATGAACTATCTCATCGTAGTCATGGCTGTCGGGGTTGTGTTCATTGCCGCGATCTGGTGGGGAGGACTTCGCAAGACATTTACAGGTCCTCTTGGTGGCCACCTGCAAGGATTTGATCACTGAGTGAACATGTGCAAAGGAATTAACGCTTTTATAATTCCGCTAGTAGAAGTCACAAGTTTTTCTGTGTCTCATAGTTCAAATAAATTGTTTATTGATAAATGATTCACTCTACAATTTGATAACATATTTTCCCTCCAACTGTGGATGTCAGCGAAGCTCGTATCAAAACATTTTGCCATCATGCGTACCTTTCTTTCAATCATCTGCCCCATGAGACTTCCCAAGTCCTCCAATTTCGCCCACTTAATAGCCGGCGTCACCTTCCTCCGCTTGACAAATTCGAGGGCCTCGAGAATATCAGCCCGTGTGCCCACTGAAGAACCTTTCACCTTCCAGCCGTTGTCAATGAACATCAAAGGATGAAACTTTACTTGAGCCTCTTCTGGAAGAATCGAGACGCACATCAGCGTGCCAAATGGGCCAAGCATGTCGAACGCTTTCTGGTAAGCGGCGGCGGCAGTAGCTGTGACCACCACTGCCTTGGCACCACGGCCACCTGTCAGAGACTTCACTCTCAGGCCAGCATCTTCGCTTCCAATGGCATCGACGTAATGCTCTGCGCCCTGTGAAAGACAGTAAGCCGCCTTTGACTCTCCAGCGTCAACGGCAATCACACGATAGCCCATGGCACTCGCGAAGGCAACAGCCAGAGCTCCAACGCCACCGCCCGCGCCAGAAACGACTAACCATTGTCCGGGGGTCAGCTCACACCCTTTGATGGCCTTGTACGCTGTGACCCCGCCACAGAGGATTGGCGCAACTTCTTCATCAAGGATCTCGTCATAGGTGGCAGGTAGACGAGCAAGATATCTCAGGGGGACAAGCGTATACTCAGCAAAGGTCCCATCATACGCCTTTCCAGAATGCAAAGCTTCGACACATCGAGTCTCGCCCTCATGGACGATGTCCACGCACATGTCGCAAGTGCCACAAATGTCTCTCAACCAGGCCACACCAACTCTCTGGCCAACCTTTACAGTAGGGTCGAGTGAAGACACATTAGAACCTAGGGAGGCAATCCGGCCGACGCCTTCGTGGCCAAGAATGTCTCGCATCGGGCCCATGTGGCCGAGCGCCATACCAAGATCAGATCCGCACAGGCTGGTCAGTGACAGCCTGACCAGAACCTCATTGGGGCCTGGGACTGGACGTGGCACATTCTTCACCTCAAACGTCGGTTTTGCGTCAGGAGTTTGAGGGGACTTTTATTGATAGTATCGACATTAGTATCATCATTGTTGGAAGGATGGGGCAGACATACAGTGAGAACTGCAACCTTGTGGAACTCAGTGGCCGCCATCCTTAGAAAGTCTAAGTTATGTTTCAAGCTTGTATGGACTGTTGAATTGTTTCACTTGAGTAGTTATGGAGAGGCTATTGTGTAATTGGGCTGTTGGAGATCATGGGATTATAAATATCTTCTAGGTACCTCGCACTTCCGATGCCAAGAACTAGCGATTGGTGTGCGAGCGAAGGCTATGGAAAGTTGAATGCTAAGCTGCCCAATTCGGATAATACATGACAGAGATGGGGAAGAGGAAAGGATGTTGATAACAACTCTGTGCCTGCTCATACCTAGAGGCTAGAGACTCCGAGTTGCATCGCTTGACCTTAATCTCATCAGGGGATGCCCGAACATCCTAGGTTTCGTTATCTTGGGCTCGGGGTCTCCTGCCGTTAGCAGTCTCCCCGCAGTGGACTTCACCCAGGACGAGTCACGCCCCAGAAAGTGGCAGGATTGAATCATTGATACCCACATTCCAGCGGACTTAGATGGTCCGGGGAGGTCCGGGGAATGCGGTATACCAGTGAGAGATCTCTGAGCCACCAATAATTGGCTGCTTGGCCTGGTGTCAAAACGTTGGTAGCTGACATAGTTTAACCTGGCTGGCCAACTCGTGAGTTCAAATTTAAGTTTAAATTAAAAAGGTTGTCTGATTTCGAGGTACAAAAAAGCCTATTTGTCATGGAGAACAGCAAAAAAGGAAATAACTGATGAGACTGGGACTCGAACCCAGGAGGATTGCTCCACCAGGAATGAATGCTAAGGTAGCCTTAACCTGACGCCATAACCAACTCGGCCATCTCACCTGTTGTTGATCGGATTCTTATTTGCCTTCAAGTGGGCTGTCCACCATCCGAGCCACTCTAGCAACCCAACATCATCTCAATTATCATCTTCCAATGAGCTATCTGAGAGCTTCAGTCATTATCTGTATGGAGTGATCTTATTTGAAAAGATCTCCAAAATTAATGGACTGCCAACTGCCACCAGCAAGAATAAAGCGCAATTCAAAATTTGCTAACAGCCTTCAAGTTTCAGGCTGCGAGCTCCCAAGTTAAAAAAAACCTCGCTTAGGGTTAAAAATCCATTGAAGTTTCTTACCACCGATTTAGTTAATAAATAAGGCAAATCAGGGCGTAATGTTATGATAGGTCAAGACAGGATCTAATCCAGGGCAGAGGAGGTATCACTACGAACTGCATTTGCTCGTATCGCGGTGATGTACCAAGTAAAATAGAAGTGCATAATGGCGGAATAGAATGGCCTTTTCTCACACGGTTAGGCTCCCAACATAGCCATGCTTAGATGGTTTCAATGAGGAAGGGATAAGTTCGAACTCCCCCAACTGGTGATAGAACATCCAGTTATCGAACTAGCCGTAGAATAGGAGATTGACTATGTATAAAGACACACAATTAAACTTGGCTTAATGCATGCTAATAAAACTCCATCAACTGACTATAGAATGGCCAAGAAATTTATAGCTAATTTACAGATGGCTGAGCTTTACAGATCTTACACACGTTCACATCCGCTCCCGGCTACGTTCAATAACTGGCCTACTTAATCTTCACAGCTGCAAAGACTTTGGTCATAACTTTAACAAAGCTCCCTGTATTATTCGTCTCAAATCTTTCACGTTCAAGCCTGGCTCACATATAAGGCGGTTGAATGCCTTGCGAGCTGCGGCCAGCGATCTGGCCAATTGCTCACGCTTTAATTCGGATAATACATGACAGAGATGGGGAAGAGGAAAGGATGTTGATAGCTGATCTTCAACGTTCGGTGTTTTGTGGTGATCGGAGAATTACTATAACCCCGAAGAGCTTACTCTTGAGAGACACTCCGAGCTCACAACGAACCGGGTGTCGAGGAATTAATTATCGGGTACGGATGCAGGAGCTGCCCAAGCCGCGTCTTCCGATGCGAGTCTCGAGTCTCTGCCTAACCTTTTCAGATCTTGTAGTTTCCAACATGAGAAAAGTGAGTTACATTGCGCTAAGGATTTCGCACCCTACCTTTATAATATGAATACTATCAATTTCATCTAGTCTAAGGAGTCTAACTGATCCGAGCACTTGCATGATGATTCGCAATGCCATGGCTAATATAAGCCACGATCGGGCGGAGATGAGATCCAGGGATGGCGGCCAATCAAGCTCTGGCACGATCGTATCGTACGGCTGCGTTTGATTGAAAAATGGTGAGCTCCACTGTTCAGCTGCTGTCGTACGACAGGCGGCAAGGGGGAGAGATTGGAAAATTCAGAGGTCATGTCGCTCGATCGGCAAATGTCAATGTCAAATGTCAAGGGCTTGGGGGTCATGCATCGTCAACAGGCGGCAGGCAAACAACCGTGGCCCGCGTGCTTGCTGGAGAAAGGGCTGCAGAATGAATGCTCATACGACAGACGCACCAGATCACATGTTATCACATGCCAAGACACTGATCGGAGTCGAAAAAGCAACGGCTGTCCGTGCATGATAATCTCCACTGAACAATCAGCGGTCAACTATTGAGAGGCTGTTACTGCTGTCACTAGATGCTATCACTGCTACAGGCTACTAATCACTGAGGTGAGGTGCTATATGTAGGCTACCACTGCTATAGCGCAGGCTACTGACTACAGGCCATGTCCAGGAGCTAGATCAAATGTTAAATATCCATGCGGAATGGCGGTATGTGAACAGCTTCCTTGGGTTGCAATGGATGTGAATCTGAGCAAAATGATCAGCTTTATCCCTGCCGATCCGCAGTCCCTGGAAGAAGAAACGAAAGAAGCTTGGCGGCTCGCAACGGGCGTGGCCGCCAGCCCACCACGATCAAAATAGCAGCATCGTGAATTAAGATCGTGCATCTATGTCATTATGACAAACTTGCTTTTTGCGTTTATTGATTGTTTTTCTCTCATCGCCCCGTAGACCTTTTCCTTCAACGCTTTTTTCCCTCGTTCCACCGCTCTATTTTTTCTCACCTTCTTCTCCTACAGTCCTTCGACCAGCACTCTCCATTTCATTTGTTTCATCTCTACCTACAACTTCATAATCATGGCCTACACCTCAGGCATCATGCCCATGCTGCCGGTGCATGAGCCGCCGTTCACCATCGAATCGCCCGGCTACAAACAAATGCCCGGCGAGACGATCCCCAGGCGCCATCCCAAGGCCAAGGACGGGCTGCTGACGCGGCCCTGCGACGGAGTCGACACCATCTACGACGTCGTCCGCCGCAGCGCCCGCCTCTACGCAGACAACAAGGCCGTCGGATACCGCAAACTAGTCAAGGTGCACACCGAGACCAAGACGGTCCGCAAGAATGTCGGCGGCAGGATCCACGAGGCCACCAAGGACTGGCAGTTCTTCGAGGTCGAGCCCGCCTCGTACCTCAACTACACCCAGTACGAGAAGCTCGTCCTCCAGCTCGGCTCGGGCCTGCGCAAGATTGGGCTGACGCCCGAGCACAAGCTGCACTTCTTCGCCACCACGAGGTAATTCTTCTTGGCGAGACGGGACGCTGTGTGGTTGATTGAATGCTGACTGCCGTAGCCACCATTGGCTCGCCCTCTCCCATGCGTGCGCCTCGCAGTCCATCACCATGGTCACGGCGTACGATTCCCTCGGCGAGAGCGGCATCCAGCACTCCCTCGTCCAGACGCAGTCCAGTGCCATCTTCATCGACCCCCATCTCCTCAAGACGGCGCTGACCCCCCTCAAGCGGTCCAACATCAAGACCGTCATCATCAACGACGAGTGCATCTTCGCCGCCGGCGGCGAGGCGCAGGCCTTCAAGGAGGCAAATCCGGACCTGCGCGTGCTCACCTTGGAGGAGCTGCGGATTATCGGCGAGCGGAACATGGTCAAGCCTGTGCCGCCGCAGCCGAAAGACACGTACTGCATCATGTACACTTCCGGGACGACAGGTCACCCAAAGGGCGCCGTCATCACGCACGAGGCGCTTCTCGCTGGAGGTAAGGCAGGCTGAGTATGCATGTTGTGATTTGGGATGCAATTGCTGACCGCTTAAATCTAGTCGCGGGCTTGTACGCGTGTGTCGACGAGGTACTCACCGAAAAGGACAGAGTTATAGCATACCTCCCCCTCGCGCACATCCTCGAGCTCACGATCGAGAACGTGGCCATCTTCGGCGGCGGCACGCTCGGCTACGGCACCCCTCGCACCCTCTCCGACACGTCCGTGCGGAACTGCCTGGGCGACATGCGCGAGTTCAAGCCGACGCTGATGATCGGCGTGCCGCAAGTCTGGGAGACCATCAAGAAGGGCATACTGGCCAAGCTCGACGCCGCGAGCCCCATCGCGAGGGGCATCTTCTGGGCCGCGTACGGCTTCAAGGACTTCATGATCAGGAACGGGCTCCCGGGCGCCGGCATGCTGGACGGCGTCTTTAGCATGGTTCGCGAGCAGGCAGGCGGCGCCCTGCGGATCACGGTCAGCGGCGCCAGTCCCGTGTCCGACAGCACGAGGCACTTCCTCAGCATGGTTCTCGCGCCCATGATTGTGGGGTACGGGCTCACCGAGACGACGGCCAACGGGCTGCTGGGCTGCCCCTTGGAGTACTCGCCGGATTTCATCGGGCCTGTGGGGGGCTCTGTCGAGATCAAGCTCGTGTCGCTGCCTGAGCTCGGGTACTTGACGGATGCCCCGAACCCGACTGGAGAGATCTGGATAAAGGGTCCTTCTGTTATGCAGGAGTATTACAACGATCCCGAGGAGACGATCAAGGCCTTCACGGTGGACGGTTGGTTCAAGACCGGGGATGTTGGCGAGTTGAATCCTCAAGGTCATATGCGCGTCATCGACCGAGTGAAGAACCTCGTCAAACTTCTCGGCGGCGAATATATATCTCTGGAAAAGCTCGAGTCCGTATATCGAGGGTCGCAGATGGTGACCAACGTCATGATATACGCTGACCCGGAGCGATCGCGCCCCATTGCCGTCGTCACACCCAACGACAAGGCGCTGTTGGAGGTCGCAAAGGGCCTTGAGGTCGAAGAGGATAGCATCCATTCGAGCCCCCAGATTGTCGAGGCTATTCTAAAGGATCTCCAGCACGTTGGCCAGACGGGTGGTCTGACCAGCCTGGAGACCATTGCTGGAGTGGCGGTCATTGACACTGAATGGACTCCCCCAACCGTAAGTACCAGCTCGAGATATCTATGAATCCGATGACACGACAGCCACTGACAATGTTCACAGGGTCTCGTTACGGCAACACATAAACTCAACAGAAAGGCGATCTGCGATAGATTCAAAAAGGAAATAGACGAGGTGCTCAAAGCAACATCCCATTGAAACGACTGAATGACAAAAAATGGCGTTGAAGGATGATTCTCTCTTGTTAAAATAATTATAGTTTATAATACTGTATGATTATAGCCTGATAGTTTAATAATAGACACTTGACTAGAGGTTTGCGGCAAGCTCAACGTACTTGAACCACTCAATTCAGAAGGCATTGAAAGTATATGAAGAGTGCCTCAACAAGACAGATACTGGTCACGCCTTGATGGAGGAAATACAGTTGGATGAGAGAGCAACCCAATGACGAGGTGCATGCTCATCGTGTTGATCATTCGAAGAGACAGAGCTGGACAGGGGGCTTCCTTTAATGGAGAGATGCGCACACCTGTCATACGTCTCATACACCATGGCGTATTCGAACCTCCATCCACTCCCATGGCACTGAATGCACTTTGTAGTAATTGGCAACATTCAAAGGTAGGCATCTTCTATGGCCTCGCATTTTAAGGCAAGAGACAAGAGGGAAGAGTGCGCAGCTGCCAAGGGCTCCTTAAATGCCATGGAGAAAGACGGTCTCGGCCGTATTATATTGCAATTTTCCTAAATACGATGCTTAATCCAAACAAAACATCAAATCGCTCGAGCCCAAAACGTAACAAATCACCCTGGATGAACCTCCCTATCCCCTATGCGTGGTATCAATGTTGGAGGTGACTATTGGTGCGGAGCCTGCGGGTGAGGCTGGTGAAGCGGCGGCGATGACTGCTGAGGAGGCGGAGACTGCTGGGGATAAGGTTGCTGGTCGTACTGTTGCTGGTCGTACTGTTGCTGGTGGTATGGCGGCTGAGCGTAAGGCTGCTGCTGGGGGTAGGGTTGCTGTTGAGGGTAAGGCTGTTGAGGATAGTACGCCCCTTGCAGCTCGGCGGGTTGCGTCTGGTGCGCGTATCCGGGCAGCTCCGGTACGTACACGGATCCTACTTGGGTGGAGGGAGTCGGCGTCGTCTTTTGGGGCGCATATGCCTCGGTGTAGGCATGGGGATGGCCCATGTTGGGCTGGGCCATCTGGGGAGCGCCGGGTGATGGCTGCTGCGGAGTCTGAGTCTGCTGCTCGGCGTTGCGCTTCCGTAGGAGCTTGACGATCCAGATGAGGAGGATCACGATGGCAATGGCGGCCAGTCCACCGATGATGGGACCCGCGATCCATGCGAGGTTCTGTCCGCCGCCTGACTGGTCACTTCCCCCGCTGCCGCCGATGGCAGTTCCAGTCGCCGCGCCCGTGCTTGTCGTCGACGATCCAAACACAATGATTCTTGTGCCATCCGTGCTCGTCGTCTCGTCCCCTGCTGACGACGAGCTTGTTGCGGTCGAGGTTGAGGTCGAAGTAACGGTCGTGGTCCTCGTGGTGGTCCTCGCGGATGATGAGGATGTCGAAGCACTTGTTCCAGGAGTCCTGAAGTACGTCAACCGAGGCGTCGTGGCTGAACCCTGGAAACATCGAATGATTCCGAGGTAGGAGGAGGCGCCCGGGCTCTCCATTACTGTAGCAGTGTCGCATACTGGATACGGCGAAGTGCTGAACCCTCTCGGTTAGATATTGGAACATGATCAGGTCGGCGCGGACCTCTATCCGTCAGACAGTACAACACTTACCACACAACGGTAGTGGAAGAATAGAGGACGGTGCCCACACCAGAGCATCCCGTGGGAATACCTCGCTGGTCAGCGCAGGCCGCCCAGTTCCCCAAAGTAGTATAAGAGTTTGGTGAGCATCCTACAGATGCATCTGGGAAACATCAAAAGTTAGTCCTGTGTCTTAATATCCTGTCAAGCAAGGAGAGTTCTCACATGAGGAGCCGGCGCTCGTCCAACCCAAGAGATCATCCGCCTGGCGCAGATCCAACTCATTATGCTCCGGAGCCTGTGTGATCTGCGGCTCAGTGGGCTGACCACTGACGTTAGGTAGCAAGGCGAGGCCAAGCAAGCCGGCGAGAAGAAACATGGCCACCATGATTTCGGCTGAGCGTGAACCAGCTGCCGGGAACCTGCGAGGATTACGGTGGCTTGGAGAGGATCAAAGACATGAGGGGCTCGATGGGCATAAATGAAAAGCATTCCGGGCTGGGATCTGCTCTAGACCGGCGCCTTGGGAGGCCGATCTAACCCATTCATTTAAAAAGCTGCATGGGGTCGAAGAAGTGCTTATTGGTTTGGGAGGAGAGCTGAGCCTGGCGTGCATATGGAAATGATAGTCTGACGCATCCAGCAAATAAGCTTCTCGCATGATGCGGAGACCAAGGCTTAGCTCGCCCAAGAGGCCCAGGGTTGAATCCAGCTTGATTCATCTATGCAGCCACCCCGACGGGCTTGGCTGGCTTGGCTCGTCAACATTGCCCCCCTCCAGCAACGGTCAACCATTGGCATGGGAAACAAGTCCGTCACGCGGAGAAATGGGGAATAACGGCTCTCCTATCCCGATGTATTTATAGCTTGAGAGGTACTCAATACCATTCGATATCCACACCGTCAAACGGCTCAGACAATGGTCTTTGTTCCTTGGCCATATTCATCCTTCCGCAGGTCCATGCTTCCTCAGAGGCACAGACCACGCTAGTAGGGATATCAGCCCTGTTGTGTGGTGCTCTTCTCTGGACTGGTTGCAAGTTCTGCATGTTCTGCTCACTTGACTGTCTGCTCCAGCTGGCTGCTTCACACATTCGCCTACTAGGCAGTTCACATCAAGAGAATAAGCCCTGATGGAATACGGGCGATGGGAGACTGTATTGGCAGCAGAATGGTAGCGATAGAGATACATCTTTTTCTCGCTGATATTCACGATGCTAATGCCCCTTAACCAAAGTCCCCGTAGAGTATCAGCCTGTACCCGCGTATGAAGACGACACCGCTGAGCATTTAGCATATGGTTCAGACAGCCTCAGCGCGCAGGTCTGGCTTCCCGCTGCATTTCCAGAGGATCCAGCACATGGCCAGATGCTCTGACGTGCGCTAAATTCGGTGTGTAATTTGCTGACGAGCGACATGTCACCACCTTGAGGTTGGGGCTTGGGAAATCAATTCGCTGGATCGCAAATCTTCAAAACCCAGCGAGAAATGAGAGCCTTCCCAAGTCATTTGTGCTGAAGACGGACATGAAGCTCCTACTATGGCCAGTTATTGCATCCAGCCATCTGGGTAAACACAACAACCTTCTTCAGCCGGATCTTTTACTTCGGTTGCGGTGCCGAGATGCCCCAAATGCCCGAGTGGATCAGCCCTGCAAGCCCTGTTTCAGATTTATTGACGCTTGTTGTTTTTCAGGGCTCGGTGCTTGGGCAGCGACAAGGGCGATGAGATGAGAGTGGGCAGTCAAGCCAGTTTTCTCGCGCCGTGGTCTTGAAAAGGAAATGGTCATCAATTGAGCCAAGTATCTGGCTTCCATCACTATCGCTAACATTTCAAATCGTAGGCTAGTCAATTTGCCAATAATTAAATCATATCCCCGAACCAAAATCTACCGCCCGTCCTCCATATCAGACCCAGAAAATGATCCGTGACGAGGCGTCAAAGCGCTCTGTATAAAGTCTTCTAGTTCCCCGATTGGAGTCCCCCGTCGGTCATACCAGGGGCGCAGCGCAGCAGCCGCGTCCTGAGAACGTTGACTCGGAACGAGCTCATACGGATGGTTCACCGCGCGCAGTGCAGACCCGGTCAAAACCTCCCTTCGCTTGAGCAGCACCTCGATAATGTCCTCTTTTCCCTTTCCCGCAGCGTAGTCCAGCGGAGTCTTGCCGGACGCATCTGGCAGGTCTGCGTTGATGGCCGGCAGGGTGAGCAGGTCTCTCACCATAAAAGCGTCCTCCGCCTTGCATGCAATCGACAGTGCCGGTGATGAACCAGGGCCGAAGAAATTCACGTCGACCAGGCCGGTCTTGGCTAGCTCTTCCATAACATCGCGGTGGCCGTAAGTTGCAGCGTGGAGGAATGGTGTGAGGTTATTGCGGTCTGGTTTGTCCAGCTCGACGCCTTCCTTCTCGATCAAGACTCGAACGATGCCTGCTTGGCCCCTACGTGCAGCAATGGCGAGAGGGGAGCCGATAACATGCGGAGGGTTTGCGTTTATCCAGACGCCCTCCGCAGCCAGCAGCACTTTGGCGGCTTCTTCCTGTCCAGCTGACGCTGCAAATGTAAGGGCGGTGTTGCCGCAGTAGACCTCATTCACATCAGTCCCCCTTGCCAATAACATCTGCACCACTTCGGTCATTCCATTGGTGGCAGCCTGCTGGAGAACGGTGAGGTCGCGGGGTGACCCCGCGTCAAGATCAATCCCTTCAGTGTCGAGCAGAAGCCTCACCGACTCCGTCTGGCTGAATTTGACCGCTCGCCGCAATGGTGTGAACCCGGCGACGTCGATGGAATTGACATTCACTTTGCCCGTGCTGATGAGCGCCCTCATTATCTCCAGGTGGCCACCTTCAGCGGCCTTTGACAAGGGCGTCGAGCCACCCGAGTCCTTTGCGTCGGGGTCGATGCCCTCGAGGGCGAGCAGGATGCGACAGACTGGCAGCCTTCCTTGTGCGGCCGCCTGGAAGAGGAGGGTGATTCCTTGTTTATCCTTGGCAAATGGATCGAACCGACCCGAGTCGAGGAGCACACGGAACACGGCCTCGTTTCTGAGAACTGGAGGGGAATAGAGCATGCTGCGTCCAAATTGCCCCGTCTTGGTGATGTCGAGATCCGCGTCGATGGCCAGCTGGAGCTGAACCAGGCCGGCGTGGCCATAGAAGACGGCCTCCTGGAGTGCCATGTCGGCAAGCTTCCTGCTGTTCTCTGACTTCTTGGCATTGGTGGCCTGCATGGCCTTCCTGAAGGTCTCCAGAGGGCCGCCGGACCTGGCGGTGCGGATCAAGGCGAGGCGGCGATAGACCTCGCCATAGCCATGCTTGCTGTGGTCATATCTGCCAACGTTGCGGGCATAGAGATACGGGTTCAGCTGGGCGTACAGCTGGCGGTTGGTGCGAGCGAGGGCGTTTACGTCGCCGTCCTTCTCGAGATAGGAGCCGACATCCACGACCAGCTCGGTGGGCATATCATGGATCCCCATCGTGTTCGGCCCGCCGCGATGAAGCGCGAGTGAGCTGGTGATGGCTGGCAATCGATCGCTTGGGGGGGAAATGAAGATATCAATGATGCCAGCCTGAAGGTGATGAGGCGAAGTGTGAAGGAGAACTTTGGGAGTTTTGGAGGAGCTTTTAGGCAACGGCCCCTCTGAAGCGTTGCATAGCCCCACCCCAACCAACAGCATGAATATCAAATAGGAGGACAGACATGAGCAGAGCTACAGCCAATGTTCCTTTGTGAGTAATACGGACAGATTATTGTTGGGGAATGGAACGTCATTAATTCTCACTAATATACACCCTGCCAAATTACCACGGCTGGATCTTGCCGTCCCTCAGAATGACCTTTCCTACATGGCCATCTCGTTTGCCCTCCAGCACCTCCCGCACAAACGGCCCAGCAACAACTGGATCTTGAGCGCCTTGGCTCTTGTTATGTTCGCTGCCTTTGCCCAGCCCAGACGCCAGATAACCGGGTGACAGCGCCCAGACTTTGACGCCATCATTGTGCAGCAACCTCGCCCAATCCCTACAGACAGAAGACGGTTAACAAATTTCGCAAAGGCGTGCTTACTTGGAGAAAAAAATCCTACCTCATCATCATGTTCATGCCAGCCTTGGATGATCGGTAGGCGGCCATGTTGGGAGCATTCTTAGGCCAGCCCTTGGGCGGGAATTGGTCGATAGGCAGAATCTGCTTCTCGGCGTTCTCGAGAGATGATGTCCCGCTAGCCAAGAACAGCAGCCTGGGGTCCGAGGACTTGAGCAGAAGGGGGACGAATGTCAGTGTCATTATATGGGTGCCAGCGGTGTTGACGTCCCAGCTCTTGGCCCAGGCCTGGCGGAGAGACAGGCCGCCTTCTGTGTCAAACATGGCGCCTGAGCATGGGCGTGAACGGTGTTAGCCACGTCTTGAGACGAATATATATAAGGCTAGGTGAAGTGACATACCTGCGTTGTTCACCAGAGCATCAAGGCGACCATACTTGGACTGTACGGTCTCAAAGGCAGCCTGGATGGAGTCGTCGCTCTCCACATCTACCTGGATGGCGACAGGAGTGCTCTTTGTCGAGGGGAACTCAACGAGGACATCCTTGGCTGCCTGTTTGGCCTTTTCAATCGAGCGCCCGCCCACGAGGATTTCATAGGCTTGAGCAGAGTCGCAGAGAGCGCGGACCATCTGGTAGCCCAGCCCGGTGTTGGCGCCGGTGATGAGGACGATCTTCTTGTCCATGGTGCAGATGTGATTCCTTGAAGAGTAATAGTAGGTATTAGATATTCTCGATACTAAGTGAAAACGACTGGAACCTGGAACGAGACGGCTCTCTCTCTTATACGTCAAGCCCATCACCAGTATCGTCCGTCTGGGCGCTAAACCCCGCCAAGTGAAGCCGCTTCTCGGCCGACATCTCCGTCGCCGATCTCCACTGACGGAATGTTTACCTCTTCCCTCTCTCTCCCTCACGCTTGAAGATCGGAGTTAGGTCAAACTCTCCCATATCGATGATACAATTTCCTAATCAAGCCGTCACCGAACCGCGTGGGGCCTCTGTAAAGCGTCAATCCTCCTCCACGGCCCACAGCAAGTGGCCATGACCTCTCAAACAGTCAGTCGCGGCATCACTCGGAACAGAGAGCGCCTGGCCTGCACCGAATGCCGTCGCCGGAAGCTCAAGTGCAATCGCTCTCTCCCCTGTAGTGCCTGTACTCGGCGTGGCGCCGGTGATTCCTGCACCTACCAGCGGTTTCCCAGTGGTGAGGGCGAGCCCAAGGTACGCGCCGAGGAGAGACTCGAGCAGCTAGAGAAGATTGTCAAGAATCTCATCAGCGAAAGCCCCAATGATGTCTCGGCAGCAACATCGTCGGCCTGGGAGGATACAGTACACGTAGCCTCGTCTTCGTCGAGCTCCAGCCAACAGCCAGGATCGACGCATCTGAGCTCTGCTCTGGAAGATATCGAAGAGTTGAGGTCGGCTATTGCAGCCAACGGTGAAGACGATGAACAGCCAGTAGCCAGCGTTCATCAGCATCAGATTCTTGAGCCCGTGGGCATTTTGTTTGGATCATCCTCGCCAATGACCCTTCAGAAAATCCTGGCTACATATCTCCCCTCGAGGCAAAATGTCGACCGTCTCATCTCCGCGTACTTCAGAGCCCAGTCCATTGCCGCACCATTCATCCATTCCCATCACTTTAGAAGGCTGTATGCCTCGTTCTGGGCTGACCCATTGAGGACCTCGCCAAACTGGATTGCCATTCTCTTCTCTATCTGCCACATCTCAATCAACGCTCTCAAGCTCCAGGTTGACGACGGCCCACCGGGCAAGAATTCCAGGTTCTCTCAGGCAGCTGCATATTGCCTGGCTCTCGGAGAGTACTACCGCCCCAAGCCCTTTGCAGTCGAGGCTCTCCTCCTCTTCATACAATCACACTGCCTCACGAGCCTGATCCTCCCACCGGACACTGCACCCGTGATCGGGACCCTGATACGCGTCGCGACAGCCATGGGCTACCACCAGCCGCCAACGCGCCCAGACATCCTCACCCCCTTCGAGTCGGAGATGCGCCGGCGGACGTGGTCCCTCTGCATGCAGCTCGACCTGCTCGTCTCTTTCCATCTGGGCTTACCGAGCGCGATGAGATTCTCCAGCTGGCCGTGCGAGCCTCCCAGAAATCTCAGCGATTCCGACTTTGACGAGTCCAGCCTGGAGCTGCCCCCCTCGAGGCCAAGGACGAATCCCACGGGGACGGTCTTCATCATCGAAAAGCACAATTTCATGGTCGTCTTTGATAAAATCCAGCACCACGCACTATCCGCCCGGTCACGTCCCCCACAAGACGTAGAAGACGAACTCGTCGAACTAGACTCGGAGATGCGAAGAGTCCACAACGAGCTCCCGCCGGCCCTGAAGCCGCTGGCCATGAAGGACTCCGTCTTCGACTCCCCCAACATCATCGTGACGCGGCTCTGCGTCACGTTCCTCTACTGCAAGTGCCTCATCGTGCTCCACCGCCAGCACGTCCTGACCAACCGCCCGGGCAGCCTGAGGACGTGCTACGAGGCCTCGGGGCTGCTCGTCCGGCACTTCTGCGACTCGTACGACGAGTTCGCCCCGGGGGGCCAGGTGGAGAGCGAGAGGTGGTTCATGTCCAGCCTGACGGTCCACGACTTCCTGCTCGGGGCCGTGGCGCTGTCGCTCGTGACGCTGGCGAGCTCGCGGGCCGACGCTTCATATACCGTGGACAGGGAGGTCGCGATGGGCCTGCTGGAGAGGAGCCGGGACATCACGGTCAGGCTGGAGCCTACGAGGGGGCCGGAGACGGGGCATGTGCGGCAGGTGATTGAGAGCACGCTCCAGCAGCTGCAGGCGTCTGGTCCGTCGTCGCCCTTCTTGCCCGACAAGGCGGTGCCTTCTACGTCTGATGATTTCCGGATGGATTGGGATATGGGGCCGCAGGACACGGCCGACTCGCTCTGGGACGAGTTTCTTGCCCAGTATTTGAATATGGATGGAGAGGAAATTATACCATTCTAGAATTACATGTATTCATGTGTGGCTTCACCTTGTCACGAATAGCGATGGGTTTTGAGGTCCCAATCTGTAAATTGAGTAAAGATCAAGTCCAGTGGGACAAAAGGCAGTATAAAAACAAAGAATTTCAAAGAACGAATACGAGAAATTATCTTTTTGTTGAGCTTGGACATCAATTCAAGGCCAAAGAATAATGCCCAGCCAGAACAAAGAATTCAACGACATCAGGGAACCAAAACAAAGGACCACCAGGGCGCTTATTGGGTAACCGAAAGCTGGCTGTTCACTGGCTCACGTCTGCAATGGCTGAAACCGCCCTCAAACGCCGCGCGCGACACTCCAATTACCTGCAGCGCACGGGCAGACCGCTGCTTGCCGTCCACTGTTCGGCCCATGTGCATAACACGAGGGCGCCTGGAAGCCAATACATCGCCTACAAGACGCATGATTGAACACGCAGCCAAGAGCCAATCAATATGATATGGGCTCCTTGCCGCCGCGGGGTGGAAGCTCAGGCGTTGGATTGGTTGGGACTTTGTCTTGGGACGCGCCGACAAAGATCTTTATACGCGCCGGGGCCGCCTAAAACTGGATCTTCGCTGCAAGTTAGGGTTATCCCTTCACTGGAGGCTCGTCAGTGAATCACCCAGTCGAATGAAACGGCCCAGTCTGAGCGAGGGCGAGGCGCAGCTCTCGACTTTGTCCTGTCAGCGTCCGCCGTCGACCCAAATTACCCAGTCTGGCGGCTCTGGCATCGCATATGTATCCATGTTCTTTGAACATCGTCCTATTATTAGACAGGCACATGCGCGCATCAGTCAATCAGCCAACACGAATGCTCAATTGAGTAAGATGCGTACGTTTGTGCCGAAACATTGGAAGCAAACAAATATAACCCAACCAACCCCATCCCATATGGATTCCGAATATGAGAGTCTGGTAGGCTTTTCTACGAATCTCTCGTTTACTTCCAAGAAAAGCTGCAAAAATGGACATCGCCGGCTTCTTCTGGTACAACATGGCGCTGCTCACCGTCCTGGGCATCGCCATTATCACCGCCGGAGTCCTCGGCATCCTCACCTGCTGCAGAGCCCGCCGCCGTGACGACCTTGCTCGATCCGCTCTGCCCTGGCTCAAAGCGACAGCCAGCATGACAATTCTCTCTCAGCTTTTCTGGCTCATCGGCAGCGGCCTCCTTATGATCTACTATGCCTTTACTTCTTCGCCTTCTTCTCTCTCGTCGAGTGAGGCCCTGGAGCTCAGGCTCGCCTACCTTAAGAACCTGGCCTCGTTTTTCCGTAAACCTGAAAATACCGATTTGTTCAGCAACCCAATCATCAGCCCGATAGCTATAGGCCAGGTCCAATGCTTTGCTCTCCTGTTTGAGGTCGTTGCCTCTGCCTTGTTCATCGCTACCCAGTTCGAGTTCACTCTCGGCCTACAAGCTCTTTCCGAAACAGCCTCCTCTTTGGACACGTCCGCCTCTTCCGTGGACACGACCGCATCCTCGATTTCGAGCTTCTTCAAGATGAAGCCCCGCGTCTGGAGCCTAGCCCCGTTCATCACCATCATGGTCCTCGCCACCGGTCTCTTTGCTGCTCAGCAGGTTTATGTAACGGGGAGCAGTATGTCGGCCAACATAATCAACGCCTTTGTTTTAGTGGTGTATATCGCTCTGGCGCTCGCTGCAATCGCCTCTCTCGCTTTCACCATCCTCAAATCCCGGGGTTTCCCTTACGGTCATAAAGAGGTGAGTAAATCATCAGCAGCGATTTTTAAACGGCGTCTGCATCAAAGCAAGAAATCTAACCCTTCTCCAGCTTCGATATTATCTGCTTTCTCTCAACTCCATAACCGTTACTCGTCACATCTGCACGGTGGTCCTCGCAGGTATGAGCGGTGGCTACGTTGACGGTCTCTGGAAAGGCCAATCCGACGGCGCGCCCTTCGTTCGAGTCATCGCCACGCACCTCCTGTCTACCATCAGCCTGGGCATCGCATATGGCATCGCGACGAAGAAGCATGAGGGGCTTTGGGCGAGCGAAATATACCGCCACTACGTCAAAGCTTGATCTTCCCTGAATATGGATTGCTTTTTCTTTCCTGCATAGCGTGGAGTTTGGGTCTTTTTTTCTTCCTCTTCTTACTTTTCTTCTTTTCTCTCCTGTTCTTCTTCTTTCTTCCATTTCTCCTCTCCTCTTCTACTTTCTCTTCATCTATTTTTATTTCTTCAGAATTTCTTTTGTCTTAGAGGCAGTATCTCTCTAGGTGTGATAAACGGCGTTAGGCTTACATTATACAAAACGGGAAGGGCATTGGGTTGTCTCATAGACGGAACTTACGAATGATACCTGCCTATTCATATAGGCCATCAATAGAATTCTCTATTCTTTAACAAGTAACAAGACGCACTGTAAAGCTTTTAAATCTCCAGTTAAAGTGTTTCAACTGTAAGTTCTCGTGTTCTCTTCGCTAGAGTCTCGATTTTCTACATATCCACGCCATGAAACCAATCCTTATTCCCGAATTCATTCGCAAGGCGATATATATTTACTTCATGCACGTCCAATTCAGAAAGAACTTTTTCCGTCAACGGGCTTGCCGTAAGCTGCCGCAGCCCCGGCACGTCCAACTCGTCAGGGTCGCATTCAAACTCGTGGAGCGCGAGCCAAGTTGGAGGATCCGGCGGGAGTTCGTCTGTGGAAGCCGCCAGGCCCTTGAGCACCCTCGACTGCGCGTTTGTTCGCGCGTAGGCGAGCTTGAAGCGGGTAGTTCGCAGATATCTCTTGTTCTTGGAGAGCAAATCGCAATGCTGTGAAGAATGGTTAACCAGGTGTTCCGACTGATTTTCATCAGGCTATAAGACTCCGATGAGAAAAGCGAGCGAACCTCTTCACGGTACCATCGGTCCAGGTCCTGTGATGAAACACCTTCCTTCAACCGGGAAGCAACAACTACCAGGGCTTTGGCGGCTCCTCTCCCCTTTTGGGTCTTGTCATATACATGGACCAGGTTGTCGTAACGGACGTCCACATCAGCCAAATCGTAGATGATGCCGGGGCTGGGGAGTATATTGCTCTGAACGCGAATTTTGCGAAATTCGTCACTGAGAAGAAAAGCAAGGTCATCTAGGGCGTACATGGCCAGATACGGCTTTTCTGCCTCGGGGTCCACGTGAACAAATCGTCGCGCCGAGTTGATGCCGCTCGTTTCGACAACCTCGGCGATATGATCCTCTTCGTACCATTTTATATAGGTTGGTACATCAAGAATATCAGGTCTCGAAATCTTCGATGTGACAAAGAGTATGCCCTTCCCTGCTATCGATGGTGAAGGTGTAGCCATGATGTTGAGCGAGCAGATTATGGGAAATAAGTTCAAGTCTGGATCAGAATTCAAAAGATAATTCAGATCATCATCGAAGTATTTCCACCTAAGGAAAGGAACGATAGCCTTTTCTTTGACTAGAATTTCGGTTTCAACAAGCGGCTATCTTTTGCCTCGGACTATCAAATCGTTCAACTCCACAACCTCGGAATTAGATTGCCATTGTAATTTTTTTTTATCTTGAAATCAAGACGTCACTTTTTTCCGGCCATAATCAAACTTATTTTAATGTTTGAATTTCGCTTGATTCCCACTCTTCATTCCAAACTCATAGCGCATGCGCATACCGGGATCTCCGTACGCTTCTTTGTATTTCTCATGTCATATTTGAATCGATGATAATAAAATCGGAATGTATTATCGTCTCTAATATTCTTCATGTTAATGTATCATATATGCTTGTTTTCCTCGCTTGGGGACTTGCAGGGGATAAGAAAACAGCTTTCGGATATTATTACCCACCACTTCCGGGAGTCGTCAACCAGCGAGAGCGAAATAATCATCAGGACGTCAATTAACATCTGCGTTGAGGCGAAAACAAGTAAATTACAAGGACCATGGTATGAGAAATATGATTCTTGCGTTATACAACACATTCCCATATCAGGAGACCCAAGCCACCAAAGTCGCGATAGTGCCTGAAAGATGCGACGCGTTCTACCTCAAGAGGTTGCGCATGCTCAACGCGCCTTCGTTTACGAAAATGAATATTGCTAAAAATTTGACTTCATTAGCTCAGGCTGCAGGAAAATCTACGATAAAATTGGAGAACAAGAAGCAAATTGAACAAATCATTTAAATGGCCCCGCCCGGCCGGGAATTTCTCTACGAACGCGATCAGGCAATGATGCTGTCGCTTCCCAGATATCGAGCGGAGGGAGGCTTACTCGCCGCTCAGACGGGCTAATCTTTACTCTTCGGCCATGCATCGTTGCGGAGCTCATAGGAGCTTCTCATCGATGCAGAACATGGCGACTTTGGCGATTGATGAGGAAGATCTCGACAGCTGGATTGCCCTAGAATGAGCTTGCAGCGGTTGCGGCTTGGATCGTGAGAGTGCTCGCTAACAAGGGCGCAAACGCGTTGTCAAACGTCAAAAGGTGGGACGCTCTAATGATTGCTTCGGCCAACGTCTACTCTGACATTGTGGAGGTGTTGGTTGGTGCAGGAGCCCAGAATCAACGTGGTGACTTTGAAAGGTGGATGCCGTTGGGTGCGGCAGCGAGCGAAGGTCATTTGGCGACGATTGCAGCGCTTCTGGATGGAATTTCGTTTGATTATCAGGAAGAACCCAGTAAATTGGCTCTAATGAGGGCTTGCGAAAATGGACATTTGGAAGCATCAAACTGCCTGTTGGGAGGGGTCCCTACCCAAGGCTCGCGACTAATAATAGCTTCGCTCTCCATGGCCTCCCACTTCAGTTGGCTCAGATTGTTGATTTTCTTCCCACCCAGGGCTAAACGATGCATCTACCTACCTATGCGATAGTGAACGGATTAATCCACTCTTGACATCAGTTATGATAACCGGCTGCAGCACCCGTGGTACTGGAAGGCCCGCCCAAAGTAAGAGTCTACAGTGTATTATCTCAGTCGGTGCATGAGCTGAAAACATCCCCAATTCAAAAGGTAAAAATGGACAGGGATGCTGCGAATTGATTTTCAACGACACATCTAAGACTTCGTCAGATCCGAGGCTACACATCAAATGTACCTAGGCGTACAATAAGATCGCAAATTGAAAACCTCATTACGCGCTTAATTTAGCATTGCTATCAATTACATGATCGGAGTCATCCAATTTTTGATAATGCTGAAGTTCATTGTTTACTTGATCCCAACATGGCAAAAAGCTGCTCAGCTTGTGGGTCATCAGGGTCTAGACAAAAATAAATGCCCCCATGAACAATAAACACTCACGCGAAGACAGCTAGTGCACTGTGATGAACACGGGCCCCCGTACGAGTCCCTAGCCCTATGACTGTTTTCATCTGGGGTTGATGGCTCATCGCCTGAAATAGCACGATTCGTCTCCTTATCCAGGCATGCGAGGGGAGCGAGCTATAGGGTAGCCAGCTGCGCATTTAGGGCACAGCTAAAAATAGGCTTCAGGGCCCGGCATCGTGAATAAGCGTGCGAACTTGCAAGGTAATTAAACGTGCTCCACGGCAAACAAACGGGGATCGCATCTTTTTTTATCGCGGGAGAATGGGCTGAATTAGATAATATCGATCCATTTAGCTGGTGCTTACACGCGAGGGGATCTACGACTGGGGATGTAGTGTCAATCTCCGTTTGTTGGCTCATGGGCTGCCTCGCATGCGAAATACGGTGAGCGGGGGAGCAGCATGTGTGGAATTGTGAATCACATCTCAAGCGAGGCTTTACGTGCATCAGTCGCCACAATTCACGGAGGTGTGTGTCTGTTTGATAACGGTTTGGATTTTTCTCCTTCACAATCCGGAAAAATTTGTGCAGACTGGAGGTCAGATGAGCGATTGCTAGAGCAGACGGGCATGACTTGAAACGATTTGCCACTCTCCCGTCTCTTGTGCAGTTTCACAACTTTTGCGGTGCTTGTTCAAGTTGTGTGTGTCCGTCTGGATCAGCGACGATGCTCGTTTCCAGCGGATAAACTTGTGCATTTAGTGCGTAAGCCGCCTGTCTACAGGGCCAGCTCAGCTAAAAATGGTGCGCTGGGATCTTTCCGAAGCCCAACGGCAACGGGTGAGCCCCACTTTCTGCCTCTCCGCCCCGGCTCGTAGAGGAGAATGAGATCAACATGTCAGACAAGCAACTCTCAGATGGCGTCCAGCAGAGTATAATAGAGTCCAACATCACGGATGGTAGATGAGGTTTTTTCCAGACATCAAACAAACAATCAAACAATCTTCTCTACTACCATTCAGCAAAGCATCATCAGCTCAAAGCACCATCAGCTTACCACTGCTCCATCAACAGCCTCATTAACAAACCATCTTCTTTATATCAAACTCTTTCTACCACACACATTCACAATGGCCACCGCACGCCTGGGATTGAGCGAGAACGTCTGGACTGCCACCTCCGCAGCCAACAACAACAAGTTCGCTCGCACAGGCCGCTCCTCCAGCGTCAGCTCCGGCTACAACTCGCGCTCCCACTCCCGCGCCTCATCGCGCAGCTCCCGCCGCAGCTACGTCACCCTCATGAACGACTTCATAGAGGAGGAGTACATTGAGAAGTCCTCCATCTGGGACATCCGCGAGGAGTCCAGCGACGACACCCGCTTCTCCGAGAACCCCATGGCTGCCGGCGTCCTCGACGACCAGTACCTCTTCCAGTCTCTCAACAGCATCCTCTCCGGGGAAGTTCCTCAGCAGCAGCCCAGGAGCGCATCCAGCTCCGTCACCAACTCGCCTCGACCCTCCATCTAAACAGGGGCCGACAATGAGTCGCATCTTCGCCGATCGCGGGCTCTGGTAGCACCGCCAGGCAACTTCTCCAATCTGGGGGATTGACCTGCTTGGTCTTCCTCATTTTTTATCTTCACTTCAACCAGACTGATCCAGTCACCTTTTTTATCTACTTCATGAGCCTCGCTGGTTCCGAGGCAGCGGCCATCACCAATGGCTGCATTTATCCCCTCTTACTTTTGCTTTTTTCCTCTTCTTTTTCCTTTGTACCAGCGACGAATACCCAGTGGTTTTTAACGAAAAATGATGCATTGCTTGGTATGGGGGACAAGTTCAGGGTGTTTTTATTATTTCCTTTCCTTTTCCTTTTTTCTTTTCCTTTTTTCTTCATCTCTTTTCTTCATCTCTTTTCTCTTTCATTGTCTATTTGATCCTCTTGTTGGGCGCAATGGCATTTACATATTTTATATTTCAAATTTATAAAAATTTCATACTTTTAAACAATCTTCTTGAACCAATCCTCTTGCACATGTCTTCTGTCATCTCGTGAGTAAAGGCGCAGTGGTGAAGTTTGATTGATCATACTGCGACCCACCGACATCATACGGAGTCTGACATGCTGAACTGGAGGTTATTTATCGCGTTGGTGACGATTTCAGAAGCAATAAATAACAAGAACAAGGTAGGCTTAGAAACAGGCGACGTTTTAAGTTCAATATTTGATTTCCCCCAGGTTATGATGACAAACAATAACCGTTGAGGTATCTTGGCATGTCACTTCTCATGTTACCAGCACACCATCATGCCTGACCGGTGTGACAATGCGGAGAACGAAACCGCCATGATACCCTCCACTCGACGAAATAGGTCCCTGCGCCCTCGCTAAACCTCATCACGAGCATCGGAAGGAACACGAGACGTCGGCAGGCTCGGCAGACTCGGATCTCTGGCTTCTGGCATCGTCGCGCGACTGATCATTGCTTTTTCTCTTTACCGACGACGCGGTGACGACATTCTGGATTGATAACCAGTGGGGGACTTTGGGATTTGGTTGGCTGGAATCGCGCTACAGCACCAGAGTCGTGATTTGGACTTGGATCACGCAATCTCTGGGTCCGACCGAGCCCGATCCGATTGACTAGAAGGCGCAATATGCAACTCTAATCCGTTGACGTGTGCCAGAGATTAAATACCGAGCTTCGGAGCGTCGATGGAGACGGTAGAAGTGTGTATATAGATGCCTATATAGCCCAATTGGTTGCTGGAATTGGCAGTTCATCCATCCACGTACCAACATCTCCCACTGAATCCATCACCAGCACATATCTCTTTAATCCATCTACTTGAAATCATGGCTCCCGGAGCATTGGTCGCCGACCCTCTCCACGACGGACTGCCCACCGTCAAGAGGACAGAAGCCCCGCGCTCCATCTTCCCCGATGGAATCCGCACGTCTGGCCAGCATCCCCCGCTGTACGACCGCCTCAGGCCCTATGCAGACTTCCCCAAGGAGATCTCCGGCCCGACGCTGTGGAAGAGGGAGACGTACGAGAACAACCCCGAGCGCTGGACGCACCCCTTCACCGACGAGGAAGTCCAGGAGCTGAGCGACACTGCCGATGCCTTTATCGCGAGCGGCACTCCCCTAGAGGGTATATCCAAGGTTGGCCTCAATTCAACCTCAATTCATCTATTTCACATGTGGCTAACCATCACGCAGGAAAACTTCCCGCTCCCCAAGCTGAGCAAGGTCCTCGGCGCCCTCCGCGAGGACCTCATCAACGGCAAGGGCTTCATCCTCTTCAAGCGCTTCCCGGCCCAGGAGTGGTCCCCGCGCAAGAACGCCGTCGCCTACATGGGGCTGGGCACCTACATCGGCTACTTCCTCTCGCAGAACGGCCTGGGCCACGTCCTCGGCCACGTCAAGGACGTCGGCGACGACGCCACCCAGATCGACAAGGTGCGCATCTACCGCACCACCGCCCGCCAGTTCTTCCACGCCGACGACGGCGACGTCGTGGGCTTGCTCTGCGTCCACCGCGCGGCTGAGGGCGGGGAGAGCGACATTGTCAGTATTCACAATGTCTGGAACACGCTGCAGCGCGAGAACCCGGACGTCGCGGAGCTGCTCACCCAGCCGGTGTGGTACTTTGACCGCAAGGGCGAGACGTCCGAGGGGCAGAACGAGTGGGTGCGCCAGCCGGTCTTCTACATCGAGGACGGCGGGGAGGAGCGCGTGTACTGCAAGTGGGATCCGTACTACGTGCGCTCGCTGACGAGGTTCTCGGACAAGGGGCTCGTGCCGCCGCTGAGCGACGCGCAGAAGAGGGCGATGGAGGTGCTGGAGGATACGTGCCAGAGGCTGGCCCTGCACATGATTCTCGAGGTGGGCGACATCCAGTTCGTGAGCAACACGCATCTGCTCCACGCCAGGACGGCCTACAAGGGTATGTTAACACCATAATCTCGTCAAGGTGGAGAGAATGTTTCTAACAATTTTATTTAGACTACCCTCCGCCATCTCCTCGGCGTCACCTGCTCAGGCTCTGGCTCTCTACGCCCCAAGGCGAGGGCGGCTGGGCACTGCCCTTCCACGACAGCTTCGAGAAGAAGCGGGGTGGCATCCAGGTGGACAACACTGCGCCCAGAGCACCTCTGGATGCGGAGTAAAATGGGAGGATGTATGAGCAAAAGAGGGATGTCAGATGGATTACTTGTATTTAGCGTGTTATTTGGTTCTATGGGCTTCGCTCTAGTTGTACGCAAGGGAAGATACTAAACGAAATGTTCTTGAGGAAACATGATGACTGTGTTGAAACAGACGGCAATTGCGAGTGTCCTTCCTTAAATGATCACTCTTTCTGAAGAATCACTGCCAGAAGAGCGGCGGCCACGGCGAGCAGAAAGAAGAACACTGTTCCGAACACCTTGCTCCAGTCTACGCCCTCGGCCCAGACCTCTACGTCTGCGGGGAGGGAATCCAGAATGCTGGCGGGCAGGTTTGCCTGGCGTCGCAATGCCACGCGCTGGGCCAGGTGCTCCTGCAAGTCGCCGATCTCTACAACGAGGCGGTGGCGGGAGCTCGCAGAGCCAGGAGACTGCCGAATTCGAAGCGTCTGCTGCGCTTCATCGTGTGTCCACTCGCCATCGCTGACAGTGATGATCAACTTGTGCTTCGCGTAGTGGTAGGCGGGGATGAACACCTCTGTGAGGTAGGCTCTGTCGTCGACGCCGGCGGCGGGCTGGCCGGAGCTCTGCCACTCGAATTCGTATCGCAGGGTGCGCTCGTCCCAGTTGGAGCGAAGAGGCCTGCCAGCAGTCTTAGCGGCGTAGGGCCGGATGATGACGTCCAGCACGCGGCCGCCGCGGTACAGCTCATCGTCCTCGTGGGGTTTGTTGCGGTAATCCTGTCGAATGAGATCGTGCTCCAGAGGCTCATCGCCATTGATGACGGAGAAGTCCTCCATGTTCCAGCCGTCGCCGTACTCTACCCGGTTGTGAGGGTTGTAGTTCCAGAGGGTAAATCCGATGTGGTTGTCCTCCATGCCCGCAATCAGGGCGTTCATCAGATCACGCTGGACATCGTACTGGCCAGTCTTGAAGGCACGAGAGCCATTCACGTCAAAGGGGATGCCTATCTCGCCAATAATCGTCGGGACGTGACTGCCAAGCGACTTTGACCCGTGCTTGGCGATATTCCCAAGTTGCTTGCGGTAATTTTTGCGCAAGCCGGACGCTCCGAAGTACAGTGCCAAGGGGAGGAACATGCCTCTTGAAAGCCCCTGAACGTTCACGCTCATCCACGCATGGTGTTTACTGAACAAAACGTTTAGGTCGTAGAAATGCGGCGCGTATACCAGGTTCTGCGGTCGCGGAACATCCAGGACGGTATCGACAGCGTAGGATTGCTTTGTCCGTCCGTCCTTATCCGCGACCCATGGTGGAATGAACTCGTTGGGGATCGGTTCGAAGAAAGACATGAATCTCTTGTTCTTACGAGATACGCGATCGCAAAATTTCTTTAGAAACGGTGCGTAAAAGTCGTGATACCATTCAATCTTGGTGCCCTCGCGGCCGGGCCGATGGTCGACATCGAAATAATTCCTGTGCAGAATCTTGGCCGTCTTCTTCTTCTCATCCCAGCTCCAGACGCCATGGGCCTTCCATACACATTCGCCCAGGCCGTGCTTTTGGTTTGCCGGCTTGTCTCCATCGACAGGCAACCAAGCAGACCGGCCCTTTGGATCCAGGTACGAGCGGTGAGAGACGCGTGTCGGGAAGGGCCAGGACTTGACGTAGTATTTGATAGTCTGGGCATATCCGCTACCGAGCGCGAGGGCCTGGGCGAAAGTGGGATAATGGCCAATGTGAAGATCGGTGTTGTAGTTCCAGCCATGGAAGTCATGCAGGTTTATCAGACCTCGATGCGGCTCATTGATGGGTTCGAAGCCGAGGCAAGATTCCAAATCACTGAGCTCATCAGCCAGCTTTCCAAACGCCTCGATGAAGGCATCCTGGAGGTAATCCTTGATCGACACCGTTTCCTCTGCTGTCTCTGCAGACGTCGACACTGTGCGCCGTCGGCATTGGAGCTTTGGTGCAAGAGCATCGCCTGCCCAGAAGAGGGTGGCCATGGTGGATGCTGCCAGCTTCTGGTACCCCGAGGGCCACACAAAGGGACCGCTGGGCTCCTTCTCGTTGACGGGCGCGTTGGCCCGCCTCATCTCGTCCTGGCCATGCACATATGCGGCGCCAGTGTCGGGGAAAGCCTCGATATCCAGACCTGCCGCCTCGAAGGTCCAGCCGGGGGCGCCGCTGCCACCGCTGAATCGGCTCCAGACATCCTGATGGGCGCAGATGAAGCACTTGATGCCGTACTGGGGCATCATCTGGATGAGCTGACGCAGATAGGCGATGTACTCCAGGTCCAGATCGGCGGAAGGGTCGGGGCCAGAATGGCCAATCGACTCCCACGTCACCAGCAGGCGGACAAGCGGTAATCCCCAGGCCTGCAGACGGCGGAAGTGAAGAGGCGCCTCATCCAGGGGGAAGGGCCTGCCGGCGAAGGTCACGGTGCGGTGCTCGTAGAAGCCATCGGTGAGGTGCGACAGGCCATTGGGGGTGGTGGGCAGCTTGCTGGAGCCGGAGATGTTGAGGCCACGCAGCGACAGCGTGCGGCCAAAGGCATCGACGAAGCGGCCGTCATTGATCGCAATTGGGCCGCCCACCGCAGCCTCTGAGAGGTCCTGGGCAGCAAAAGTTTGGTGCACCATGCTCGGAGTGTGGAATGGCGATGGCCGCAGCTAAACACGCGGTCAATTGGGTTTGGATGAACTTCTCCAACTGAACGGTTACGCTACCCGTTCGTCCCCCTCCCCCCATCAAGTGCCAAGTCAGGCTGCTCCACCTGGTCGAGCGTGAGACGAAAGAGATAAAGATCTGGACCCCTTCCCCACGCGCTCGGTTGACTTCCAACCCACGGTGCTCGATCGATCTGCCAATTGTCCGTGTGAGGGCACGTTGCCAAGTTGGTATCTATCTCTGTCCGTGTCGAAGAAACTACGCTCTAGGTTGGACTCCCCTGTGTGTATGTGCGGCAGGGTCTAGGATCTACGCATCTAGCCTATGACTGGGACCGCAAAAGCTGGTTGAAGGCACGGGTTTCGCAATGGACAGGAGTAGCTTCGACAACGATGGTAGAGCCGCAGAGAGACGATCCCACGCTGCGAGGCATGCGGCCAGGACCACGAGTGGCAGTCCAGGTCTCCGAGCACGCTCCCGTCCCCATTCACATCTGTTTCTCGACGGTGTTCGGTCACTTCGTTCGCCTAAGCGCTATCGGTGTGCGGAGTCGGTTCAGGGGTACGAGTCGTCGCATTCGTGATTGGGGCAGCCTAGGTGAGAACTTGTTGTTAGCTCAAGCACTACTTCCAACCCTATCCATGCATCTCATGGGCAGACCAACCAGCGTAGTACGACGTCCTGTCGTCAAGAGAGTCGAGAACATCTCCCATACATACATGAGCATCAGGCACGTTGAAGACGACGAAGATTGGAAAACAAATCAAGTTCGACCCTGCAGCTGCTGACTCATCAAGATGCACCACCTGCCTGACCAATAGGAATTGAATCCATTGCTACAGCGTCCTGGGCCCTGTAATTCCAGCACGATGATGCTCTACAGAACCAATATGCCTTCAAATGATTACGATCTTGCTGTGCTCGACAATGCAGGCATGCAACGAACGCGGTTTGCATGAGAAGATTTTGTGTCGGCCGATATCGTGATACTTCAGCAATGTAGGCTTTGGCTAACTCGGACTGTCACCTAGGTGATCTGCCCGAGAACTTTTCCTCGCCTCAACACCACAACATCTTGGCATAGGGCTCAATTCATGTACCATATCACTCATCTTAAGCCACAATGTTAAGCTTTCTTAGGCATCCAGCGATTGCCTTTCTCCAGCCAGATGGCAGATACCAGCTAGGAAACAGGCACTGACTCTGTAGTCGTCATGAACCTTCGTGTGTCGCACCTTCTACCGAATCTCCCGAGTGACTCCTCCCATCAGCTCTTTACCACATCTCCCTCTTCTGAGCGGCAAAACAAACCAAAACAAAACACGACCTCCTCCAATACCATCCTCAACTGTAGTCTTAGCCATGGATGACCGTCACCAATTTTTCGCCATTGCCAAAGCTGGCCAATACTATCGTTTGCTCGCCGCCGTTCGTCACGCGTGCCTTTGGGGCATGGCAACACTTCGACAGTGCCTGCACGTCCTTCACATCTTCTCACATAGTGCAAACCGCCTTGCGCTGCATCAAGAGCTTCGCTTTGCCGAGGATTACTTTCGCAACTCAGATCCCCCATCGGTCTCACCCCCTCCCAGCTGGTACTCCAATTTTGGACCATGTCCTTTCCCCTTCATCACCACTTGTCTGATGATGGGTGCTGCTCTCAACCCGGAAACATTGCATGCAGGTGTCGTTCATGAGGAGCCATTTGGCTTCCCCTTCGATATGGCAGGATCTCGCCATGGTATAACCATCATCGACATCACTGATTTGGAAAACGTCAAGTATTGCTTCATCCACTGTGCAGGTAAGCAACCGTCTCCCACCTGCACTGATTCTTGTTAGAATCAGTTGTCTTCTCCCAGTTGCTGACGCCACGTCTTCCAACGCCTCAAAGCTACCATGCCCATCCCGGTGCCAGGCCTTCCGTGCAGCCGTTTTCAACCACTCACAGGTTGGCAATACGCAATGAATTACTATAGGGAGGACGATATGAACCTCCAAAGTTCCACCGACCTTCCTAATGCCCTTGAGGAGAAGTCTCTTGTTTATATCGAAGCTCTGATCGGTGAGTTATCCTTCCCTTCCTTCCCGCTGGTCACATCTTCAATACAGTCCGCTCACTCATATGACATTGGTCTCAGAGACATGGCCATACACCATGTGGTCCAATTACAGGCCAACCTTGCCGGCCGCAAGTCCACCAATTCCTCGTCAAGCACCAAAGAGTTTGTTGGAAAAAAGTTTGGACAAGGTCGTGGATGTCATCCTGTCATCAAATCACCTCAACGACTTCAAGGCAGTCAAAGATACACTTGAAGTACTCCCCAACATTCGGCTCCTGTTGAAAGAGCATCTACTGAGGCGAGCCGAGAACGTTGGCAGAACGAAACCTTCCCTTCTACTCCTGGCTCTCGCCTACGAGGGCGAGCACACTCTCGATTGGGCGCCCTTTACCAGCCTCAAACTATCTCATATCACGTTTACACTGGGAAACGGTTCATTCTCTTCTGTGGAAACCATAAATCTATCCGGTTTGCTCACTCCGGGGTGCATCGCAAGGCTGTCACCAATCCTGTCACATCTACCCGCTTTGAAAACGCTCTGTGTGCTAGAAAAGCCAGACCGGGCCAATGACTTGATATCGGCGCATGCCATTGCCACACTTACATCACTGAACCCGGAACTACGGCTCAACAAGATTCTAAACTCTGGGCTATTCTCGATTCCTTTCCGTAGCCTCCCCTGGATTCCAGATACGAGCCAGGAGCCCAGCGTCATCCCGGGATTTCCAAGTGTCCAGCTTCTGGTATATCACAGAAGTGAAGCTATTCGAGAGCGAGTGGCACCATACGAACACTTCTCCCTGGGTGATGCACTTCTTAACCCAGCCCGGCTTGTGAACATCATTTTGCGCTACTGCCAAATTCTGATAGCCAATAGATATCAGATGGGGGGTGGCACCGGATACCAACTCGCCGTGTGCATCGCAACCGCCTCCTCAACCCCAGGCAGCCCGGAAACGGGTGAGATCGGGGTGCTCCCAGCACAAACTTACTTATACGGCAGGGATAGCCACTACTCCCTCACAGCCAAGGGCTGCTATTCAGACATGAGAGACCTCAGGCCCGGACAGTGGACAATCCTAATGGTCAGAAACCTCCCTGGAATGGGGTATGGCGACCCGGGTGCGAGTTTCGATAGGGGCTTCATGTACGCCTTCTTGCGTTCCAGATCGGTAATTCCCGCGAGACGGCCTCAAGAAGAGCTGATTGAAATCGATGAGGCGGATTTGGATGTCTTCAGCTTCGAAGGCTTTCTGCAAGAAACCTGCCGGCTTACCGACCCTGTGAATCTCGAACGTTTTCTTCAACCACTACGAGAAATATCTGGGAGGCACCCCCTCTTTAACCCACATATCAACGATGTGCTTCGGTGTATGAGTGCTCGGGAAGCGAGCAGTATGCTTGTAAAATTCATTGAAAACATCCCAAACGTTGATAGAGCGAAGCAAGAGACGTTGGACGAGTTCGCATAAACAAGGCATGCCGCACGTGTGTGCGACCCTGCATGCGTCTGCTCATCCAAAGCCTTGCGAAACTCCAGCGGACGGCAATGCTACGGTTTAGACATGGCCTTTCATTACGAACAATGGGTTTGTTCAATGCTGAATACAACCAACTGGCTCTTCTTCTCCCTCGCCACTACCTCGGTCCGTTTTGCAGCAAGTATCGGTTGTGTATTTAATTCATGTGATTATCGACGGCAGTTTTGGAATGGCAGCGTTCTTTTTCGATCAATTGATCAGAGCTTTCATTCATTTGATAGATAATAGCGAGAAGCGTGTTAGATAAGTGACCATACAGAATATACCTTTCTTTTACTACTAGCGACCTCGCCCCTGCTGATAATTAATAATACTCCTCTCAAAATACTTATCAAGGTACCCAAATGAATGTAGATCTACATACATGAAGTCATCAGCCAATTCCGTGGACACTTCCATTGTTCAGAAAGCCTATTTCCCCGCACGTCTGTGCGACGGTCAGATTGGCCTCGGCACAAGAGCGACAACATCAGCACAGCCAACCTCGGGAACGAACCTCGCGAAAACCGTGTCAGTCTTACGCGAATCCCGATCCAAAAGATATCACATTGAGTAGAAAGGGCCAGGGCCTCTATGCTTCTTGGTCTCTCTTCCCCCCACCAAAGTATCATCGTAGGAAAGCAACCCCAACATGCCGCTCGACAAGCTCGATTACGTTTCATCCGTCTGGAGGGACAATCTCTTTGCCGGCAAGGTCGTCTTCTGCACAGGCGGCAGCGGATCCATCTGCAGCGCCCAGGTCCGCGCGCTCGTCCATCTCGGCGCCGACGCCTGCATCGTCGGGCGGGATACCGAGAAGGCCTTATCCGTCGCAAAGGACATCTCGACGGCCAGACCGGGGAGCAAGGTGATTGGGATTGGCGCCGTTGATGTCCGGCGGGTCGAGTCTCTGCAGGGAGCTGTGGACAGGTGTGTGGAGGAGCTCGGTGGGATTGATTTCTTGATGTGAGTGCCCCGTTTGCTCCTTTATATCACCGTCTTTGCTGGAGTGGTGTCCCTTTTTCTCGTCTGTCCTCAAGCGCCAGCTGACATGAAGCAGTGCCGGAGCAGCAGGCAACTTCCTCTCCCCTGTTTCGAACCTCAGCCCGAATGCATTCCGCTCGGTGATTGAGATCGACCTCATCGGCTCGTTCAACGCCACCAAGGTCTGCCTGCCCCATCTCCTGGAAAGCGCCAAGAAGCACAATACCCAGGGCGCGATCCCCAAATCTACAGAATCCGGCCCCGGTGGCCGGATCATCTACGTCTCGGCAACCCTCCACTACACGGGGACTCCATTACAGACGCACGCGGCAGTCGCAAAGGCCGGCGTGGACACGCTCTCAAACAACATCGCCATAGAGTACGGGCCCCTGGGCATCACCTCCAACATCATCTCGCCCGGCCCCATCGCCGACACGGAGGGCGTGCAGCGGCTGGTGGCCGATTCGGCGTCGGCGGCCAAGACGCGGGCCAAGATCATCCCTCTGGGCCGCTGGGGCTTGGTCAAGGAGATTGCGGACGCGACCATCTGGTTGTTCAGCGATGCGGCGAACTACGTGACTGGCCAGACGACCGTCGTTGATGGCGGTGCGTGGCGTACTCAGTCACCTTCTGGGTCTTCCTTCCAATATCCGGATTTTCTCGTAAGTGATGGGCATTCTTGACACAATACGCAAGTTGGGTTTTGTTCTGACTGTTTTCATAGCTCTCCGGGGACAAGATTACGGGAGTTAAAGGGACGAAAAAGGAATCAAAGAGCTCAAAGCTGTAGATCCTGGGATTTGGCGTATTTCAACAGACTGGCGGGGATATCGTGTGTCTCGAGTTAAAGATCATGGGAAGATGAGATCATGCACATTCTCACCACGAACTTGCATGCGCATTATCTAGTTTACACTTGGAAAGGTTTTAAAATTGCTTTATTCTCAAAACACAACCACATCAATACATACTCTGTGGAAGTGATCGTGAATCGTCAACCCGTTTATATACCCTTATCCTCAAGACTACACGACCCATCACGCAGAACCTTCATGAGAAGACAACGTCGTGATATACCGGGTCAGAAATTCATTGACGCTGTTGAAGGAATCAATGGCCATGTTGGAGATATACTTGGACTTGTCCCCGGACTGCTGCGCCTTGACAACAGCCACGCAGAGCCACCACATCTCCATTGCGTGCTTCGAAAAGCCGACCTGCCTGCCCGTCGCTTCGCTCTCCTTCATCTTCGCGTCCCAGAGCGACTTCCACCTCATGAATGCGCGCAGGAGGGCTCTGTACGATAGGGGGAAGAGGCAGTTGGTTCTTGCTACTACGCCGACCACTCCGAGGGCTGATAGGTGAAACATTAGTCAATTAGTCTATGTTTCGCATGATATACTACGAGTTGCTCACAGCTGATGATAAGTGCTAGGATCTCCGGCGTGACACGACGGTATGATTCATCGTCCGGCCCGGGCCACGAATCCTGGAGGAGAAGTGAAATCGAGCCTGCCAGTGACTGGGGCCGAGGGCCGCCGGGCTCCAAAGAGACCTGGTATTTGAACACGTCAGAGGTCTCCGCTTCAAAGAGGGCCGTTCTGCAGGGCATGTCGCCTGTCATTTCGCACATGTAGGCCTGCGTGTGGCCATTGAAACAGCCGACGATGAAGTTGCTGTTCAGCTGTGTCCAGTGAGATAACCTGTATACTAGAATCAGAACCTGTACGTCGCTTTATGATTTCCCATAAGGTGATTACCTGACTCTGAGCTCGTCATGCACAAAATCATCCCACGTGAGGGCTGTGTTGGCTGCCACCTCCCGCCGGTGTCGAGCCTCGAAGGCGCCAGATAACCGAACCGCCGACGTGAACACGGGATATCGTTCAATCCGCATACGACGCCGAGTAGCCTGGTCATTACGGCTGTTCTGTATCATGCCGATTGTCAAGGCCGCCTGGAGGATCTCGATTGACTTTGTGGAGGACGCATGCGAGGTATAATTGCCCACCGGGCGGAGGATCTGCCTCAGATCGGGGTGGCTAAAGATGTACTCCTCGGCGACGTCGAAGAAGCTTCGGGCTGATATGGCGCTGTCGAACGGGGCGGAGAACAGGGAGCCGAAGAGGAAGACGGACATGACGAGGGGCAGCGAGCTCGTCTCGCAGTCGAAGGACGGGGGGTGGAGGATTGGATGGTAGCGGTGGACGCGTTGGAAGTAGAGCCACACGAAGTACTGCAGGTTACTCGCGGTGAAGACCATCTGGGCGAGGTTCGTGTCAAAGATGGCGTCTTGATCGATAACGTCGAGTAGTCTCATCCTTTCGTGGGTTATACTAAGATTAGATACCATCTCGTCCATCCGACTCAAGACGATGGGGGACACTAATGAAGCATCATGCTCGATGTCCATGAAATCGTCAAAGTTAAAGTCGGGATGATCACCATCTGAATCCGCAATCCACGCAGCAAGACCATGACCGAAGAAGTCCTCCTCAGTGGAAGGTGTGGAGTGTTCCTCGTCAGATGCCTGTGGGATTGGCAATGTCCAGAAGGCATCGAACTGGTCATGGTCCGCAAAGATATCTCGTGCCGCCCCGTCTTCTCCGCCAGCGACAGCGGATGGGTTTGTCATCTTCAGCAGCCAGGGGATCTCATCCGCGGTGACTTTAGTGACGGAATGTTGAATAGCAGTCGCATCAGTCTCGGCTCTCGAGTATGAGCAGGGCATACTGCCGGCCCGGCACCGCGAGCACGGAAGCTCCAGGTCACAGGAAACTTTGCTCTGTGAGCACCTGTCACAGGCCTTGGACTTCTTCCCGCGCTTGGCAGTGGGTAACATGACACGTGCGTCTTCATTCCCCATGCATCGTCCTATATGCCGGCGTGCCACATCGCTACCGGCAGGGGTGAGGTTGTTAGCCAGCAGATCAAGGCTACAACAAAATCTATCTAGGGAATCGTTACAGCCTGACAAAGCTCTTGGAGCAGGAAGGGCACAGAATGCGACCCGAATCGCTATCTATTTCAAACATGTCTTAGCACAAAGTCACATTGTTCTCATGGTTGAGAGTGACATACGAGTCGCCTCATGGCGTCGGAGGTGGCTGATCCTAGTGTATGATTTATCACACTGGGCGCAATTGAGGCGTGCAGCTGGCGGCTTGTCTTCTGCAAGGACCGACATTGCGTGCGATCGACAGGAATGTAACTGCAATCTGCTATCACAGGTGTCTAGCAAGCAGGCCCTGGGTAGATGGGAGGCAGGGTGGTGATGGAGGTGGGTTTCTTCCGAGAAGCCGCTATATCTACCCGCCTGGGGAAGTGGGTTTTCTGCCGAGATGTGGGTTTTCCCCTCCAAGCAGTGGCTTTTTTCTAGCTTTATCTTCTCTACTCAATATTGGAAGAGCTGAACACTATCACCCGATCAGGCCAGGTTCTTAGCCAGTTCTCACTGCCATCACCGTCCAGCCGATGGGTTGAGATGTGCGCAGGGGGAGAGCCCCAAAATAGAATCAACGAACCAACAGGCAAAATGTAGATCGTGCTTATCCTAACGGCAGCACAAACCACATACCCTAGACCTACCACAATCAAGCTAGCGAGGGGCTCGAGCGATCATCAATGTATGAGCAGCATTTTCCGGTGATATCTTGTCTTCAGGTCAATTAAGGAAATACTATTTTACTAGTAAAAGCAGTTCATCTATCAAACGGCTTCACATCCATGGCCTTGCTATGCAACAAGACAAATGTGCCTGTACAACCGACATGTATGCATACGAAAAACATCGAAGGCCCCAATGTAAGCTGAGCTTCAAACATGTATGCTATAGGTATGGTCTAACATTCGTTAAAATGACCACAATTAGAGGACCTGGTCACTACGAGTTGCATAATTTATTCATAATGTATTGATTTTGTGGGTTGTATCACGGGAATGTCGGTGATATGGCTGGTACTATCAATCTTGGCAGCCCACCATCCGACCCGGTATTCTATGATTCAAGTATTGAGACACAAGTCACTGACGGCGGTGAGAGTTCATCCAAGTCCGGTATCAAAAGTACCTCGAGCTCACCCTCTCAACCCTCAAAGGGTAAAAGAGGGTTCATGGACACTCTGCTGAAGATTATTACCACAAGAGGCACAAGCTGACACAGCGCTGCGCAGGGATCAAGGTAGGAGAGCACCCACAGCTTCATGGGAGGATGGCTGTACGCACGTATACGCGCATTTCGGTAGCAAGGAATATGGAGTAGAGGCAGGAGAGGGGCGCAGCTAGTAGCGAGATGCGCTGGTAGCATCGCCTCCGTTTCTCACGTCAGACGCTTTCGGACACTACGGGTTTCTGGAAGGTAGTTCGCTTATATTGTTCTAGTAATATTGACTTTATGTGAATTGGGCTGTATGAATGAGCCAAACCAGTACTGAGATTTGGAGTTTGCTGTGTATGTTACTGACGATGGAAGCATGGAATCACTGGCAGATGGACGATATCAAAAGTTGAAGTACCCGAAAAAAAATTCTTGAAATCTACTGTATTAAACAAAATGGTGTCTAAATAATATACAACAATATTAAGCTCTAATTAACCATTTACTCGAGGTCGTCGTACTCCTCGAAGGCGCGGGTGACAATGTCCTCAATGTCGCGCTCGCTGAGCTCCTCCTCGGCGAGGTCACGGAACAGCAGCTTGCCGGCAGTTCGGGCGACGCCCTTGAAGACCTTGCCGAGGGAGAACTTGCGCTCCTCGAGGTCGCGCTCCTCGATGAGGTCGTCAAAGTCACGGGTCTCGAGCTCGGTGGACTCGTCAAAGGCGCGGGTGACGAGCTCCTCGACGTCACGCTCGTCGAGGGAGTCGATGTCGCGCTCGGAGAGGTCGCGGAAGAGGAGCTTTCCGGCGGTCTTGGCGACCTTTCCGATGGCCTTGGTGAGGAAGAAGCGCTCCTCGAGGTCGCGCTCATCGAGTTCGTCGATGTCACGCTCCTCCATCTCTTCGTCGAAGTCGCGCTCCTCCATCTCCTCATCGAACTCGCGGGCCTCGAGGTCGGCGTCCTCGGCGTAGCGGGTGAAGATCTCCTCGATGTCACGCTCACTCAGCTCGTCGAGGTCGCGCTCGGCGAGGTCTCGGAAGAGGAGCTTGCCGGCAGTCCGGGCAACTCCCTTGAAGACCTTGCCGAGGGAGAACTTGCGCTCCTCGAGGTCACGCTCCTCGAGCTCGTCGTCGAAGTCGCGGATCTCGAGGTCTTCCTCGTCGAAGTATCGGGCGACGAGGTCGTCGACGTCGCGCTCGCTCATCTCGTCGATGTCACGCTCGGCAAGGTCACGGAACAGCAGCTTGCCGGCGGTCTTGGCGACCTTGCCGATGGCCTTGGTGAGGAAGAAGCGCTCCTCAAGGTCACGCTCGTCGAGCTCAGCGTCGTAGTCGCGGGCGTCGAGCTCAGCATCTTCGGCATATCGGGCAACGAGCTCTTCAAAGTCGCGCTCGCTCATCTCCTCAAGGTCGCGCTCGGCAAGGTCTCGGAAGAGAAGCTTGCCGGCAGTTCGGGCGACGCCCTTGAAGACTTTGCCAAGGCTGAACTTGCGCTCCTCCAAGTCACGGGTGTCGAGCTCGGAGTCATCGATGTATCGGGCGACGAGGTCGTCAATGTCACGTTCGCTCATCTCCTCAAGGTCGCGCTCAGCAAGGTCTCGGAAGAGAAGCTTGCCGGCAGTTCGGGCAACACCCTTGAAGACCTTGCCGAGGCTGAACTTGCGCTCCTCCAAGTCGCGGGTGTCGAGGTCCTCAGAGTCCTCGTAGTAGCGCTGGACCAATTCCTCGATCTCACGCTCATCGAGATCGGCAACGTCACGGAAGCCGAGCAGGCTCTTTCCGACGTTGGCGACACCCTTGACGGCCTTCTTGAAGCTGAATCGCTCCTCCAAGTCACGCTCCTGGATCTCGGCCTCGATGGCACGCTCGAGAAGGCCGGAGTCGACGATGTCCTGGGTAGCCTGGACGGGGAGGGCCAGGGCCTGGCTGACAAGGCCGAGGACGACGGCGGTGGGGAGAGCGATGTTGTTGATGGCAACCATTTTGAATATTTTGAGTTGAAAAATTAGAAGATTTCAAGGTATTTTTTTATAATTTTTTTAGGGGGCGTGAAAAGTTCCTGAAGTTGACCGGCAAAAACAGAGAAATAATAAAAAATAGGGGTGAAAAGAAGCGAATAGAGACCAGCTCTAGAAGAAGATTGTTTTTTGGTTTGTTGGGTTGGGTTGGGATGGATAGGAAAGAAGTCTGGTGAAGGCCCGGGAGAGGTCTATTCTTTATAGATTTCGACGGCGGTTTTCTGTCCCTCTGCTTTCTGGTTCTGGTATTCAGCCATGCATGCCAGAATGCCACGTTCAAGGAAGCGGCAGGGATTGTTGGACCAAAGTCCCCCGGTGTCAACGAGCAGGGATGGTGAGACCCAAGTCCCCAAAGTTACGGACAGGGATCGTCACTTCGTCGCCGACGTCGAACAAGTAGGCACCTGATACAGTAGGTCATAGACTCCGCCGCCTCAAGGTACACCAGGGTGGTCTAAAAACAGATTGAGGGCTGGCCATCAGCATGATTGGCCTCTAGCCGTGCTGACGGTCCGCCTGGTGGTGGATGGCGGATTACAGAGCGGCCTTGATGAAATTGGCTCTGCTGCGAGGGCATCCTCCGCCAAGGGCACAGCAGCCAGCAAGCATATCGCATCTGGCTGGGAAAGGAGCGCGGGCTCCGGGGCTTGCCCTTTCGAACTGCCATCGTGGAGATGGAGATGTGAAGCTGGGCGCTGCATCGAGCCTAGCTGAGATTACATTCACTGCCAATATGCTACCCTATATGCGTGTTTAGATCTACTATCGTACGTTTGTTACCAGGTATTTGGAGTCTCAGTAGATCAGGAATTGAATTTGCATTGGAACCTGCATGATTGCTTATCGATCTGTGCCTGATTATCGCGTTTGCATGCCTTTTGAAAAAATCCGGTCAAAAAGAGGGGACTTCAGACGCCTTGGTCGTGATCACCAGCAGATTCGGAGAGAAACAACCGATCCCACTTCGCCTCTGCCCTGCCTTGTCTCTCTGCTTGTCGCCGTTTCGGCAAAGCTTCCAGACAGTGTGGGCAGATGTAGGTAATACTGCCCAATTGGGCACCCCGAGTGCTGAGCTAGCAGGGATACAGTGTCGATATTACTGTACAGCCCTCAATTATAGTGGATGCCTTCCATCGTAGTGCACCAAAGGCCTGATCGGCCGCCGCGCTAACACTGGCTTAGGTACTTCTGCACCAGATTAATTGCGCCCAGTGACTTGCATTGACCACCAGCCCTACTTCTATTAACAGCCCGAGCCGAGAGGTGAGACGGCCCTCCACCACCTGTAGCGGTGTTCTACAGCCTCCCTAGAGAGCTGAGTTAGCTGCTGTCGCTAGAGCTGGTCAGACTGGCAGCTGAGAAGAGCCCTGCCCCTATTTTTGGCCGCCCATCCTAATTAAAGCAACTCCCCCGCCGGATCCTCCTGGCTCCATCTCTGCTACGTGCTAGGACGACGATAGGGCATCTCCCTACAGGGCTCAGCAAGGACTGGCCTGCAATGTGTCTCCTGGCCTTGCCTTGGCCTTCCTTTCCCTTTGCTCTGCTTGGCGGCTGAGTCTCGCCAGTCGCCAGCGGCAACGGGCCCGCCACCTCCCGACATGCCTCCTAATTCCATCTCGAGATCAAGCTGAGCACACCCAGATACACCTAGATCACCTAGATACACCAAAGATGGGCAAGCTTGGGTAAGATGGTAAGATCCCCTTTCCCACTAGGCCCAAGCCTCAGTTCACGGCCCTCGGCACCGGCTCACTCCCACTTCACACAGACGCATCTCAGCTTCGACCACCCGCCGTCTCTTGCCGGGATCGTACCAGCCCTGCGAATGACTGCGTAGCGACCCCAGCCCAACTGACCGGCTGCTGTTGCTAAATCCGTCTCCCTGCCCCGGGCTCTACTCGTTTTGGCTCGTGTTGCGGATCGCTCCAAGCTTCATGGCCCTTCTCTCCCAATCTGATACTTGCCGACTGCTACGTGGTGAAACTTGGCACTCGCCGGGCAGCCATTGATGCAGTCAGTACTGGCACTCACTCTCCGCCCTCGCGCGCGCGAGTCGGGAAACGTCGTGCCCGTGTCATCTTTTAATGCCTGTGGGGGGTCTTATGTCTGATGGCGGAGTCAAAGTCCAGGCCGCCTCCTGCAGCCCGCCGTTGATTTATTTCTTACGTGGTAATTTATTAATACGCCAAGTCCGAAAGCCGCCCTTAAATCGGGCACTTTGGTGGCGGTGCAATACCGGCCGCCAACCATGATATTTTGGTCTTTTGGTCGCAGCGGTATTATTTGGCGCAATCAATCTCAAACAGCATCCAGTTCAAGGCCGTGCCGACTTCCAGCTGCTACCTCTGCCTGTTGGCTCCCTCTCTTTCACTTCCTCTCTTTCTCCTGTTCCTGTTCCCTTTCTCTTTCGTGTTCAATTGCTCTACTCTGTAACTTTTTATCTCTCTTCACCTGTGCCTGGCCGCGAGTCGGGAATGCAGTGTCGATGCATGCAAGCAATTCAGCTGGATGTACAATCCAGATGCCAAGCCAGCAGCCTATCGGGAATTTTTGCACCTTGCATTGACAATCACTGTTGGTTCTAACCCCGCAAAATCTCTTCCTTTTTGAAGATTTGCTCCTGTTGGTCGATTGGCTGCAACGGGCAACAATTTTCGCGACACGAGAACCCTGGTTTTTCTAGTAGCCTGCTGAACCACATCTTGTGATTCAGCTCGCTGACGTGACAGGAACAGCACCAGGCGGAGAGCACAGACGATCCATCTCCACTGGTAGAACTGCCACATTTATCGCTGTTCTGGACACTGACTGATAGCTAACCTCTTTTGCGACCGAATGACCTTCTTTGATACTCTGAATTCGAACCTACAATACTGTGCGTTGGGCATTAATTCTTGGAATCAATTATTCAGCATGTATCGAAAACGCGCTCCGAGTTGATCCCGACCGAAAGCGACCTTGAGCGCCGCATGTCCCTTTCCCGAATGGCAATTTTCCCTAAACGGCGTGATTTCAAGTCTATAGAGGCCTGCATTTCTCTACTTTTCTCTCTATAAGGATCAGGTATGGGATTTGGCAAGATGGCGAACCCCAAATTCCCATCTCTTTGATGCGTAGACTGTAGACTGCACGAACCATTTCTCCTCCCCGTGAGACGATGTTTATCATCTTAAATAAGCCTCAGTCCTGGACAACCAACGACTTTCTGGGAAGAAAACTCTCAGTTGGGTCAACTGGTTCGAGTCGTCTTATCTCATTGTCACGAGTAGCTCAGAGGCTGGACCTGTGAGGTCTGAGCAGACTGACAAATCAGTCTGATGCCGAAATTGGTCCGTACTACTAATTTGCCGTAGGATATCATTTATCGGCGTCGTTCATCTGTCTCTTTGAACTCTGTCTGGGTCATTTCTGGCTGATGCTATATCAGAATACAGGAGGCCGAATCAAGGTTAGGTTCATTCAAAGATGTCTCGCCAGGAAGTTTCTTGAATAGTCCTCATCTAATAAGAATGTTCGCAAAGCCTTTTCAAAACCGGTCGTCTTTTAGTAGTTTGAGCACGTAGCGGGCCAGCGGTCATAAACATGCTCACGAGTCGTCGTTTCGATGGCTGTTCTGGGATTGTCTGCAACTGGCTTCGTGAAAAGCAATACGATGAAAGAGGTTTAGATGCTCTCGACTAAGGACGCGTATGAACAGCTGCATAAACAGCACAGCCGCCCATAAGGTTCAATTGAGCCACATTGAGGTTTGATAAAGAGAGCGGCCCAGAAAATTCCTTTGGGATATCAATTCGCGTCAGAAGAGCATGATATGCATCATGGAATATTTGCCACAGGGACTCTCAAAGCTAAGGAAAAAGTATACATAAATTGAAGGTAATCCAAGCAAACGTTTTTCTTTGGGAAGATTTTCATTTAAGCTTTAATTTGCCTCATGAGTTGCCAGTGCATTCAAGCAAGCACAGAAAGCAACTTGGCAACCCACTGATGTTTTGCAAGTTGCAGGGATGAGGTTCCGCCATTTCTGCCCTCAATAACGTATTGCATGAGAACTTTCCATCCCGAGATCTACCGCGTTTTTCATCCAGCCAGCTGGAGTTTATTATGAGTCTATTCCTTATCGTGGTACCACGGGTCACCGTAATCACCTTATTAACTCATGCCTGATATAGGGGCCCGTTGGAATCGTTTGACTGAAGTCGCAATTGAGCTATTTCTATTGACGATTAACTCATAGGCTAACCACACTTTAGGAATAAATCTCAATATTGTTGCATATGCATTTCTTATTGCGTGACCCGAATGGGCCGTCAAGCTCGGTCGGAGGAATGGATGGGCCATTTGATAAATGTATAAGACCCGTTCGATTTGAAGAGAACAGGAAAATGTAAACACCATGCCATTGAAGTTATTGGAATTGAGGGCGAAATTGAATATCTGCTGTTAACCTTTGATATATACGACCATGGCATCAACCGACATCAGCACTGGGAATGAAGAGCCGCCGCCACCAGAGGAAAGGCATCCCGGTAGGATCCAACAAGCCCCCACAACGTTAAGGGTAAATTATGTTGACTGGAGAGTTATGATGTAGTTCGTTGGTACCGCTCGACATTCTACAACATGACGATCCTTGGTTTATGCAACTTTGCTGCTCCTGGAATCTGGGTTGCGATCAACAGCCTCGGCGGCGGGGGAGAGCAAGAGCCCTATCTGGTGAATACGAGCAATGCCTTGACCTTTTGCTTGATGGTCCTATCGTGCTGGTTCTCTGGAACCTTTGTTCACTACATTGGCATAAAAGGAGCCTTGGTCTTCGGCACGTATGTCCATATCTGCCGATCCCTCTATAGGTCGCAACGCGGAAAAAGTTGTGCCGACTAACTGAAAGATGTGCAGGTTGGGATTTCCTTTCATGGCCGCGGGGCTGTTCCTGAACAACAAACACGGCGTATCATGGCTCGTCATCGTTGGAGCAGCGCTATGTGGCATATCTGCGGGCGTTTTCTGGATGGCTGAAGCCGCCATCGCAATCGCATACCCGGAGCCCTGGAACCGTGGCAAGGCATTAGGCGTAAGCTGACCAGTCCATTTTTCTTCTCGTGTGGCTATTTGCCTCATCGAACTGACTGGATATCTATTGCAGTACTGGATGACATACAGGCTGGCGGGCCAAGTCTTGGGCGGCGCCATCAACCTCGGCCTGAACGCTGATCGTGACGAGGCCGGCAAAGTCTCCGCGACTGTCTTCATAATCTTCATCACCATCGAATGCTTGGCTCCGTTTGTAGGCCTACTTCTAAACAGCCCTGGGCAAGTCGAGAGAGAGGACGGTAAAAAGGTCAAGCTCAGTATCGACGAGAGGAATCCATGGCCAGAGATCAAGCGGACGACAAACACTTTTCTCACCAAGAATTTCTTGTTGCTTATTTTATGGATTGGACAGGCAGTCTTTGGAGAAGCTGTGTACTTCACATATCTTTCACGTATGCTTCGCTTGTTGGACCTCTCATCTAATTATACCCGCTGACTTGATGATTTGTAGTATGGTTTACGGTCCGAGCCAGAGCTCTTGGGTCTTTTCTCTCTGGCATTGTCGCAGTTGCCTCCGGGAACGTTCTAGGGGTGAGTAAATCCGCGATCACGAATGATTCAATTACTGATTGCTTCTCTTAGTATTGGCTTGATCGGTCGAACGTCCCCTTGAAGACAAGGGCCAGATGGGCATTCTGGACCATTGCCGCACTCCACGGTGGCTTCTGGCTCTGGTGCACCTACAACGTGACCATTTTCAAAGAATCTCGGCCAATGTACGACTGGGGAACGCCCGGGTTTGGAGCTGCGTTTGGCGTCTTTGTCCTCCTCAACCTCTCCTTCCACCTCAACTACATGTTTCTGTGCGTATCTCTTATTCCCACGTGGCTCGGCCGTCGTGAAAACTTCTGACCACGCCTGATGCATAGCTACTTCATCATGCAACACCTGTCCAACAATGAAGAGGAAGTTGTTCGATACTCCGCTATCCTGAGAGCAACCGAGTCAGCCTGGCAGGCCATTAGCTATGGTATCGGCTCCCAGACTGTCATAGCCGAGTGCGGCGCTGCATACATCAATTTCGGCCTCTGGGGGATCGCTATTTTCCCTGCTTGGCTTGTGCTCCGAAAGATTGGTACAGGAGAGCTGACGTCCTCCGCGACTGAGCCGGAAGAAACGACCACCGAGGTTGAGTACCTGAGCGAAGCGCCAGCAAGCAAGCAAGCATGAGAATTGCACATGGGAAACATCTTGAGACCTGTGCTTATGAAAAGCCATGACGGAGAAGTACTCAACTGTAAAGAGAAGCGCAGCATTGAATGTTAGATACGACCAGTCCATATTGTGTTGTAATAGCTCTCTAGCTACAAAAATCATTCCTTTTTGTCTTGATAAACCCTTGCTATGCACCCTCTCCATCTGAAATTATCTACCTAGTAGCTAGACAGATAGCTCAAAAAAACAAAATCTGTGTGCATTTTTTACGTTACCGAGAAACCCGACCATGCCAACCAACTATTACAGGTCATCGAACCTTGGTCGCACATGCGTTCGCCAGCCACACATCTATTCGCTCATGTCGCCGGCTGAGTAAAGTAGGCCGTCCAAGTCTTCTCCTTGGAGAGGCTCACTCTCCTTCTGGGAGCCTGAATTATTCGTCCATTCACTTGGAAGACTTCGAGCAGTGAGATGAGGGAACATCTTCAGCCGTGAGACAGGGATTGCTGATGCTGGGATCAGAATCTCCAGCTTTCCGCGAAGCTTCCGGATAGGATCCTGCCTGATATAGCCCGGTGAAATTTGAGACACGATTGGGGTATCGATCTTTGGCACGGCCTCGCCAACCTTGACGAAGAGATATCTGCATTGGATCCAATCAATATCCTCGACCACATAGTGTGGGCTCACAGATACAAATTTAGCAGGCTGATTGATCACTTCGCAAATGGCAATCGCAGAAGCAACCTTCAGCACTGAACGCGGCCAGTGTTCATCCATCTGTAGAGGGAAGGAGGGGTTAGCTGGATCCTCGAGGTGAACAGATGAGAAAATTTTCGAAGTTCTCACCATGGGGCTAAAACCCATGACGTTCTTGGGCCTACAGTAGTGGATGCTTGTATCGAACTTGTTGCTGAGATAGACACCCCTGCCGTAGGCCCGCCCGTTCTCTGACCGGGTGTGGTCAAGACTGGATCGAATGATGCTGTGCCAGTTACCCAGTGGGCTGCCATGGAATGCGAACAAGGTCGGGATCGCCGTGGAGGGAGATGTTGGGTCTTCGGGAAACGCGGACGCTATCTGCTCCATGAATCTGACTTCTTTCTCTGGGGAGCCCTGCAGGAATCTGAATTGCATCCAACCTTCCTCCATCCCGATGACTTTGGTGCCGCCTGGGACTTCTATGTCTCTTCCGTGATCATCGTACACAATGAGTGATCTGTTGGAGGCGACAATCCAATGCAGTAGTTTATAAGTCGGATGGTCAAGGCGAGACCAAGAAGACAACTTCTGGGAGGGATTTGCCTGTAGAAACTCTCGCATTTTGGTGACAGGCGGGATGCCACAAGCCATGATTAGCAACGCGTCATGACGCTCACTCTCATTGAGATCATCGAACTGATTGACGCAGCGGTACACGTATACACTCTTCCATATTTTTTTCGGTGATGACCGATCCCGCGACTTATGACCCTGAGAGTCGACCAAGTCTCCCAAATTTGCTGTCCAGGTCTGGAGGATCTTGAAATCGAACCCATGCATGCTTAATTTTGTCACCTCACACAGGTGCCTCTCGGCAACTGCACATCAATTAGCTGGCGTACAAATGTAAGTAGGGTACGGGGGGGTTCTTACGGCTTGATAGGATTGGCTTTCCGGCAAGGAATTTCCCATCCCTGACAACCATCAACAGTCTCTCTCCCTTCTGGAAACTTGGATAAGCAAAGTCACATTTTGCAGCCCTTGTCACAAAACAGGCCGTTGCTTCGTGATTCTGGCGCGGGGATTCGGGAGTGCCAGGGCGGAACGTCTTAAGCCCGAGTCCTTTAGGCAACTCGCGGATACGGTGACTCATGACCGCCGCATAGAAGAAGCTGATGACCAGATCGACGACGTAAGGGGCCGTGAGTATGTCGTGCTCGATACCTGGGCCAAGGCCGGATGAAAAGTACTGGTGGAGACATAATGGGCGTGAGCAGACATACGGCTTCATAGCCTCAAAACCCTCCTCCAGGTGCTCATGGCAGTTGATACAAAACTTGCCACTCTTGATGATGCTTTGAAGGGCAAACTGCATGAGCACCAAGGGAATATTCAACTGTTCTTCGCCCACCAGAGCGTCGTCCTGGGATAAGACCCAGTGGGTGGGTGTTGCCGATGGTCGTTCATCCTTCAATTCGGCGACATGGTCCACTGTGGTGGAGCGGTATGCGTCGTCTCGAACATGAGAGCCTTCTGATTCCCGGTGAAGCAAGATTTGCGCCGCGCTCCACGAAATCCCATGGGCTCTCCGCGTATGCAACAGGGTCGGAAGGTCTTCATTGAGAGACTTCGTGATGGAGTTGAAGAGATATAGTGGGATGAATGGTGCCGAGTCATAGGCGGTATGACGTACTGGGGCTTTGCCTTTTGCATCGTTGTGAAAAGCTGCTTGGGCAGAGACGTTGGACGGCTTCGCGGAGCAGCATTTGCCAAACCGAACAAGGGCAACTGACTGCTTACCACGAAGGCTCTGATACTCCGAAGGCGAAGGGTAACCATGGGGGAATTTCAAGAGCATCACAACGTAGTCGGTGGGCTTCAAGCTCCAGGCGAGGCCATTATCTGTCAGTCCCAACTCCGAGACCTTTACGGCCAAGGAAAAGATGTCGCCGAGCTGGTCCTCGCGGCGGCCATTGACGCCGATGGAAAATCCACGATGCATTGCTTGAAGTAAGTCTTTTCGTTGCTGTTCTGTAGCGTCTCTCTGCTGGATGACTACTGGTGCATGATCTTCCGTCTTCGTCTTCGAGGAGAGGCGGTGACTCTTGAGAAATGTCTCCTCATCATCATCCGACTCCAATTCAGACAATCCCCATGACTCTGACTGCACTGAAGGGGTGAGCTCGTCTTCAGAATCCGGGGACATGGCTTCAGTGGGCTCTTCAGCGGGTGGTTCGCAATTGGGAGTGGCCATCTGCCTCGAGAATTCCGTAAGGGCACCGTGGATAGACTTTTCGACGAGGTGAGGTGTCGTTCTCTGGAGGCGGTCGACGAGACCCTTGTCAACGTCGTCGGAGACAGTGAATAGCAGCACGGCGCGACTATTGGGGTAGTTTTCGACATCTGGAGAAAATCCGCGGTTAGAAATCATCTTTGCCTGGTGAGCATTCACATACCTTGAATGAAGACTTGGATTTCGATTTGGCATAGTGGCTCATCGTGCTCGTAGAGGAAAGTGATCTCGCCATCTGAGTCACCGCCGCGAAGGCGCGAGATTCGATCGTATTTTTTGCCTTTTGCGGCAGCCAGATCGGCTTTGAACTCGCGGTAGCCCATCTTGTCAGTTGTCACTGGACTAGGCCGACCTGACCCAAGGCTTAGACAGGAGAGGCGTCGTCGTAATCGGATACGACTTCAGTGTTGCTGGATGCTGCCCATGAGAATATGCAGATTTGGGTGGAGTGACGAAAAGTCCAAAAGGTGAAGGTGCATGTGAGAAGGATGTGGGAAGGTTTCGTCGGGTTAACTTTGGGGGCAGAAGGTAAAGGACAATGCCAGTCGAAGTGAGAAGTGGGCGGAACAATGGTCAAGAAACACAAAACGAGAACCTCTGGGTGCGCAGATGGAAGAGCGAGATTTCTGTGCATGCAGAGATGAGAGTTGATTGCATTCTTCCACTGGAGAGTACTTGCTCTTACCCACTGCCGCTGAGCTGTGCGACCAGACTGTGGATTGCCTACGCGAACCCCAAGCGAACCATCACTCAGGGTCTTGGCCAGGTGAGCCTGCGACGGTGGGTGGGAAATGAACAGGAGAACGTGTTTCCGAGAGATGGCATGGAGCGCTTTGCATGTTGAAGGTCAATCGAAAGTGAGAAGATTCTGAGCGCAGAAGCTGAAGTGAATCACGGCCGCACCAGGTCGCTCCTTCCTCTCTCTCTCTCCGCCACAGCAAATCCATCAGGCTGCAGCTGCGCCTCGTTTCTCAGAGTTTGCTTCCACCTCAGGCACCAACCACCAAACTGTGGCGCAGCTGACCATCTTGCTTTCAATCGCATCTTTCGCTGGGCGACTGCTTATGAGCAACCGCAATGCTCATCCTCTGTCTCGACATGCGAAGCTTGGGGCCGGCGCTCGCCTGCTGTGGATGGCCGCACATAGTGCCTCGTTTCGTTCCTTGCCTGCGCGGCGGCAGGACAGAGTTTGGAAATGCTCAGCAGACGACAAGACATTTTGCTCACCAGACTCGCCTGCTTGATGCGAAGAAATAAAACTGGCCTATCGTTACCGGGGACAATGGGTGCAGAATAGCTTGGGTGACTTCCACATCGCAAAGTCTAGACTTTCGCATTTTGATTGGGGGTTCTATCTTACGCCCCGGTAAGTCGACAGAGAGAGCATCTAAACCAGGCCGGCTTCGAGGATCTCACTTAACAGGCTGCGATGGGTAAGGTCTTGGAAAGTTGGATGATCTTTACGAGCTGATACGCATGGTGTAGGTGTCATGGGGTTCCAACGAGCCGCGCGCCCGACCTGAACTCCATAGATAGCTTATCATATTAAATACAGTTAATCGAAAGAGAGGCTGCGGAGACAAGAGAAGAATCGGGTTAATTGAAAGAGAGTACGGGCCCGCCGTCTAGGGCCCATCCAATTCTAGACCCAATATAGCACCGATCCATGGAGCTGAGGAGCGGCAAATCGTGGCAAGCGTAGCCGCACGCAATCTCGTTACCCCGGATTCTGGAGTCTTGGCCTGGCCCATTAGAGTCTGGGGGATTGCCCGACAAGGAGGCCGAGCATCATTGCCCACTCTTGTCCGTGGAGCTACAAGACATCGCGCCGTTGGAATGATATCGACAAGTGGGCTGGTGAGGGCTTATCACGCCGTCCGACACGCTCCCTGGCACACAAGAGCTGCTGAACAGTCTGTGAAGTGTCAGTCAGGGATGGACTGTCATCATGCAAGGGCCCCGATGCTGCTCGCTCTGGCCGGGCAAACAAACGCACATATGCATGCGCATACACTCGCATGAAGGAGGGGAGCAAACCTTCTGTAGTCTCAACCCCCTGTTACAAGCCATCGGCAACTCCCATTGAATGAGCCGGTAGCTAGGACGAGTCAGTACCCTCAGCCGCCCTCCCACTGATGATATTTAGGACCAGAACCATTGGGCGGCTCTAGGATTTGCACGTCATTGGCAGAGTCATGCCACACATCCCCCAGGCTAACTGACTAATGGTCTCGCCACAAGTTGAAGCCGCCCCCCAACGTTGTATTGAGGGTAACCCACTTCAACTGAACGCCGGTAAACCATATCTCGTTGTTTCTTATCGGGAGCCCCATGTACAAGTACTTCCAACCAGCGCAATAGCTGCATGTTCCATGGTGTACCTTGCTATCATATTAGGTATATAGATGGGAGCACTCTGGCAACCTGGCTAATCCTGAGTCAAGCAAGCAACCGAGCTTGGCTGCCTCACCCCCACCAATTCTCAGGCTGTTGCTGAGGGGTGTCCTGCTCATCCCCACTCCACCATCTTCCATAACGTGGTTATTCCTCACAATGACCTGAGCCTGGTATTGAGCCCGGGCAACACCTGATAAGCTGGGGTGTTTGAGCTAGGCCTAAACAAGAGATCGCATCCGGGTGTGAGGCTTTGATGGTCCGGGCTAACCTGGTGCCTCTTTGATAATTGCCATCCTCTTGGATGAACGTGAATGATGGTGGGGCATTGATAGCTCTCGTTGATTGGCCTCTCGCGATGCCCGATAGCGTTTTTGCCATCTTGTTCCTTGGATATCGGTCTAGACGTTTACTACCTTGATCTGCTCTCATAGGCCGGGGAAATGTACCCAACGTTCCATAGAGTCCTGGACTATAAATGCCGCCTTCCCTCGGCCTTATACCTCCTTGACTTCTCCGTTGAGCGAACAGCTTCTCTCTTTAAGTCTTCAGCAACTCCTTGCACGTCCATCTTTTACTTCAATCCTTTCTTGCCCCGTCATTATCCCTTCCCCCAAACCGCCGCATGATGGCGTCTGACGATGAAAAGCAGACGGGCAAGCTCGGTCAGCCCGACCTGGGCACCGTCGGGAGTATTCAGGAGATCTACCCCAGCCAAAGCAATGCGCTGGTGGGAGGCCTTCATCGCCGTTTGAACAACCGGCAGATCCAGCTTATTGCCGCCGGTGGCTCGATCGGCACGGCCCTGTTCATCAGCATCGGAGGCGGCCTCGCTAAGGGCGGACCTGCCAGCCTCGTGATTGCCTACACTGTCTACTCAATCATCCTCGCCCTCGTCAATAACTCAATCGCTGAAATGAACACATACATGCCCGTGGCCGGCGGCTTTGTCCGTCTTGCAGGCTACTGGGTCGATGACGCGCTCGGTTTCCTGGCGGGATGGAACTTCTTCATCTACGAAGCCCTCATCATCCCGTTCGAGGTTACCGCATTGACTTTCACCATGTCGTTCTGGAGTGAAGAGATCACGACTCCCGGCCCCACCGCTGGTGTATGTGCTGCTGTTATTGTGCTCTATGGGTAAGACAATCCTCCTCCTTATGTGATTGCTGAGTTCCGCCCATATCCCTGGCTCACCCTTTCTCATTTCTGTTGCTTTGTATCCGTGTGTACAAGTTGATGTGATGAATGCTAAACAAATGCCTCCGCTTTTAGTGCAATTAATATCCTTGCCGTCAGATTTTATGGTGAAGCCGAGTTCTGGCTCTCTGGAGGCAAGCTCATCCTGATCTTCATCCTGTTCGCTTTCACATTCGTGACTATGGTTGGTGGTAATCCACTACACGATGCCTACGGCTTCCGATATTGGTCAAGTCCAGGAGCCTTCGCCGAGTACATCACAAAGGGAGACCTGGGACGCTTTGAGGGCTTCCTCGCTGCTCTCTGGAGCGCTTCATTCACTGTCGTCGGACCCGAGTACATCTCCATGGTGGCGGCCGAAGCAAAGCGTCCCAGCATTTACATCAGGGCGGCATTCAAAACCGTTTACTTCCGCTTCTGCATCTTTTTCGTCGTTGGCGCTCTTGCCGTGTCGGTTGTTGTACCATACAATGACCCGGTGCTTTACAACATTTATTTTGGAGATGGCGCAGGCGGCTCCGCGGCAGCCTCGCCATACGTTATCGCCATGAGCAACATGGGAATTGGCGTTCTCCCTCACCTTGTCAACTTCCTCATTCTGACCTCGATTTTCTCGGCCGGAAATACCTACACCTACTGTGCGACGAGAACTCTCTATGGTTTGGCACTTGATGGCCGGGCACCCAAGGTTCTTCGTTATTGCAATAAGAAGGGTGTGCCGGTGTACTGTTTTATGGTTGTCATGCTGTTTCCCTTCCTTTCTTTCCTCCAGGTCAGCAATGGATCAGCTAAAGTCTTGAGCTGGTTGACGACCATCGTGACTGGCGGCGGGTTGATCACATTCATGATCATGTCCATCACCTTCATCAACTATTATAAAGCGTGCGAGGCGCAAGGCGTCGATCGCAGGACGAGACCTTACTACGGGTGGTTCCAGCCATATGGGGCTTACATTGCGTTGACGGCCCAGCTTATCATCGCCCTCGCCTACGGATACACCTCCTTTGTCCCGTGGAGCGTGGAGAATTTCTTTGCCAATTACACCATGCAACTATTGGCTCCGATTCTGTTCTTTGGATGGAAGATCTTCAAGAAGACCAAGTACATTAAGCCTCACGAGGTTGACCTGGTGTGGGAGCGGCCCATGATTGAGACCTATGAAAACTCGATTGAAACACCGCCGGTCGGATTCTGGACTGAAATGGGCCACATGATTGGTATTGGACGAAAAGCCAAGGTTAGCAGTGACGCATAGATGGTGCTAATTGTATATCATGAAAGTGTCAATATTTCTGTGTTTCCATAAACCGCTCTGGTTTAATGTTGTCTAGTCATCTGCTGGTTATAAAGCTGCTTAGACTATTTATGATCGAAGTTCAAGGATACCAACAATTACAGTTATTACTGGTCCAGGTTTCACGTTCCAGTTTGTTCAAACGGCAGCTTCTATCTGGGGTTTTCGGAGATTGATGTAGAATTGATCTTAACCCATCTGCCGAACATGGAATTTACCTAATTAGACATGCTGTTTCATACTTGTAGGATGTGATCGATAATTTGCACACTTTTTCAAACCGAGTGCAAAATAACTGACTTTATTAGGCATTAGGCTTTCGAGCTTCCTCGAAAAAGCGTTCTTGGGTTTCTATTTTACTAAGACATGACCCCGGACCCATAGCTTCTCCCCCACGATCATCGCTTCTTGAAGCTTTTCAACAGACGCTTGGTATAGGGCGTGACTCCAAATAGAAGCAGTTCTAGACCTACTTATGTCGTGAAGTAGTCTACTGCAGCCGCCAGAATTGTGCAAAAAATCAGGTCGTCCTGGAACAGGATTAGACCTTCTGCTTCTCTCCCAAAATGCTCTGTTCTTGAGGGAATCCAACGTTGAGAATAAATGCGAGTCGAATCAAGGTCAATGGAATATAGCTTCCCAGAAGTCCTTTGTCGTCGTCGGTCCAGGCACTGGGGGCGAGCCTGTTCTGGGTGGATAGAGAAAGATAGATGCCCACAAGAGCAGCTATATCAGCCAGTAAAAGGGCAAATTGGACAGCTCTCCAGACCTTGAGGTCTTCTGTGGACCGGTGGACTGCGGCTGTGATGAAGGCAATGGCAAGCGCCAATCCGCCGCATTGAAAGAAGAGAAAGACTTGGTCAGGATCGTAGTGAGAGTTGGGTGCGGGCCCGGTCACAGCCATCTCCTGGGCGAAGAAATTGAGATAGACCCCATACATGGCCACGAGGGGGTCGAGATTCTTGAAGAAGAACCGGTAGAATGCGGGGGCTGATGTAGCAGAGGCCATTTTGAAGAGTATTCTGGGGTGTTGTGCGAGTTTGAAGGATTGGTGCAAGTTACAACACTGTCGGTCGGTGGTATAAGAAGCTGAAGTTACTTCGCGGTGGCTATAATTTGAATGGTGGAAATTGCTGAAATGGTGTCGATGTGATATGCAATGAGTTTCAATTGAATAGTTTTGTCAGCAATGGTTGAAGGCTCAGTATTGTTATATACCTTAGGCCAAGAACTCTCTGGAAAACAACGAAATACCGAAATGTCCGTGATGTAATATCTTGATGTTAGTGCACGCTACTGCCTGCCGTCAGTGACTCATCCGGCATCCTGTCAGCACTGAGAGGGCGCTATCCAATCACAAAGAATAAAAAAATGGCTTTGAAAACACTGAAAATTCATACATTCTTATAGAAGGAACTACGCCTGCTAGATGCATATACCTTCTTCAATTCAGGTACTCACGATCACCCTTCCTTTGAACGTAAAGCTCCTCATTTATCCCTTTTTAGTGACGTAGGAATGTGTTTGCAGCTTCGGATGATCCTCGGGTGTTCCTGACTAAGCTCTCCGGACTTTTGGGGTACGTACCAAAACGCGCTTTGGCTCCAGTCAAACAGATCCACTGGCCCCGGACATTTCCAGTCGTCCGCTGGGCAAATCAACTAACAGATCAGTCAATCTGGAGAAGATATGCCGGTTTTTCGGTAGTTCTTATTTTTTGGTGTCGCACGGGCACCTTACACGCATTGGCAGCAATTGATTAATCATTGCGGAACTGGAAGCTTAATTCGACCTGTGCTTAGAGAGTGCGATAATTTCAGGAAAGCTCCAGTTCTCAACGTAATTACCCCTAAGATTGCCTTTTAAGCTGGCTCTGCGGAGAGTTTACCTCCGAGAGGGTCTGAGGTATGGTACGTTCGGTAGACATCAACTTCGCCCCAATGACGCCTCGCAGAAAGGCTGTTGAAGATCTAACCCACAAGTTCTGGATGATTTTAGAGAGCCGAAGTTTAGTATGTAAACTGAGCATTTGGTTCATGGATTTGCCTTCGAACAATCCCTTCATCTTTGTACTGTGGAAGCAAGAGACCAAGTTCATTTGTTTTAGGCTAGGCTACCTGGATAAAAGTGGTCTTTGATATTTCTTCTGGCGCAACATTGCTCAATGTTGGCGTCAATCATAGTCCGGGGTAAGTCCACCAATAAGAAGCAAACAGGATGATGAATCAAGTTACCAGGCAGTGTGAACTGCAGCGCAGAAAGGTCACTGTTAATTTCGGTAGTATGCATATTACATTTGAGGTGGGCCCATTGAGCGGTATTCTTCCATCATGGCCACGCAATCGACGGCAGTCGAGGCTTCAACTTGGCATCTCTTGCAGGACACAGCAGTGATGTGGACCCTTGTTCGCCTGCTGTTCGCACGAAATCTTCCCCGCATGCAAGGGGTAAATGACGAGGAGTAGCTAATCCCAATTGTGTCCGGCGATAGGAGCGCTTTTGGAGATCAGCGGTTTAGTTTAGCGATATTGGTGTTAACTCGCTTTACTATTACACCGAAGACATTGCTCCGAAGGCCGAGTATAGGAAGGTGCAAGCGTTGTGAAATTAGTCCTCACCACTTCGGATTGGTTGTATAAGATGTGGTTGAATCACTTGTAATGAACTTTCTCAGCCGTCCTTGCGCGTTGAGGTTCGGAGATCTCTCTACCAATAGCGACAAGCCTGTTGCTGACATTTTGTCGTCTTTCTCCACGATGCATGTCTCCCCCGGACTTGCGGCAGTCCTGGGACTTGCTACTATTGCTTCCGCAAAGCCCACAAACTACAGCGCGACTAGTGTTGAGATCAACTGGATTGGGGATACTCCAGGCTACTTCCCTGGCGCAAGCTTCGGTGTCCCCTGGTCAGAGGGAGCGCTTTTCCCTAATTCCACTACCTTCAGTCTTTCGGGAAGTGGCGGAAACAGCTCGCTTCAGTCATGGATCACAGGGTACTGGCGTGATGGGTCAATCAAATGGTCTGGACACGCCATACCTGCGACTGATTCCGTACCAGACTCATTTACGATCAATGCCTCACCCAAGGGTGTGTCAAAACGATCAGTCCCTCAGAAAAGAGCGTTGTCGGTGGAAGAATCTGGTGATGGGATCACCGTTGATACGGGCAAGATCAGTGTGACATTCCCCAAGGCGGGGAGTGTCCTCGTCAGCAGCATCGAAACGGCGGGCGGGAACGTTGTTGGGACCAACGGAAAGCTTGTTCTGTCTTCCCAGTCTGATCTGGCAAACGACGTTGAGTCAAGATTCAATACTTCGGTTAATTATTTCAACTTTGAAAGCAATATTGAAGAAGTTTCGGTCAGCCAAGATACATCTGTGCGAGCCTTGGTTACGACCCGCGGACAATTTCGCGTGTCAGCCGGAGGGGAACATGATGATTGGCTTCCGTTCGTCGTTCGATTTTATCTCTACTCCAACTCGAATTCTATTCGAATTGTGCACAGCATTGTGTTCAACGGAGATGGGAAGAAGGATTTTATCTCCGGCCTTGGTATTCGATTCCAGGTTCCACTGGAAGGAGAAGAGTTGTATAACAGACATGTTCGAATCTCAGGCTCGGATGGCGGCTTCTTGACCGAGGCTGTTAAGGGTATCACGGGATTGCGACGGGATCCTGGTACCGCCGTGAAGGTGGCACAATATGAAGGAAAATCGACACCGGATATCAGTACCTGGGACACCAGGGTATCATCGAGAATGCACTGGATTCCAGCCTGGAATGACTACAGCTTGCGACAGCTCACATCAGATGGATTCCAGATCAAAAAGCGCACAAAGGCAGGTCAGAGCTGGCTTGACGTCTCCACAGGACCACGCTCCGACGGCCTGGCATATCTCGGAGGATCTACCACGGGTGGTCTGGCTGTTGGACTGAGAAATTTCTGGAAGCAATTCCCCACTGGTTTGGACATCTCCAATGCTGCGACTGACAATGGCGAGATTACATTATGGCTCTACAGCCCGGAGGCAGGGCCTTTGGATCTCCGTCCATACCACGATGGGTTGGGCCAAGACACGTATGCTAAGCAACTCGACGCTTTGGAAATTACCTACGAGGACTACGAGCCGGGTTTCGATACGCCTACTGGTATCGCTAAGACTCATGAGATCTTTTTGCACGCCTTTGATGCAACGCCCTCTAGCGACCATCTTGGTTTGCTGAGCAAGCATCTTGATGAACCTCCGGCACTGGTTGCTAAATCCGACCACATTCAACAGACAAGAGCGTTGGGATCATACTGGTCTGCTCCACACACCTCCAAGTCACAAGCTGCGACGATTGAGAAGAACCTTGAATTCATCATCGAATACTACAAAGGCCAAATCGAGGGTCGAAGATGGTATGGATTCCTCCACTATGGCGACTTCATGCATACATATGATGTAGAAAGGCATGTGTGGAGATATGACATCGGAGGATATGCTTGGGACAATTCTGAATTGTCGCCGGACCTCTTCTTCTGGCTATACTTCTTGAGGACAGGCCGTGCAGATGTCTACAGATTTGCAGAAGCCCTGACACGCCACACTGGTGAGGTGGATGTTTATCATACCGGTGACTGGAAGGGTTTGGGTACCAGACATGGTGTCCTTCACTTCGCCGACAGTGCTAAGCAGGCACGAATTGCACAACCCCAATACCGCAAGTACTTTTACTTCCTCACGGGTGGTGATGAGCGTGTTGGAGAGCTCCTCGAGGAGACCCTGGACGCTGATAAAACATACGGGATCCTGGATGCCCACCGCAAGGTGCGAACTGATGGTTGGAAGCCATCGCCAGGAGAGCCAGTTTCCATTTCGCTGGGAACCGACTGGGCAGCACTGGCTGCTGGATGGCTGATTGAGTGGGAGCGAAGAGGATCCCGCTGGCAGGAGGCAAAGGAAAAGCTCACCAACACAGCTGCTGGAATTGCGAAGCTCAAGAATGGGTTCGTCACTGGAGAGGGGCTTTATGACATTGAAAAGAAGTCCATCTCCTCGCCACCTACCGATCCTGATAATGCAGGCGTAGTCGACATTTCCCATCTGTCAGCCGTGTTTGGAGAACCAGAGGTTCTTTCGGAGGCCATTGAGTACTGGGGAGATGAGGCTCCCGAGGGCCTTGCCCAAGCCTGGCTTGACTACTGCTACTACTACGGTGCTAGCGGCGTCGAACAGAAGGCGAGGTATGGCTCCAGCTTCTCGGGCGTGAGCCTTAAGCAGGGCCATGCTAGACTTTCCGCCTACTACTACCAGCAGACGGGGAACAGCACTTTGGCGGCGCGGACTTGGAATGAATTCTTCAACACGGATGGGCTCAAGGCAGATAGGGCGTGGGGCGTGACAACCAAGCTGAATGGCTCTGCGGTTCTGTTGCCGGGAGTGGAAGAGGTTTCGTGGATCTCAACCAACGACATCGCGCAGTACGGGCTCTCTGCCATACAGGGACTCGCGCTCGCAAGTGAGGGCCTTGCTAGCTAGTGGATAGGTTAGCTCTTGAGTTCTTATTCGATGCTGAGCGGAAAGTAAGCAAAAGGTCACATTTTGTTTAGCCGACTGAATAGGAAGAGTGTGTGTAGAATGTAATATATCTGTGCTATGTTAAAACATGAAGGCTGAATCTTTTATCAATGCCAGTGACTAGGAGAATGGAACGCGTCGTATTGTATTAATTGCAAGAGAGCTACCGAGGAAAAGAGTTCTGAAACATACATAAAGCGCAATTGCATGATGATGGAGATTATTAGAACAACTCAATCGCACTCGGTGATTATCCTACATAGGCCTCCTATGAATTGTTGGTTTAGGTGAAGTCTAACGCGAGCGCTCGCTTTGATTCAAGGTCCAACTCGATAATCATAAGAACACTCAACCCAAGTTGCATATCATTGCATCCGACAAAGCCAATCTCGACCTTCAAGAAGACAGACTGGATTGAGAGGCCACGAAGGAACTCACGCAGGCCTGAAGTCAGCGAAATCGGGCACTGAGGCTGCCTCCTTCTCACCAAGGACTCGGCTCACCCGGGTCTCAGAGGCTCGCACCAGAGACTGAGCAATTCGCTGAAGGCTATTGGCGATGTCGAGTTGGACCCTGTCTTGCCAAGCCTCTCGCTGGCGCCGATAGCGAAGATCCTCCTCGGCATCCTGATGCTCCTGAGATTTGAGATGATTCGACTTGGACTTGAGTGACTCCAAGGTCTGGCGCACCCGCCAACGTAGGATCCGGAACTCTCGCTAGAAGCTGGTCAGCTACACTCTCAGAAATGCGCATAACGGCCGAAACGCACAGTCTTGCGGAGGGTTTCGTCTGTCGCGAGCTTCCGGAATCGGTGGACCAAGCGGTGGTGTCGGTAAGGCATTTTCAAGCATTCCCCGTGGGAAGAGACGCAACGTGTACAGCTGCCCGTGAAAGCTTCAGCTATTGTTAGCTCTGTATACATGTAGATAGGGGCTCGGCTGCAACTTACAGCCAACTTTGTAACAGCAGAGCGGTGGAGCAAATCTCTGCCCATCTTTGGGTTTGTAATCTGCCAGAGCGCGAGCACATCGAAGGCAGTCGCAATCCAATCTAAGATTACACAGTGGTTAGCTAAGGAGATCGTTGAGAAATCTAGCGTACTCACGGCTCTAGCTCTACCAGCTTTCTGATCGGCTGGCCTTTTGGGAGCTTGAACCCTGAAGCGGCCAGTTCGATTTCGGTGGCAGCATGGACGGAAACTGTGGACTCGTTGTCCGAATCTATGATCACAGTTGCTTCAGGCGGAGGCGCCAGATCCAAGGCGGCCGATTGTTCGTTATCGGGGTAAAGAGTCTTCTGATCCTTCGGTGACTCTATGTCCGGAGGGCGGGAAGAAGGCTTCGTGTCGTGACTTTGAGGCTCTTGTTTGTGGTGGAAAGAGGGCGTAGACTGGTTAATTGGAGGGACGTGGAAGGAAGCTGAGCCTTCTCCTCGAAGGAACCACGTATTAATGGGACGGGAAGCCATGAGTAGAGACAGAGTAGCGAGGAGAAGTATTGGAATAGTGAACCAAGTTCTGCAGAGAGGAAGGGGAGATGGTTGGGGAGCAAAACTGCTGCTGAGGGTGTAGGGAGAAAAGAAGAAAGGAAGTCCTGCAGCTGCCACTTGGCAACCATATGCTCATACTTGCAATCAGACTCACGCGTCTTATACGCGACGCGAAAGCGAGAACAAACACAGCAATAACGGACTGGCAAAATCAACACTCTGAAGCGTTGGAACTCTCAGCTACTGCCCGCTGCCTCCAGCCCATGATTCATTTGCACGTCCACAGCGCTCAAGTAAATAGGTAGGCATCCGTTACGCCTTTATTGGACAATGATCTGACTGTTGAATATATATCTTCTATTTGACCCTGGCTTTTGAGGCTGCATATCCTTTGCTGACCAGGAGCAAGTCAACCGTCTTTGGCACCATGGGTACTGTTCTGCAAAGAAAGGAACAATACGAATAATAATTCTTCAAATTGCGCGGGGGAGACATACAGCTGCCGGTTTGTATAAATTGTTTTGGCTGCGAGAAGTATTGCTCTAGTTGTGAGCGAAAGATACAATCGCCACCACCAATTAGATGCTGGCAGAGTATGTACCTTTCGCCCCTAGCGAGCTGCGACATGGAGTCTTCAACAAAAAAAACATGGCTGACCAAGGCATCCTACAATGAGAGTCCGCCTATATCTCATGCGGGATCCTGGTAGTTCAGAGTCTGATTGATGCTAAATCCGAGGCTAGGTCCACGTGATGTCTTTTCATGTTCGCTATCTCAAGATGGATTGGTAATTGATTGCTCGTGTCGGTATTGGAGGGTCTGCGCTAGACACCCAACTAGCATTAGGCTACGGGATTGGATCATAGGAAGGATCGTTGCCATATTATTTAATGCTGCCTTGTAAATCAGCCAGCTGGGCGTCATTGCTTTGCCAAAGTCCATTGCTGGGCTGAGGCAGGTGAGATGCGTCATCACTGATCCCCGCCATGAGGCACAGATTTGCTCCCGCCACCGAACCCGGGCGCAATGTGCCGAACCGATCTTCAATTCCACTGGATGAATCTCTCGTGTCTACGGTCTACCTTAGCTGAGATGCCCGATGACCGATGCCGTCATATCCGGCGGTTACTTTGCGCCACAGGCGAATATTTGCCCAGCTGCAGAGTGCTTATCGTACTAAGCCAGCACAGCCCGGTTGTGAGCCACCAGATTAGACATCTGAGGGCAAATACTTAAATCACCACTCATCTATTGTTTGTTTGCGCCCACTTCACGCCCCTCGATTTGTTCCGCCGTCTTGCTGCCCTAGCAGATACACTTGATACCATTTACACCCACTGCCTGCCGCATCTGGTCAACGTTGCCGCCATGGGCGCGGATTCTGTACAGAAGAATGGCCGAAGCCCTGACTCCAAAGAGGCACCGCCGTCGTACGACAGTGCAAATGCGGCCCCACCAGAACTCGATGATGTTACCGCTGGATTCGCCAACTTGACGCTCTCCCCAGGACCCCAGGACCCCAACACCGACACATGCCTGGCACACCTCAAGCTTCTCTACGCCTTCCAGACGCTGAAAGAGGACATAGGATACACAGATGGGCTCTGGGGCTTATGGAACACTCGGGCAGAGGGCATCGACCCCACACCCAATCTCGACGGCAAATCGTCTGACTCGGGGAACGGCGCATCAAACCATGAGCCACTAAGCCGTGAACAAGAGCAGCAGCTGGCTCTCAGCCAAGTGAGAGAGAAACGATGGGCGTTGTTTGTCGCGCGCGCAGTCGACCGCTATGAAAGCTGGTGGGGTTCAATGAAGGATCAGTTTCCCCTTCAAGAGGGAGATATGGAATATGATGGAGCAGCCGCATATGATCTCTTTCCTATGCCGATGCAAGGCGTCTTGTGGAAGAACGAGCCACTGCCACCCTTGGGTATGACCTCAGACGAACCTCACGCTTGTATGATCTGCAACTAATTCGTTCGGCAGATGTTTTGCTTGTCTGGCATTCACACATGCTCAACCCACGGGCCTATCTCGAGGATTGCATGCGAGCAGGTCTCCGGGACCTTTGGTCTCACGGCATGCCATGGCATCTGGTTAACGCTGCGATCGATTCCAGTTTCAATTATGTCGTTTCCGATGACGTCAAGGCTCTCTGGGTTGCCAAAACGGAGCGACCGTGGGATAATGTTGAAGATAGCCCTGTCAAGAGAGTGGTGTGTCCTTATTGCCAAACGCATCTGGATATTCCATGGACAACTTGCGGGGCAGACGAGACGACCAAGGCTTCCTCTCTGCCTTCTCTTGTCGGCTCCGGTTATGGCGACGGCTCCCTCGACTATGCATGTCATGGTTGCGCTCTAAATATGAACAAGGATTTATTGAGCGTCATCAAGTTTAGGAACGACATGCAAAAGCTGATGATAAAAGGAGTGCCCATGCCTGGAACCATACTGGATCCTCAATCAGGCAAGCCAGAGACTTACAGGAGCAGAGTCACGCAAGCTGTATTCGACAGACACCATGACCCGATCAGGCTTCCCAACCGACTGGTTCAGCAGGTGATTTGCTTCCGACTAGGCGAGCTCATCGAAAGTAGGAGACCAGCTTCGATGGAGGACATTCGCCAAGAAATAGAAAGAGCTCTCCGAGATCGCACCAGAGTGAACGCCCTGGTGATGAAGACTTCGGGGCACTACAAGCTTGGCACAAAGCTGGTCCCCAAGTCCCGTCTCGCCATTCGAAAAATGATGAGCCGGTACTGGGATAATTTCTCTCCGTTTGCACTTGACCTGTCCGGGGCGGTGATGCGGCAGGGTATTTTCGTGGAGAAGATGTACCGTCTCGATTGGCTACATTCGCCTGTTGCCTCGCAGACCATGGCTCGGATCTGTACCAAATACATGAGATTCCTTAAGCTGATGGACAGTAATCCCGGCAAGCTGTGCGTTCCGACACTTGACGTTGACCTTGGTAAGCGATTGAACTATACTCTACACGTCAGCCCGTTTCAACGAGAATTCTTCGAACTGACTTGAATTATCAGGATGGCATACCCACCAACTTTCGCCCTCAGCATATTACACAATGACCACCACATCTTCCCAATCCAAATTCGTCGACCACGACGACAAGATCAATGAAGACGAGCTCAGCCAAGCGTTCGAATGGACAAGTAAGACGTATCAGAAGTTATACAATGAAGTATATTCCGAATGTACCTGCTGGTATTGCGAGACAGTTCGATCTTCTCACATTTCATCCATTGGCAAGGCTTTTGGGCTCTCGTCGAGCGAAAAAGGTATAGTTATTCGTCTTTCTACACATTCTCCCTCCGCGATGGTTGCTAATATTGGATCTAGTTGCGGATGAGTTCTACGAGTCAGCGGCCGCCAAGTCGTGTGATACCGAGAACTCTGCCCACATCAGCTCCCACAACGCCGTAACGTCCAGGGCGATAGACCCAGATAACCCATCCATGCGCTCTTCCATGTTCGTCCGCAGCAAGGCCCAGAAGGCATATCAGCGTCGTCTAGATGAGAATTACGAGAAGGCGTGCAAGCGGGCCGAGAAAAAAGGGCGGAAGCTCCCACCGAGGGACACTTACTACAGCCACTGGGGATATCCATACGCAGCATATGGCCCTTTTATGTACCCGATGTACTTCACCCCTGGTATATACTATGGTGCCGACCCTAACGTCGTCAATTGCAATGGTACCGGTTGCCCAGGAGCGTGTGCAGGGGGCAGTTGTGGTGGTGGAGTCGCTGCCGGAGCTTGCGGCGGTGCAGGAGGCTGCGGCAACGCTGGAGGATGCAGCGGAGGCGATGGAGGAGGAGGAGGGGGATGTGGAGGAGGTTGTGGAGGAGGAGGTGGAGGATGCGGTGGTGGAGGAGGAGGATGTGGTGGTGGTGGTGGAGGGGGCTGTGGAGGAGGAGGCGGTTCATGATGAAGTGAATTTGCAATATCGTCAATAGTTTCACTTTATATATGCCATGGCTCCAACAGATTGTCTCAGAAGAACAATCATAAGTCGATCCTCTATGGCATGTCGGACACTCGGTGTTATCCAGCTGAGGGAGACAGGCACTTCAGTTTCTTTCTAGTTGTTTGCATTTACCTGATTCTTTTGCTTTCTTAGTTTAGAGGTGAAGCCATATATTAGCTGCTGAATCTGATATCACATCACCAATGAATAACAAACTCTAGATATTTTCTCCAAACGGCTTGTATGAAAAAGTATTTGAGACCTTGATTTGCCACTTCTTAGCTTTGAAGGTCCAGAGCTTTCGGCTAACTGAGGGGGGACCGCCATGGTGAGGCACGATCATTTGGAACCTTCATCCATTGCTTTTTACTTGGACGCGAATACATACCGGAAGCTGGCTAAATGAGGGCTAGATATTGCAAAGTAGTTACGTGTACTGTATATTAGTGTCTGGTCGGGTCATCAACAAAATGTGTATTGATAACGAAAGAAAACGGTCTTCTAGAAATCACTGGGTTTTCTTCTCATACTGGGATGATGTCTTTACAAGTTCTTGAGGCATGTTCCACGGAATCAATAAAGAGAACTTGGAAGTGTTCAATCAAGTTGAAGGCAGCGGCAGAGTCCCAGAACATAGTACACCACGACTTCTTGCAGGCAGACTTAGCCGAGCAGTCTGGGCGCTTATTCTTTGCCACTCTGACGCTACTCCTTTTCGCAGTACACATCAAAACTTTTGCCAGTGGACCATAGTTTCCACTAAATAGATATGATTGACAAATCTAGAAAGTGCCATCTGCATGAAAAATGCAATAATAACCTGCAGCTATACGCGGCCGTTCTCCACAGTATGCGTCGGTCCGCAATCTTGTAAGCGACGTGGGGGGCAACGATGTTGCCGTGAACATTCCGAAAGTAACGTCATGGTGCGCTGATTGCTGAGCAATTGCTCCGGAAAATTCCTCATAGGTCGATTTTGTGTAGCAATCGGAAGCGTTTTCAGCATCGCATATCTAGTAAATGCAACTCACCGAGGACCCTGTGATCCTAGTTGCTTCTCAGACCCTGGATCATCTTCTGATTCTTGCAGGGTCATGGTCTGATAATATAAATGGACGGATCCTACTGCAACATGATGCTTGCAAAAATCTGTTCCAGAATGCCAGCAACGTCTAGGCAGAACACAAAAATCTTTGAAGACCAGTATGAAAATTAGGTATAAGAGCAAGGCTTGGTTAAGAGCAGATAGACTAGATGAAGGGATAACACTCCAAATCCATTCCCTCCTACATCTTCAAGGAACTATACAATTCATATCGTTGGGGACTTTGCCGGCAATCTGAAGCCCCTTGCTGTTTTCCCACTCTATTGTCACAATGAAGATTCAATTTATTTGCACAGCTCACAATTCGCTTTCTCAACGACTTTTTCTGGCACTCGCCAAGGACCATGAAGTCTCTGTTGAGTATGCACTATCCGATAGTGTTATCATCGAGGCTGTTGGGCTGTATCAACCAGATCTGATCATCTGTCCCTTCCTAACGGCCCGCATCCCTCGCGAGGTCTACGCACATTACTTGACCCTTATTGTCCACCCAGGGCCACCTGGAGATGTTGGGCCGAGTGCTTTGGACTGGGTGTTGATGGGGGACGACGGGTCTGAGGCTGACTCCAACAAGCTGCTCAAGGCGCAGTCGTTGAGCGACTCGGGCCGAAAGTACTGGGGCGTAACCATCTTGCAAGCCATCGAAGAGTTCGATGCGGGTCCTGTCTGGGCATTTGACCAATTTCCAATCGATATCGACGATCCTCATGTGACAAAGTCTACTCTCTACCGAAGTTCTGTCACCCAAGCTGCAGTTACGGCTACAGTAGCCGCCGTGGGGAGAATCACAGCCAATCTCAGCCCTTCGGATACAACAAAGTCGGCTGTTTCCCCACACATGGTCGCCGACCCTTCGTATAGGGAACTCTCAGTCACTGATAAGCTGCCTTTCCAAGGTGGAACAACGCGCCACAGGCCGCTCCTCAAGGCGGCACAGCGCGCTTTCAATGTCAATGAGCACACGGCAAAAGAGATCTCTCGAAGAATCAGATGCTCCGACTCCCAGCCGGGATGTCTTAGCACTGTGTTTGGACCCAGCCTCTATGTCTACGGAGGCATCATCGAAGAAGGCCCGTGGGTTCGAGAAGTGGACACCGCTCCTGGCACTATAATCGCCTCTCGAAATGAGGCAGTCTGTATCGCGACCTGCGATAAAAAGGGCGTGTGGATCACACACTTGAGACGCCTGAAAGGAAGAAATGACGCCGCTTTGTGGCCCAAGGTGCCAGCGACAACTTGCTTGCAGGATCTCAAGATAATGAGCCAGGAGAAGCTCCAGCAGTTGAACGTCCCAACTCCTGATGACTGGTCTGCGGCAACCTATCCCACATTGCAAGAGATCTGGGTAGAGTTTGCTACTGTTGGGAACTCGAGACTTGCATACGTCTTCTCAGAGTTCTACAACGGGGCAATGAGCTCTAGCCAGTGCTCGCGGCTGATTGAAGCTTTTGAGTTCGTTCTATCCAAACACACAGAGGCAGATCCGCTTACAGCTGTGGTGATGATGGGTGGTACTTCATACTTCAGCAACGGAATCCATCTGAATGTGATTGAGACTGCGGCTGACCCAGCCCTCGAGTCTTGGATTAACATCAACGCAATCAACGACGTCGTGTTTTACATTCTTCACGAGTTCCCAAAACGGAACATCCTCACAGTGGCTGGTGTGCGAGGCAATTGTGCCGCTGGAGGTGTTGCATTCGCTGCTGCCTTCGACAAGGTCATCGCTGGCTCCGAGGTGGTCTTGAACCCGGCGTATCGCGCCCTTGGACTCTACGGGTCCGAGTATCACACTCTATCGTACTACAAGCGGTGCGGCTCTTCTGTTGCGACGTCATTAGTCCGTGACATGTTGCCTTTGTCGTCAGCTGATGGCGAGCGAATTGGCTTGGTGGATTATGTGGTGCCAGGTCGTGGTACAAAGCTCACTGAAGGTGTGCGCAACAAAGTCGTAGAACTGCTAGGGTCGCATGAAATTGCTTCTCCCAAGTGGAAAGTAGGCGTTGATTTCTCTCTCGCAGCGCTGACACGGGTGCGCGTCGCTGAGTTGGCCGAGATGGCAAAGGACTTCTGGAGCCCGAGAGCCTCACGCTACCACAACCGCCGGTTTGCTTTTGTGCGCAAGGTAAAGCCCAGTGCGACGCCGGTGAGGTTTGCGACTCATAGACGACATCTGAACGGCAAGACTCATTTGGATGAGGAAGAAAAGGACGAGTTTGATTTGGTTGAAACATTCGAGAGAAAATCACAGCAGGCGATGGAAGCACAGTCATTTGAAAGGCTAGTTCAGAATCGTGGGATCATTTTCCCTTGTCTTTATGAGACTCCAGTCACGGTTTAGCTTGTATTGGAGGACTGCTCTAGAGGGAATATATTAAGTCAGAAGTATGTCAGGCAAAGTATTGAATAAAACACCCTCCTAAATGACTACAAAAAGTGCCCGATGGGATTTGGTTGATCAAGGCTGCTGATATTAACCTTCATGTATTCCTGGAAAGGAAATCAGTTCCAATGCTTAGTGAGCATTCATGACCACTGATTCGTGTTTACAACGCTGGGAATTCTCACAGGTCCAAAGGGTTCCACAACCTACTCTCTACTTGACCAGTTGAGGACTTGCTTGCCCTGTTGGGAAATTGAAACCTGTTGCAAGCATTTCGCCATGAGGGCTTCTCAGTGGATGAGATCACAAAGTACCATGCGGGGCGGCTCTAAGAAACCCCATCAAAGATAACAACGGAGGAATTGCAACCCCTCTAAACCTCCGAAGCAATATTATTGGGTATCTCGTTGGGGATCGGATTGCCTACTACGGTAAGTGGGTGCATTTGCGTATTGCAACTCCATATTCGGAACGGCTATCCGGGGCTGGTCCACGCCAAGCTGCTCTGGCCGGTTCTCGGACTGCCATTTGGAGGGAATACTCGATCCTTTATATAAAGGGAAGTATCTGATAGTGGCCATCAAAAGAAAGCACAAACAGACATCTCAAAACAAACAAACGATGGCTGAATTAGAGGTTACGCTTCCCGCATCATGGTTCACCAGCAAGACAATTTACGACCTCGAGAGGCGTGCTGTTTTCCTCAAGGTAGCGTTCGCCCGCTCATTCAAGTTCTTGACGTACAATCAAAGCGTTGACTCTTTATAGTCATGGTTTTTCCTAGGAGCGGTAACCAAATGGCCCACTGTCGGAGACTATCCTCACGAAATGGTGCAAGTCGACCTTATTGTTCGACGCACCTCTGAGGATTGGACGAGCCTCAGAGTTCTTGCCAAGGATGTACGTATCTTTTCCATCGGCAAGTCAAAACTTTGGTTCAGCTTTTAATACATCATTTCAGGGTTCCGAGGTACGAAGCCACTTGACACCTACAGGTCTGCTCTTCGTCACGCTGTCGAATGAGACGCCTAGCTTTAAGGAATCTCTACCAGGACTGGAGGATCTAATAGGGCACGTGGACTTCACAAAACGTGAGGTCCGAAGAAGCCTCAGATATGTAGGAAAATACAACTGGAAGACATTTATCGACGGATTCCAGGAGTGTCTCCACTGCGCATACGCCCATAAAGAGTTTTCCAAACGGTACACCCCAACCACCTACAAGGTGCTGAACAACAGTAATTACTCACAGCACCTTGCGAAGCCGGGCCACAGCCCTGCAGATGGTCTATTCATCTACTTCTTTCCCAACACGATGTTTAACCTGTACGGTGGAGGCATGAGTGCCATCCGCGCGTGCCCCCTCGAGGACCCGTCAACGACGATGATGGAATTTGACTATTACCATGATGAGCCTGCTGGCTCTGAAGAATTCGAAGCTTACTACAAGTTTGCTCGGCGAGTTGGTGTAGAGGACCACGAACTATGCGAGCAAGTCCAGCTCAACCTAAAGCTTGACATTTATTCGGCGGGGATACTCAATCCTAACAAGGAGAACGGTGTGGCTTGTAAGTTGAATAGCTTAGATTAATTAGCTTGGATGACGTACTAACAGCCCTGAAAGATTACCAAGCCCGAGTCCTTGAGTTGTGCTCGGCACAATTCGAGAAGGAAGAACGGGAGAAGCTATCGAGGCAACCAGTCTTAGCCTCCAATGTGACCCATCTGGCAGAGGCATCTGCCGTCTAAGATGCGATGAACCTAGAGATGAAAGATTTTCAATCTACTAGAGTAGCTCTTTTCGAATTTTAGTACCCTTTGATGTTCGCGAGAGCAAAGCAGACTCACAATTAGCATTTTAGATGTAGAATGCTGAGAATGACACTACCATAATAAAGTATTAAGATGAGGATATTCTCTGTGTTTCTGACACGTGACTTGATAGCATAACCTTCGTGGGACCAGTAGTAACTGTAGATAGGCATAAGCAACCCGCGTTAGATGCCTTGCTGATAGAAAGGCTTCGCCTAGGCCGTCGACGAATTCCTCGAGCTCCAAGGCCTAGAAAACGGCCCATTCCAGACACAATTCCGCTCCAGAATATCACTTTGACAGCTTCTCATCACGCCTGTCTTATATAATGAGTTGTCTGTGTTTGCCTAAGACAGATTTGGTCGAGAAGGGACGGTTAGACCGACTTTTTTATAAAGAATATGAAGGTTAAAAGGTTAATCGAGATACCACCCTCCAAGCCGTAATTACTAGTTTTATCAGCCTGGTTGCCTTCAATGGGCGAACTGGACCTTGTTACCAATTGTCCCAGGCTTCACTACAATGTGATGATTTTTTTCATTCGATATATGTCTGATGGTAATAGCTTTGGGGCATAGGCGCTTTTAAATCCGGATATTCCCAAATCCCATCGAAATAAACACGATAGAGATCAGCATCTGCTCACTGAAATCTGCTTTTCTCTTGTGATTGGTAGCTAAGGACCGACTGAGCAACGTCTGGCCACGTAGGAAACCTCTCTGTTACTGCGCGATGAGTTGTCACATGACAATGGGGTACACAAGTACTTGGTACCCGGTACCCGATGGCATAACGATGACATTTTCCTCTCCCCCGCTCCTTCCCCCGTGCATCATCAAGCGAAAACTGCCATCCCATAAACGACATCTTCCAAGATTTGCGAACTCTTTGATCGAATTATTTAGCTAGGGTTGTTTTCATTATCTTCTTTCGGCCCTAGAATTGGATCACAAGATGCCCCGCGGCTACTACCTCGGACAGGGCCTGATCCCACTTGGTGAACACAGCAGCGATGACGACGAAGGTCCTTGCGAGCTTCCAGATGGGCGCATCGTCTGCGGCCCGCATGGCCTAACTGTCTGTGGCAAATGCTGCATGGACTTCAGCTTCATGGATGAATTAAGGGACGAGGCCGACGACGACGACTACGACGACGACTACGACGACGGTGACAACGACGGCGAGCATTCCCTTCAGGTGGAGGCCGACCAGGACATGTTCGACCCATCTCACAGTACTCGAAGGGAATATGGCAGTGTATTCCCTACCGAATTTACAGAGATCGGCCCCCCTCTTGAATTATTCCAGGCCGAGCGTCGTCGCGTTGGCCTTGGAGTAAACAGGTAAAAGCCCCCATCTACATGATATCTGAAAGACATTGACACAATAGCCCAGATACGTCCACAGAAACGATCCTGGCAAGGTGCTGATCATGACGGATGGTGCGTGTGCGAATAATGGCGCACCCAACCCCAAGGCCGGCTGGGCATTTGTCGCTGGTCCAGGACAAGTTATCAGCGCCCGGCTAGAGACCCAAGGCCCTTTTGGCGACCCAGGAATCCAAAGCAGCAACAGAGCTGAGCTTCGAGCTGTCATCGCGGCTCTCGGTTTTCGAGTCTGGGCGGGGGAAGGATTTCGACATGTTGTCATTGCTACAGACTCTGATTATGTCGTGAAGGGCTCTACACAGTGGACTAGAACCTGGATTAGCAATGGCTGGAAGACGAGTAGCGGGGCCGATGTGAAAAATAAGGATCTGTGGGAAAAGCTATTGTGTGAGGTAGAACGGCACAACGACGAGGACGGCTTGTTGATTCAGATGTGGCATATTCCCAGAGAGTACAACACGGTGGCAGATTCACGGGCGAAAGCTGCCACCGAGGTCGACGAGGCACCCACACGTTGGACCCCCGTACTTGGGGTGGCAGCATAAGCATAAAACAATTGTCTTGGAAGGGATGATCGGCTTAGTTTGGCATTCAAATTAAAAGCAGAAGTCAGAAACGGTATCTACGTCACGGATCGCCGTATTTCGAGAGAAACAGGCGGCACAACAAGGCCTTATCCTACTAGCAATAGAAACGAACTGAGGGAACCTTACCCGACACGAACCGCATTGTCCATATTACCTCTATGCGTAAGGTCTGCGAATGCCTAATGCTGCATTCTCGAGTGCTAATGGCGCATAATCTGCCATGAGAAGCAATTATGAGACGCGGTAGGTTTCTTTTTTTCTAATATACTGCCCTATCTTGGCTGCTACCATCTTGGATCTTGTTGTTAGCATGTGTAACATGTCAATCTCGCCTGTACAGGCTACTCTTGGAGAGGGAGGGGTTTCAGTCACGGGGAGCGCATATTGGGTCCGTGGGCTTCCGTCCGTGTAGTCCATCTCTCAGCTAGCTCTTGTAGACATAAAAAATGTCACAACCTCCACCCTGGAGGCTCTAGAGGCTGTGTCTTAACCTACATTTGCGTTCAGCTGCATAGAGACAGAGCCGGAAGAGAAAAACTATCCTCCTCAACGTGGTCTTCAAGTGGGATTTACGCAATGGTATACATAGTAGACACTATCCAGTCTTATCGCCGTAGGATGCAGAAGCGGTGGGAGGCATCTCAGGGCAAGTCTCGTAACACCGCGAGTAATTTCTCCTCGAGCTCTATAGCCTATGGTTTATGAAATCATAGTATTTTATTAATAATTACTAGTAATTTCCCTGCGTGTTCATAGATTTGTGGCACCAAACTGTAATATCGGCCTTGGGCGTATAGCCCCATGCATCACATAGGTAGCAAGGATCGCACAATACATAAGCGGATTTGCCATATCCTGGGTCCCCCTCGCCATCCAGGCTTTACGGTTCCAGAATTAAGAGACTGCGCCGACCAAGCTGTGTTTGGAAATCTCTAGAGCGGGAAATGATGCGAAGCTCACGGACCCGCCGGATACTGTATTCTCAAGAACTTCTTTTTTTTTGCCCCCAGTGTTTTATAAGTTGTTCCCAATTTTCTATCTTTGGGTCTTGGATGCGTAGAGCACAAAAGGGATTAGGTTTATGCAGGAACACGGGTCCAAAACTTGGTATTAAAAAGGCAAATTTCTTAAGAAAATATCGGTTATTGATTGAATAACAATCACCTTGGAATCTTCGTTTGGCTGCCGTCTTGCCACTATCCGTGCCGTGCTTGTTGGTCACACCGTATGTCGATAACAAAAGTAGGCCCTTAGCAAACTGTTGTCGCGCATCCCACAGAATTCTTTCATTACTAGATAGAAGGATGTTCCCTGTCTAGACACTTAGTAGGGAAACCGTTCCACCGGGTGGCAAGATGGAGCCGGCGTATCAGGAAGAGCACCATGCCAAGCGGAGCGAAATGACAACCTTGAAAAATCCGCGCCTGTATTGTGCGACCCCAGCTGTGTTGAGATGCGGTGGGAGTGCGATCCTTGATGTATTGGGATGCATGGGGAAAGGAATTAATGGAGAGAGGCAGGTTGCAACTATATAGATAATCATTATTTCTTGTGTAAATTTAACATTTAGCATACTAATCAACTTTGCTTTCCTTTTATTTTCCCATCAGCTATAAAAACAACCTCCTCCTTACAATTTCATTCTATAACTTTCAAGATGCATTTCGTCAAGACCATTATCTCCCTCTTCACCCTTTCCAGCTTTGCTGCTGCGCATTACACCCCCAGGGCTCTTCTCGCACTTGCCTATCCTGGGACCCTAAATCTCATGTCAGCGAGGGTGTAAGGAGAATCAGGGCGCAGGGAGATACTTACACGGATGTACAGGTCGCGGGCAGTGAGGTATGTATCACGGACAGCGAGGAATTCCTCACGGGCAGCGAGTTAGTTGCCACGCGGGTTCAGGCCAGCTTCAGGATATTTCTCAAGAGAGTAATACGGATATGATTAATTTAAAATGCGTAGGAATAATTTTCAGAATTTAATCTAGTTCGTTAGACCTGCAATAATATTCACTGCCCGCACCCTTGTTTGTCGCCAATTTGGCTTGATGTATCTGCCCTCTGCAAGTAACCGCCTTCAATCAAGGCCAAGACATTGCCGATGCCGCCGGTGTAAAACTGAGCGCCTAATCCAGGCTGTCCAAACCAAGGGGCGATGGGGCCTCCAAGAACCTTAAGGGGCTTGACTACCTGATAAACATGGTAACCGTAAGGGAAATCTGGCGCAGATGGTTGAGTGTTGAGGCTGGAAGGGGGAAGCGCCCTCTGTGAGTACGGCGCAGATGCGGCTGAGACGTAGGTCCCTGTCAAGCAACATATTTAGCAGAGTGCACATAATGAAAAAGCAGTTGTTCAACGCATTGGAACTACCATGTTTTTAGACGTACCATACTCACTGCCGAATCGATCGACAAATGTGCCAGCTTCTAGGATCATGGAACCATTGATGGCATTGCCATTGGCATCCAATTGAAAGCCATTTTGGGGTGGGTAAACGTATTTACCTTCGGCATCGGTCCACTTGGTGAGAAACTCTCCTGGACTCAAGCCACCGAAGCGGTCGTAGTTCGAGATAGTGTTCACGAGAGGCATGATCTCTGGTAAATCTGCGGGCCCTAAACGGGGATCACCGCAGATGTATGGGATCGTGGCATTGGGATCGGCTTTCGTTCCTGCGCAGTCGCAAAAGGGCGCGGGCGTGGTGTAGTCCACAGGATAGGAAGAGGCAAGCCCCAAGAGGAACGACAGACAAAGACGACCAACAAGCTTCATGGTATATGGATGAGCTCGGTCAGAAGAGGGACAAGTTGTCTTGATTGGTTTTGTTGGGGATAGGAAAAATGAAGAAGCAAGAGGGGTCGGTCCTGATGGTAGAGCTGGTCCCTTTTATATTCAAGACAGATCCTACGGGGTCGTTGGAAATGAAGAAAAAAGTAATGAACCATGCACAAATCGACTGATCATTCCTTTCCATTCAGCAAGAGTATTTCCAAGAGAAATCCTAATGGCCCGATCATTCCAGTGGCTGGTTTTGACGGCGTCTGAATGTGGCCATGTAGCTAGACCAGTGCTGCGAATGGCCTGGCTCGGCATAGGCTTCGGCACTTTAGGCATAGGACAAGCGTGTTAGTTACATCCACCAGACACGGGATGCACATTTTGCATGCCTTGTGGAGAAAACATGCATGTCTCAGGTCATAGCGGACAGGCATATCAGAGGAAAGGGAGTGCTGATTCATGTCTGATCCACCGTTAATTTCGAATGCTAGCATAGCATTCGATAGAGCTTGCAATAAAATACTAACTAAAGTAGTATATTGTAAGAAGGTCTAAGTCTAACGGTGCGGATATGCAACTCAGTCGGATAATGGGTTGCGCAGGAAATGTATGTGTGCGAGCGTACTGAAGACGTATTATGCCTTGGCAAGCTGACACCGCTTGGCTCAGCTGAGACATATTGTTTTTTGCTCCATCTTTCAGCTTGTCCCAAACTGCAGCCACAGCATGCGCAGTGCCTTTTTCGGCTAAGCGAGGTGGTTGGTGCAGATCAGTTGGCTGAGTCTGCATGTCTGGATTGGGTACGTGAGGGCAATGATCTTCACCCAGCAACGTTATGAGAGAGGAACATTCAAGCGAGAGTGGAGATTTCTTTCAAAGCCAGAGAGGATATCCCTGTCGAAGATGCAACAAGAAAGCAAACATGACTAAGTAGGACATACGCAGGGTGCTTTACTGACCTAAGTTGTTACAAGTCATAGAATGGCTTTGCATCTGCCTGAGGTCTTAAAGCCCTTGAGATACGAGTGGAGTAATTCATAAATAGAATATGCATACTGAAGATTTATTTATGTTTAATTTATTCGTGTTTGAATCTGCGCTGACCCAGAGAGGTGGTAGTCAATATCCAAGGGCGACGTAGAATCAATAAGTTCTATTAGATCAAGTCCCTCCCCAAGGTTGGTCCATGCAATTGTCAGGAGTAATAGTTGACCAATAAAGACCTTGAGACATGTTTTCCGACAGACTGTTATCAATGAACTGTAAATCAAGACTGGGTTGCATCAACAAGTCCTGTAGTAATGGTCCAGACATATCTAGATTTGGGTGACCACGGATAGCAGCGACACTCGCACTTATCTCGTCTGATGGCGAGGGCCAGACGTAATTTGGTGAGCTAGGGATGACACCGTTGGTAACCAACTCAGTTATAGCAGCCTTTATGGCTTCCAAATGACGTAAGAATTCTTTTGCGGCAAGGTGGCCGGTGTCTCTGAGCTGGCACAGGATCTCGAAGGCGGACTCAATTTGTTCCTGGCCGTTGTGTGGCCAGTCTTTGCCCTTGACCAAGCTTGAAATCTGTATTATGATCGCTGAGGAGAAGAGATATTGCGGGTAGAGCCAATCGAATGTTGGGAATGAGCCGTCGGCCCAGGAGTCAGTTAGCAGTCGGACGTTGTGGCGTGCGCATCTGTAACAAGCGTCTGCAAGAGATATTGCAGATTGGGGGATCTGGGGCTCAGGACCGAGTCCTTTCTTGAATGCAATAGTCTGGCGAAGAATGTTCAGGAATATAGGCCTCGTAGTCATGACAATACACTATAGAATCGTCAGTCTGGGACGCGAGTTTTGGCATATAGAGAAAGGGATGATCGTACCTGATTAAAAGAGAGGTAGAGAGAAACGGCGTTACTCAGAGTTTGTGGGGGATCGTTCGCGTTGATGCATAGATGATTGGGTAAATTCTCTCTCCACCGAAGTAGGTTCTTGAGCGAATCCTGCACACGTTGGGCTTGGGATCCTTCTCGAGAGTCTGGCCGATCATTTCGGAGATACATCACTTGGAGGACCTGGCCAGCGACTTGGGCCAAACGTGTGCGGGCGATGTAATAGGCAGCATCAGAGAAGTCACCCGCGCTCAGCGTTTCTCTGTCAGAAGGGAGATCTACGTCAATCACGTTGTCAAAAACACCAACTGGGTTCCCAAGATTGACCCCCCACATGCGATCGAAACTATAGCATGTCCACCACACTCTGTTTCGGTGTTCACGGAGAGCAGGATCAGTCAATTCGTTTTCAGAGACGTTCAGATGAAGGCCCATAAGAACAGCTAAGCGAGTAGCGGAGCCTGCCAGCGCGTATGCCGAGTACCGCCGATTGATCGCAAGAGAGTAGAACGACTAGGCGGATTGTTAACTCCAGAAATAGCAATTGATAGATTGTCTGATTCTATACTTACAAGAAGGAGTCGGATTTCGATGGCATCGAGGTGCGGCCGCTCACTCATTATACTTAGCACACCGGTGGCCTTTGCAAAGAAAGGCAATCCAGAATATCCTCTGTTTTTACAAATCGTCCGGGATGAGTAAAGCTCCCCAATGGCGAAAAGAGCCATCATCTTGCTCCGTGTCATGACGCTCATTAAGCTCGGGTTCTGTTCGAGATTGTGCAAAACTTGACTTTTCAACACAACATGATATCGATCGCTTACATGCCAAAGGGCAATGTTTACCAACATCCGAGCCTTTGGAGGTGATGGCCAAGGTGCCTCCGCTTCGGACAATACGGCGAGGTATTCGTCCGTTGGGTAGTTCAATCTCGGAACATGATTATAAGGGGTGTCGGAAATGGCATTACGGCAACGAGTTGCAAAGCCAGCGTCTGATCCTTCGCCGATCAATATCGGAGTGTGAGGAACGATAGAGTTGAGGAACCACGGCGGGTATTGTGCACTTAGCTCTAGCACAGGAGAGCCGAGTCTCGGGGGTGATTGTGGTTTTAGAGTCTTTGTCGGAGCCACGGTTGCATTCCTCTTGCGAAGCTGTTGGACTTCCCGTAGAAGGCTTTCGAGGTCCCTTTTGGAATTTCTTGTAAGCTTGCAAGGCGATGCTTATCAACCACAAAGCCACTTACTCCTGAGTAACCTTTATCACTCGCTGACGCCGAGGATATACGCATTCGTCCTCTTTGTTGGCCAGACAGGCATTACAAGGCTGACCTCCAGAGCACTTGACCTTGCGTGAGTGGCATTTTCGGCAGCTAGGTATGTCGTAAGAATTAGATTGAACAGAGATTTTGGGCTGGAGGGGACAACACACGCGGTTGGGGAAGTTCGCCGCTGGAGTAGGGAGGTTAAAGTGAGCTCGGCATCCCCTTGCGCTATACTCTCATTTGACTCTTTGTCTAAAGAGTAGGAGGCGGAGTCGTCAGACATGGCGTTGCTTCTCTCATGGTTGGCACATGAGCCCGATGCTTGATACGGCTCGGTCTCAGCTTCAATCGCCGAGCGATCCATGTCCTATTTATCAATTGGGTTGGAAGAAAGCAGTTCTGCGGGGAAGACAAGTGGGACTGCTACAAGAGATAAAGAATCTACGGAGTACAAGGGGGACAGTTTCCCCTCATCTCCCCTGCTAGCCGAACTCAACTGACTCGTTGACATACGTTCACGTGAGACTTATTAGCCACATTTTAGCCAGGGTGGGCTTCAAATATGCTTTTCCAAAGGAGTCGGTTCTTTTTATCAGAAACATCCTGATCGAAGTGATAGGAATTGGATCCTTGTACTCGTCAGGAGCTACTATAACCCAGTTTCGTGGTGAGATCGGGACGTTTTTCTTCGTATGGAACATCAGACAACAATCAGATTTTAGGCATTGTATGGTTGGATAAGTCTTTATGCATCTCTACCTAACTCTCGACATTGGACCCCTATGAAACATCATCTCACCCGACCGACTCGGCCAATTTTCTCGACTCCACGTTTCCGCCACTGATTAGACTGAAGGTGCTATCACCACACTGAGTTTCTATAAGTCGTCGGAAATCTTCGTTGGAAAGCACCACAGCGAGCGGAAGTGCCGAAATTGGCTCGATAACAATCTTCATGCGCTGTAGCACTAATACCAGAGTGGAGCGTATCTGATCTTCGGTTACTGAAAACACGCCCTGGACATTGTCTACGTTGCTGATAATCTTCCATGGAATCTCCCCTCCGGCGTCTGTAGACCATCAGCGATGGTTAAGCCTCTGTCCTGTTCATCTCGGTGGCCGGCAACAAGTCCGCGGCGGCAGTCATCGGCCCCCTCAAATGATGGCTCCGTAGACTTTGATGTCTGTTGCCTGGCAACTTAAAGCCACGTCGCTTAACAGGCCGCCGCCGCCGTAGGGTGTGATAATTCCATGTAACCTTCTACCATCGGGAAGAAGCTCGACGGCCTGTCCTTGAAGTTCCAGCACTATAATTCCTTTGCCAAAGAGAGTATCAGGGCGATCATATGGTGATATACACGCTTCTGTAGCCTGGTTCATCCATTAGCCTGTCCACAATTACAAACCATTCTGGGGGTGTTGGCCCGCTGAAGTGTACCGTTGCCCCATATCCCTTAGTTGCAGCGATCTTGGCCGGCAATCGAGATTGATAGCATCGCCATGAGAGCCGGGTATCCAAGTTCTTTCGCAGCGAGAGACACCCCTTGAGCATGATTCTGCCATGTCGACACACGAATTCGGATGAGTCCTTAGGGTCCCATAGAATGTAGCCATATCTACACCAGAAGAGTGGGTTATGGAATGCACTGGGTTCTTTTGGCTTGTTGAATCATTTCCTTGAGCGCTTTGCTCCTCCAGATATCGAAGCATGACATTGAATGCATCCCTAGGCTTGAACGCCCCAACCTTTTGCAAGTTCTCACACTTGAAGAGTATATGAATTCGAGGCCTGGATGGTTCCTGTCCTTCTCACGACATCCCTTTCAGCGCTGCGGTTGTCTGAGGACTACTGGCGATACTGCCGACATAGCTGCTGGAGAGTAATAGAGTTCGGTGTAGTTTTCCCGTGGTTCTGTGTGCTGCTTCTTACACAAAGATTCTTCAAAGGCTTAGGCATGTGCTAATATCTGCCATCATGTAAGAGATTACAGGTGATGTGAAATCGATGGTTCCTTCTTGGAGTAGGTTCAGTAGCAGCGATAACTCGGGAACAAAACTACTATGCTTCTTATCCCGTCATGGTTACTTTATTACTGGCTTCATAAGCCTCTGAAGCTAAATCTCTCGCTTGTCGGCCATTTGTTGTTTCGCCGTTGCTGGGATTATTAACGCCTTGCCAACTTGAAGCAGACCAATGACCCAGTGGCATTTACAGTGGCATAACAAAATAACGCAAAGAACCACTACTGCGGGGAATTGTGCGGACACATGCGAGGAAGGTCGAAGCGAGCGAGGAAGTTACTCCACCCGTCCCTTGATAACGACGAAGCACTTCGGCAAAGCCAACTCTCTCCGTCGGTGTCTGGAAAAAGCCCCGGAAGGGGTGATTACAAGTTTGCCCCCACGCTGCCGAGCCATCAGTGAGCCATGTTTCCAACATCCATATCGCAACTCGCTTTGATAGGCGGAAGTTACACCCTCTACCAGCATCTACCTATTTGGCGGCGGCGATTGTACCTCCCACCCACGGACAGATAAAAGGTCTCGCTGTCATAATGAATTTTTATAAGCAATTATGATGATAAGATATATTTAGAGTTCAAATCATAGTCTAATTAAGGTGTGGCAGATGCTTATCTATTTCTTAGATCGCTGTGAATGCATAAATCAGGTATAGGCTATAGATACTAGGCAGTAAGCAAGAGTTCGGATGCTTTCGAGTCCTAATTTTATCTGTCTTTTACTACTGTATGTACTCACCAAAAGAAGATATTATACCGTAGGAATACTTATTATCTTAAAACTCTAAGTTTGGACTAATGACATTGTAGTTTCTCTTCTGTAACCATTTCGGCGTGAAGACACAGCTCTCTTTTTGAAGAGTAACCAACTATTTAGTCAAAGGTTCCTACTCCATGCAGTTTCTAAAGCTTATCGCTCGAGCCTTTCTTCCCGTTATACTGAGCGTGGACGGGATATTGTCGTTGCTCAATACTGAAATCGCTCGCGAGTTTGGTATCCATGTCGGTATTCAGGGAACAAGCGCGGTGCACTTAATCTCGACAATGAGCTTAGGGCTGGGCAGTGCTTTGACCTCGATGGCCGTGCGGGTGGGTGCGGCATTTGCATCTGGGAAAAAGCTGTTCCAAACAGCATTCATTCCAGCATAGTCGTCCTTGATATTGACCAGGAAGATAGTGGCATCAATTATGTTGTCAAGACCACCGGTGCCTCCTGTTGCCTGCTTGATGATGACCTCGATTTTCTTCAGAATGGCTTTTGTCTGCTCCCCAGCACTGAACGACAAGCTTCCATCCGCCTTAACAGTCACCCCATCAACTTCCCCATCTGCGCGCCTTGATGATGTGCCTGAAATGTAGAGGGTACGGGATCCAGCAGGTGCGATTCGTCCGTGGGGATAGTTGGCTAGACCCTTGGTGCTTCCGGCGGGTAGTTGAACTGCATCACCGTTGGGAGTCATCGTGTTGTTTGGAAGAATCTGAGGCTTATTGGTATTCAGGGCAATGCGTGAGGACACTTGTTCGGCGCCATAATATACGCCGTGAGTTCTAGCTGCGACCGCCTGATATTACCCCTCAGCAACGACATTATTAAGTTGCCGGTGGGTCGTAATCGCTTCGGATGATGCATCCGAGGATTCTTCCTGTAATCAGTATGACGACAACAAACTGAATATAGCAAATGAAGATCTATAGATTAATGGCATACGATGATAGGCTACACGCCTCGGTCTTTCGCCAATTGCCGCATCATTCAAGCTTTGATACTAGCAAAGTAACACCTAGATACGCCGGTCAAATCGACAACGGCCGTCAATCTGCTGATATCAACCTTTCCGAAGTTCGGAAGGCAATCGCCGCAAATCAGAACTCCCGTTCATCCGATATCAGGCTGTGACTCGGATGCAGAAATTTGAATGAGTTTGAAGCCACCAAGTCTTCTGTAGCATTCTTCAGTCCAAAGGACCAGATAGGGATCTATCAGGTCGCTTGAAAAATGTTGTCTCGTGGAAGGCGGCCACTGTTTTAGGGTCGGCCAAGTTCGAGGGCCGTATGTCCTTGTTGAATTCATCTCATCCAGTTCACCTGACAATAACCCGTTCTAGCATCTGTTGAGACACAGTGCTTTTCCCGCTTAAAGATAATGACTTAAATAAAATAACTTATTAATCAACTTTGCCTTTACAATGTGTAGATGCTAAGTATACAGAGCGCGAGAGTCTTCATAAATCTACGTCTGGCTAGAAAGATTTTGCGTAGATACTGATCTTAAAGGCCTCTCTACTGACATATTAGCTATAACTGATTATTATAGTACGGCTAATACCTATCGTCTTTCATATATCAAGCAATGATCTGAGAGGCCTCTTTATCTGTTCTAAGCAGGCAGTAACGGGATATTCTTCCCCAAGTATGCGAAAGTTGCAAATTGATTTGCCCTACGTAAGCAGGTGCAGCTGTGATTTTGCCGATATACTTTGCTTCTTGATTATTATCGTGCTCGCCGTTATAATTCAAGGGATCCAATAGGTGCAAATGAGACGTTGCTTGTTTTAAATATCTACTGAAAGAGGTTGCCTCTTCGATAGTTTGGAATCTAAGCCGATCAAGGTATTTGCTTTATTTTTTTTCAGAATAAACCTGGGTTCATATCTACGCCTTCAATACCAGGAATTGAGTGCTAGATCATCAGGTATTTTTCCCAGAATCTTCCTTCAGAGACACAATACGGTTCAAAATAATTTTCTCATCCGTAGAGTCTGTGTCGACGGCCTGTGAAAAGTTAGCGTTGAACTTTTATTAGTCGCCATGGTGAAAAGAGAATGGATAAATTTCGCTAATCTGGAAGAAAGATAGCACTTACGAAGTATCCAACTCGAATAGCCTGGAAACGAATACTCTCAGATCCCGATACCTCTGCACTATCACCGAGGACAGCAGGCCAAGGCGCCCTTTGCTTAACTTCATTGAAACCCGACTCAAGCAAAGCGTTATGGTATATTATCTCGCTGTCAGGGTTGATGTCATTCAAAAACCCACCCTCAGCAGCCGATGGATCATCAGATTTGAATAGAGAGCGGTAAATACGAGCCTCAACCTTGAGGGAGGTCTCGGGAACCCAGCTTATATAAGCTTTAGGCTTCGCATCCCTATCAGAGACAGCTTGGATTCCTGTGACAAGACCTGTTGTCTCGTCCTTAGTATAGGAAACAGCTTTGATTGGGAATGGTGCATTAAGAAGGCCAACTGCTTTAGCAGGGGCCAAGCGGAAGTAGTCTTTGCTATCTACCTCGCGGAAATCCGACCGGTCAATATAGATAGTTTTAGTGAACTCCAATGAATGGGATCCAAAGGTAGAGTCCTTTGGCGAAAACGGAATGTCCGAATATACAGGCTCGGCAAGATCTGAGATTGTGATGGGAACTGGGTCAAGGATAAGCATGAGGCGTGGCACTGTTCTCTCGAGAAAACGGCGCACGGTTTGTTCAAAACGAACAATTTGAATGAAGGTTCTGTTCGTTGTGACCCCAAGCTCATTAACAAAAGCGAGAATAGCCCCGGGTGGGATACCACGCCGCTTGATAGCAATCAAAGTATAGAGGCGCGGGTCATCCCATCCTCGAACAATGTTTTTATCAACAAGCTGTTTCAGCCCTCTTTTGCTCATAATTGTACCTTCCAGGTTGAGTCGGCCTTGCTTCTCGTCAGTAGGGTTCAAAAAGCCAAGCCGGATTAAAAGGCGTGTTGCGGTGATTGGATGTTATGCAGACACTACTCACCAAATTCACGCTGCATCGGCTCATAAACACCAAGGGTTTTGTTCAGCCATTCATAACTTTCCCTTGAAAGAATGAATTCTGTAGTACAAAGACTATGTGTAATGCCCTCAAAGCTATCACATAAACAGTGAGTAAAATCATATGTTGGGAATATCTTCCACTCTGGAGCTCGTAAGTGTGGTTTCTGATGTTTGGGAATTCGATAAGCTGCAAGATCCCACATCTGAGGATTTCCACTTTCAATATCCTGCTTCATTCGGAGAAAAGCAGTCTGTGGCTCATATTTCCCATCATGCATATCCTTAAATTTATCCAAATTCATCTGGATATCTTGGTCTGCATGAGCACATCTAAAACGAGGCCCTTCTTTACCATCTTTTCCTCCTCGCTGCAGCTTGATTTCAGACTCTGAACAGTGACAGACATACGCACCACCCTTTCGAATAAGGTCTTGGGCAAGCTCATAAAGCCGCTGAAAATTGTCGCTAGAGTAGGTAATTTCGCTTGGTGTAAAGCCTGGATTTGCTTATGTTAGTAACGGATATATGACTATCATAGGAAAGAAGTCTACCCAGCCATTTGATGATCTTGATGATCCATGTGAAATAAATTTCGGCTTCTTCATCGGGATTCGTATCATCAAACCTGGGCAATGCAATGTCAGCAATTTAGAAGAACTCTATAAAATCTTGCGTGAAGCACCTTAGGATCTGGAATAAGCTGTTAGTATATCAAGTCTTTCCATAATTTAGGACAAATAACTCACTGTCTTTCCCCCATGGAAGCGAGCGAAGCCAAAATCTATAGCAATAGCCTTGGCATGGCCAAGATGAAGATAGCCATTTGGCTCGGGTGGAAAGCGAGTAATAACAGGCTTGACAGGCCGCTCTTCAAACACATCAGCAAGGAAACCTTGCTTGAAAATTGCATCAGGGTCAATAGGGGCATCAACTGCTTTTGGCCGGGTAGGTAGGCTGGCAGAAGTAGCCTTCCCCTTAGCTGTAGCAGGCCCTTCTGCAAGTGCACTCTTGGCCTTCTTCTTGGCCCGTTTCTGGAGTCGCTTCCTCAACTCATTCCTCGACACCCATTCGCCTGTCTCCTCGTCCAACACGAGCTTCACAGCTGGGGCAGGCTCATTGGGGATATCAGCAGAAGCCTTTCCTTCCTGATGACCAGGGTTTTCTGGCGCGTCTGGGGATTTATCGCCCATATTGGAGACTTTGGCGTTCTCTTCAAGTATGAGCATACGCGAATTTGTGCCTAACGGAAAAAACACGGTGTGAAGCGGCGGGGAATAGTGGTTTTAGATGAGTCATGAGTTATGCCCTTACTCCGGCGTTGTTCCGAAACAGTATTCTGGTAAATGCATTTCTTGGGGGACGTTGGGAGGGGCAACTAGAGTGAGTTTTTGTTCATCCCATGATGTGATGGCGGAATGCGCACTATCTCGTCATGCGCCTTGATATTATCCCTCAAAAAAAGACTAACTGCATAGTGCTAATCAAATCATATAGATATCTATTGTGCATCCAGATCCCTTTATGTATTGGCCAGAGATGGTCAAGCACCTAAAATATTTGCCAAAACCCTCAAGAGCGGAGGTCCAATGTACGGCGTTGTTATTTCTGCCTGCTTTATCGCACTCGATTTTATGAACGTTTCCAAGTCTGCATCGACAGTATTCGGCTATTTGGTCAGTCTTGTCATAATCTTTGCAGTTTGGAACCGGGTCGCCTTGCTCGTGCCCTATATCAGTTTTCGCCGTGCACTAAAGGCACAGGGACTTTCTGTTAAGGAACTTCCCCATATCGGACTTTTGCAACCTTATGGGGTATATTATTCCTTGTGTATTTCTATTCTAATTATCCTTTTCAGTGGTGAGTCAGAACAAGGGTTTCGGAACCTAAGTCTTTGAGAAATCACCTTGGTTAACAATATATGTGTCTTTTAGGGATACAATGTGTTTATTCCTTACTTCAAACCGGATATTTTCGTACTTAAGTATATCGGCACTTTCATCTTTCTCCTCGAGATTACATGGTGGAAGATCTTCAAACGCACAAAATGGGTGAGACCTGAAGATATGGATTTGGTGACGGGTCGACGAGAGTGTGGTGAAAGAGCGAGCTCTACAGACAGCGATTGGAATACGGGGTTTTGGAAGAGCTTCATCGCCCGACACAAGAAATAGCTTAGGCTGCTTGAATTGCCAAGAGAAATCTTAAATAGATACAGAATGGTAACTACTAAATCTCAAGGCATGTTGTGTCCCTTGCTAGTTCCCTAGAGGATCAGAATATTGTGCTATCTCGGCTTCTTTGATTTACTATAACATTCACGTCGAATCATTATGGTCATTATGTATGTCCACAGCATTATTAAGTATGACAGCTGCTATCTAAAAGATAGGAGATTAATTATCTGGTCACTATAATGCCAGAGCTCCTGTGGAGCTTCGAACTCTGCAAGTTCAAGCATGATTAGAAGACGTAGCGGAAGTTGGGCTTCTCCTTATCGGTTTTGTCGGAGAATGCTTCCTCGCGGAGCTCCTCCTCTGTCTGTGGTACTGGTCCTCCTCCTTGCAACTTGTCTCGCTTGATGTTCTCTAGCTTGCACAACAGGCCGTAGAGAGAGATTGTGACGGCTCCCGTGATCAGACATGCCAGCAAGCCAATATAGCCACGGTGATACTTCGGGGCATCGTTCGCACGGAAAACTTGAGGTCCCAGAATATTGCCAATACAATAACCCAAAAAGAACATGGCATTCAAAGTAACCTTTTTGGAGTGACCTGAGGTATTTGCCATGGGAAGCGAGGTAGACATGGTGTAAGGAGCCCAGTAAGAGTAAAAGGCGTAGTATGCACCCAAAAGATTGACCTTGTTCGCGCTAGGAAGTTGCCAGAGAAGGACAGCCGAGATGATAGGGAAGATGATGGAAACGACAATGAGAAGGCAGCGATATCCAGGCAGGCGACTTGCCGCAATGTTGAAAAGTAATGACCACAGCGTGCCAACGACTCCAGTTGGGACACCGAGAAGAGTTGTGATCAAAGGCTCGAATCCTAATCCGTTCACGATGAGTGCCGCGAAAGTCACCAGACCTCCTAAAATATCCGCTATTAGTATGACATCTAGGTTCCATCATCCAATCAGTTCACATACCGTTTGGAATGTTGATTGCGCAGGCGAAGATCGAGATAAGCCAAGATTTAGGGTCTAGCAAGCATTCTTTGACCTGATACCACTTGACGGTTTTATCTTCAATTCCGGTGTTGCTCTTTCTGACTCGTTCCAGACAGATGTATTTCTCACGGTCGGTGAGCCACCATGCCTCAACCGGCGAGCTAGGAAGGAAGACATAAACGATAACCGCCCAGACAGTGGTGATTGCTCCGAGAACGATGAACAATAACCTCCAAGGGGCTAAGTTCGTTTTTGCGTGCCCAATTCCATAAGACAGTAGACCGGTTATGATTGAAGAGAGCGTGTTGAACCAGATAGCGACACGAATTGGCTGTTCGGAAACCGTCCACCACATGGCAGTGATGAGAGTGCAGACAGGGAAAACAACTGACTCAAAGATACCCACTAGTTGACACAAGTCAGAAACCCATTTCTCTTTCATCCGAAGTAAAGGCTTGATCGAAGATTTGTATGAAAATATCAACTTACTTATAAATCTAACAGTAGCCAGACCAGCAAAGTTACTGGTACAGGCCGTGATGAAGGTCATTATTCCCCAGGCCATAACAGTGGCCCCGTAGAACGTGCGAACTGGCAGCCTTTGGATGAGAATATTGGCAGGCCATTCTGCAATCAGAAAACCGAAGTAAAAGATAGAACCGACCCAGGAAAACTGATCACCAACCAAGTGGGTGTCTTCTTTCATGCCGTAGATAGCTGCGTTGGAAATGATGATCTTATCCACTGCCGCTATGATGACGGAGAAAGTAAGGATGGGTATGATGATCAGATCAATTTTCCAAAGGAGTTTCCGGGCCTCTTTTGTCGAGATCGGCTCCTCTGTGACCTCTGGGCCGAGGCTCGCGAGAAACTTGGCAGCTACATCCAGTTTGCCGCCAGCGATAGAAGCGACTTCACCTTGAATTTGGCTCTCGGTATCATTGTTGACTTTCTCTGCGGCGGTCATTTTCTCTGGCTCTTGTGCCATCGTGCGGATCGCGAAGATGAAGTAGTTAATAAGAACACGAAAACTCTGTCAAATGTAATTAAAAAATTTGGTCCTGAGTCTTGCTAGCAACAATATCGGATTGGGGGTGGGAAGAAGCACGGATTTATACAATCAGTAGAAATGGGATATCAGTCTCTGGGGTCGCATCATAGTTTCTGCTCATCTGCCAATATCCATGCTCTTGCTTTGGATAAGGATATGGATTGATTTTGGGCTAGGCAGTCTTGGAAAACAATCACTTGCGACAAGTCGGCGATGAAGAGGCTCGCCGAGCCTAATCTACTGAACATGGGGTAATCGTGGTGATAAGCTTTATTCTAAAAAAGATAACGATAACAGGACCAGATATACAGATCAATGTACGTCTAGTGCAAGGAGGCCCCCAGTCGTCATCCCAATCATTGGTTGATCCTCGTCGCCTCGACCTGCCCTAGGTGCAAGTCTGGGTGAGCCACCAATCATGATGAGCAACCTCAAGAGTGTCTTACACAAGATAGGCACGCCACTGAACTTAAAGAGCCACACGCGACTCATATCTCGAGGAGAGATCCACAGTTGAACAGGGGGACCATGATAAAGGGTTGCCTATCTCACAGTCTGGGGAAAGGAAGTGTGCGTGTGGGTACCAAGTAACTAGGTTTGAAGATAGGCACATGGTACATTAAGAAAGATCTCATGGGGAGGGAGGATACGGATTGAATTGGATCAAAAGATTCGTCAAGTGGATTGTGAAATTTGTAGACTCGATCGCAGTGATCAACTCCAAGGGTTTGCCAAATCACTTTTACAATTATCAAGCCAGGCAAGTACTTCAGTATCCAGCAGTTTACTTGTGATGGGACATGGTCAGATCAATTGTATATGCGGGGTTGGCCAGATGATCCGGGGTAATTGTCCCAATGGCTTCATCTAGTTTGCAGATACGGCCTAATCTAGATTAATACCTTCTCTGCTATATTTGAGCTCCACTGCCCGGCGATAGTCACCCCCTCCGGCTATCAAGAGAACGAAGGTGGAGAAACTATCTCGGTGTTTCAATCCCGCTCCGAGAGCCCCTCGATAATAGTAGCAATGACGTCTATTCAGTTCTCGGAGTCGATTTTCCGGCTCTTGGTCCCTCTTAGAGTCAATGGTAACTTGGCCTTGAAATGATCTTATCTACTATTAGCTGAACATCCTCCCAGATCGACGGGATTAGCTTCGGCGTACTGCCGCGGGGCCGAATGTAGAACACGAACCATTTGATTCGCAGTTCTTCGTTCTGTCAACATCTCAATATGAGAAACACTCATGGACAGTTGAAGAAATATATATGTGTCCAGGGTGCTGCCTACAGATTCAAAGAAGTTATAAGCCAGATCATCTTAAATTTGACCATTATACAGGCCAGCTACCTCTGTCTCGGCCATCGATAGGAGATTAGTTTCTTCTTCAACTTAGTCATTGACATTTCTTTCATATCTGTTTCCAAGTCTATCACAATGTCGCCAATGATGGATGTAGGCAACGAGCCTGACGTTTCCAAGATGAACATCAAGATTGCAATTGGTACCCATAACTCTACCCTTGAATTTAAAATCTGAAATACACTAACAAGGTCATAGACAGAGGCGGCACCTTCACGGATTGTCTTGGGATAGTCAGCACTCCAGGGAGTGAGGAACGAAACATCCTGGTTAAAATCCTATCACAAGATCCCGCAAATTACCCAGATGCTCCCAGGGAAGGCATTCGCCGTATCTTGGAAGAGGCCACCGGGAGGTCATTTCCCCGGAATCAGAATATCGACACCTCTCTCTTCGGCAGTCTCAGCATTCGAATGGGCACAACAGTGGCTACCAATGCGTTGTTAGAACGAAAAGGTGACCGGGTGGCACTACTTATCACCGAGGGTTTCTCTGATGCATTGAAAATTGGGTTACAATCTCGGCCAAAGATTTTTGAACTCAACATCCGGAAGCCCGACGTGCTTTATGAAAAAGTAGTGGAAGTCTCTGAGAGAGTCACAATTGAAAGCTACCAACAGAGCCCGTCCTACGATGCTGACATAGAGGCTGTTGCGAAGGCAGCCCTGAATGATTCCGACCTTGTCAAAGGTGTCAATGGGCAAATAATTCGCATTTTGAAAAGATTAGACAAGAACAAGGTCAAGCGTGACCTCCAAAATCTCTTCGAGGAAGGCTTCAGAAGCATCTGTGTTTGTCTGGCACATTCCTACACTTTCCAAGGTGAGATCACCTGGTGCGTATTGGTTTAGGCTCCGTCATTAATTCTCAACTTTAGATCATGAGCTGAAAATTCAGGAACTCGCTTCTGATATTGGGTTTGATCAAGTCACACTGTCATGCCTTACTCTTCCAATGATCAAAATGATCTCTCGAGGGATGTCTGCCACTGCAGATGCATACCTCACGCCCGTTGTAAAGGAATATATCAAAGGCTTCCAAGCTGGTTTCACGGATGGTCTCAGTGCATCAAACACACAGTGTCAGTTCATGCAGAGCGATGGCGGTCTCGTAGACATCAAGAAGTGAGTAATCCTTTTGTCCTTGGGTAACGTTTCTAACGGCTTCTATAGATTCAGTGGCTTAAGAGCTGTTCTTTCCGGCCCTGCTGGAGGAGTTGTTGGCCATGCAAGAACGAGCTATCACCCAGAGGAAAATCAACCAATCATTGGTTTTGATATGGGAGGCACAAGCACTGATGTCTCCCGGTTTGATGGATCCTTCGAGCATACATTTGAGAACTTCACAGCCGGAATCTCCATTATGGCACCCCAACTCGACATCAACACAGTAGCAGCTGGAGGCGGCAGTATCTTGCATTGGAGGCACGGCCTCTTCGCTGTTGGCCCGGATTCAGCTGGTGCACATCCAGGACCGGCGTGCTATCGTAAAGGTGGACCTTTGGCTATCAGCGATGCAAATGCCTTAACTGGACGACTGCTGCCCAATTACTTTCCCAAAATATTCGGCAAGAATGAGAATGAGCCACTGGATATCGAAATCACGAGGATCAAGTTTGCTGAGCTAGCAAGGCAAATTAACGAGGAGACAAAGCAAAATAAGACCCCTGAAGAAGTGGCCATGGGATTCATTGAGGTAGCGAACGAGGCAATGGCCAAACCTATCCGTGCACTTACTGAGGCACGTGGTTTCGAGACTTCTGCTCATTATCTTGCATGCTTTGGAGGAGCGGGAGGGCAGCATGCTTGCGCTATTGCCGCTTCACTCTCCGTCAAACGGGTCATTATCCACCGCTATTCTTCGATACTCTCTGCATATGGAATGGCACTCGCAGATACTGTCCATGAAGTCCAAAGGCCGGCTTCCGGAACCTTTACATCAGCAGAATCAATTCAGCATATCATTGATGAACTAAAGACCGAGGTCGGCCGAGAGCTTCAGAATGACGGCATCGAGAAGAACCTCATCAAACATGAAGTCTATCTCAATCTTAGATATCAAGGAACCGATAACAGTATTATGGTGCTAGAACCAAAGGATGGCGACTTCTTGGAAGAATTCAACAGGCAGCATTACCGAGAGTACTCATTCACTTTCCCCGAAAAGAATGTTTTACTCGAGGACATTCGTGTCCGAGGTATTGGCCAATCTGTGGATGACACCAATGAATCACCCTACAAGGAGTTACAGTCGGTGAACACATTCGATGTCTCTGGGAAGCTAATAGATAGTAGATCACCAGTCTACTTTTCTCAAACAGGCTGGGTCGACACACCTATCTATCGACTTGAGACCTTGCAGCCTGGTGGTCTCATCCAAGGGCCAGCCGTCATCATCGACAACACTCAAACGCTGATTGTAGAGCCATTTGTCAAAGCGACTATTCTCATTCGCCACGTCATTCTGGATCTCCCATCCACAAGGTCACAGCAACTCAGTGAGACAACTATTGATCCTATCAGCCTGTCTATCTTCGGGCACAGGTTTATGTCTATAGCTGAGCAGATGGGCAGAACGTTCCAGAAAACGTCTGTGTCCACGAATATCAAAGAAAGATTAGATTTTTCCTGTGCCCTTTTCTCGCCGGATGGGCGCTTGGTTGCAAATGCGCCTCATGTCCCTGTTCATCTCGGTTCAATGGAATATGCGGTTAGGTTCCAGAATGAAAACTATAAATCAGACCTCCGCCCGGGCGATGTTCTCTGCAGCAATCATCCTGTGGCAGGTGGAGTTCACCTACCTGATATTACTATCATGACGCCAATTTGGGATAGAGAAGGTGAAAACATCATCTTTTGGGTCGCATCTCGCGGCCACCATTCCGATGTTGGAGGAATCAGTCCCGGATCCATGCCTTCGAACAGCAAATTCTTATATGAAGAAGGAGCCGCTGCTATTAGCTACAAGGTTGTCCGTGATGGGCGATTCGACGAAGAAGGAACACGCAAGTTCCTGTACGATGAACCATCGCAGTACGAGAGCTGTAGTGGCAGCCGTAATTACAAGGACAACGTGTCAGATATACATGCTGCGATCGCCGCCAACCGTAAAGGGGCCAGCCTTATCGATGGGCTTGTTAGAGAGTTTTCACTCCCCATTGTTCATCTTTATATGAACGCTATCTCTGAAAATGCTGAGAAAGCGGTAAGGGCTTTTCTACGCAAGACGGCCAAGTCCATTGAGAAGCCTGTTCTCTCCTTTGAAGACTACTTGGACGACGGCTCGATTCTTAAGTTAGAGATACGCATTCATGAAGAGACTGGCACCGCCGACTTTGACTTTACGGGAACATCTGAAGAGACCCTCAACTGTCTCAACGCCCCAAAATCGATCACTTTCTCCTGCATCATCTATTCACTTCGTTGTCTTATTGATGTGGATATCCCGCTCAACCAAGGGTGTTTAGTACCAATCAACGTCATCATCCCAGAGAGCACAGTTCTTAACCCCAGCCAGTATGCAGCAGTGTGTGCAGGTAATAGTATCACGTCGCAACGCATTACCGACGTGATTCTGGGAGCATTTGGGGCTATTGCTGCTTCGCAGGGATGCGTTAATGTTTTCGGGTTTGGTATGGGCGGAAAGAACGCCGCAGGAGTAGATGTGCCAGGGTTTGGCTACATTGAAACCATCGCTGGCGGCCACGGCGCTGGGCCTGGTTGGAACGGGACGTCAGGTGTTCATACAAACTCTTCAAATACCCGGTGCGCTGATCCCGAGGTCTTCGAACTGAGACTTCCTGTCATTCTCCGACAATGGACCCTACGACCTGGATCTGGTGGCAAGGGGGAGTTCAGCGGCGGCGACGGTTGCGTCCGAGACGTGGAGTTCCGCATTCCACTTCAAGTCTCAATGCTTAGTGAACGGCGTGTGGTGAGGCCTTATGGAATGGCCGGAGGAGAACCAGGCGCCGCTGGCAAGAATATCTATATCCGGAAAGAGGCTGATGGCGTGGTCCGGAGAATTAACATTGGTGGCAAAATGGAGTTGAACGTCACCCCTGGCGAGAGGGTTATCATCAACACGTAAGTTGTCCCATCGCTGGCAATTAGGTCAAAGATAATGAAACTAACATGAGACAATAGTCCTGGTGGCGGTGGATGGGGAAGCCCCCGGAAAGCATTCTCAAATGGGCATACAGTTGCTATTGCTAATGGAACGATGAATGGAACGACGAATGGAACGACGAACGGAACGGCTAATCGAACAACGAATGGAACTGCCAATGGAAAAACGAATGGAACAACGAACGGGAAGTCACATAGGTCGCATAATGGGCTTATTAGCGGATCCAATACCTCAGGCTTTGAACTCCGTGGGAGCGTTCATAATTGGACGATGGCAGCTGAGGGAGTCTAAACGCCTTCCTTGGAATCAGCAAATGTTCTGTCACACAGGGGAGAGGGGATGGTAGTGATCATCATTTCCAACAAACATCATCAAAAGCAACGAGATGTTCGTATCGCAGATCACAGAGTTCCAGACTCTAGAAGCTCTTCTATGCTTTCTAAATAGAAAAGAATATGTCTATCTTCATAGAAGCAGGCATCAACTAAATGCTTGGCTCTTCTCTTCTATGAAAGTCGGTCCAACCCTGGTAGATGGAAATTCCCGCTTCACTGCTAAGCTACCACGTTTTTATTCAAGGTCTAGTGAACTAATGTAGCTAAACCCATTCTCCAATGCTTCAGCTTTCAGGTTGTCTCCAGAAGCTTTATCAGGCAAGCAGCTCGGTGATGAGGCATTACATACGCATTCATGTTCGGGCGCTTTGGTTTTCATCCAAATTACAGACTCTTAACGACTATCTTTCTGCCAGTATAGAGCGAATCGAAATCCCGCAAATTATATGCCAATGACCTTAAAGAAGATCGAGGTCTGATCATCGATGCTCCCACCAATTGATTTCCCGGCCCAATCACTATCTTTCGTGTAGAAGGAAAGCCCAATCTCTCCCTCCTTCTTCCCCTCAACTATGGCCACTCTCGTCCCAGGGTGCAAGCTTCCAACATATGACGATGTCTGCCATTCCTCCGATTGTTGCGCACCCAGGAGGGCATTGTAGACACCCTGTAAGCTGCTCTTGTGCACATCACCAACTCGCCCGATTTCTACACGAGCAACACCCAGAATGCCGCTTGGGTGGGTAGACGCGCCTGGTTCTTCAAATGGCACTCGGAGATTTCTCGGTGTACTGTCCAAGCACCAGAATGGCGTCTGTCCTGGCTCAATAGGGGTGTCTTGCCCATCTTGTCGTTTGGGACCTGAGACTGCCCATTTCAATTCAGCGCCATCAGGCCTCAACCGACCACCTCGCACCGGATCCGGGTATCGAATCTCGGGCTGGGAAGCGAGGACATCCTGTTGGATCTTGCGGAAGGCAGCAGCTCCGTGAATATCCTCCTTGTCATCTCCACTCTTCGCGGGGTTCAGAGTCAGGGCCCAATCGGCCACAGTGCCCTCGTGCTTGTGTCCCCATCTGTGGCCAGCTCTCTTGCTTGGATCAACGCCTGGGGCAAAGGCGATGAGTTCTATATAGCTGCCGTCCGGGAAGTGAACCAAAATGTTTTCTGTCACGCCATCTGCGTGCTTGCCGCCCTGAGAGACTGTGAAGGCGTCTGTCAACCAGGAGGGGGGTGAGGCCAAAAACGGGTATGGGACCACAATGACAAAGTGGTCTGCCAAAGGCTTAGTAGTCATTGTCGAAAGTTAAGTTGTGGTTTAAGATATGATCGAAGTCTAATTCTGTGAAATATCGAACGTTCTTGTCGCGTTGTAGTAGGAGACAGGGAAGCGAGGCCTTTATTTATGCCTTCAGATCACATCGTGCTAAGCTAGCTCGGAGCACGCCATTCCCGCAGTAATTGATGCAGTGCCCCAAATAAGATATCGATCAGTGGCCACAAAACTGGGTGGAGAAAAGCCGATACCTCTCTACATAGCGTAGCTATGTAGCCAGTGGCTAAGTGATTAATATTGTGAAGAGACCTTGTTATTCTCAAATTATTCTCATTATAGATATTCCTATCAGTACTTTGTATTAGACCCCATTCAGTCGTTAGTTATCGTCTGCAATCTCCTCAATGGGGTGATTGAGATAAGCTATATCCCAAGCATCTTGCTAGCGATACTCCCGTGTTCCGCCCCAACCGGGATTAACTCTCTTCAGCGCTTCGCTTTCATCGGGCTCGTCTCAGAACACTGATTTCTTATCACAGAAATGGCCGAACGGTGAACTGGCGTTAATGGAAACTCACCTCCTGCTTCGACAAGCGCCTCAGGCAAGTAAGCCTAAGCCCTCTAAAGGTTTTTCCTCCTCGACTAAAGTCGGCTAATCGCTTGCTGCCCACCTCCTCGTTCTTGGGCAGTCGAGCCATGTTTAACTTGACAGGAGACAGGAACTTGAAAGAAGAAAAAGAATTAATAGTGATTATGATAATAACCAATCGCCGTAGGCTTGTAAGCTTCAGAGGTTGCAATTGTTATGAGAAAAGGGCTGATTATTGGACCAATGAAGAAGGAAGTGATATCCACAGGTAGGCTACTAGAGAAAATACAATCTATTCTTCACGCCGATATAAGGGGTTGCGCGATCGATGATGAGAGAATTGTAGGTTAAGTTGGCGTAGACTTCGCGGGAGCCATTATTTTCCAATACTTTTTTATGCATAACCTGAGTACCTGATGATCTTAGCATCTACAACCTAGCCGGGCACATTAATAGCAATGGCTTCGGGACGGAAATCCCAATAAGATACGTCTATCTAGGCGGGGCATTCGAAGTGCGAAACTCAGTGGTTCCAAATCCAATAAAGCAAAAAGTGAGTCCAGTATCTCAGGCCAACAGATAGAACACCCGTCATTGTTGGTTGGGCGAGGTAACAGCACCCCGGCGCCGTGTGGCCGTAGATCAATTCCCAACATGGCCAATTGCATTTTTGACGCAACTAATTTTGACGTAATTCTACGGTAATTCTACTATCATAGGCCTTCCCAGAACATCTTCTTGTTATTGTGTTTTTTTTTTTTTGGAAGAAAAAAAAAAGTGATTGGATACTGCTGCGGAGAACAAAGCCGAAATGCTTGCTTATAAGAACTCTCGCCCTTCAATTCCTTATCATCTTTCTTTCTAGCACTTTAACACAAGACATTCATGTTTTCCAAAAATGGTTTGTCATTTTTTATGCGTGTGGCTAAGCACTCTCAAAAGTCCGGCCTTACTGTTCCGAAGGCGGCAAAATACAGATAAAGGAGTACTCAAGCAGCTCATGAAAGGTATCGTTCGTGTTGAGGCTGACCCGAGATGCTGTAGCCACGTACTACCACCTACATTGATGGATACGGAAGTCTGGTGCTGCCCGACACTGTAGGATCAATCTAATTCCCTTGATTATGCGGAAGCTAAGTCAGATATCGCGTGGTAGGAATCAGACTCTTCATTTGAGTATCCTGGCCCGGACGAGTGAGCGGAAGAGAGTTCGAGTACAAAGTTGAACAACAATAGAAGATGCCAGACCCGACATCTCGACAGAATGAAGGATGAGTGAGCAAGGTACTCAAAAGGGGTGTTGGGCGGTTGAAGAAGCTGGCCTGATGAGGAGATGTATCCTCTGGTCATCTTATAATCTTGTGTCTTGCTTCTAGATTTATTCGCCAGCCATTTTTTCTATCTAGTTTCGGCTTCCAAGTACAAGAGCGAAATATATTGTGATATAATACTAATACAGTATCCGTGTCCAGGCTGAACTGTGGTGAACAGAGAGGAACATGCCAGACTTTGAGTTTAGAATTATACGATTTGGGACGATGTCGGAGACGATGTTGAAAGTCATTTTAAGAGGTCCAATTCTAGGCTAGATTTCAAAGCGCGAATCTGGCCAGTGAGGTTTTTTAGGCTTCCAGTGTGCAATGTATAAGTATCAAAAGTGTTGAAGAGTTAACAAAATACTTCCAGTACCGGTTTTGCCTTGTATGGGGTTACAAAGGATAGATGAACTCTTCATTTTCAAGATCTGTGAGGTCCAACACGGCAAGATCGACCTTGACCTTGATCGTTTCCCCATTCTCATCCACTTCCTCGACATATGCATTGTTAGTCAGTCCTTGTGCGATCTTCTCCTTTCTAATCCTGTTCCGCCGTGCTAGGATGAAGTGGATAATCCAGAGAATAGTTGGAGTTCCGACCCAGCTCACCACAATCATTGAAGCCCAGGCTCCATAGTATCTCGGTTTGGCCGAGGGAACCCAAATTTGTGGAGAGACCAAGTTGCCTATGCTGTATCCCAGCATGAACATGACGTTCCGCGTGAGCTTCTTGGTATAGCCAGCAGCAGATGAGTTGGTCCAGCCAAGGGCAATGATGTACGTGACGCCATATGTATGTGCCGAGAGGAACATACAGGCCAACAAAGCGATTGTGCGATCCCAAGGCACTGTGACCATCCCGATACCTCCAGCCACAGCGATCAAGCACCACACAGAGCTGTGCAAGGCCAGGTTGTTGGGGAATTTCTTCAGAGCAAATGCAGCAACAATACAGTTAAGGATTCCAAATCCGCCGCCGGCTACTGCAACCAGCGTAGATTCCAGAGGCGTGACTCCCAGAGAAGTAACGAGTAGATTCTTTTGTCCGTAAGTGAGGTTGTTGCAGTACATCAAAGTGAATGCTTGCAAAGTAAAAAGCCAAGTAACAGGATCCCTAAGGGCTTCAGTAACCTGGGAGCGTTTGAACTGCTTTTGTTCGATGGAGCTTTGTTGCGACTCGTGGACACGGCGAATGACATGCACCTTCTCCTCAAGCGTCAAGAATCGAGCCTCTGCCGGGTTGCTCGGGTACTCGATCCAGACCCAAATGGCAAGGAACAAAGTGATACCGCCAGTAACGATGTGAAGAAGTTTCCATGGTAGTACCGGTCCGCTCGACCACAATAGCCCATAAGCAATGAATCCGGCCACAATAGGTGCTCCTTGGCATGTTATCCACAGAATAGGCTGCAAGAAAGATTGTTCTTGTCGGTTGAAGAACATGCCGAGAGTGACTTCAATAGCGGGTACAATGACAGCCTCGGAGGCTCCGAGGGCAAGCCGAACGACAACCAAGCCCGCGTATTTGGTTGCCACGCAATGAAGAAAGATGATCACAGACCATGAAAATATGGTGGCGGCAACATATTTGCCAAAGAGAAGGCGCTGCATCAAATAATGCCCTGGCCATTGCCAGGCGAGGTATCCTTTGATCCATTTAGCATCACCCTGACATCAATGAGCATCAAACTACTCACCAACATAGAACATTGTGTTGAGGTTGTTATATTGAGCCTGAGTAATACCAGTCTCTTGGAAGAGACCGAGAATGGCTGCATAGCCCAGGGTTGACTTGTCAATCTATAAAATATAGGTTATTAACTGAGTCAATCCCTTCAACGGCCAGAGTATAAACTTACAAATAACACAATATTGATGGCAGATACCAGCACAATAAGTCGCAGGTATAGTTTTCTCCGGAGCTTTTTCTCGATCTCCGGAGTCAGAGGCCCAACCTTGTCGCCATGCTCCTCAAGGAGACGCAGTGTGACATCCGCATACTTTGCACTGACGGTCTTCCCGGCAGACAAATCCTCCACCTTGTTTTCTGCTTGCTTTTCCATTTTTACAGCATATAAACAACCCAAAAAAGATGATTTTTGAAAAATAAGAATGAAGTCTAGGAAACAGAGAGAGTGCCGGGTGGTGAGCTTTAAGTATCGCTGACAAGTGGAGGTAATTCACAATGTAATCGGACAATATCGGTGTCGTACCGCTGCAGAGATCCGCTGCACCAAGAGCCGAAACGTGCTTATTGCTTGCAGGATCCCAATTTTCGAAGAACCCCATCCAACCAACTGCTCACTATCTGACGCCATCAAGATCACTGATTGCACCAGCGAAAAGTACAGGGTTCTAAGACGTAAATTCTCCAATTCACGCAATCAAGATCCACTTTGGTGCCAATAAGAACCAGTTAATTCCTGGACACGAGCGAGTGGATCCGAGTTAAAGGTTAAGCATACTTGGCATCCCGGCAGTGGAGATGGCATGTGGTAAATCGACTGATGTTTGAGGAAAGTTTGCTTCGGTGAAGTAGCTTTTTACTTCCAGAGGCTGATATATGATATAGCTAAACTTAGAGAATGATGGTGGAAGGCCGAGCCAAAACCCTTTCTGAAATGTCAAAGAAGATATAGTGGTCCAAACCGACCCTTTGTCCAGCTACCTAATCCAAAATGGCAACCAGAATTCCATTACAATGTTCTCGGTTGCCTTTCTCCATAGGAGAGGCTGCACAATACTAGCGGAAGGTCTTCACCTTCATATTATTCAGTGTTATTGGTCGCCCAGGCCTTGGCGATGTCATTCTCATGATCAGGTACCCGGACCGGCACTCGGGGCAGCGGATGTCCGGTATTCCGGTTATGACCACGTTCTCCTGAGCTTGAGGGGGATGTCGTCGTTTCCGGGCGTAGTTATCTTCGTGGTCACGTCCATGTAGGGCCATGAAAATACAATTGATTTATTCATGATTAAACCAAGTCTGGTGAAAGAGGGAAACTCATGTCCTTAATTTTTTTGGGAAATCTGGAAGTTCCTGCCATCGAATACGCCCACTTATTCAACTGTGGGTTTGTAAGTAAACATGTAAAGCTAAGAAAAACTGCACTATCGCCGTGCGATACATTATGAGGGCTCGTCGCATTTATGACACTAACGCAACTCGATCTTTGTTTCATATGCAGAGGCTTTTTATTTCATTGAAAAATACCAAACGGCAGTGACTCTATGTTGAGTAAATTTTGCTCCGCGCTTTCTTCAGTACATCTTGCACAGTCACAAGTAAACCGGAAGTGCACTTGTACATGTTCTTGTCTCTCCTCGAGGGTGGTAAACTTGGTCTGATCAAAATAGCTGATTAATGCTTCCTCTCCTGCGGAGATTTCGCGTGCAGCAGTGTATACCATTCGCCCGTGTTCATCCGGCTTGTGTGAAACCTGAATTAATTAGTTAGGTAATTAGTTAGGTAAAAGAAATTCGCAAAGCCCAATCACGAGTGGTCGATTACTTACATTTGGAAGACAAGAATGATTAAACCTAGCGGCCCTCGGATATAGGCCTAGACCATATGAGTCACCTCTAGGGACAGGCGAATCGATCATATACAACGGTCCCGTCAACTTAGGATAGAGAGCAAAAGTATTTGTCTCCTCCTTGCACACAATATCGAGTAGCTCCGTTGGGGTGAGGGACAGTGGGGGAAGCGCCGTGTCAATCAAGTATGAGTCAACAAGTCTTCTCCAGTGTTTTAACTGAGATTCTGGCCAAGATGAAAGGTAGCTACAGCACATGTGAACTGCTTTCCAGTGACGTCCCCAGTCTTTCTCCCAAGGGAGTTGGCCTGGGGTTTGTGAGGGTCTGCGACTCATTTCAAGATCACGCCCGGCGAGGAGACGAACAACATGCCAGAGTGTGACAAAATCGTATTCAGTCTCTTGTTGACGCATCACACTAGCTTTCGACTTTAACCACGGGCACTCAAATTGATGTCGTGAATAGTCAGCTCGAAGGCAAGTGGCGTCACACCATATGACCTCCTTCATGCAGTTGTTAGGACATTGTACGCCCCCAGTGTGGGGTCCATCTTGCGGAACACGTCGAGAACATGCCAAATTGCTACAAATAAGGGCAGCACCGGGAGATGTGCTGGAAGGAATAATTGCGGAAGGGGTATCGACGAGGAGAACGGTACCGGTCGGGACAGATGCCTTTACTCGAAGCAGCCTACCCCGGTAGGGATCAACGTCTGGTATAAGATGTGGATGCACATAGAAACTCTTGTCCTGAAGGTTGAGCTCATTGACGCTTTTTGGCATGGCAGGCAACGGTTGTGGCTCACGCCTAGCAGGTAGAAAGCAAATTGACATTTTTCACCTGCTTTGTAATAGCAAGAAAGTGTGGGAGATACTGGCTGAGAACATTTCGGAACGGACTCCAGTGACGCTAAAGTGAATTGATAGATAAGGGAACTTACATCCGCTCGCTTTGCTAGTTGGCTAAGCACGTTTCTCATCCTCGCTAGTGATTTGGCCACCAAAAAAGAGTCTCAACGTGGTTAATCCTGCCAATTCAAAGATCCACTGTGGTCTAGACCTGGACTTGGCTCCCTAATCCGAAAGGAGCTAACGATAACAGTGAGTCGTTCAACGAATTGAGAACGAGTAAGATTGGAAGGATCGGTGACCGACATTTTGTTTCTCTGGTCCAGTCCATATTCAGACTATGTATCCGGATTCTGGACATTGATATCGCTAGGGGAAAAGAAACCTTGAACCAACGAATTCGTGACTCCTGTTGACAGCTTGTAGGAAAGGCTCAGCGTACGGTGGCAAGGTCAGTTTCTTTCCACTTTCACAGTTTTTTTGATGAGAAAAGTGGCACCGATGGCGCCATATTTGGTATTCTCTACCGTGTAGATAGCGCGAAGGAAGCTCCCGGGTTTGCCGAGACTATTGACAATATGACCATAAAGCAACTGATTTGATCCACGTCCGAGGCCTCTAAGGTTCTCAAGGAGTCTTCCATGTTTCCTTTTTCGCGGCATTACCCTTTTCCCGCACGTTGGGTCGGTTGTGTCTCAGCCTAACCATACTCATCGATCACACTAGCTATTTACGTACGTAGTAGAATCACCACAATCTGAATGCCAACGTCCAAAACGTGGAGGTTTAGTATGTCTGCGCCGAGGTAGAAAGGCTTTACCACGACACGGCAGCATGAATACACGGGCCGAACCTAGCAATCGCCCTGCACTAATTTGATTTTCAGGCAGATCAGTTGAGATCTCCCAATCTCACTCCCAACCGGTGTTAACGATGCCGGCGGCCTCAGTGGGCCCTCTGGAATTATCATTGGCGGGCTTCCTTGTGAACCGGAGGATTACCTCCCGATTGATGACTAAGCAGACCTAATACCTTCCCGAAGATTTGTCTACCCTAGATGCGGTGGAAGACAGTCCAACAATTTCGCTCTTCCTCTTCTACAAGAACTTTGGTCTGCTGTCTATCCTCAAAAAGGAAAGAAAAGAACAAATCATGTTAAAAGGTTTACTTTTTATTTCTCTCTAGAAGTCATAGAGGTGTGGCATCAACCTGTTTGAAACTTTCGCCTAGCAAGAGTCAAATTTGGTACAGTTGATATCATCATATCGTTCAGGTAGTCTAAGACTCCAGTCAAAGAATCACTTAATAAAAAAACTGCCAAGCATTAATCCTCTTGCACATACGTAAGCAATCCATCGACGTCATTCATTTCCTGCTATTGCTGAATGCACTCAAACGCGATGACGCGACGCGTCTTCATCGCTTAAGCTGCCTCTTTATCACCCCGCTGCTCTTGACCTTTAAATTCCGTCAATTGGACAGTGTCCACAACCTTTTCCACGTTTCTATCCACACGGTCTCTCACGGCTTGATCTTCAAACATGAAACTAAGTTCTTCCAACGATCGCCCGTGGGTCTCGGGGAAAAGCAACCAGATGGTGAAGATCTCAAACAGAACCCAGACACAGTAGACGATATAGTATTTCCAGCCTATGGAATCCAATGCGATGGGGTTGACATATGTGTTGAAGAAGACGGCGAAGCGGACCATTAGCTGTTCCACTGCGATACCTTGGGCACGCTGTTGGTACGGGAAGATTTCCACCATGTAAGTGTAGGTCAGCGCGTTCCAACCAATGTTGTAAAATCTGCAGCGAATATTAGCTTCATTTCCCGTAAAACGCTAGTCGGTGTACTTGCGGTGAATAGAGGAAGATGAAGACCAGCACAGGAATGGCTGCAGATCGGGTTTGTTCAATCTGAAATCTCGCCGAGGCGATTGTCCAGACCACATATACCACCAGCGTACCAGTGGAACAGATGAGAAACATCATGCGACGACGGAATCGGGGCGCAATGAGAGCAATAGGTACAGCGTTGATCAGCCCCCAGCACTTCTCGCTCAGAATAACCTTTTGGACGGTCTGATTGTTTGTTATCCCCACAAGGTTGAGAATCTTCTTCATATAGAAGCTGATCAGCCCATTGCCAGACCACTGAGTGAAGAAGCCGACGATACCGGCCAGCATAAACCGGCGGCGCATCGGCGCGTCTCGAAAAACGTTCTTCCAAACAAAGTTGGTCGCGCGTTCCTTTTCTTCAGCGAGAGTAGACTGGATTTGAGCATACTCTACACGGACGTACTCTTCTCCATTCTCGCCCTCGCTGTGGTATTTCTTCAGTATTTCCAGTGCCTCCTCATGTCGGTCACGGCTGATCAGCCAACGAGGTGACTCAGGACAGAACGGCATGAAAATGACTTGACAGAGACTGGGGACAAGTTGCAGAAAGCTTGGGATTCGCCAAGCCCAAGTGCTGGACATCTGGAAAGTGCCAAAGGTAACGCCGGCCGCGAGGATGGCCCCCACGAACCAGCTGGCATTGAACAAACTCGTCAATGTAGAACGCTCTTTCTCGTATCCCAGCTCTCCCAACATGGAAGACGCATTCACGATGGCGAATGGAATTCCGAAACCGAGAACCCACCGAGATGCAAGAAACATGTGATCGTTGACCGAGCCGGCTGCAGAAGATATTTAGATAAGGGGAAGATCAAGTAAGACACTGGGCCACATACTTTGTAATCCAGCACCTATCATCATGATGAATGAGCCAGTCAAAATGGTCCAGCGGCGACCGAGATACTCGGACACCGTAGGAACGAACGGAATAGCCATGAGAGCACCGAGGGAATACATTGCATTGAGGAGGCCGAGGCGTGATGAACTGGGATGGTTAAAATACTCCACCCAAGAATCAACAGCATTGAGACTGTTCATCATGGAGGAGTCGAACCCAGATGTCCATTCAACACCGAGGCCACATGGGACCAGGATCAGATACAAGAAGCGAAGGTTTGGTTTGTTCCACCATCTGATGGGATCGGCTTTGGCGATCTTTGAGAGGCGATCCTCTCCAAACTCCGCTTTTTGTCCTAGAGCCATAGTGAAGACTTTGCAATTCACACCGGTGCGTAATGTGTAATGAAAGTAAAGGAGGCACTTTAAGAGTGGTATTGCGTATCTATTTAACATGAAGATCCGCCCCCACCAACCTTAAGGGCACACCACACCACCATTTCCGTCTCCATCTTCTGAATGCGGGGGAATTCACGTTACTCCCTACGCATCTACGTTTGCCAGGCTCCAAAGTCCGGCCACTCGCTTAGTTTTAATCCTGAATAGGATTCAATTCGAGCATCTTGCATAGGCCGAACGAATCAGAGGTTCTACTTGAACCGAGTGGAGGGGGGGAACCCCAGACAGAATCCCGCCTGGTGCGTGAGCACGGGAGTTTAAAAAAACATGCGGATTTACAAAGTTCCGATGGATTAGGTACCAACAGAGCATTGTAATGTAAAGATGTGCCATGGTAAGGATAATAGAACTGAATAGCTATTGCCTGGTTAATAGAAGATAATTTTTCAATCAACATGTATCTTGTAATCCATTTTCCATTTCATGTTAACAGCGGTTTGACAGACTGATATGGAGCCGTGCGTTTGAGAGGTTGCGTAGTTCACACAGATACTTTTTAGGCGGGGAGGGAGGGGGTCCGAGACTGATTGAGCATGCTGTGGAGGGAAATGTTACACAACACGCATGGGGGAAATCCACTTATTCTAGTTCTGGTAGGGTTGAATCGTACTCAGATGAGCAGGAAGAAGAATTGCAAGTTCATATATATACTCTGCTCCGTATAGCTTCGTGATATGCGCTCACCCGGAAGCAAGAGGCGCGATGGGGTTAATCCGGATATTCACACGATTCTTTCGTAGCCTTTTCTGGGCCGGATAAAGTGACTTAGAGAACGAGTTGTTCAGCGTCGAGATATGGAGAAATTATTTTCCCGGGTAGGAGATCCTAGGCTAAATGAAGGAAAATTGACGATGAGTGTTCAGCTAATAATTTTCTAGGGTGGGCGGAGTATAATGGGATTTACATATTCACGTTTAAAAACATATCTCAAATATGTCTGTAGCACTCGAAGAGTCTTAAGCTTATTACAATGATGAAAATATTTCTTCCGCTATGCTTGTGTCCTTTGGAGTCCTAAATATTGCTTGGTACCTCAATACCTGGCAAGTTAATTCCACAGCTCATCCTTACCATAACACATATAAGCCATTTCTATTTGTTCATCAGTTCGGCATACCAAGACTTTACTCTTTGTATCTTCGCTGGAAATATCTTGCGTAACGGAACCTTCGGTGGAGATGCTATCGTTGGCAGCATCGGAAATGGCAAAGCCAAGGCAACCAGTATTGCTGACAACTGCGGATCTGAAGCGAGCGCTCTTCTCGCCAATGCCACCAGCGAAAACAAGCGCGTCTACTTTACCCTCGAGCGAGACGTAATAGCTCCCAATAAAGGCGCAAACACGTTCCACGAAAAGGTCGAATGCAAGAGCGTGTTCTGGGTGCTTTGCGCGATCGGCTCCTGCAACAGCTTCAAAATCTGCAGTTCCTGTCAGGGCAGAGAGGCCTGACTCTTTGTTGAGAATCTGCTCGGCCTTTGAGATGTGCAGCTTCTCAGTTGAGGCGGGAGATAGCTTTCCGACGTCGCTGGCGTAATGAAATACAAGACTTATCAAGCACAAAATCAGCATCCGATTCCCTAACCAAACATATCGAACCGGAAGCTTCGTCTTACCTTGGATCTATATTTCCGCTGCGGGTTGCGCCAGGGAGCCCGGAGACGGGTGTGAGCCCCATGCTTGTATCCCAGCTTTTCCCGCCTTTAATGGCGCAGGCGCTGGCACCACTGCCCAGATGCAATGCAATAATATTCATTTGGCTGGCGTCCTTTCGGAGGAAGTTGGCTACAGAACGAGTGATGAATGAATAGCTGAGGCCGTGGAAACCGTATTTCCTCAGTCCGTTCTTCCGCGCCCTCTCCTGATTGATGGGATATGTGTAGACGTGAGGCGGGAGGGACATATGAAACTGGGTGTCGAAGCAGGCGATATTAGTGGTGTCGGGAAGCTTGCGAATACAAGATTCAACAATCCCCAAGGCGGCACCATTGTGAAGCGGTGCAAGATCGCTAAGCGCCTCGATATGGTGGTAAGTATCCTTGGTGATAATCTGAGCTGACTCGTATTCCCCCCCATGAACAATGCGATGGCAAATAATCGCAATGTCGCTTTTTGATCTGATCTTGTCCAATTTTTCATCGCCCAAAAGAGTGTCAAGGATAATATTGAACGCGTCGTCTTGGCTTTTGGCCTTTACTTGGTGGCTTTTGTAAATGTCCTCATCGCCGCGAGTGTAGGTCAGGTTGGTGTTAGGTGATGATAAACCACCAATCTGGGCGTTAGCAATCTCGCAGGGAGTCGCGTTGCGGTTTTGGACTGAGTAGACGGAAACTTTTAGAGAGCTTGATCCCGCGTTGATTGCAAATATGACCTTCATAGTTGTTGGCTTGTACTTCAGATGGCGAGGGTATAAAGAATGAGAGGCAGGCTTGGACATTTGATGGGTCGTAACTGCTGCAGCTCGCCCCAAGACTTCACATTCACTTATGAATTATTATGACCCCATACATCATAAGTGATGACGAATTAATGACATGTGCAACCAGCTTATAGTTCAATTGATTGACGTCGTCACTGTGAGGAGAGCACTATTAATGGTGGACAGGCCCACTTGATTCTTGCAGGGATAATGTACACCTTATATATGAATATGCTGGGCTATTGGTAATACAAAAGAGATGTCAATCATCCTTGAAAATGGAGCTTATTACTGCACCTCCGTAGTATGATACCTTTTCCATGGATTTCATGTCAAGTAAGTAAAGTGATGATGGAGAAGTTTTATCAAGAGAGAGGTCAGTTTGACGTCATCAATCATAGCTCCGTCCGAGAAGCTGCCAAAGACCTTGAGGAGTTTTTGGTGTATCCCTTACCATTGAAGGAGGCGTGTATGGCGCTACTAGCTTCAGGAATTGAGCTGAGAGTTATTGCTGACATGATACGCCGTGTACGAGAGCGGGACCTTAGTGAGTCTCGACTGTTTCCCCCTTGGCAATCATTCTTATGTGAACACGAAATATCAAAACTCCTAATTATAAGCAAAATGGTCGGCAGAGCCTAACACATATTGTTCTGCCTGGGAGATCATTTTCTCGTACTCTCCCTGAGGCCCGTCCCCGCTTTCATTACCATCGTCGCTCTCAAAGTCAGACATTGGTACCGCACCAATCTCTCCACCAGCTAGGTGGAAGAATGACACCATGCACTCTCTGCTGCGTGAGCAAGGCTTAAACTGACTTCTTAATATCTCAAGAGCATTGGACCAACTGCCGTCTAACAATGTCGTGACTGAGATTTGAATTGAGGAGGGGTTAGGACCAACCAATCGGCACAATGCCTCCAGATCCTTTTGAGATAAGTAGGAATATTCGAGAGCAAGGATTTGAAGGCTCGAGCTAGTGTTCTGCGGAAGGTATGTTTGGATTTCGTAATTGCCTTCTTCCAGGTAGAAACACGCCATGTCAATAGTGGCACACTCCAATTTGGGCGAAGTGAGCATGACTGAAACGTATTTATCAACGTAAAACTTCTCATCAGATTTGACATTATGCCTTGTTGAGCCTTGTTCGTTCATAAACCAGCCGCCAAATTCAAATACTCTTAACTGCTGGCATGCAGCCCCGAGTTGGCTCCACAGACTTTCTGATAAGCCTCCGTGGGGATAGGCCATCGGGACATTTTTCCAGGCGGAAGAGAAGCAATCGAGGCTGAGGCTATCCAAGCATCCACCAGCTTCATTGATGGCAATGGGTAGGTCTACCAGAATTCGGATAGGTAAAATCATCGGGTTCTCGGGCATTATCTCCAACGCTTCCCAGGAATGAGGCTGGAGTAAGAGTCGGGAAAGCTTTGCTCGATCAAAGATAAGTTCCGTGCAATAGTCTTCATTAGAGAAGTCATTGTCATCACTATACCAGAAAATATGATCATGGAGACTCAATGCTATCGGATGCTGAGTCTTGGCTGTGGCGGTTGCTATCGCGTGAACAAATGAGCCACTCATAAGCAACTCGCACTGCTCTTCGTGCAAGCGTTTATATGATTCAAAAGATTGTCGTAAGATGCATTGATATGACCCTGGATCCTGAGGCAAAATACATGAATTTTGGCCTTGAATATGGGCTTCCCATTCAGATGAAAGAGCCTCATACTCATCGAGACATTTGAACAGCCGGTAACCCCTTGGGTTATTTTCTTGAGTGGTAGAATTCTTATCTAGAAATTCTGTTTCTATTTGGCAATGCGGAACAGCCTCGAAAGTGAGGGTCTCGAGCTTATTCCTCATGTAGTTCGATATATCATGGGCAAGCTCCGGAGGGCGATAAGCGAGCGACAGCTGTACGCCTCGGAGACCCTTGATGATAATTGGGTTCTTGGACAACCCTATCAAGCGGTCTAGCGAGGCTTGTGATAATTCGAGCCGCAGAAAAGTACACAACAGCGGGGACGCAATGTGATTGAAAATGCGGCAGGTCAGGCGTAAACTCTGAAGCGTAGTCAGATCTTCTGAGACATCATCTCGGTCCCGATAAGCATAACTACGCCAGTTTATCCGCCCAGACCAGGTGTAATTGTCGTCGCGAAATTCATAGAAGATCTGTGCCCAAACTTCGGTAGGGACATGGAATGATGCTGAAGCGGGGAAATTGGCGGCCCCTGGCGCAATAGACATGACGCTCGTTCGTATCCTAGAAAGGTAGTTATAGGACGGCTACCTAATGTGAACTGATGGTTGTTCTGATTTTGGAATTGACAGGAGCAATCCTATGGTGATTATGTGGCAATAGTAACGTTGAGACCACGTTACATATGTATGTTCTGGCATAAGCAAACGGTTTTAAACTTGTGGCGCAGTCGATGGTGTCTGAGCCAGATTGACCAATGAACCGCCTTGTAGCGTAAACTGAATATGTCAGCAACATCCTAGCCTCGTCGACCTTCTGGATGGTTGTTGATATGAGAGTGGAGTTTTCATCTTCTGGAAGAATTAAAATATCTTCTGTTGCCAGCAAGCATTAAGCAAGTGATGCACCTGGGGGATCTTTTGCAAACTGTAAGCCATGTGTTGGGGAAGAACAATTTACCAGCGTATATCGTGGATTAAAAGAAAGAAAGCACGCTCATGCCAAGAGGCTCGAAATACATTACGACCTAAAAGTTATAGAAAGACGGGATAGCTTCACGAGTAAGATTGTAGATCTAACTGACTATGCGATTTGTTAGCTTGAAACACAAATATTAAGGCATAGTGGCGGAAAAAGACCTGTCTCCTAAAGGGGACTGAGAAAAAGAAAAAGATAGTAGGGGTAAAGGACGGAAATGTGCTTTTCTTTAACATCTAGTTCCTTTATAAGGATCAACTTAACAGTATATTTGGCTCAAGACTACACACTTCCAAAGAACGATGGCGATAGTAATCATAATACCAATAACACATATTCCGATGAGAAGGCTCCTTCTTTGATCAATCGTGGAAGCCCAAGCTACAAGGGCGATGGGCTAAAAATATTGACTGCTATCAAGGTAATATCCAAGCATCAATCTCTACTGCTTTCTCGAGGCTTAAGGAAACTATTAATGTGGCTAGCCAAAACCTATCAGGCTGGCAAGTCTCGGGAAGCTTGACAGCTAATCCTCGATGAGAGCTGTATTTGACGTAAGGGATCTAGAATCAACAAAAGAATACTGCGAGCTTGTTTATTTGTATAGAATTGACCTTAAATCTGGTGATATTGAGTAACAAAACCACCCACAAGACGATTCATGTACACGAAACTTATATTTATGCATGAATGAACCAAGCTCTTGGAATAGCTTCGGAAGACATTGAGCGTGGGATTAGTCCGACTGCGAGTAAATTGTAAAATAATGTTCAAATAGACGAATCTTCAATTGATCTCATTCCTCATTTGTATTTTGAATTCATCACGATAAGAGATCTCTAACGAGCTGAGAGTAAAAATATTAGACCTATAATTTTGATATTTATCACCTAGATTGCTCGGCTTAGGGGCTCAAGCCTATTGGGTGCTAGGGTATCACGTTCATCAAGGAGGAGGATATGAGTGAATGGAAGAAGCAAAGATCAAGATTGCTCTCAATCAAATTAAGCTTCTAGCACCAAGCCATTAACTCTGCTTTGCCACGACCATCGTCAAATTTCTGTCAGTGCGAGCAGTTGGCCTCGTGACAAAATTCTCCAATATCTTCAGGTCGGATGATGAGGACATGATGTGAAACAAGCCGGAGTATCTTGATGTGAATTTTATGGTAGTAGGCCTACGAAAACTCAAGGATGGGGTGAATCAAACAATATGAGGCTGGAAATAGAGCTTTGCTAGTGGTAACTTTCATGTTTTTGGGAACCCCTGGAATAGATAACGTGAATGGATCTCGGTTAAGTTCACTACTTGGGAGGGAATGAATCAAACCCATACACCGTCCCTACCCCCCAGGTACCTCGGCAACTACCAAACGATAATTTAGAGCGGCGCTGTTATCCCATCGGCTTCCGTGGGATGGCACACTCTATCTACTCCCAACTCTTTGTAATCAGACCTTCTACTTAACGTCACCAAGGGGTGTAAGAATATGATAATTCCCTCACGGAAACGCCGTCGCCATCTTCCCGTTTAGTAAAATACTAGTAAATGCGATGACATTCCAAGATCGCACTCGCCCCGACGAAATCTTGGGGGACGAAGCAAGGCACGCGTAAGCGGGGCAGGCTCTTTATTGCCTTCATGCAGTGTTATTCAATAATCGCCCCAAAGGCCCGACCACAGCTCAGCCGCATTTGTAGAAGTCCATGCGGGAGCTGAGCGAGAAGTGGTATGAATTCCGCGAAATACGTACGCAAATGGACTGACAAACCTACCTGTCCCAGTTTTAGCTGATATTCTGCTTCCACGAACCAATGAGCGACTTTGATGTGTGCGAGATGTTTCGATTTCGTTATCCTGCGAAGCGATGTCGTTATGACCAGGGTGAGCTCCTGTATGTGCGCGATGCTACGAAACCCCGGGCTCCGAATCAAGGTTGCACGATATCAGAAATCAGCAGACAAGAATCAAGGTTAAATGAGATAACGCCAACAGGGAATATGGGCCAGCCATTGATGAATTACCTGTCCATGGCTCAAGGGAGACCGATAAGACAAGCAGACAGAGCTTGAGCGATGCAAGGGAGACGTCGCATCCTCCCTCGAGGGGCTTAAGTGATCTGCAATAACCCCCATTCGCATGCTGTAAGAAGCTAACTGCCCGCACGGCTTTCACCTGCCGTAGTATCCGGCCTCCCGCGCCTTGATCAGGAAGAACATGCATGTCGGAACTGGATGGAGGCCTGCGTGCGGGTCTGTTTGCTTTGTCGCTAATAGTGAAACAACCAATAGAGTGGGCGGGTACACTGTGGACTATTGCATCATGAAGGGCTATGTTTGCGACGTCTGTCAATTGCGATTGCATCATTGTAGGCCATATTTGCAAACTTTGAGGCACACGAGTAGCCTTGTACTTTAGCGATGGTTCCAGTCACCACATCTGGGACATAAATCGTTCCCTGGCTGCTGAAATAATTTTGAGTCGCTCATGGGCAGTGTTCAATTACATTGATACACTCACTCATCTTCCTCCGACAAAAGGGGCTATGGCGTTCCTCAGCTACTTCAAGGCCTCCAAGGCCGACCCGGAAGTCCAGACTGATGTTGAGATCAGCGACACCTCTTCTGGGCCGGAAGTGATTCACGATGGAAACCTGGCATATACACGCGCCAAAGCAGGAAATGGTTCAAAGGCTGCATACCAGGAGGCCGTCGGTGCGCCCGTGGAAACTGATTCACCGCTTGGCTATGAGGTCGGTTGGTTCACAGTTATATTTGTGAACATCAACATGTTGATTGGCACTGGTATCTTCTCACTGCGTAAGTTTGAGAAAAACCTAATCCTCCGTGTGATGAACTATGCATCTAATTTGCGAAGCTGCGAATATTCTCCTCCGAACTGGATCTATCGGCCTATCCTTGATCTTTTGGTTCATTGGATTTCTGATGGCCGCAAGTGGAATTAGTCTTTACTTGGAATTTGCCAGCTATTTCCCCAACCGGAGTGGTAGCGAAGTAGTGTACCTTGAGCAGGCATACCCCAGACCCAAATACTTCTTCCCGATTGCATTTGCTGTGCAAGAGGTTCTTCTAAATTTTGGCAGTAGCAATGCTATTGGTAAGCACTTTGATTCAATTTTGAACTTATTTTGAATAAGTACTGACTAAAGATTCATTAGTCTTTGCCGAGTACGCCTGGAGGACAGGAAATACTGTAGCCACCGCGTGGCAAAAGAAGGGCGTTGCAGTGGCTATATATACGATTGCAATCCTCTGCGTTATTGCTAACAACAAATTGGCATTCCGGGTATCTAACGTCATTGGTGTCCTCAAGCTCATTGTTGTTGTTTTGTACGTTTTGGTCCCTCTTCATGAAAGAATCTCACTGACGAGTTTTCAGTATCGGTATTACCGGGCTAGTGGTTCTTGGTGGAAATCTCGACCATATTCCAAACCCCACAGCCAATTTCAAGAACGCCTTCGATGGACATGTGCCCAATGGGTACAGCCTTGCCAATGCTCTCGTCAGTGTTCAATTTGCCTACGGAGGCTACAATAACGCTTTCAATATGGTCAATGAGATCAAAAACCCTATTCCAACCCTGAAGAGGAATACAACTATTGCCCTGGTCATTGTTTCCGTATTGTACCAACTGTGCAATATTGCCTACTTTGCCGTTGTGCCAAAGGACGAATTTGCCTCAGCTAGCCAGACAGCGGCCACTCTCTTCTTCGAGAGGACATTCCGGAACAAGGGAGCTACGATTGCTCTCAATTTCTGCGTGATGTTGTCCGCTTTTGGTAACCTGATGGCTGTGCTCATTGGACAGTCACGAATGATTCGAGAGATTGGCCGGTAGGTACCCAAGATCACGAGTGGAAGATCCAACGCTAATGATGGAACATAGACAAGGCGTTCTTCCCTATCCCGAGTTCTGGGCCTCAACAAAACCATTCGGAACACCGCTTGGGCCTTGCTTAATCAGCTGGTTTATGACATTCATTATGATTGTTGCACCCCCAGCTGGCGATGCATTCCAGTTTGGTAAGTTATCTACTTGTACTCTAAGAAATTTCGTTTATCAGAAAGACCCTTATGACTGATATCGAAAAAGTGGTCGATCTACAAAGCTATCCATCCGCTATGTTTCAGGTTGCGATGACTGTCGGAATTTACGTTCTTCGCTGGCGCCGTAGGCGCTCGGGGATCCCCCGTTCTGAGTTCCGAGCCTGGGACGTTGCAATCCTATTCTTCTTGGCCTATAAAGTGTTCATCCTCGCAATGCCATGGTGGCCTCCTCTAGGTGGCGCCAATGGTGGTGATGTCAGCTTTTGGTACGCCACCTACTGCGTTGTAGGAATTGGAATGTAAGTACCCTTGGTTCATGCTGTTTGCATATAACGCTAACATAATCCCTAGTATCATTATCTGTGGCCTTTATTACATCTTGTGGATTTATGTCTTGCCAAAGTATGGCAAATATAAAATTAGGTCGGAAATGGTGGCCCTCGAGGACGGCGCAGCTAAGACTCATCGCCTAGTCAAGGTAAAGAACGAGGATGTAGAAGAATGGGATAATGTACATGACGAAGCTGGACATCTGCGACAGAGGACTACTACTCATCGAGACGATAAGGCAGTGGAAGAATGATCAACTTGGATTTTCTTTCTTGTACTATTGCACTCGATACAACTGTCATCCTATTTGGCGAGTGTCATTTCAAGAATTAGCTCGTTCCTATATTCGAGGTTATCAATACATCACACCACTATTTGAAATGAACCCCGACCACACTCATACTCTTTTCTACTCTCATCGTTTACAAGCTATAAAGAGGATAATACAAACGTCGTCAACATTCAGTATGGTATTGTTATATTCAGAGGCTCTTAGTGAGTTTGCTGATTTTTTTTTTTTTTTTGCTTTAGGGAAATCTTGTTCCTCGCTAAGTTTATGACCTGCGGCTGCTGAGGAATCTATTCATAGAGGCCCCGGAGGCTGATTCTTGTACACCGGCTCGCCTGTATACGTTACTTGAGTCCATGTGGCTCTTGAACCGTTCACTTGCACAACAACTATATTCCTGTCATAAGCTTGGAGCTAGTGAGTAACGATGAGCTTAGAACTATCTCTAGATCCAAAGACCTTTGAAACAAACTACCCAACTTTAAGTTCTCAGTTCTGGGATCCCTATCAAAATCCAAAACTAGACGAGATGGCCTTTCCAACGTGAAGGTACCACCGAATCGTGTAGCTACAATACAAGGCTGGCTTAGGAATGTACCAGAAACAGCTTCTTATGTCGCCAGTCCCCTAGATCAACCGGTGTAATCACAGTAAACCTCGTTACTTCCAGAAACTCCACACGAGGTCAAGACCTTGCTGTTCTGTTTAATATCCATGATTGTTGATCCTGAAACCCCAACAGTTGTGCCGCTGGTTGTGGTAGCCGAGGCGCCGGTGAAAACAAACTCGCCGAAATTAGCAAACGGAACAAGGCTGTTGCCAGACGAAAAGTCTTCAACAATCCACTCTGCGTTGTATTCGCACAGCTTGTTTGATTCTCCGCTGAATGAATGACTGACAGATTTCCCAGTTGACAAGTTACTAATGGTTGCCGTGCCAGCACTGCTGGATGTTGCCTTGACGGTGATCTGGACAGAGTCCCCAGCTGATAGAGAGAAGCCGGAGAAGGTATATGAATCTTTTCAGGGGAAAGTTTTAGTCAGAATTTCATCAATTTATAGTTGCACGGGGATCATGGCTTACAGTCTGGATACCACTCATACCAAGCCTCATAAACGTATGAGCTTCCCTGGACACCAACATCAATCCCTGTTTGGAGGATTGCGGTGTCACAAGTATCTCCATCGATACCAACCCAAGCAGAGGCATAGTAGGTGGTCTTAGAGGAACCACCTGACGGAATGCTGGGCTTTGGAACATTGATAGTGGCCGTGACAGAGTTGTATCCTGTTCCTATGAGAACGGCTCCAGCCCAATTGCTAGAATACTCTACATGAGTGGAATTGTCTGGTTCTTCAAAGTCTGTAGAGTCGATAACGGGAGACTTTGGTAGGGATTGTCGAGGGTTGCCGGCGCGTTCAGCTATCTTTTCAAGATTTCGGGCACGCCGTGTAGCTGTGCCCATGGCTGCAAGAGAGCCAGAAGCAAAAAGTAGGGTCAAGGCGATGCTTGGAAACTTCATGATGTCTTTGGAACAGGTTGGAACAATGTTTGTATTCGAGAAAGATGATAATGAAAGTTGAGAGAAGAATAGGTTGAGAGGGGAGGGCCGGTATTTATGTTCATTCTGCTAACCACTTGTTCCATGAGTAGCCGATCGCTATCGAGGGTTGATATCACGAGTTTGAGGTTGAAATCAGTTTCTCCTAAAAGTTCAATTCTTACCTTCCTCTTATGATGGTATCTCCGTGGGTTCTGCATCTTTTTATGGCCATAATCCACTTGGTTTGAGGGGGTGTGAGTTGTGACAGTCCATTCCACCACCTTTTCCGGCCTGGTCATGCCGAGAACCTTTGATGCTTCAATAAAGTGTCAAACCCAAACCAAATCTAACGCCTGCCAATGATCTTGTGCAACGTATTGGTTTATATTGCTCACTCTTGCTACTGTCTAACAATATGGATAATATACGAGATTAGATCCGTTATCCTCAGATGTATCTGAGTCGAAAATGGATGATAGCTTTTGTTTGTGAGCTGATTTATCGTAGATGGATTTCTCGGCACCACATGTGCCGACATGTACCCAAATCCCTGCCTAGCTGCCTTGCCGATGCGGAAGACAGCCGTTAACTCTCATTGTAGATAAGAGTTAGAACATAATTGGTTATTTTCATCTATGGGTCTAACTTAAGCAGCAATGGGATCTATTACGCTGTATGTTGTAGTACTCTTCCATTTGTGAATGCATATATTTCCTCACATCTGAGGCTAGAATGGCTGAAAATATCTAGCGTCGCCTAATGAGCTACTAGGGATTTATATTTTATTTTTAGTGACAGTCAACTACCTGATTGAGAGGATTTGGGTTCGTTTTCTTGGACAGGAGTCACGCAGAGATATATGCCACAGTGTTGGATAAAGGAAGCCCCAACATGTTCGGGCGTAGCCTAATGGAATATGGAAATTTGGACACTTTATTACGGAAAGAAGGGGTAACTGGCGACTAAAGGTTATGTCACTACCTTTCCAAGTTCGAGTGTAGATGCAGGAGGAGAGAGGACGAAGAGGATATCGCCGAAATTTGTAGGATTCTCGACTACTTTAGGATATGCGGTGCTGCAGAAAAGAGTTCGATTAATACAGCTCTCATAATTGATTTTGGACAGCTTCACATCCGCGATTGCCGATCTAAACACCCTCATCTCGACAAGTGTAGCGGTTATCAACTTGGGGGACCCTCTTATCCATGGATGTCAGGGTGACATGCGTGCTCATTTCGGAAGGTGGGCGGGAATCGGCATCATCAATCACAGGGTTCACTAATGGTGGGTTCTAGATGACATGATCCTACAAACCACGAGATAGTACATTCTGGGGTAGAGATGTCGGGCAGGAAGAACTGAGGAAGAACGATGGACCTAAGATTCAAAGAGGCAGCTGCGTCATTTGTATGGGAATGTTCCCAATGGCATACTGAGGCATTATCGTTACTCGGAAGGCAGGTCCTAAAACTAGCAATCGCAACGGCTTTGCTAAGTTATCATGTCTTCAAAAGGTAAAAAAATTTCATTCAACCAAGGGTTTCAAATATTGGCTAAAAATGATAGACGAAAGGGAAGGAATAAAGACAATATGCCCCAAGATGTGGTTTGAAGTGAATAGATAATGGAGATGGGTATTTTAAAATGCCATTCAAGGCAATCCAACGGATCTACGTTTAGAAATATTGGCTTCAATGACTTGAATATTATATGATATTATTCTACAGATGAGTTTTATAGTATGTAGTCTTGCAAGGCCATGAGCAAGGCCTCATTGAGTTTATTTGTTGGCTTGCACGATAAACCCTGACTGAGACTAAAAACACATATCTCTCATGTTACCCGTTACCTAAGCGTCATCTTCGCGTACCGCAACACCCGCAACCTTCTCGTCGTATCGCTGCTGTTCGGCTATCTCGTCGGCGGGAATGTGGTCAGGTGTCGAGTTTACAAGAATAGTCATTGGGACCAGCGCAGCGGCAAGCAAGCCAAACGATACGCAGCTGTAAGAAAACATCGCGATGATGAGCACCATCCTCTTGTACGACAGGAAAGGGTCGACGTTCGACTTACAATCCGATCAAAGGATCACTTTCTGTTTGAGTGTTCATGCCATAGGCGATGGCTTGACCAATTGCCTCGAGACACCGGAAGGCAGCGCCATTGCGCACGTTTTCTAGATAGTATGAGCTACGTTCTTGGCCACAAACTTATGGTAAAGTCGCCACCTGGGGTATCCATTGAGGGGTTCGCTTACCCTGAGCATTGGAGGCAAAGGAGGACAGAAGCCAGTACATGTACGACTGAGATAAGGGGCCGGTGGTCTGTACAAAGAAGTAGGGCAGGAAAGCAGTTGGGTAGAGGCGGTCTTTCCAGTCGATTGTACCCGGATCGTCGCTTCTAAACCTGGACTCCATAATGATGGACCAGATGTAAACGCCCACATTGAGAATAACCACGACACCGAGACCGATCTGGGCACGGCGGCGCTGACTGAGATGCTTCATATCGAGAATGAACCCAAGACCAAAGCAACCAACACTAAACATCAATGTTCATTTAATCAACCGCGAATTTAAATGAAAATAAGGGCGGAAACTCACATGCAGAAAAACGGCGAGATGAGCGAGGAGAGAGCGCGAGCGCGAACGGAAAAGTGAATAGCAAGATAAGTAGACCAAGAACCACTGTTGCCTTCCTGTTAGCCGACACTGCAAGGCGAATGATGCAGAATTGGAAATAGAGCAATGCGTACCCGTAAAAGAAAGACCAAAGAGCCCATAGCGCCGCAAGAAGAATAAGTCTTGAGGTAATCGTTTTCGAAATCTGCTTGATTTCCTGCTTGGTGGTAAGTGGCTCTGCTACAACAATACGGCTCCCGTCAGATCGAACAACATGTTCAAAAGGTCTGATCAAAAAGGCGAAGGGCAAACTAAAGGCATACTAAAGTCAGAGTTTTCGTATACTTCAGTCTCTTGTTCTGAAGGGGATACCTACGCCAGGCATTCGATGGCAACAAAGGCAAGATACGTGTCAGGCGTAACACCACCGCTAACACCTTCTTCATAGTTCTTTGACAGGCTGTTGCGAAGCGGATGAAACATGTGAGAAACTCGGTCTAGTAGTGTACAGCTGATGAACAGAGGCAGTACTCACTTGATAGCACCTCCTACAAGCTGCCCCAGGTTGCGGGATACGATCCAGAGAGCCAAGTACTTGCCACGCGCACCGGAAGGGGCGAGCGTCATGATGGCTCCGGCTTCCGCAACGTACCAGCAACCAGTGCCAATGCCGTCAATAGCGCCGGCTAGAATAAGATACTATGGGGTATTAGAACCCTAAACAGGCTACGCGAGGACGAGCTTTTTGCGATGGCTGGAGCAGAGATGATACTTACCCATTGGTTACCGAATTTGCTATTGCAATAATATGAGGAGCCCAAAACAGGGAAAGACATAGAGCCGATAACGAGGGCCCATTTCACTCCGAGCTTGTTGACAACCGGACCACCAAAGAAACAAGCTTTTGGGGGGTGAAGGCACTTAGATCAGCTTCGGGATTTAAAAGCAGTGTAAGAAAATTGCATGCTAAAGGAAACCCACTCAAGGCTAGACAAGCATAGGTCAGAGAAGTGGCAATGTTGGCCACACGAGGAGTCGCAAGACCACCACCACCGAGACCTGTACGATGTTAGCGTCTCTGGCTTAAGAGCATACAAGTGAGCTTGGGCTTGCCGCAACATACCAGCAATTGCGTCGGCCATGGCTGGCCCACAGAAAGCCTGAACACTGAGAAGCATCATCTGGGTGAGACTATGTTGCAGAATCCGTTTCCACAATGGGACGGTCGCTCGGTAGTGCTCCATGGACTGGGATTCAGTGGTGACAACAACTTCGCTAAGTGGTCGAGTGTTGGCATCGGCCAGCCCGCTCTTTTCGGCAGGGCTTGTCTTGACGTCGGCCATGACGTGAGAGGAACAGGACAGATAGTGTTGTCACTAGAAAGTCACAGTAGGGAAGAGAGAGTTTTTGATGTAACAATCGACTGGATGGGATATAGCAAAAGAGTCATGAACGAAAGCAAGAATCTCGGTCGTTCTTATAGTTCTCATGAACACCAGTGACAGATCGAACCGACACGGTCCACCCCACCGTTATCGGCGGCCTTCCCCACGGGAAACTAACAAGCTTGACTCGCGGCATCATTTACCGGGTCCAAAGATAAGTACGTAAGTAAGAAGGTCCAGCCGAGGACTGTGATTGGTGATTGCACCATTGCGGTGGAGACTTCATGGGAAGGTCCAGCCGAAAGTCAGTCTCCTGGAACGAGAGGAGCCATTTTTGTTGGATGATTTGTAAAGAAAAGTGGCCCCCAAGACGGGGAAACGTCGCAAAAAGGTGCAAGCGGTTGTGGAGAATATTGCTCGTTTATATTCTGCATATAAAGACTTTCACCCGCCAGCATACACAGCGTGATACTTACACGGAGGTTTATCTCGCCACCCGGATTCAACAGCCTCAACCGAAAAGCAGTAGCTGTTTCTAGATTTCCGAATTATGGCGTCTGCACGTAAAACCACCAAAGTTATCATAGTTGGTGGAGGTGGCACTCTCGGCTCGTCCACCGCCCTGCATCTGATACGTCGCGGATACACGCCATCCAATATTACTATTCTCGACACCTATCCTATCCCGTCATCTCAATCTGCTGGCCATGACTTGAATAAGATTATGAGCATTAGATTACGCACAAAGGCTGATTTGCAACTATCACTCGAAGCACTGGACATGTGGAAGCATGATCCACTCTTCAAGCCCTTCTTCCATAATGTTGGCATGGTACGCTATGTCTCCTTTCGAGGTCATTTATCATCGCGAATTTTGTTGCACTGATACTTGATGTAGTTTGATTGTTCGTCGGAGGCCGAGAACATCACAGGACTCAGAGAGTACTACCAGGCTCTTATTGATGCCAATGCTGGCTTGGATAAGACCAATTTTTGGCTAGACAGTGAGGATGAGATTTTGTCCAAATTGCCCTGCTTTACAAAGGAGCAAGTCAAGGTAAAACCTAGCAAGATGTGTCAGATACAGTCAATGTAAACTGATAATGGTCATTGCATAGGGGTGGAAAGGATTGTTCACTCTTGACGGGGGCTGGCTTGCAGCAGCAAAAGCTATCAACGCGATTGGCCTTTTTGCCAAAAACCAAGGCGTCCAATTTAAATCTGGCGAGTGCGATTTATCCACTCTCGCAAACATCTTTGCTCGCATTACTCACACGCCTATAGTGCTGGCACGTTCAAGAAGCCCTTGTTCGCCGATGACGAAGTCACCTGTTGCGGTGTTGCAACTATCGATGGCTCCAGATATTTCGCGGACAAGGTGATTATGGCTGCCGGGGCGTGGACACCGACATTGATTGATCTGGAGGATCAATGCGTTTCCAAAGTGCGTGTCGTCCAGTCTTCTCTCTGGTTGTTACTTACAAGAGGCTTTATTTAGGCCTGGGTCTTGGCCCATATACAGTTGACCCCAGAGGAGGCTGCTGTGTACAAAAATACCCCCGTGGTATACGATGGTTCTTATGGTTTCTTCTTTGAGCCAAATGAGTAAGCATCGTGGTCCCAGTCAGTCCAGATCACACATTCAGAAGGCTCATGCTAGATATTTCCCTTGCAGAGACGGCATTATCAAAGTTTGCGACGAATTCCCTGGATTCACACATTTCAAGAAGCATCAGCCATATGGTTCAAGCGTCCCAAAATGCATATCGGTACCACGATCCCATGCCAGCCACCCGACGGACACCTACCCAGACGCCTCCGAGGTCAGCATCCGTAAGGCCGTCACAAGATTTCTGCCAGGGCTCAAAGATAGGCCATTTATCAATCGCGCGATGTGCTGGTGCACAGACACGGCTGATTCAAACCTTTTGGTTTGTGAGCATCCAAAGTGGAAGAATCTAATTCTGGCTACGGGGGATAGCGGGTATGTCTACTCTGAGGTCGTAGTGTTTCTCAAGAAATGAAACTGACATATCACCTGCCGCTCTAGTCACTCGTTCAAAATGCTACCGAACATTGGCAAGCACATTGTCGAACTGATGGAAGGAACTCTTCAACAAGATCTGCTGAACTATTGGAAATGGAGACCCGGAGGTGATGCGCTCAAATCCACAAGAGCGGCTCCAGCAAAAGATTTAGCAGATAGGCCTGGTTGGAAACATGATGCTCGGTTGTAGCGTTGCGACGGTAGCTCTACTGACAGGCTATGAGATTGGTGCAAATACATTGTATTAATTGAAGTTAAGTTATCCCTGTCTTTGAGACGAGTGGAAAGAATAATGGTAGCTCGGCGCGGATAAGGATATTTCCGATCCGGCTGTGGGGTTCTATGTTCAGCAATTGGGATTATGTAACGGGATTACTTAAGATATTGATGTGAGTCCCAACAGGGGCAAAGTGCGAATGCGCTGCCCTCAGAGGTGACCTACCCTATTCTGTTTGGAATTTCCTCAATTCTCTCAACGAAACAAACTAGTTCCTACTCTAAAATCTATCAATTGTGATTGACCAGGTTGAACTTGAATTGTTCGTATTGGTACCGGAGATTCAGATATTGTTTTCTTATTTCTGATCACACCCTTTCTATTACCAAACTACGTGATTAGTAACGCGGAGATGTATTTGTGGGTAGCCTCTCCGCAATCAGAGCGGAGAACATCTTATCAAGGAAGCAATCACGTGCTCTGCTAGTTATCAATTAACGTACCCTACCTTAGGTATTCTACCTGCCTCGAGTCACGATTCATGCATTAGGAATTTTGGCCATTTTGCCCCCGAAACCTGCCTCTAATCATAATAAACCCTGGTGATAGTATTGAGAATGCCACGACGCAAGGCTGCTGACAGGGTTGGCTTCATTCCGCGGCGAACACGCTCGGGCTGCAGGTACGTTTCCTAAGAGCAATCAAACCCGAGGTTGACCGGTTGGATTTACATCTGTCCTTGTTCTATAGTACGTGCCGAGCACGCAGAGTCAAGTGCGACGAAGCTCAACCGCAATGCGGCAAATGCAAGGCTCGTGGTGACTGCTGTGAATATGCGCCAATACAACTGAAATGGGAATCTGAATACTCATCATCAGGGCGGGCCTTCGGCAGGCTGGGAGTGTGGAGCAAAGAGAGACCCCGGCGTTCATCCACTGGAACAAGGCAACGTGCCTCAACATCGTTCACAACCTCACGGAAGTCTCATTTGGTTGTCGATCATCATTTTATCAACCTCTATGCTTCTGATATGGATCCTGGCCCACCAAATTGTTTGCCCCCTAACGTCCGCGCGAAGGAGGAACAGGCACTTGTTTTCGCGACAGCATCACAAATGCCCACTCGCCCTTTAATTATGCCCACCTCTCCGTCTTCATCCTGCCTTTCTGTTGCTGAAACTGGCACTATCGCTCGCCCGGTGTCGTGTTTTCCAAGTTTTGAAGGCTCTGAACTCGAACTACTCGATTATTACCTGCACCGAATATGTCCCCTAACCTATACTCCTCATCACTATATTTCTCCGTTTGCTGAATTGATCATGCCTCTTCTCAGCTGCGGGGGCCATGATATGGCATCTCTCGCCGCCATGGCATTCTCAGCACGCCACGGAAGCCTCAGTCGCCCTGAGTGGTCGTCCAAAGCTTTGACTTTACGAGGGAAAACGCTGGCCGCGGTACGGGAAAGCCTGGGTGTTCCGGAAGATATGATAGGATACGCTCTGCGCAACTCCAGAATTCCTCTGGCAATGATGTTCCTCTGCATGTATGAAATCTTTGACAGTTGCGACCATCGGTGGGTCATCCATCTCAGAGCATGCCAGGACTTTCTCCATCGGAGAAGGCTTCTTCTCACTACTGCCATGCATGAAACAGACGAAGAGCGGAATCATGTATCTCTGGTAGGGCGGTTCTTTGCCTTCCAAGACGCGATTAGCCGCACAGCGTGTGGAAACCCGTCAGTATTTAGTTGGGAGTACTGGCAACAGGCTGATCTTGACGGGACCGACTATCTGTTTGGTCGTAGCACAAAATCCGCCGCCATTTTGTTCAAGACCACTGAACTTGGCCGAATGAAAGATTCAATATCTCTAGAAGATTTTGAAACGCGTTTGTTCATTTTGGATCATGAGATTGCGTCTCTCGATGCCGTCGACGCTGAAGACTATTTAGCCAAAGAGTCGACAAAGCTGTACCAACACTGCCTACTCCGCAACGCCACACCCTCCACACCCATCGTGCAAGAGCTCGTCAACAAACTATTGAAACAACTCTACACTCTTGTACAGGAAACTCGCTGCATATCGAGCAGTCTCGCTTTCCCTCTCTTCATCAGTGCAGTTGAGCTTGACCCTCTCAATTGCGAGGCATTTCTCACGGATAAGAACACGGGGGAACCGAAGTCGGGCCGCTCTATCGTGTTGGACATACTGAAAACGATGTCGGGATCTTGTCTATTCAATGTTGGGCGGCTTGGTGATGTGATACGCCAGGTTTGGGTGAACCGAGACCTGCATCTGGAGACTGGCGCAACATCGGCGGCTGGGTCTGCTGTCGGGTTGAATGATTGGACAGTGTCCGTGAGTCCTTATTGCACCAATCTTAGTCTTGCATGATCATCCAGGGTCCGAAGAGACTGAAGCCCTGTTTCACAATACTTCGAACATCAGCTTCTTAAAGTGATCTATAATCTTATAAAGATTACACTATTAATTAACTATCTGTTATTATATAAGCAAATCTTATCTTAAACTTTACTATAAATTTTTTTACTTTTCTTTTTTTAAAAATTTTTAATTGGATTTCAAAATTAAGCTGACTTAAAAAGGACAAAGACCAAGTTTCCATCCAATGCTCAGAGTGTACCTCGGTTAGTCGAATATCCGAGATACACGGATGTCTTATTTAAAATAAAATTGGTCTCAACTGGACGCGTCGGCGAACTCCCGAAGCAGTAGACCGCGAAGGATTCGGTACTTTGGAAGCCCTGTCGGGGCAACCTGCCTTTAGATCAGGTACTGCCAGTGGAGTATGTCACTCCGATTGGAAAGTGATAAAGTGTATTGAGGTAGCATCCGGCGAGACTTTGGACTTCAGGTGTGCCAAGCACTATGCATCCTGCAGGGGCTTATCCATTCCATTCATCCACTACAGTCAGAGCCAACAAGTCCGAGCCAACAGAAGTCCAAGACAATGGAACGAGAGAAAACAATAATTGGCGTAAGCATTTCAGTTCACCCGGCGGAAAGCCTAAGCTCGTGTCCCCCCGCCCAAGCATGACTATGAAATCTTCTCTTCTCGCACCCTACCATCAAAAGCAGGCATCCGTTGAATAAAAAACAAAACGATCCATGCCCTTCATGAGCCGATTTTCTCCACTACTACCTGCGTCGTTGCTCGCCGCGGTGACCTTTGCGCCTGGTACTGCGCAGTATGCAGCCTCAGCCTTGTCGGCTTACGTTCCTATCTTTAGTCGCCTGGATTGGCTTTTTGGTAGCAGCACGCGGATCAAGGCGACCTTGGGCGTCTTGTTCGCTCTTGATGCTATCAGATGGCTGAACCGCACTCTCAATAATATGTCATATAATGCGTGGCGTTTTGGTTCCGTGGATGGTTGGGACTGGCCCAACGAGATTGCTCTTGTAACCGGCGGCTCGGGCGGGATCGGACAGCTGCTCACGGAGAGGCTCCATGCTTTGGGCATGCGCGTGATCGTCCTGGACCTCCAAGAGCTACCCAAGTCGCTTCGAGACAAGCCAGGAATCTCCTTCTACAAGTGCGATCTCACGAACCCACAGGAAGTTGCTGATGCTGCTGATGCCGTCCGAGCAGAAGTTGGGCACCCCTCAATCGTCATCAATAATGCTGGGCTCTGCCGTCTTGCACCCATCCTCCAAACCTCAGCCGACGATGTGCAAAAAGTCTTTGGTGTCAACTGCATTGCGCTCTGGCTCACCACTAAGCAGTTTCTCCCCAACATGATCCGCCAGAACAAAGGCCATATCATGACGATCGCAAGCATCGCCTCCTTCATTGCACTTCCTCGGGCTGGCGACTACTCTGCCAGCAAAGCGGCTTCACTGGCCTTTCATGAGACTCTAGCCACTGAGCTCAAGTTCTTGTACCAGGCCCCCAATGTGTTGACCACCACCTTTCACCCCAATTTTGTCCGCACTCCCCTCATCAAGGACTTCCAGCACTATCTCGAGGAAGCGGGGCACAAATTCCTTGAGCCCGATTTTGTCGCTGACAAAATTGTAGCGCAGCTGCTGAGGAAGCAGGGCGGTAGGATAGTTCTTCCTGAGGAACAAGGCATCATTACGGGAGTCAGGGCATGGCCAGCTTGGATCCAGCAACTCATTCGAGATAGCTTCGGCCCAATGTCTGTGATTCCAGGAGAGAAATTTGTCTAATCATTGTTATATAGAATTTCTCGGCCCGTTACTTGTGGTACTTGTGAAATATCATGTAAAGGGTCTTCATGCTACTTCAAGGCAATGAACTCCAAGAGATAGAACCCAGACTAGAATGAAATGAAGTAGCGATATTTCTGAGCTCAACATCTCTGAATGCCACTACACAAAATGACTTCATTCCTTGAATATCTCACATGTTAGCCTCCCGGAGGGTCGAAAGAACGGCCACGAGGTCAAGGAAAAGTCCAGCCTATAATAACCCGATCGTTCAAAAATGATGCATGGAAAGCTAGAGATGAAAGTTATGTTTAAGAGAAACGTCTTGACAGGGGTGCAACTCAGATGGCTGGGCTGACAACCACGGAGATAAAGATTGATGGCCAAACGGTATAGAAGGGGAGATGGACAACATGACTGGACAGGTTGGATCATATCGAATCAGGGCGTTAAGGCAACACCAGTCTCCGATTGAGGGAAATGGCGGACCACCATGCGACGGATCGCTCGCAAAACTGTGCCACAGCATGGTACGGAATATGGAGTAGACTTGTAACTCACACACTGTGAGTGGTGGGTATTTGTGGCCCTAGAAGGAGTAGGTAGTAAGTATTCAATTCAAGCCGAAGGTAAGCCTACATGACCCTACACTCGTCAGCTGTGTCAATGAAGCCTCATCTTAAGTTAAGGGGGGTCGGTAGGTGGTCGGTCTCCTCAGTTGGTGGAATCATGGGCGTCAGGTCCGTAGCCTTATATTCCGACCCCCATAGTCCGTACATACCTATATGCGCCCACTTAATCTGACAAAGTAATCTACGATAAGTCAACGGCCCAGTACGTTCGTTGTTGGCAGACGAGGTAGGCTGCCGGAGTTCCTCGTCCTGAATCTGGATCACTGACAAGGGCGACGGAAGGAAAGGGCCGCACTGGGCCACTAGATACTTGTCCAGAATGCACCATAGCGGCAGTTCTTCAGGGATTTCCCCCTGCATTCCAGTGCAGTGTTTCCAATGGCTTTTGCGTGTGATGAGGTGGGCGAATTGATTTGTTGACTTTGAAGCTATCTAGAATTAACACTGGGCTTCCTCGGGAGACTCAAGGGTTCGTTTCATGGAATTTTAAACCATCAGTAAATTCTACCAAAATAAGCCCATTGCTGGTCGTCTAATGCCTTTCCTAGTGTTGATTGTACCCGAATCCTGTTAATCCCTCCTCCTCCATCCATTCGTACACCTTCTTTGCCGCCCATGATATCTTTTGGGCGGACCTCTCCTCCTCAATCTCAATCATTTCACGCACCCAATCAAACATGGCCTCCACCAGCCCGCGTACCTGCTCATGGGTGTTGCACGGGTGGAATGTTACTCTTAGTCTGCTCTGATTGAGCGGCACCACAGGGTACTCCACCGGAAAGGTGCAGTAAGACGAGAAGATCAAGTGGAAATATAGCCAGTATATATACTGAATGCGCGTATGCACGGCTGCAATGTGGACTAGGAATGGTCTGTCCTCCCAGTCTTTCGCCAGGGGTATAGAGAGGAGCCCCCGGGATCGCGCATTCTCCCAGTCGGGATGTGTCGTGAGGTACTCCCAAAACGTCTGGGCAAGGTCTTGAACGTGCTGACGAGCCTATATTGACGATCAGTATTGTGATCATTGTTATCCATCTTTACCACCCCCCATTCCCTTTCCAGGAGTGACTCACCTGCTCGCCTTTCTCGCTGGCCAGCAAGGTGTAGCCGGCCTTGATCGTAGCAATCGTCGGGAATGTGGGAGATGTAGTATAAATGAAGATATTGGAAAAATTAATCACGGCAGACACCACTGATTTGTTGCCCACAATGATCGCTTCATGTAGCGAATGAGCTTGTTAGCGGGAAACACGAAAAAAAGCCTTCGAAGAGAAAGGAGTAGCATTTTACCTCCGACCGATCCCAGAGCCTTAGCAAATGAATGCATCACCACTGCCACTTCTTTCTCCAGCCCGAGGTAGCACACGAGACCAGAGCCGTTGGGCCCCATCATACCAGTGCTGTGCGCCTCATCAACGATGAATTGAACGTTGCCTTGCTTGCCTGGAAAAACCTCGTGGGCCACTTGGACGAGCTCTCGCAGTGGGCAAACATCACCGGTCATGCTGTAAGTAGATTCGACCGCGACAAGAATGCATCTCCTGCCTTGTTTGATCTGAGGCTGGGTCTCCGTAATAGAGAGAAGCACCTCGCGAAACGACTCGGGGTCATTATGTCGAAACTCGACTTTTTGCGCGGCGAGGCTTTGGCTCATCCCATCGTAGGTGCTGCAGTGCACGAGCTCATCATACACAAGGACGTCTCCAGAACGAGGCAAAGAGTTCCAGATGGCAATATTGGCATCATAGCCAGAGTTGACAATTAACCCAGCCTCGTAGCCGTGAAACACTGCGATCTCACCCTCGGTTTGCTCAAGGTAGGGGTAATTGCCGTCCATGAGCCGTGGCCCCCCTGCGCCAGGGCGAAAGTTGGGGTGTCTGCTGAGCTCGGCCAGGAACTCCTCACGGAATTCCGGTGTGTCATTGAATGACAGGAGGTCATTGCTACTGAAGTTGACAATGTTTGTGTTCTGCCAATTGTTTTCCACAATCGAGTAGAGAATGTGAGACTCGCGGCGGGTGTCAAGAGCTTCTTCCAGATTGAGGTAGAACGTGTTACGCGGTTTGGAGGCGCTGGGGACGATCCGCTGACCCTTGATACGAGTCACTAGTGACCCAGTGGGAGCGAGTTGCTTGCTTCTGCTTGCCTCCATGATCAAAATTGTTTGACTGGGCTCTACTGATCTGCGAACAAGTCTGTGTATGCGAGTGTCCGGGTTTCCTATGTCGTGTAATCTGGCTTTGCTTTACCGAAGCCATCCATACTCTGCCGCCGTACGTTCCAGACATTGAGCGCCTGTTGTTTCTGAATAATTGCGAACGACCCTAGCGGGGCCATCGAGTGCGTCTAGGCCTTTGAGACGACCATCCGTCAGCCATTCAGCCGCCACAGTCTGACAGAGGATTCAGTGCAACACAGTGTGCATGGTCTCTGGTCTCATTTAGGGTCACTCCGGCGGTACTGAAGTGGGCCGCGGAAGATCTTTGGTGAATGTGACATCGAAATTTCAGAGTTACGTTGACGGTAGGGTAGGAAGGATTGGCAAGCTCAGTAGACTATGATAAGCAACTCCATAGATATATCTGAGAAGGGGAGGGATTCGGGGGTTCCTATCTAGATTGGCGATCAGGCGGCCGCCAAATAGTGAGTATGTAGCGTTAGCGGTGGATGTCCACGGATATTAGCTGCCAGATTCAAATTGAATCTCCATGCGGCCCCTGAGGCAGTAGGAAGCAACTTAAAGCTCGCTAATACCGGTGTCGGTACTAAGAGAAACTTGATGGCGACTAAATTTCACAGCCACTACCTACTAGTTAATGGCATTTCTCTCTATTCATTCCGCATTCAACTTCGCCTCCATCAAGAATCTCACCTGTAGTCTGATGTAGTTTCCTTCAGTAATTAGTTTCAATAGTCTACACCAAAACAGCGGGCTCATATTGGATGCAGTAAGCATGTCACTGTTGGGGGCGTTGGAATTTTAAAAATTCAGGATTGGCACATTAAAAGTGGTGGGCCACTGGATCATGGCCTTTTTAGGTAAAGTTGCCACATAAGCACAACATTTGATACACAGCTTCTCTTTGGTGTAAGATATGTTGGGTTAGTGATAAAGGTCTCGGTGCATACGTGACGGTGGTCCGTCGGCGGTATTTAGGTATCTGACAGCCAGTAAGATTCTTTCGCATGGCTTGACTCGGCTCGGCACCTTCCCGTTATTTGTGAATGGCGTGAATATCAGCTTATGTGATCGGCTCGGTTAGGCGGGACGTAAAGTTAGAGTTAATATATCCGTAACAAGCTCATGTGGAGAGGGTACCACTCCAGTTTCGTGCTGCTTAAAATACACCTGTGTGAGAGTGAAATCTCTGAGTATCTAAGCCTAATAGAGGGCCCCTGCTAGTGGGATTTTTTTTAACAAAAAAAACAGGGGTGTGATAAGAGGTTCGCAAAACTATGCATTATGGGGCCCTAGACAATATCCCACCAGCCTTGATTTTCTCAAGGGAATCGGAAGTTTGAGAGATTGCTAGAGTTGCTTCATGCTTGGACATAGTGGAGAGTGTCCCTGTTCAGGTCGGTAGAACCTCTTTGTATTCACTCACGAGAGAGAAAATAGCTGTTTGACAAGAATTTGACTCTTCGACTTCTTGAACGACATGTACCATGCTGCTCTTTTAATCTGAGGCCGCTGAGCCTATGTTATACACAACTACAGCATCCTCTTACTTGTGATATCTCGTATGTGACTCAATTTTGTCCTCAGTAATGATCTCCACTGATAGACTCCGGGAAATACCTTCAGCTGGCATTCTACCATTCGATTGGTGTGTTGCTCTCACCGAAACCAGTGCATGCTCATCGGCCTCCAGATTTTCCCAATTGTCGCGACGATCGCTGAGTGGCGCTCGCCGCCAAGATTGTGCGGCAAAGCTGCCCGAGCCAGCAGTGTCTCCCTTCCCAGTTCTTTTCATAGTGGATGGGAGCCTACCAAATCCATGAGTTCTTACAAGAGTGATGGCTTTTGGTACGCTGGGTATACCCATGATCAGAAAACCTGAAGTCATCTCCCCCATTGACCATAATCCGACGCTAGCTATGTAGTAAAGCTGATCGTCAGAGTGCATCATATGCCAGACGTAGCCTTGGCGAGCACATGCGCAGGCACAGGCGCTGTTGGATAAGTCAGAAGAGACTTGACTCAATGTATCTGGGGGTAGAAGGACTCACAAAAGACCAAAGGTGAACAGAACCGAGACTCCAATCTTCCTCTGCGTCGACATATTGAGTCGCCAAATAACGTTTTGCGGCAGAACAAAGATGATGAGATCTGAAATGGCAGCAATGAAACCACCTGCAAAATTCCGGGCAGAAGGGTTCTGGATGCAATATCCCCCTTCATATAGCTTGTTCCAAATCTTCTCACGGGGAGTGCATTGGAAAATCTCAACGGGGAGAAGGACTAAGTAGAAGATGGTGGTGACACCGATCATGATCCAGCAGGTCCAAAACATAAAGTTCTTCTGGCCAAGGGGCACGAAAGTGGCCAACCAATCCAGAAGGATGCCGACTTTGAGGCCCATGCACACTAGAGAATAGAAGACGGTACCGATGTGCAATTTCTGACAGACCATGTTAGCTAAAGATTGTCTTCAGTGAAACTTATGGGCTGACACACGAAGAGGATGGGTGGCAGATTCTTCAGCTGAATGTTCCATTGATGAACCCCTATGCCCGGGAAGATCGAGACGGCGTATATTGCATAACAGTGACCCGCGAAGCATCCCTGTGCACGTCAACATACTGCGTAAAATTGCCTTGCCAGCGCCACAGGTGAGACCAACTAATGCGCAGAAATACATTGCATCTGCCATGCCCAACTTCCTCATCGCGATTCTAGTGGCCAGTCGCATCACCACAGAAAGTGTGGCCACGACTGCACAGGCAATAATCACACCATAGCCAAGGTCGTGAGCGCCCCCAGGGTTGGCAAAGTCGGGCATTACATTCTCTGGGGGGGCCAAGGCAGGTCCCTCAAGCAGTGTCGCCAAATCCATTGCGAGAGATGCGGCGTCTGTTGGTACAGTGCATCCGAAAGAATTAAAAAAACAAGCTATTGCATGCGAGAGAGCCACGTCTCACTGACAGCCTTATATAAAAGCCTCCTCGTGAGAAAGAATGAGCGTTAATGCGCCTCTTGTGACACAGGCACAGTAACGTGATACATACATCCTAATATATAGATAAAATCTGCTCTCCAATATAGACCGTTACGCCTCCGCCTTCTATGCGAGGGAAAAGTAGCGGCAAGGGGTCGGACTGTGATCCCTTCTAGATCCTCAAGCCAAGAAAAATACAGAGGCCTTTAGGGCAACGTAATATGGTGTCATGCGTTGGTGCTAGCATTCCAGAGATGCATGTCTCACATGCATGATCCTTTGATTGTACGGTGCCTGACCCGGTTCTGAGAAGACTGTGTGGGTTCAGCCAATACGACCCCAAAGTTCCAAGAGGGATTGGGGGACTAACAACCCACTCCAGAATCCTTCCGTGCGTCCTTTTCGGGTGTGCTGTATTGGGAAGCTCATAGCTTTGACCGGCCAACCGCATGCATGTGATTGCCTGGCGCTACGTTATGGAGCTCATACGTGTGTGTCCGACTTGACTCTGGAAATGTATGCCCAAATGGTCCCTAGGCTCCAGCATAAGTTACTTAGGAATACAGATAGATCAAAAGATTACATATATTCATTGCGCTTATTCTATCATTAGACCTGCTTTTCTTTTCTTCCCATTTCCCCTCCAAGATTGAGAATCCGCATATTCTATCGTCACAAGATGGAGCCTATTGCCATCATTGGAACATCTTTCAAGCTACCACAGAGTATTGACGATGATCTAGCACTCTGGGACTTGTTGGAGAATGCTCGAAATGTTATGACGCCATGGCCAGAATCCCGGCTCAATCTTGATGCTTTCTATAACCCTGATCAGAGCAAACCTAATTCAGTAGGCAATTATATCACCTTTCGAGTGAAGCTGGGGGTACGATCTTGGATACTAACCTCTGAACCAATAGCTTTATGCACGTGGTGGTCACTTCATGTCAGAGGACCTTGCTGCATTTGATGCACCTTTCTTCTCTATAACAGCCAAAGAGGCTGCGGCTATGGATGTGCAACAAAGATGGCTACTTGAGACATCATACAGAGCCATGGAAAACGGTACATTGTCTTGTTGCGTACTGTTACTGCCTTGCCGTGGGCTAACACATACACAGCTGGTATACCAGCTGAAAAGATCGCGGGGACTCAAACCGGGGTGTTTGCAGCGTCAGTCGCTGATGATTACTTCAGGATGATTGTGAAAGATCCCGAGGATGCACCAGTCACATCTGCCACCGGCATGAATCCTTCAGTTCTTGCCAACAGACTGAGCTGGTATTATGACCTGAAAGGGCCAAGCATTCAGATGAACACGGCCTGTTCTACCAGTCTTATTACTCTAGATGTCGCCTGCCAATCTCTCCGAAGTGGTCAAAGCTCAATGGTAGGGCCGATTCCGTACTGATCTCCCTGGTACAGGGCTGACCATCTACCACAGGCTCTGGTGACGGGATCTAATGTTCTGCTAAATGTAGAGTGTTCATTGCATTTATCCAGCATGAATTTCCTTTCACCCGACAGTGTTTGCTACAGCTTTGATCACAGGGCAAATGGGTATGGAAGAGGGGAAGGCTTTGTCGTAATGCTGCTAAAAAGACTCTCTGATGCTGTCAGAGATGGTGACACGATCCGCGCGGTAATTCGGGGAACAGGGCAAAACCAGGATGGTCATACTCCGAGCCTCAGCCAGCCCAGTGGGCTCGCTCAAGAATCGTTAATCAAAAGGGTATACGAGGATTGCAACCTTGACTTCGGATTGACACACTATGTGGAGGCTCATGGTAAGTCATGCTTATTGATTGATTTTACACGCTTTCTGAGCAGTACTAATGGCATCGATCGGCAGGTACTGGCACTCAAATCGGTGACCAGACGGAACTTACAGCTCTTGGAAAAGTGTTTCGAGCCAGCCATTCGTCGAAAAAGCCACTCTACGTGTAAGATGATCCTCAAACCTTGGAGTTCATTTCTAATATAAGTCCAGGGGCTCCATCAAATCTAATATTGGCCATCTTGAAGGTGGTAGCGGCCTTGCCGGTATTTTGAAGTGTATATCCATCTTGGAAAAGGGGATAATCCCACCAAGTGCGAATTTTGAGAAGTTGAATCCACAAATCAACGCCAGAAGACTACACGTAGAGGTGTGTTCATGGAAAATACGGCTAGTTCTTTTCTCCAGACTGACACCTTGAAAGATTCCAACTGCCTGTATCCAGTGGCCCGTGCCAGGTCTCCGTCGAGTATCAGCCAATTCATTTGGCTTTGGTGGTTCAAACGGACATGTCATCTTGGATGACGCTTACCACACACTCGAGATTTTGTCTCTCGCAGGTATTCACAATACTTTACTCCCCGTTGTCGATGCATCCAATAGATCACTTACTACCAATGGAAAACATCACCTCGACGGTGATACGGCATTTTGGACTCCTACCGGGGATGTGAGGGCTGAGACACTCGAGGAAGACCTCGTTTCTCATAGCGATAGAAGACCTAACGATATTCGCCCCGATGCTTGCAATGGCACTGCTCCAAAGCCATCTGAAGATGTAGCAACGCCGAAACTTCTTGTTTGGTCTACTAAAGACGAAGCTTCTCTCAAAAGAATGGTTCAGAACTACGAGAATCACTACATCAAATCGATTGCCAATAAGCATTCCAAACTCAACAGTCTTGCTTACACCCTCGCTTCCCGTCGAAGCATTATGGCCTGGAAAACATTCACGGTGGTTGAACCTGATTCGTCATCTCTCCCTGCTGTAGGCAAGCTCGTGCGCTCATCACGAAGGCCGGGATTGGCCCTCATCTTCACTGGGCAAGGCGCCCAATATCATGGCATGGGCCTAGAACTGATGCAGTATACCATCTTCCGGCAGTCTTTGATGAGATCATGTGAAATATTTCGAAGTCTAGGTGCCGATTGGCTTCTGTTGGGTAGGTGAGTCCAATTTGCATGATGGTAGAATTAATTGACCTAACAGTCTATAGATGAGCTCAAAAATCCCAATACTATCAACAGTCCCCAATTCAGTCAGCCTTTGTGCACAGCTTTGCAATTGGCGCTGATAGACCTACTAAGGAGCTTTGGTGTGGTTCCCTTGGCAGTTGTTGGGCATTCATCTGGTGAGATTGCCGCGGCGTATACTGCTGGTGCTCTTACTTTTGAAAATGCTTGCAAAATTGCCTATCACAGGGGTAGACTGGCAGCTCTTCTGATTGCGGCGGCAACTAAACCCGGTGCTATGATGTCGGTCAATCTCCCGGAAGGTAACGTTTCTGGATATCTGAGGGGTCTTGATAAATGTCTTGATATCTCCATCGCCTGTATCAACAGCCCAGCAAATGTTACGCTATCTGGTGCCGAAAAAGATATCGACTTACTCAAAGAAAAGTTAGACAAGGATGGAATATTTGTTAGAAAGGTCAAAACTGGTATTGCCTACCATTCCCCGGCCATGCAAAAAATTGCTGACGAGTACCTCGGCGCTCTGGGCAACCTTGGAGAGCCTCCAAATCAACAGAGCGAAGTCTTGATGGTCTCATCCGTTACGGGCGCGAAATTAACCCCGAAGAAGGCATGCCAAGCTCAATACTGGGTTGACAATTTAGTCTCTCCTGTTCAATTTGTCGATGCACTGAGCTATCTCGTGCTGGCTGCTCCCAGGACTGACGGGCTTAAAGAGATCACTGACTTTCTTGAGGTCGGTCCTCACGGTGCGCTCCGAAGACCATTGAAGGACACCATCAGCCAAGTAAGTGGCAAGACAGGCTTCAACTATGTTTCCTTGCTCTCAAGATACGACAAACCTATCAAGAACGTCCTGACTGCATGCGGTGTCCTCTTCAGCTCCGGCCATACGATCAACGTCGCGGCGGTGAACCAGAATGCGACAGAGAAAGAGCACCAGGAATTTCTAATCGACACACCTGAGTATCCATTTGACCACTCCCAGACATACTGGCATGAAAGCCGTTTGAACAGGGACTGGCGTCTCAGAGGGGCACCAGAAGCAACTCTTCTTGGAAAGCGTGCCTCAGATTGGAACCAACTGCGACCACGCTGGCGCAACTTTCTTAGCATCGAAGATATTCCATGGGCCGCAGACCATGTCATTGAAGAATCCATATTCTTTCCTGGCACTGGCACTATTATGATGACGCTTGAAGCCGTCAAGCAGATGGCGCAAGAGAAGAAGACTATCTCTGGATTCCTTATCAAAGAGGCAACATTCATAAATCCGGTTGTTCTCAAACCAGAGTCAAGAACGGAAGTTGAGACTCACCTTCGCCCTCTGCAACAGAGCTACGAGAAGTCCTCTTCCAGATTCGAGTGCCAAGTCTTTGCTCGGTCTGGAGACAGTTGGATCGAATGCCTTCACACAGTCATTCACGTTGAATACAAGGAAGCTCCCGTGGAAGTTGACGACAAGTCTGCACGGGAAATCCAGCGACAGCATCTTTTGCAGGAATTTGACCAAGCAAAAGATGCTTGCAGCAAGGCAGTCCCTTCTGACATGTTCTACAAGTGGCACTATGACCAGGGTTTGAAATATGGCCCTGCATTTTCTCTGGCGGAGGAGATTTGCTGGGATGGCGACCGGCTCGGCATGGCTACAGTCAATGTGGCATCATCTGTTGAGCCCTTTGACGGCATCGTACATCCAGCTGTCCTAGACGCTGTTTGTCAAGTCTGCTTCACTGCCCCATCCAAAGGCATGACAAAGGCTCTTCCCACGATCATCCCGCACAAAGTAGAGGATGCTTGGATTTCAGCCACAGGTTGGACTCATACGCAGACAAGAAAAATCCGAATGCTCACAAGATGGACTGTCAATGAAACAACAAGAGGTATCCATAGTAGCTTTGTGGCCCTCTCAGATGACAGCATGCCATTATGGCGCATGAGGCATCTTGAAATGCTCCCTGTTGGCAGAGGTGACATTCAATCATGTAGTGAGCGAAATCTTCTGCATAGTCTGAGCTGGAAGCCACTGCTCTCGCTGCTCAGTCCGCATCAGTTGAATGACTATTGCAACGCGAATATTAGACATGAACACACTACCGATAGCGGCCCAACCCGAGTACAAGATGCCATTGAAGCATTTCTGAAACAAAATATGGAACAGCTCCATTCCATTGAAGCTACAATTTCCCAACCTCACATAACCAAATACATTCAGTGGTTGAGCAACCATATCAGCAACCAGGCAGATCAAAAGAAGGAGGATGTCAGCGCAACCGATCCGATTTTGGAACTGCAAAAACTTCAAGCCGATAACTCATTATGGGTTCTATTATACACAGTGGCTACCAATCTAATATCTCTAGTCAACGGAGATATTGATGTGTCGGAGCACCTGTCACTAGCCCAAAGCTTCTACCGAGAGCTGGTCAGTCAAGCATACGACCAGAGGATGGTCAACTTTTTGCAGTTGGCGGCACATCAAACTCCAAGTCAGAGAATACTTCACATTAATTCTGGTGAATGCGCTTTGCCATCAAAAATAATCTCTACCCTCAAAGAGATCGAAAGCAAGACTGGAGGGGTGGCATTCTCGGAATATACCTTTACTGATTGTTCGGCAAGCCCCATCGAGGCTCAAGAAAGGTTCGGAAAAGAAGATAATCGTCTGACTTACAAGATGCTGGATCTTTCAAACAGTATTGTAGCGCAAGGCTTTGAGGCCAATGCATACGACATCGTCATCGTGTCCGGGATTCTAAAAGGCACCAAGAATTATACCTCTGCGGTCAGAAACATTCGGGAGGTATTGAAATCGGGTGGTCATGTAATTTTTCATGATGTCTTCGATCCCGATAACATACCGTTGTTCTTTTCTTTGGGAGTGATGTCAGATTGGTGGGAGGCAGAAGAGAAGTCTCGTTGTTCACGCCCCAAGATGACGGCAACGGAGTGGAATCTCCTTCTGCAAGCAGAAGGCTTCTCAGGCAACGACCTTGTGATCGAGGATTCCACTCTTATGACATGTTTCTTCATATCAACTGCTATACCAGGGTTCACGCTTCCCACCGCCTCCTCGGGTTTGATGTTGATCATAGATGACGAGAATGAATTCCAGTCGCAGCTGGCTCCTCAAATTGCCTCACTTGTTTCCACCACGTTGGAAATTGCCACAGATACTGTATCTATGACAAATCTCAGCAAGGCCACCATATCAACTGCTGATTACGTTGTCTTCCTTGCTGATATTGATGCTTCTCTTCTGGCGGAACTACCTGGTTTCAGCTTCACCTCAATTCAAAGTCTGATCCAGAATTCCAAGAATTTATTTTGGCCTACTACCTGCCTTTCGCAGTTAGATCCAAAGGCTCCCTACAATGGCCTCAAGGATGGTTTCCTCCGGACAATGCGTGCTGAGTTCAGCACTAAGCGAATAGTGTCGGTAACCCTAGAGGGTTTCGAGATGCAAAACCCGCCTCTTTGCGCCTTGCACATTCTAAGGGTCTTCCAGCACGCGTTTGCAGACTCTTCAGCTGACCTGGAGTATCTTGTTCAAGGCGGCCACATCTTGACTGCACGCTTAGTACAGTTAGTTGAGACAAACCATCAGTTGAACTCATCTCTCCACCCAGCAGCAGAGGTAGAGCCGTGGCTGCCGGGTCCGCCACTGAAGCTCGATATTGGGACCCGTGGTGATTTGGACACGCTTCATTTTGTTGAGGACTTTGAGTTTTACAGGCCTTTAGGCCCAACGGAGGTCGAAATAGAAGCGAAGACGTGGGGTGTAAGCTTCCGTGATATGTTCCTTGCCTTGGGCCGACTGGATGACGAAGAGTTTGGTATTGACAGCGCTGGAGTCGTCACAAAGGTTGGGCCTGAGTGTGTCAAATTCAAACCGGGGGATCGGGTTTATATGTGTAACCCAGGGATCATGAAGATGTACCCTCGGGCGGAGGAAAGCGCCACAGTTCTGATTCCTGAGACTGTATCTTTCGAGGACGCTTGCTCGGCATTGACCCCTCTTCTGACAGCGTGGTACTCACTAATCCACAGAGGCGGTCTGGAAGAGGGTGAAAAGGTTCTCATCCACGCTGCATCTGGCGGGACTGGACAATTAGCTGTTCAAGTAGCTCAGATGGTTGGAGCGGAGGTATTCGCGACTGTGGGCTTCGAGCACAAAAAACAGCTCCTCATGGATGTTTATGGTATTCCAGCAGATAACATATTCTACAGTCGAAACACTAGCTTCGCCGAAGGTATTATGCGACTCACAAACAGCTACGGCGTGGATGTCGTGCTGAACTGCATTGCTGGTGAGGGCTTGCGTGCGTCTTGGGAGCTTGTTGCGCCCTATGGGCGATTTATCGAGATTGGGAAAGCTGATATTAATGGAAATTCTTCATTGCCGATGGCCTGCTTCTCTAGGAACGTTTCCTTCTTCGGCGTTGACCTCCGTCATCTCAGCCTCTATAAGAAAGGAACAGAGAGAAAGCTCCTCGCTAAAGGCATGGATCTGATCCGGCAAGGCAAAGTCCATGGCCCGAAGCCTCTCCGAATGTATGAGCTCCACGACACGGAAGATGCCATTCGATCATTTCAGAGTGGAAAGAACGCTGGTCGAGTACTCATTAATGTCGACCCTTCATCTAATGTTAACGTAAGTGCACAAGCTAGTAGTCGAGAATATATGCTAACTTTTCTTCTTTGTTCTTCTGAAGAAATGTATACTCCGGCAACGGGATTGGAAGTTCAACGAAGACGCAACATATCTAATCTCCGGAGGACTTGGTGGCCTCGGCCGCGCCATTATTCGTTGGATGATGTCAAAAGGCGCGAAGAGTTTTATCGTTCCTTCTCGGTCGGGTCCTGTATCCTCAGTTGCTTCTGCCTTCGTGAACGAGGTGACCGAATCCGGAGTTACAATAATCACGCCGAAATGTGATGTCTCCTCTGCGGAGTCGCTCTCCCAAGTTCTTGAAGAGTGCAGCGGCATGCCGCCCGTTCGCGGGTGTTTTAACGCCTCCATGGTGCTGAATGTGCGTATTCTATCAAGTGACTGTAGTCATTCGGGCTAACATACTTTTAGGACTCTGTCTTCGACAACATGACCCATGATCAATGGAATCGTACCCTTCGTTCCAAGGTCCAAACCTCGTGGAACCTCCACATGATTCTTCCCAAAGACTTGGACTTCTTCATTCTTTTATCTTCAATTTCAGGGATTATCGGGAACATAAGTCAGTCCAATTATGCGGCAGGATGTACCTTCCAGGATGCCCTTGCCAACTTCCGCAAGAGCCAGGGCCTGAGAGCACTCTCTATTGACCTTGGAGCCATGCGGACAGTTGGTGTGATTGCCGAGACCAAAGTTCTACAGAAGAACTTTGAAGAGTCTCTCAGCTTTGCCAAGATTGAAGAAGAAGAGCTTCTAGGCATCCTTAACATCTACTGTGATCCCACGTCGACCCCTGATAGTAGCCAAGTCACTGTGGGGATCAACACTCCGGTGGATGTACTCTCTCAGGGACGAGAGCCACCAGAATCCATGCTTCGTCCATTATATGCATACTACAGTCAGTTGCGTGGGTCAGTTCACTCCTCAGGGTCATCTGATGCGAAGAACTTCAGTGCGTTATTCCGCCAGGCGAAAACTGTGGAAGGGCGTGCCTCCGTTGTGGTGGAGGCGCTAACGAAAAGGCTGGCACGGGCTTTGTCGATGCAGCCGGAGGACATCGATCCAAATCTCCCTGTGCATGCATACGGAGTCGATTCGCTTGTGGCTGTGGAGCTACGCAACTGGCTTGGGAAGGAATTCATCTCGGACGTGCCAGTATACGAGATTTTGAGCGGCAAGACGATCACGGCTATTGGTCAGATGGTAGAGGCACTCAGTAAGATATTGTTGGAAGATTAACAGATTGATAGAGCTGAAGCGTTCTATTTGATAACATCTAATGCAATCAGTTCCCTTCGCAGCTTATGGTCTTTACTCCATTACCTCCTTCCCATCTATATAGATATATACTTATAAGGTTATATACGCTGTTATTGGGAGGGGCTACGAGAACAGGTATATATATATATTTATATATTTAAGAGAGATAGTAGGCTTATATTTAACTAGCCTAGTTATCTATCTCCCTTCCTTCCTTCCTCCTCCCCTCTCTAGTTATATATAACCTCAGTAGTTATTTTAATAAAGCTAATTTCTTAGCTTTCTAGTAAAATAGACTAGAGATAATAGTAGTTATAATTATTACTTTATAATAAAGTATACTTTATCTTAAGAAAAACTAGCTAATAATTATTTTTTTTATTAATAATAATATTTTTATTAAATTACCTCTTTTTAAAATAATTAATTTAATTAAAATATAATTTTTTAAATTAAATAACTTAATTCTTTACTTTATTTCTATAGTTTTAAAAGATTTAATTATTTTTATAATATCTATAAGCTTATAATTATTTATACTAATCTTAGAAAAAATTTTAATTTTAAGATCTTATAACTAAATACTCTTTATTATAGATATTATAACTATTAGCTTCTATTTCTTTTTCTCTATTTTTATTATACCTAAAAGATACTCTAACTACCTATAGCAAAAGGCCTGCTGCAGCCTTCTAGTTAGGGGCTACAGCAGTATTAGAGCCTATATAGCATAACAAGTACCCCTCCACAACAAGAGAGACAGCCCTGCCCTCAGGGCTATAGCGCTCGGCCGCCTTATATCTCAGCGACGAGGACTACTATAGCGGGGGTCTGTTAGGCTATTATAGGGCCTCCAAGGCTCGAAGCCTTATAGCTAGGCTCTGCAGCAGGTCTCCAGAGGCCCTGACCTAGGCCCCGTACGTACGGGCTAGTACAGGGATCGAACCCGTAACCAGGCAGAATTACTACTAACTGTTATACCCAAAAGGTACTCTAACCACCTATAGTAAAAGGCCTGCTGCAGCCTTCTAGTTAGGGGCTACAGCAGTATTAGAGCCTATATAGTATAATAATTTTATTCTAAGATAGATTAGGTAAAAGCTCAGTAGAATATTTAATTAGATATATATAGTAATATATAAAGTTCTAATAAGAAGTTAATTAATCTAATTAATAATAAAGATAGTAATAAATAGAAGTTAACTAATTTAACTAAGTAGTAATATATAATATTTAGTATATTTTAATAATTTATAAAATAAGCAGATTATTAATACTTTTATAAGTATAAATAGATTTAAACTATATAATATATTTAGAACTAGATTAAAAATATTAATCTTTAAATAAATAAAAAGTAATATTTTAAAATTTATAAAAGAAGTTATACTAATAAGAAAGTTATTATTAAATATAGTTTTTAAATTTAAATTTTATATATAATTAGATATAGTTATTATTAGTATTAAATTTTATATATAATTAGATAAAAATACTAAAGTTTAATATATTATAATATTAGATATAATATTAAGGTATTAAATTCTTAGTATTTAGGAATTTTTTTTTTAGTAGCTATATAGCTCTCTTACTTATTACTATATACTGTTATTATATTAGAATAGAGATATTCTTAGGTCCCCCTAGGTATTATTTACTAGTAATTCTACTAGAATTATCTATAGAAATAGAGCTGCGGGGTAGTCTTATTTCTATAGAATTATTTACTACTAAGCTAAGTTGCTAATTAGTTAATACTTAGAGTTAGAGTTATATAGGGTTATAACTTAAAGTTATAAGAGTTAAAGAGAAGAAAAAAGCAATAGTTATATATAAGAATAAAGAATAATAAAAGCAATTATAAAGTTATATATTTTTATTCTAAATAAATAATATATTTTAAGGTTTTATTAGAGTAGTAGTACTTAGAATATATTTATATATTTCTTAGCTTTTTAATATTACTATTATTTATTTTTATATTATTAATATTTCTACTAGGTATATATCTAGTAATATTATTATTTAAGAATAAGAAATTTATAATATTAACTAATATAATAATACTACTAGATAATAACTTTATTAGTTAGCTATAATATTATTATCTTTATTAATACTCTCTAACTATTAAATTATTTAGATAGTATATATATTTAATTTCTTTAGAGTTTAATAACTTATTATATATAAAATAATAGCTCTATTTACTTTTTCTACTTTTTCTATACTTTTTATCTTAATAATTTAGTTTTAGATAAATATATATATAAAAAAATCTATTTTTTTTTTCTATTATTATAATATACTAATAAATCTTTTAGGATATTTACTATCTATCTTACTATTCAAAGAGCGAAAGTCTAGAGAGTTATTATTTATAGTATTTATAGAACTAAATAGTTAAAAGTTATTATTATATAATAATAAATAGTATACTTTTAGACTATAAGATAGCTTGAGAATAATTAGTATCTTTATTTAATTAATAATTAATTTAAGAAAAAAGAGATAATGAGAGCCGGGTAGATAACGCTCTCGAAGACAGGCTGCAGCTGCAGCCCTGACTTCCCTGTCTCTCTCGAAGACAGACCCTTCCGCGGCTCTGACCTCTCTGTCTCTCTGACAGACAGCCCGTAGCTGAGGACCTGACTTCCCTATCTCTCTTACGGACAGCTAGTTACTGTAACTACAGATCCCTTATCTGGTAGATAGATTAGCAGCTTAGTAAGGGATAGTTAAATTATAAAAGGAACAGCTGAGCCCTACAGCTGAAAAAGGGCGTACTTTATCTTTTATTTATTCTTAATTCTTAAAATATAGCTTATTTTAGCCCCTATTTCTCTTGATCAACTATAGGATTACCTATATAACACACTACAAACCCTCTTTTAGTCTCTTGTCTTGCTGTTTGATATCCTAGCCAGCCTAGCCCGGCTGCTGTCTTTACCTAAGACCGTAACTTCCGTAGCTACAGGCCGGAGGGAAATTCCACCGGCACTCAATAATAACTTTCTTATTTAGAAATTAGATATTAACTTAGAAAGTAAGATTAAATTTATAATAATATATATAAACTAATATATTTATTAATAATTATTAAACTAATATTCTATCTTAAAATAAAAATACTTATATAGGTTATTTAGAGTATAAGAAGTATAATATTTTATATACTCTTATTATTATATATACTAGAAGTATTCTAGAGTATATTACTCTCTTATACTTCTATTATTATAATAATAGATTTATATATAACCTATTAAATTTATAATTAACTTCCTCTTTTATTATATTTTTAATTTATCTTAAATTATCCCACCCAGCGACCGGCTTAGGTTTGCATGAACATTCCGCTGTTCAAGATCTATCGTCAGAGAGACCGATTATCCTGCCCAAGGCAATAATGTATATATCCCTCCTATACTGCAATAAATAAAGAGGCTGAAGAGATGCTGGAGTATTGTTGGTTCTCTCTTCGTTACCTTGAGTGCGCCCTATAATTACATGTTATATCGTACAATTGCCAGCGCTTTGTGCGTTGCACTGCATGGAGATCACTGCTGAGTTGAGACACGATTGCAGAAGGATGTCTCAGTTCGCTTATGCCGAAAGCCGATTCTGTGGCAAAACACGGTACGTGTTCGATTGCAGTGCGGTATTCGCTTCCAGTTCTCACACCGATGACAGCAAACTAGGCGACAATAGGAGTCTTGGACTGTCCCTTGATTTGGCTGGATGTCAGGGTATCTGAAATGCAGACATCCGAGACATCACCCGCTCTTTATAATTTGTTCAGCCTTCAGCATCTGATCGCCAAACCCTGTACTCATTCCATGCAACCTTTCTTACAGAGCTATTACAAATTCCTCACATGCGATTGATCATTTCACCCTAAACAGACAAGAAGGCAATGCAACATGCAACAAGAAAGGCGATTGATCTGCCCGTGCTCAATTTCATAGGATATATATAAGCGAGATATGCCATGACCGTACCTACATCCAAAACATTATGAAGCATCGCTCGCATTGTTCTCGTGTTTTATTATTGATCATCGGCTCACTACATTCTGATTGTATTTCGTCATTACACCTATCTATCTGTATTCATCATTTAAGTCTGATGGAAAATCTTACTCCGCTGCTAGTTGGGCTCATTGTCCTCAGCTTAGCAATATGGGGCCAATTGTTTCGAAGAAATACTACCAGTGGCCTCCCACCAGGGCCAAAGCCCCTTCCTCTGATTGGAAACATAAGAGACCTTCCTGCCCCAGGAATACCCGAGTACCAGCATTGGATCAAGTTCAAAGATACGTACGGTCCAATCAGCTCAGTATCTATTTTGGGCCAGCCGATGATTCTCTTGCACGATAAGAAGGCAGTGCGTGATCTATTAGAGCAGACATCTCTCAAGACATCTCTCAGACCTTCCTCAATTTTTGCCGATGGCTGTGGCTTTGGTAATTTCTTGCCCTTTCGGCAGTACAACGACACATATCGATGGCACCGCAAGCTAGTCCACCAGCAAATCGGTACCAAAGTCATGGCCGCCCGATTCAATGATGTTCAAGATGTGGAGTCGCGACGCTTCCTTCTAAGGGTTCTACAAAACCCGGAAGATTTAGTAAAGCACTTTAAGACGTAAGTCATGCTGGCATCCAAAGACTGATTCTTTCGAAAGAAAAACCCTGTGAATCAGAATTGACTCAATGGTTTTAGTGAAGCTAGTGCTATAGTCTTGAAAATCACGTACGGTTATGCTATTGAACCACTAACCCATGACCCGCTGGTCTCCTTAGTTGAGCGTATGATGGACAATATGTCACTTGCGCTTGTGCCCTTGGCTTGGATAGTAGATATCCTTCCATTCATGAACCACCTACCAGAAGGATTTCCAGGCACTTCCTTCAAAACTCGAGCTCGAGAATGGAACCAAGTCAACCAAACAGTGACAGATGCGCCCTTCAAGTTCGTGCGAAGACACCTTGCGGCTGGGACGCACCGGACATCTTATGTGTCACAACTGATTGAGAAGTATGGAACGAGCAAGCATGGAGAGCTAGAATTATCGCCCGAGGAGGAAAACGCTATCAAGCAGACGGCGGCAATTTTGTACGGCGGTGGAGCGGATACAACTGTCTCAACATTAAGCAGCTTTGTCCTTGCCATGATACTGTTTCCAGATGTTCAACAAAAGGCCCAGCAAGAAATTGACAAGGTGATTGGCAATGAAAGGCTACCGGATTTCTCTGATCGGCATCAACTTCCATACGTCAGTGCATTAGTGAGCGAGACGCTCCGCTGGCTTCCAGTTACGCCGATCGGTACACCTCATGTGACGGACGATGAAATAATGTACAATGGTTTCAGGATCCCGAAAGGAACATATTTGCTCCCGTCAATCTGGTGGTTTTTGCATGACCCCGAAACGTACGCAAATCCAAGTGATTTCGACCCTGACAGATATTTGGAACCACGAAATGAGCCAGACCCTACGACAGAATCATTTGGCTACGGCCGAAGAATATGTCCTGGAAGATTTCTCGCTATGGAGAGCCTTTTCATTACAGTATCGCGAATTTTGGCCGCTTTCCATATCAGCAAAGATATTGGCGAAGATGGTGAAGAGGTGGAGGCGAATCTCCAGCCGACAGCTGGGCTGATCTGCCACCCTGAGCCCTTCCCATATAGAATTGAGCCAAGAACAATGAAGCATTCAGAGCTTATTCTATCTGTGGAGAAAGAGCATCCATGGGAAAGAAGTGATGCAGAGTCCCTGGAGCTTTAAGACACCTTGGTTTGTTGGGACAATTGATTCGACGAATGTTATTTCGGGCGGACTATTGTCCAACTTGGAGCAAATTGTTTGAGCTCAGTATAGGGCTAACATAAGGCTTGTCTGGGGCAAGATTACTTCCGCGATCTATTGATGCTCAGTGGAGAGAAATACCCCAGGTTTGGGTGGCATTCAGAGTGATCGAAGGCTTTTTTAACTGTATTGCCTCCTAAAGCAGTTCAAAACAAGCGCATCCAACGCTTGATGCGAAGTATGTCTTATTAGTGCGTTCCTTATACTAAACTGAACTTACGGACTTAGTTGATATACGAAGGATGAAGAAATAATTTATAGGTGATTGGGAATAGTTACTCTTATATGAATTATAAAGCTACGACCATAATGTGTTGTGATACTGGTATGGTGTCAAGTTGTTAAATTCTTGGTGTTTGGGAATTTCCCCTTTTTTTTTCAGTAGCTGCATAGCTCTCTCACTTACTTACTATAAAGCTACGACCATTAAATGTCTGCGTCATCAATCCAAAAATGAAAATCAGCGTAAGAAGCACGATGATCTATTAAACGCTGCAAAGATTCTAGTTCTAAACTTACAAATCTACTGCGTAGCTAACACGAGACTTGCCCTTGCTCCTGGAAATTTTCTTCACCTTGGTCTCCCCGCATAAGTCAGTAGTGTCAACATGTGTTCCTCCGCAGGGGTAAAGCTCGCCCCCAGTAATCTTGACGATGCGGAACTTCTCTCCTGGTGCCGCGAGGCCTGGATCGGGAATAAGCCTCTCCAGGCCATGCTTACGGAAATCCTCCTCGTCCCAAAAGTCTACTTCGACAGGCAATTTGGCCGCCACGAACTCGTCGACTTTCTTTTGTATGGGCTCCTTCCATTTGCCATCGATGAGGCCCTGGAACTCGCAGGAAGCTGAATCCGGGAAGTGGGATGCCTTGAGCTCATCGAAACCTTCGATTTCTTTCTCCAAAAGGTGCCTAACTGCAGATCCGAGAACATGGCCTGCAGTGTGGAGGCGGGAGTAGTACAGTCGTTTTTCGACGTCGATTTCTTGGGTAATCGTAATGCCAGGTTTGAAGATACTGCCTAGGTCGCTTGAGGTGGTATCAGAAGACTCAAGACGGCCAAAATGCAAGACCTGACCGTCACGGACGGCATCCATCCTCGCCGATAGCACATTAAAGGTTCTCTGAGGCGATTGCATCGTCATTGAGCCGACGTCAGACGGTTGACCCCCACCCTGGGGATGGAAGATGGTCTGGTCGGTGATGATGGCAAAGTCCCCGTCACGGCCCTCTTTGAAGAGCTGCCGGTTGTCCTCTTCTAACCCGCTCCATGGATGGACTGAAACTACAGTCGCGGGGGCAGAAAATAATTTTGCGTTGCGCTGGAAGGAAAGTATTGTTCGTTTAGCCGCCATTTTGTTTGTATGTGATTTTAGGGGCAGGTTCAAGTTTCAATTCGCGAGAAACTGTTAATTAGTGGCTCTTCATGCTAGGGTTACTGTTGTATTTAGTGAGATTATCACTTTAAAGAGGTGTGTTATTAATCTGACCCTGTTATATTTTTAGAGCTCAATTACTAAGGGCAAATGATGGATCTAAAATCTGACAATGCGCTTCGTATCATCAATTTTGTGAACAAGTCTGTTATAGCTGACCTTTCGAAGCTGAGACTATCACGCCCACACATAACGTTTTAGAGTTAGACAACATGGTGAACTACCTAAAAATATTTCTGCGTCAAGAGCCGCTATCAATAGAAGCGTTGGACTTATTTTAAAAATTACCTCTAAGTCTTTGATATACTTTTCGAAGAAATTTGTATTATTGTGATCTTAGGCAATCATCTGTCCCATAAGAAGCGGCTGGCTTAGTAGGTGAAGTTAAGTAACAGACTTTTTAGACACATGGCTCTAATCACGGTTGTGAGTTCCGTGCAACTCTTCTTAACAGGGTGGTACTACCAGATGTCCCGCACATCCTCTCGAAGACGGTACTTGTGCAAAGGGATAATCATCCAGATTATTGTGCTCAACCCGTCCATACCCCTGCACCACTGCATGATATCGTTGCTTGGGTCACCATTTTCGGCGCTCACAAAAGGTGCCACGAGCCTCGTTTCCATTAGGGTCTGCGTGATAAGCATAGCGTCACCTTCCTTGGTTGAGAGATACCGATCGTATTCTCTTATCCACCCGCTAATAGTAGGTGCTTCCCAAATATCCCGCACGCATGGAAGGGGTAGCAAACTTAGGGTGCCGCAGTTATACGGTTCATCGTTTCCAAGGCCGCCAATCCCGTCGAGAAAAAGATCTATGACCACATAAACGGCCATAACCCTGCACTGTTGGTCAGAAGGCTTATGGAGACAGGAAATATTGCGAAAAGAATCCGATACAATGGCATTATCCCGTGACATAAAGCCTGAAACATACCTTCTGATGGATTCCCGGAAAACCCATTCGTCCTGACTTGGCCGTAATTTTGATGATTCATAATTCCAGTTTGAATGTGGCAACAGGCTGCGTAAAATGTTCTGGCAATCGGGGTCAATTGAATTGTCTTGATTTCAAAAAGTTCCAATAATGTAAGGGAAGGGGAATCTCAATAAGAGGTCAATCCAACTTCGAACATACCACTGAAGTCGCGAGTAAATAGGCTACATCGTTTGTCTCGACTGTTTCAGGATCATCTGCCTGCAGAAGAAGAAATACTGTGAGACATTGAATGGCTTCAAGCTTTCCCTGAGCGTCTCCGTGATAGGCCTAGAGTATGTTAGTGATTTCGCTTATAAAAACTGATTCTGAAGGTTTTATTACCTCTTTCCGGAGCCTTCTTGCCTCCATATATATCATATCCCAGATATACGATTTATTCGCCTTGCTATGTGTCTGAAACATCTCTACTAAACCTGCACAGATAGCGAGATTCTTGGGAAGGCATTGATGGCATCCGCGAGCTGCACATCCAGGAGCCAGTTCCTCATTTAAATGGCAGGGAGACTTAATGAAAGGTGGAAGCCGATCGCCTTTGGCCATCATTTTAGGAAAACTGGTCAGCTGGCCCATGACGACAGCACTCAGAACACAATCGGTAAGAATTCGCCGTCTTTTGAGGCATACGCGTTTCGAACCATGCCCTGATGGTACAAGCCGAGTATCTTGGCAACATTGGGAGGTGTCTGCAAGACCGGGGGCAAGTGGTGACGCAGCCGTACTTTGCGGGCTATCGTTTGGCGGTGATAGCTTTTCACCAACAGAAAAGTGGTGAGCGAGTTTCCCAGCGTCGGCCCGACCGAGGCTAGAATTCGGACTCGATAAATTTGTCTGAGGAAAGTCAAACATTTCGGGTTCATCGACCGCGAGTTCCCAACTAAGCGTGTCCCCCGTAACAGAGTCGAATTGATCAAGATACAGGTCCTGATATTGGAGAGTGGAGGAAGTATTCACGATATCAGCTGAGACATGAGAAAAATCTTGTCTACTCTGTCCAATCTGCCCACTTGAAACCGTTGCCGATCTGGAGTACGGCGTCAGACGGTTGGAGTCCCGACCATCGTAAATGCACTGGGCGCCCTTCCTGGCGCATCGAGCACAGCTGGGCAAGGATCTGTCACAACTTAGCTTGGATACTCGACAGCGATTACAAGACTTCTTGCGAGAGAACGGCATCGTTTCAGACACTCTTGCAAAATTCGTGATGTTGATAGACTAGCATTAGATGAAGACATTACGCTTGAGGCCAGGCTGGCTGATGTCTTCGGAGTTCAAGTGGGTCTTCATCCTAACATCTTCAACCGATTGCTAAGCGGATCGAACTAAAGTCTCGGAGTTCAAGCGGGTCCAACTCGGACTTCGCCCTCATGCTGAGCCGTGGGACCAAACGCCATGCGATGTTGAAGATGATTGATTTGTAAGGTTTCGGGCTCTTGGTAATACTTTCGGAGATGGGTAGACTATGGCAGGAAAAAATCCGATCGTCGATAGAATATAAATACTCAAGTTTGGGAGGAAGGGTGGCGTTCTTGTGCTCGACAGAAGCAATCTACACCATACCAAACCAAGAAAAACACATCAACTTTTTTATCAAAAAGAAATGGCGCCGATTCGTGTTGGTATCATCGGTCTAGGCCCCATTAGTAGCCCAGGCTATAAGGCTGGAGAATGGGGCATCCAGCATATGAATGCCATCTTGAGATCACCCCATTACGAGCTCGTTGCTGTGAGCAACTCTACGATCGAGTCTGCCGAGAGGTCTATCAAATCCCATAAGCTGCCATCGACAGTGAAAGCTTATGGCTCGGCGAAAGATATTGCCAGTGATCCAAATGTTGATCTGGTCGCTATCGCTGTCCGCATTTCTCACCACTACGAGCTGGTCAAAGAAGTTCTCCAGCAGAAGAAGAAAGTTTTGATTGAGTTTCCCGCAACCCCCGATGTTGCGCAAACCGAAGAACTGGCTGCTATTGCCAAAAGTCACGGGATCGAAACAATTATTGGCGCCCAAGGTCGTGCTGATCCAGCTATTAGAAAGCTTAAAGAGCTGGTCGACACCAAAGCTATTGGCGACATTGTCTACAGCTCATTTTCTGGTCAACTTGTCATGGTTGTCGATGATGGATGGGCGCAATCTCAAGCTGGATTCTTAGACCTGAACGCTGGCATTAGCCGTATAAACATCGCCCTTGGACATCGTGAGATTAACCCCGTTTACCAATATCTGAAAATTCGACATCTAACATTTCTTTACAGCAATTGATACCTTGATTCATGTTTTAGGCGGCTTTAAAGACATCCAGTCAACGTTTAAGACCAGTGTAAAAGCCACGAAGCTGTTTGATGATCAAGGCAACGTCGTGGATCCTGCGTACAAGGTCACTGCGCCGGACATCATGCTTCTGCAGGGCGTCCTTGACGGTGGGGCTGTGGCATCATTCAACCTTCGCACTGCACGATCCACCGCTGATGATGTCAGCTTCCGTTGGACTATTACTGGCACCAAAGGAGAGGTGACTTTCACTAGCGGTCCTGGATTCTTTCAAATGGGCTTCAACGGCCCGAAAATTCTCCTTAAGAATTGGGGCAGCGAGGCCCAAGAAGTCGGCCTCGATGTCAAAGAGGCAGAGTACTACGGTTCTATAAACCCTCTTGGTATAAACACTCTTCGACTCTATGAGGCATATGCCAGGGGCGAGACTGGCGGATATTCCAACATCGAACAGACGTTGCGTACAGAGGAAGTTTTGGACAAAATCAAGAAGACTGCCATTTGGGCCCCATAAACTCCTAGATTGAATAGCGTTCAGTTGACAGAGGCATACACTGGTTAAATATTGTGGGATTAACCCGTCGCTCATAGGGAATATCATACTAAGATTAGGTGAGGAGGATATAGAATCAAGCACATGTCATTGTCCGATTGTAGTAAGCAACTTAGCTTCAATCCGCAAATCCTTATTTGAGTGAGCAGAATATCTGAGTGTTCAGGGTAGGAATACCTGGCTCAAATGCTAATGAACCACGGGACTTTTTGGTGATTCAGATCTATGTCCGACTTAGGTTTTGGTTTCTATTCAATGTTACAATCTTTAGCCTGACGAAGGAGTAGCTAAAGAAGCTTAATAATACAGAGTAAATCAAATAGAAATCTACAAGTATCTGGGTTTCCCAAGACATAGAAGATAAAATAAGATATGTATAAAATTTACCTAATCTAGGAAACCTTACCACTGGGGCAGGAGAAAAACCTAGACTAGCTAAATACTATCAACTGAGCCAACACTAAACCTTGCACATATGCACTCTCCGAACCCATCCACCATCTGAAAATGAGATCTATGAATCATAGAGCACAAGGGCGACTGATTTATTTTTTTCCCTTCTTAGCGAGCTTAACGGGCTTCCTGTCCTAGCCCTAATGCACTGAGGCGACACTGTGTAAATCTTAGCGATCTTCTTCTAATATTTGTATAGGGGTGGGCTACATATCAACTTACTGTTCAGCCATTGCTCCACTCTGAATAGCATACTCTGCACCGCAGAAAGGGCAACTTGCGAGAGTGACGAAATTGGAAACTAGCTCATCCCCAGAATCACGCTTTGCAAGAGCCGACGAATTTCCCCTGGAATCAGGGGCAACAGGCTGTCTACAGCTACAACAAGCAATTGCTATAACCCCGACCTAGCTGTCTTCCGTCAAGACAGGCGATAGGTACGAGCCTGACCTAGCTGTTTGCTGCAGCAACGGGCAGCTACTGTAGGCCCGGCCTAGCAGTTGTTGAGCCGAGGCATCGTGGAACTCATTGAGATTTGGTAGTCAGAAAGACCGTTTGCCTCTTTTCTCAGATTGGAAGGGCCTTAGGCCTAAAGGAGCAACCCTCCGAAAGGCTCGGAGACGGATAATTTTAGACGAATACAACTACACAGTTCTGCCTATCTACAGTGTGTGATCCAACAGCAGTCTAATGTACTGTTGAGACGGGCGGTCGCTATAGGCCCGGCCTAGCAGTGCAAATACTTATTTGACTAATCAGAAAAGCAATTTAATAAATACTATTCAAGCATAAGGCTACCATTTAAAATGAATCTCTATTTCAGATAGCCTTGCCGCCTTCATGTCCCTCTGTGACATTGCGCCAGTTGCCAACATCCCTCACACAATAGTATATGCCTTCTTAATACGCATAGTACAAGGTAGCCTCGGAGTCTGACTGCCTAATCTTTCTGTTCTCTCTGACCAGCATAAATCTCATTACCCAAGCACCAAATACACACGCCAACGCCATTCCGGCGCTTGTTGCCATAGGAAGGACAAACCGGGGTTCAGTCCAGGATGGCCAAAGATACTGCAAACATTAGTATTGAATCCAAGTAAAAGGGAAAGTCAAAGCTTACCGGAGTCCAAATCAAACTCAGAGTGGCGCTCACATTGGCGATGGCGAGCGCCGAAGCCTTCTTCTCCCTTGTCTGACCGCAAGTGCTGCTCACCCAACCCAGGATGATTGAGTTCACGCCGTACGTTCCAATAGTGAAAACACACATGGCAAAATAACGAGCACCGACGTTCATCGTAGCGCAGCCAAGAACGAACCCAAAAATTGCCACGGCCTTGGCAATGGTAATGTGCCATGTACGTTCATTGAAGTGACCCGATGATGCTGCCCAAGCAATCGAAATAACACCAGCGATCAGGTAGGGTGGGCAAGTAAGAACTAGCGTGATAGTGGTGTTGAAGCCAAGTGTTTTGACAATGGTAGGGAAAAAGTTCTTAAACCCACTATCCATGAGAAATTAGCACCAGATTCCGAAAGATAACTTGACTCTACCGGATCAGGAAAGGACTCTTACTTTGTAGCAATATGAAGATGTTGCATGTAAACAAAGACCCACACCTTAGGATCCTTTGCAGCCTCCTTAAGGCCTTTCCAGGCTGAACCATCATTGGTCTGGCCAACAGTATCCCGGCTGACACGATCATAGGCAAGCTGACGCTCCTCCGGTGTAAGCCACCTTGTCGTAAGGGGCTCATCGGGAAGAATAAAGCAAGCGGCCACAGCAACGAAGAAGGTCACGATGCCTTGGATAATGAAAAGCCACTGCCAGCCGCTGAGACCATGTTTACCGTTAAGCCTGAATACTCCAGCAGCAATCAAGCCGGCAAAAGCAGACGCTAGGATGTTTCCGGAATAGAGGACGCTGATCCGTGTAGCAATCTCTTTCCTCGTGTAGAAGATAGATAGAATGTACAATGCACCTCTAGAGTCCATATTAGTTTAGTCCTTTTCACGTAGGGCGCAGGGAAATACTCGCGGGTAGTATGGGGCTTCCACAATTCCCAGGAAGAATCGAGTAAGAATAAGGCCAGTGTAGTTCTTCGCAAGTGCTGTCAAGGCACTGACAACTGCCCACCCCATCATGCAGATCCCCATATACCAGCTCGGTCGCACGCGAGTAATGAGCATATTGCTAGGTATTTGGCCGAGGACATATCCAACAAAAAGAATAGAAACGCCAGTGTTGTATTGGGTGCCCTTGAGACCCAAGTCTTCTTTAAAGTTGTTCAAAACTGCGAGGGTGATGGCGTTGCGGTCGAGATAGTTGAGCCAATACATGAGCCACAGGATAGGCTTTTTTACAGTTAGAACTTGATAACTGAAACTCAATTGGCTCCTCTTACCATAATCCATATATCCAGTTTCCTCACCAGCTTAAGTTCAGCTGGATCAGACTTGGCGACTGCGCCAGAATAGTCGCCCTCTGGTTTTTTGAGATCATTTTGAGGTGAATCCGGATTGATCGATTCGCGCTGCTCCACGTCCGCAACAGGCTGTTTCTCGTCTCTAGAAAAGTTCATGGTGAAGATGAATGAAAGTTGTTGGGATGTTGTGGATTGGTGGGAGTGAGAAGAAAGATGGATGTGACAGCGGCAGGGTAATGCATATATATATGGACCAATGTCCTCCAATTCCCCCGCAGATTTGACTAGATTTTTACCCCATATTCTGGGTCCCTTAGAGTTCCAACAGGCGGGGTGCGCTCTGCTACCCCTGACGAGGCTCCTGGTAGGTTCTCGGTGCTCGGCGCCGCACATCACAGCAACGGCGATTGTCCGAGAAGTAGTACATGAACGGGATCGGCGTCCGATACCGAACTCTGACTCAATGCCCTGAGACAATCTAATACTTTGGATCGTCAATTTCGGACTTTGAGTCTTCTACACAGTAAATGTATAATCCGCCCCTTCGTCAACGCTCTAACACAGTAGCTAAAATACAATATGCACTTAGAACATTTGGAAGGGAGGCGCCAACGGAATTCGGAAGCGGTGGCTGACAGGAGAAAAGCATCAGCAAGGCCAAGATGGAATTAAAAGAGTGTACGAATGCGACTCAAATTAATAGGCCTTCCTATGGAAAATACAATTGCCACTAGTATTTAATGATGACTAGTTTCAGAAAAGTTGAAAATCATATATCTTGAGCGAGTTTGGTGAGCTTCGGTAGTTTTTCTGATCAAAACTCGAATTTGAAGGCAGCTCCAGATAAATATTGACTGTACATAAATCTAGACTGTATATAGATCTAGACTGCCAAGACCAGATGGTGCATTCATCTTTCAGACATCCCAATATTAGCCTTTCATTTAGTCAAAGGGTGATGCTCTGTCTAAGACTAGCAGCAGGGCAGATAATTAAGTTTGACCTGTGCGTGCAGGTCAGGACGATCATACCATCCCATTTATAAGATAGCCTATTGCAAGTCGAAAATCTAGTATCAGGCTGGGGACACATGGATAACGAATAGTACGAAGGTGGATGAACGCAGTCTTGACCTGAGATCCCCAGCCAGATCCAAGTCGGAGTCCCCAAAGTCAAGGATTTCATGGAGCGTCACCCCAAAGTTGCCCGCTGGAGCGTTATGGGTCATGGTCAGTCAAAGACACCAGCTCCGCACAACTACTGGCGATCACACCAGACATCGGGGTGGCGAGCACGTTGCCCTTTCAATTGAGAAAGAAGGCACCAAGATCATGTCAAACGGGGATTGTAAACTAAAGTTCACTGAGACTGAACATCCCGGGGCTTCTGACGTCATCCTTTCCATTTTCCGGGGTGGAGAAATCCTGTTCAATGAGCGTATAGATAAAATTGACCTCGTAGCCCGACCTGTACGCCACTGTCTCATGGCTATAATCCTGCAACCCCCATATCTACGTTACTCTAGGCTCCTGCGTAAGACATTATATCGAAACAGCCACAGTCCAAGCGCTCCGAACGCTGTAAGGTAACATATCATATGCGTAGAATTAAGAATACCCTGATTAATCGGAGGGTTAGAGGCACGAAATAGATCGCTACGGCGACGATTATCGTAGACATAACTAGCACACTGGGCTATGAGATGGCTAACATAACGAGGGAAAATGAGCAGTCTGGCTCACAATCACCATTTCCGTGTACCTGATTTCTTTATCGAAGATTCTCGAACATCAAATGATAATGCAGGCTTCTGGTGCTGGCAGAGAGTTTTCAGGGTGTTGGAGATGGTGTGCTAGATCTTCTGTAGGCTAATTTTCCGCTGAGAACCATCTAATATACCACGACCAGCACCTAAAATACTCCTGGAAAGCTCTTATTACGCGTTCCGGAACTTGCAGCCTTAAGCCGCTCAGGCGCAAACCAACTTCAGGTGCCACTCGCCTTCTTCATCTGGTTCACCCTCGTCATAACCAACATATGCGCAAGGGAAGGATCCCATTTCTCAGTCACCATACCATAAGTCTCCCAGTAGTGAATCCCTAGTTTTTTATTCATATATCTAGATCGCCTGGCTCTGAATCCTCTCAGGTCGAGGCCCAAGCCCGAAGGCAAGCAAGTATCCCGTTTCTCCATTACCATATTACGACGTCTTTCAACGCACTAACCGATCCCTAGTTTCTACACTCACATCTCAGATCTCCCGGCCTTTGAGGTCCTAAGCCAAGATCGAGAACACCTAGCCCGAAGCCTCGAGGCAACACCTAGGGTCCAAGAGTAAGTAGCCATCCCGTTTTCGGGTTTCCTTACGATAAAGGTTCGCCTTTTAGCTCATCCCTCGTTCCATAATCCAAAACCCAAATCACCTGGCCGTGAAGCTTCTAACTGAAATACAGAACCCCTCTACATAAATCGCAGAATCTACAGACTAAACTACGGAACCCGGCACTCGACATGTCTGTCGCACTCAACGCGATCGTGTATCGCGAGTCGCACGGGGCCCTGGAAGGCCCGGAAAGCGGGAACGCGACTCTATTTCGCCTGTGCCTCTTGACGATGAAGAAGAGAATGAGAATAAAGGGCAAAAGAAAGATGAAGAAGACGACGAAGACCCTCTTTACGATGAGGAAGACGAGGAAGATCAGCCATATGGCCACTCAGGCTTGGAGGATATGAGTGAGGAAGAAGGTGAGGCGACGGGCGACAACCGCCAGAATCCAACATCGAACGACCGTATGGATGCCATGGAGGAGAAACTGGAGAAGCTCATGCTTGGCCAAGAGACTTCGAAACTCTACTGTGAGAAACTCGAACACGAACTTGGCATTTTCAAACGAAAATACGAGAGCGACAACGAGAAAAAGAATGTTCTCCTCCAACGATTGCTTGACAGTGTGGCGCAGCTCACCAGAGCCATCAATTGGCTGTTTGGCAGACTCCGCACGAACACGAAGTTGACGGATGCCGCCGCGACAGTTGTCAAAGCCCTTTGGAAGTACCTGCGCGGGGAGGAAGCTAAGCCGCGCCCTACTCGCTCGCCTGCGGTTGTTAGTGTCGCCTCCTTTGAGAATCCTGATGCTAACCCTGAGTATTGGGCTGAGTAGACGGCATGATCGAAAGCTCAAGCACCGAGTTCTCGCGTTCACAAATTGGAAATCGGAAATCCATTTTTCCATCAACAAACTGTTGCAACCGCCTCCCGAGAACAACTGAGCAGGAAAAAGAATCGCTACCCATAGAGCCGGGAACTTCTATCTATGGGCTCGTCATGCGATAATTGGGCATCGTCATCCCAGTCGGCATTGGGGAACCCTCACGAATGGAAACACCATTCAGGAACCGGAAATCAGAAATCATTGCTCACAGACCGTTCAAAGCTTAGATTAAGAATTATTAGATAGCCTAGAAATTAAAAGTCCCGTCTAACCTAAAATGAGAATCAATCTGCGCTGGTCCCTGTTAACGCAAGCACTTGGGCGGGCTCGGTGTCCGACGCCGAGCCCTGACTGAATACCCTGATACAATCCCAACACCCTGGCTTGCTAATTTCGGGCTTTGGGTCTTTGAATTTGATGAATCTTGGCATCCTCGGTTATCAATTGAGCGACTACCTTGTGGTGCCAGAGACTTCGCCCCTCATAAGTATTTGAGTACACACATACCAACAGGGGGTCCAATTCTTGCGGCATCTCATTCGTCATACTTCTTCTCCTTAATCCGGTACCCTCACGAGCAAGTATTGGCGATGTTGCAAAAGGCCCCCATCAGGATCGGGAATGTGTCTGGCGCCACCGGCGACCACCCTCATGCGATGCTTCGCATGGTCCGGTCAGGCAATGTGGATGTCATTACGGGCGACTGGCTCTCAGAAATGAACATTGCCTGGAATGCCATCACCAAGCAAGAAGTCGACCCGAACCTGGGCTACGAGAATGGTTTCTTTGAGCAGCTGGAGGAGTGCCTTGATGGCATAATGGAGAGGAATATCAGAGTCGTCACAAACGCCGGAGCGCTCAATACGCAGATGCTGTACCAGAAAGTGCAGAAGCTTTGCCATGATCGAGGCTACGGCGACTCCGTGGTGGCAGCTGTTCTTGGGGACGATGTGTCCGATATCGTTATGGCGGACGGCGGCAAAGCCTTACCTATCTCACATCTGGATCATCCCGATCAAAGTCTTTCTGACTGGGGGTTTTCTCCCTGTTGCGCTACAGCTTACATCGGCTGTTGGGGTATTGTTAGGGCACTCCGCGCTGGTGCTCAGATTGTCATATGCGGACGCTGCACGGACGCCTCGCCTGTAATGGGTGCCGCGGCATGGTATCACGGGTGGGGAGAGGATCAGTACGAGGAGCTTGCAGGCTCGTTACTTGCCGCCCATCTCATAGAATGCGGCCCATATGTTGTGGGAGCAAACTTCTCGGGCTTCAAGGAATTCCTTCCAGACCTCGTCGACCTGGCGTTCCCCATTGCCGAGATCGATGGCACGGGCAGATGCAAGATCAGCAAGACAGAGGAAGGAGGAGGTCATGTGACGAAAAATACAGTGATAGCACAGCTTCTGTACGAGCTTCAAGGCCACCTCTACCTGAACCCTGATGTCGTGGCGGACCTTTCTGGCGTCTCTGTCGAGACCGTGGCAGAAAACTGCATCTCTGTCGCGGGTGTCCGGGGCCTCCCTCCCCCTTCTACTACAAAGGTCATGATAGCGGCCAAGGGGGGGTTCCAGGCAGAGGCTACATTCTACATCAATGGACTAGATGTGCAAGAAAAAGCAGACATGATGCGTAGGCAGCTTGAAAATGCTTATAAGAACAGCAACTTTAGCCGCCTCAGCATTGAGCTGTACGGCACTCCCACGTCCAATCCACAGTCACAGCAAGAAGGGACCGTCTTCTTGCGAGTTTTCGCCCAGGCCCGAAGACTCGAGGATATCTCAGTTCACAAATTCAAAATACCCATTTATGCGTTGAGAATGCAGAGTTACCCTGGCTATCACATGAATCTAGATTTCCGAACCATGGAGCCCAAACCATTCATGGAAATGTTTCCCGCTCTGATGCCTGTCTCAGCCATCGACCATCGCGTCGAGATGAGCAACGGAACAACTTGCAAGATCAATCCTCCGAGCAATACAAAGACGTACCCCGTAATACGTCCTTCCTCTGACACATTGGAGCCTGCTGATCTTCTAAGCTTCGGGCCAACAAAATTCACCGCTCTTGGGACCATTGTTCATGGGCGATCCGGCGACAAGGGAGACAACTCAAACGTTGGCTTCTTCGTGCGCAATGAGGATGAGTACGAGTGGCTCCGCTCACTGCTTTCGGTAGCCACATTCAAAAAGCTCTTGGGAAATGATTGGTTCAAGGGGAATACAGATCGACGCGTTGAGCGAGTAGAATTTCCTGGCATCCTGGCCGTTCACTTGTAAGTTCTAACCTTGCCAAGTCGTTTTACAATACTAATACAGTAACAGCCGTGTCCTTGACAACCTGAACGGTGGTATTGCTTCGTCAGATCGTGTGGATGGTCTAGGCAAAGGCGTAGCCGAGTACCTTCGGTCTAAATATGTCGACATTCCCCTCGTATTTCTTGAACGAGGAAGCATCTAAATAGAACTGTACAGTCATAGAACGAATAGAAAAGCGCGGGCAAAGAGACTTGGGTTGTTGATTTCACCTCATCTCTCGATATGCGCTGTCTCCATGCCCGTCGGCAGAAAATTGTCCCCAAGTCCCAGAAACCATTCCTGCGACAGCTGTGAGAGAGCATCATTATGATATTCATCGAGAGCCATGTCTCGCAAATCACCAAAACAATCCCTGAACGTATCATCAACTTGAATATGAGCATACTGCGTGCTTGTATCTACATCGTAGTAGTTTCCTGGCAGCTGCAAGGAAGGACTTGTAGTCTCTGTTGTCGCGCTTCTGACCAGCGAGGTGGAATTGTCCGTCTCTACATGTTGTGCGGTGGGAAGGGGCATCCGAGATGTCTCGAAGATGTCAGATAACACGGCATCACTCAATTTATCAAAAAGGTCGGAGCAGTCCTTGGCAGCATCCCATCGCTCAGCAACGGCTACCAGGACCTTGGAGCATGACCGGGTGTCATTCACCACCTGGCTGCTGGTTGGATTTGGATTGAGTCGAGCGCTTGGCCTACTTTGCATCACCATAGACTGCACTGCTTGTAAATGGTTTCGTAAGGCGTAAATGTAGGATAATCCAGCGTTGAAGACCGAATGCATCGTGATCCATGAGTAGTTTAACTTCTTTGACCTATGTAGACTGGCATAAAGATGAATTGCTTCGCGAGAGGAGTCAAATATCCGCTGCAGACTAAGACTGTTCGTAGAGGCATCGCAGAGGCAAGGCGAAGGTCGATAGAGCATCAAGATCGCATTGTGATACAACAAGCTGTACCACTCACTCGATTTAAAACTGGATGTCTTGAAAAAGGTACTGTTCCCCCTGGCATCCAGCTCCGCCAGCGGGAGTTGGGCGGCATCAGCCTTCCAGTTGTCCAGCTCTTCGTTCAAATTCTGTCGGCTTTGCTCAAAACTTGAATTGTTTAGCTGGGCTCTTTTAGGGCTTCGATAGAGCGCATTGAGTATTTTGCCACAGATGAGACGGTATTTAACTATATGAATGAAGATTGTCGTGCTCTCCAGATGATCAGGGGTGTCGAGAGGCGAAGCCGGGGTTGGATAGTTTTGAAGCAGCCCAGAGTTCGAGATATCTGGCAAATCCACGTCAATGTCTTCTAGTTGGATAGCGAGAGGTCTTCCCAGGGCGATGCTCGCTACCCTATCTAATGCGACAAGGCTCCAGAAGCACCTTTGTTTCATCACCATGAACTCTGCCTGTTGAGCACTTTCAGGCTGCGCGTATGTCATTGCGCGGTGCAAACCCATCTCTGAACACATCCGAGCAGCCACTCCAATGAGATGCCAAACACTCGCAGTGGTATTTCTGGACGTGGAACCCATGCGGTACTGGCAAACAAAGAGTAAGGCTTGGAGACGCACAATTCCCCCCTGCGCCATGACGTCTCCGAGCTTCATCATGGCACGATTATAATGTATCTCGGCATCATACACCCCGCTCCAATTGTATTTGTGGACTTGGGCCGTGCCAATCGCTAGGACAATGTCCACAATGAATTCGTCAGATGCCGTACTTTGAGCCGTAGGGCTATAGACAGTGTCGAAAGACTGCTGCAGCTTTTCGAGCGAGGAGAACGGATAGCAGAGATAATCATGGTTGCAGTATGCCTGGATTAGGTTTCGTGCTAGATTCTTCGGTGGTCGCGGGGGCAATGTTTCTGGTGACTGTATGCCTTGCGACGGATTCGTGTTCCAGTTCCGCCTGGGTTGCGCTGCAGAGCCGGGCTCTTGACAGGTTTGAAGCAGGTTTGCTAGAAGGATCCCGCTAGCTGAGCCGACAAAGTGATCACTGCCTCCAGCTATCAAGGAAAGGTGCATCACCTGCTCTGTCACCTCCCCATTGCCCGATCCAAGTGTCGGCGTGGCTTGCAATGGTTCGAGGGGCGTGGTATGTTCTTGAATAGGGGTCGCTGAGGTGGGATCTTCACGACATGATGCACCAGTTTGCCGCAGCTTCGAGGACAGAGACGCGTTCTCTAGCTCCAAATGCTGAATTCTCCGCTCCAGCTTCTGAATATTTCGCCGTCGGACCTGATGCTCGCTCGTCGAATATTCGCAGGCAACATTAGCCCGTACGCAGGGGGAACATTTTGGAGCTGCCTTGTCACATCGTACTTTTCGCCGGTGGCATCGTTCGCATGCCGAAGAATGCATAATAATCAACCCACAATATGCCCCAGACTGTTTCATGCAGCCTGTGCCAAGTATGGTCGTTCTCAACAGATATTGCGGATGAACGCACGTCGGTCTCGGAGACCGGCGCCGTCGCCGTCTTATGAATTTCTCCTGGGGTAACTCCACGTTCTGGAGCGGATAAACATTTTTTTCAAGCGGGGTAGCGGTATAAACAAGCTTACAAGTTATTTCTTTCTAGGCCAAAGTAGGTAGGTGAAAATGCCATCAGCGAGCACGAGTCAGGTCAATGGTCCACTCCCACAATCTGCATTTGAAATCACAGTTTCCCGGTAACCCTTGATGTCATCCACGTGTTTGATCTGTCGGCCGTTTGACCAGGCATACACTCAAGCTGGCTTGAGGCCCGTCAAACCGGTTTAATATAAAGATATCACCCTAGATCACCCCATCTACTTGATTCCAACCTCGCCCTGGTGCTGGCAATAAATGATGCAAAAATTTGATGATTGATTTTTCTTTCCTCCTTTGACCATTAGTGATGTAGAGAGAATCCCCCAAATAATAATTCGATTTAGTAGGTCTGGAACCTTCAATTAAGCCTCTCTATGTACTATGGTACTTTTAGAGGGTTCTTTTATCCCTAAAAATCCCTCAATTTCTACTCTTACTTCCATGATCGCAGGATCAATGAGGGTATAGGGTAGGCTACTAGGCTAGGACCCCGTTACACGGATCCAGTTAGTCAGCAATCTCTCAGACCCTCGTTTATGAATGTTGATGAGTAATACGGTGTCTATGTGGGTACCCAGCCATGGTAAAATGTATGTAAAGGTACTTGCAGGAGGTTACTGCAATCAACGCAATCAATCAATTTAGAGCGATCCCAGAAAATGACCAGATTAAATTGAGTTGTTGTCAACTCTGCCGCGACCTCGTCCCTGCTCTGTCTCCTGATTTGGCCTCTTTTCATAACCATAGTGTGGTGGTCATTACGACGAGGATGGTAGACAAAATTGATGGAGACGGATCGCGGCTAGTTCGTTTGACTGGTTGTGGCCTTATTCATTTTGAGCCACATCTAAGTGTACTTGCGCCCGAGTTCAAGTATTGGACCGGAAGAGACTCAGTGCCACTTTCATTTTAATGCAAAGACGTCGTCCACTGGTGCCAACGACCCATGATATTACCGGCTCGGCATTTCCTCAAGAGCGACTCGCTCAATTCTAATAATAGAAACACGCGGCTAAAGATTAGCGTCACCGGCATCTGCCCGATCAAGCTGGAAGGATGAACTTTGGACGATGGAGCATGGAATAGACGGCGCATTTCTCATTTACTCCCAGTGGGCTGTATGTTTAGCCGTGCCAGAATTTATTCATCTGTGGCTCTTCCTATTCATAACACAGAGACCTTCCTAATACAATGCTGTCATGTACAAAAGAACCCGCTTGTGGCAATCACAATTGTCCTTTAGTTCTATGCGCTCCTTGACCCTTGGGTTCAAAAGCTGTTGAATACCACTAGCTGGATTGCGTCAGACGGGCGATTAAGGCCCTATTTTTGGTTTAATTTTACTTTTGTCTCAGTGTGGACTGACTCCCTGGATCGAGGGAATATACCAAAGTCCAAACCCACCAAGGATAGAGCATAAATACACGGGCCACCCATTTTGATAAGCCTGTTTGGTTTCGTTTACTACCAATCCATCTTCAAGGTTGGCACCCAGTATCCCTCCTGTATAATCTCTATTGCAAAATGAAGATCCTTTCCTTGCTGTTGGCGGCATTGCCCTTGGCATCATTTGGCACAGCTAAGGACACGAGATATATGTTCACATTGTAAGTTTCTGGGCAAAGGACGAATAGAGTCTATATTCGGCCTGCTTATAACTGTCCCACAGTGGCGATTCATACACGAAAACGGAGTTCAACATCAATGGTGCCAAGCCCAACGCAAACAACATCATAGGAAATCCCAATTTCCCAGGATCTACGTCCTCAGGAGGCCACAACTGGCTCGGGTGGCTTATTACCCAGTTCAACAAGAAGAATACAGTCACATATGCATATAACTTTGCAGATGGTGGCGCGGTTGTCGATTCCAGCATCATAACTCCCTTCAGGTCGGATGTGCGAACCTTCACAGATCAAATCCAGAGCTTCAAAAAGCACCTCGCAAGTAAGCCTAGCTGGGCCCCATGGAATGCAGACAACTCTCTTGTTGGTGTTTGGCTTGGAATCAACGATATTGGACGCTCCTACACTCTGGACAACGCCACTGCAGTTATCAGGGAGTCAGTTGACATGTACTTTGAACATCTTGAGTACCTCTACAGCGCGGGTATTCGTAATTTCTTCCTGCTCTCAGTTCCGCGTAAGTTTCAATCTGTCCTTTGATGAAAATCAATCCTTCTACTAGGGTTTCTAGGATCAATTAGCTGACTTGAGAGAATGCGCAAACGACAGCAACCGACAAGACACCCAAGCTGATGGGGCTCAAGAATAAGCCGACAGACAACATACGCTGGTATAACAACCACTTAGCTGAACACTTGGCCAAGTTCAAGGCTGCCCACAACGACATCGAGGCCGTCTTGATAGATACCCACAAACCCTTCAACAAGGCAATAGATGCGCCAAAGAATTACGGCGCACCCGACGCTAAGTGCTACAAGTCTGATGGTAAATCATGTGTAAGTGGCTTCCCCCTTTGCAGAAATGCCTATCCCGGCGTTGCTAAATCTCTAAAAAGCTCTGGTATAATAACTACCACCCCGGCATCGCGATTCATAAGCTTGTTGCCGCAGACGTCGGTGTGGCATTAGGTGCCAACCATCTATGGTAATTAAGGATTTCAGACCTCATAATATGCATACAAAGGGGGGTTTTCAATCCGCCTGTCGAGACAAGCGAAACAACCGGGCTTGATTTGTCGAAGCTTGTTTTCAGATTCCGAAGATGAGGTATTTGAATGATCCTCCTACTTGAATAATGTAGTCTTGAGGGATTCAGAAGTAGTTTGTATCTCCTAGCTTTAATCAAACTTAGAATATTTTTCGAGATAGCTGTATGGAGTGCAACTGCGAGTTTATAGCGTGACACTTATCGTTCTGCCACTCCCATATGGAGGACTTGATTCGCATTCTGAACTACCTTAAGAATAGTATCATTCTACACAGGAAAGTTGACCTTATGGTTGGGTACATAGCTCTGTCTCAGGGTACAATTTGTCATCATTTGCACTGATTGTACAGATATTTTAATTATACGCTTCTCGCGACATCTGTGTCCCAACAAATGATGTAGACATACTAACTCGCTGGGGTGTATGTCCGGCATGATTGGGCGCCAGAATAACAGGGACTGACTGCAAAGATGTCTCTCCTCTCCCAACTTTCTAAACAGGCCACGACATTGATAGATAATGGTTAACAATAATGACAACAATAAAATTATTTACCCATTATTAGGCAACAATATCTACAAAAAATAACGATACAAGTATTATAACATAACTGACTGCCACAATAATTCTATCGAGGTGACTTTGCAGCCTCTGTTTTTTTTGACAGCAATTTGGCCTGCTATCACGTGACACAGAAGGCTCCACTATCTGGCTACCTTAGGCAGCCACAAGCTGAGGAACTCAACCGAAGTTAACCTGCTAATCATCACTTTTTTGCTTCGCTTCAAACGTTTCTCGTGCCTTTCGTTTCGTTATACCTGCTCGACGCTATCGTTTCTTCCTTCCCGTTGCCGTGCGACAAGTCCACTTTGACGTCGTTGGAGACGACTTTCCCCCAAGGACTTTGGAGAACCTCCTCGTACCGCGGACGGTCCAAGCGCCAGGCCAAATTGCGATTCAAACCACTGGCCGACATTACGAACAAAGGCGATGTCAGGTTCGATCGAGAGCACCCGGCGCCTTTCATTACTGCAGGTTCCAATAAGCGCGCAAATACATCTGGGTCGAAACTACTAGATGGTGAGCATTCTGCGATCTCCAGAAACAGCAGTTGGCTAATATTCATGGTAGCAGCAAAGTTCACAGCCGTTTCCAAAGCCTCTGTCCTTCCTCTAAGCCAGGATAATGACGAATTCTCGGAAGCGACGAGAAGTTCCCCCAGGCCCGATTTCTGTATGAAGATGAGTATGGCGCCCGTGTGGCTGCACGATCAACTTGGATCCACGAGCTCGACATTCGATCTGTCCCTCGAACCGAGTTTGTGTCCAACGTCCGTTACGGAATGAGCCAGGATAGGCAATGAACGAAACGACGGCCGTCTGCCTGGAGCGGCTAAACCCACAGTTGACGGTGCCTTTGATCAGCTGGTTCCTTGTCTCGAAGCGACAATTGAGATTTCCGATAACAAGAAACTGCGCCGTCACTGCGATTACTCTGGTGCTCGGATCCTATATACACCTGGACCGAGGACTATGTCACTGGAGGCGCACGCAGCTGTGCTCTTGGATACCACGGACAAGACTTAGAGTACAATAAGAAATACTTATCGGAGAGGCCAGACCCGGTATCTCAACACCACAAAGGCAGAAATAACCTCTGCTAGTCCAAGGCTACAGCCACGCAGAAGGAAAATTCTTTAAACCTTTATCCCGATGACTCACTTACCGTTGGTACGAGCCGCTCGTCGGATAACTATTTAATCCACCCTCTTTCACCTCGTTTCCTTCGTTCGCCTTACACCGACCCAAAGACTTCAACCAAGCTCGAGGATATCAACCCAGTGAATACCTGCAGCCCCTTGGCCAGAGCATCTACACCGACACGGGCCCAGCCTTCCACACACATCATGCCAAACACAATCTTGATGCCTTCTCTTGAAGGTCATAAGATTATCTGGATCGATTCTTGGATATCACATGTTCCTAAATACCTGCATTGCTGAGCCTTATTTAAATTAGGCTAGACGGAGTCATCCCCCAGTTTCCCTGGCCCTTTTAGCCTGTTGGATCCGCGCATATGACAGCTCAGCCCCAGATTCCAAGTTCAAAAGGGTAAGAGGCATTGGCTGTACAACGCAATCTGCAACGCTTCAACAATGGCTTCTAACTTCTCCTGCCGGGGCGATTCAAAGAGGAAGTTTGCGAAATGGGCCTTGTGGGATAGTAAGTGAGAGAGTTATACAGTTATGTGGCAGCTGCTGAAAAAGGGGAAATTCTTAAACACTAAGAATCCAACAACTTGATACCATACCCAGTATCACAACACATTGAACTTCGGCCTTTTTGACCGTCTACGAGCTTTACACCTGGCCGTACATAAGGTTAAACACCAACAATGGCTGTGCCCGGCAATGACTCTTTCGCCGGCATGACTCCTTTCGTGAACCTTAAGATGCAGCTTTCCATCTATTTAAAGGCCGCCATCTCTGGCTGCTGCGAACATACCTGAATGAACCGCACAGCTCAAGTCCATCTGCACATCGACAATCCGTCTATTTCGCAAATCGCTAGGGCCTTGTGGAATATCGATAAACAGAAAGCGGGTCTCGAAACTAACTGTGCGCACCAGGGCTGAACGAGTATGCCAAAGAAAAACTCTTCTGTGTCAATAGCGCCCCTCCAAATACAGACCAATTCCCTACGATGAGCGTCTCAAATGGAACAAGATGTACGAGAATATGGTACGATTTTCTGTGAAGATGGGACTACCAGCCGACGAATTCGAATACCATGGTAGTATTCCTCCTCCAGGGCAGAGGAAGGGCCGAGTCTTCTACCCATTTTACATTCTGTCGAAACCACAGGCGATTTCTTCCCGCTGGGACTGGACCCATGTCTTTGACTAGGTACGCGAAGAGGAGCCTTGGGACCATGAACAACGCGTGTAATAGACACGCCAAGATGTACGGCTTATCAGAGACACATGTAGATGCGATGATGTTCATCTACTGGATCGCGGCAATCTTTATCCAAATGATACTCGAAGGGAAAGCAAATCGGCCAACAGCGACAAGAGAAGAGATTGCCTTCGGAATTCTCGACGCCTGGGATTGTTTCATTGTCCCCTGGATGGGAAACATCTTCAGAGCCTCAGTTTGCAAAGCCAAGGAACATGGCCTCACCATGGTCACAGGAATTCTCGACCCGGAAGGGCAGCCGTTCGATCCCGTGCCCATATCGATCTCACTAAATGCAACATCCGGATCGGCGCACAAATGACCAAAATGGCGATGTTCAACTACGTTCCAGAGTTATGGCCAGAACTCAGAGAAAATCTGGAGCGAGTTCCTCAAAACCATCCATTCTGGAGAATTGACCCTGCCATGGGAAATGTGTTATGGGGAGGGAAAGTCGATGCTGCAATAACCCCAGAGCCCCCAATTCCGGATTTCGAAATGGAGCTATGGCCAATCGACATTTGGTTCCAGGACGATACCCAATACTCCCAACAAACGAATGTCAAGCTTGCGGCGAAGTATTTCAGAACATTGGTCTCTTGATCTTTCGTAATCAAGAAGAGCATAGTTAGCAAGGCTGGGGCGTATACCTCCCATTTAGAGCAGGATTCCTAAACTACTCGACTTGTCGAAGGAGTTTCACAAAGGGCTAGGCATCCAACCGTACGGGGCTCTCACCCTCTATGGCTAATTTCCCTCGCCCGATATCCTAGAACAGAATGCCATGGATGAGTTATTCTGGAAGGAAAAACTTAAATGCCCGTACTGCTTTAAGATTTATGGAAATTGGGACCCTCTGACGACCCATCTGCATATGAAACACCAAGACAAGAAGACATATCCGTTTCGATGCGATCAGCCTGACTGTGGCCTGGTATTTCTTCTAGAAAAGGATCTTACAATCCACAAGCACAGCCACATATTCGATTACGCGACCGAGATCTTGAAATGTGAATTCCTGGGCTGCATCGAAGAATTTCAATCGCAGACGGAATTCGACGAACACCAGAAAATCCACGCAAAGACTAATCCGTTTGCTTGCGATTGGCAAGAGCCGAAATGCAATATCTTCACAAAAGCCGAATGTCTTTGTGTCCACATGAAGATTCGTACATTGAAGGAAACAATCTCTTGCAACTTCAAAGATTGCGATTGAAAGTTCCCGCATGTAAAGTCGGCAAACTTGCAATATAGAACCGCTCATGGGGATAAACTTACATGTGACGAGCCCGACTGCGGTGGCAGAGTCTTCAATACAAAGTACAGCCTCGAAAGACACATTAAAACGTACCACGGAGATTTCCAAAAATTCCGATGCAAGTGGCCTGGCTGCGTTTAAGAGTGTATTTCTCAGGTAGATCTCTAGAAACATTGGACAACCTATACAGGCAAGTGGGTGATAGGAGAAATGAGACACCTAACGGAAGAGTGGTTATAAATAGACGACATCCTAAGATAAATCAAGAAATCAAGTAGTATAAAAGAAAATAAAGTGATAATATATACTGCATTATCTCTTAAGTACAGATCATTAGTACTCAATAATCTAATAATACCAGTCGCAGACTCGACAATAAGCAGCTTAATGTCTGAGTATTTCAATTTCAATATCATCCACTTGACAGGACAGAAGAAGTACCCGTACACGGAGTACACGGAAGTTGATTGTGAAGTTTGTGACGTTCTTAAAAAGTGACTTCATCTTTCTAAATTTGAGTTTCCAAATGATAATAGTATCTATTTGCATATATTGTGTTATATCTTGTCTTGGTAGTTGTCGTCTGCGGGGCACTGATTGAGTATCGTATGTTGAGGACTCTATGATCCCTGGAATTAGCAGTCGGCCGCCTGTTGCGGGCGTGGAGCAGCGTGAATGTCTTTGTTTAATGCGATCTTAGATGCGTCGATTGTTAATTGGAGAGTTCTATTAATTTGTAGCACAGCAAACATGTATTTAGAGGAGTAGTGGCGATGTAGGGCGATAGTTCCGTTTGGATGAAAAGTTGGCCTCCGCTATAGACGATATCTGACGAAGAGATTCTTTGGCCTGCGAGGCAACGAGGTTTAAAACCATCGGCTGCGATACTCTCTGGCCCAGAAATACAACTCATCTCAGCCAGCTTTAGGTTGCGCGCCTGATGTTCGACAAGCATCAATTCGGGAAGGCATTGGGCCTGTCACCGGATAAACAGCGCCAACTTCCAATAGGATGCGTGATGTGACATCACTTTGCTAATTCCTTCTTGCCATCGCGAGATCGAAATTGTAGGGGTCTTATCAGCTTATTATGCTTGCCAAGCTTGTACCTAGCGCGCATGTGGAAGGTGACTTCGTATTACCTAGAAGTGATTGTCCTGTGTCTTTCGTTATAGGAAGTTCTCAAATAATCAACGCAAAAGAGGGGAATCTGGTACGTGACCAAGCTTGGCAATTGCAACGGTACTTAAGAAGACGCATTGTCTAAAAAGCCATCTGAAGCCACTCGTCCGCCAAATGGATGTCACTTCCGTTTCGACTTAATCCTGCCGCCATGGTTTGCGTCAAGAGTTCGCTTCTCATTCTTGGGAGCGCCTATGTTGCCCTGGGGCAATATTGTGAACACCAGTGGGAAGGAGAGTTTGCAGAGCATGACATTGGCGGCGTCCCTTTCCTTCAAGCGGTGGATAGCCAAGCTGCTCCGCCACTTGAAATCCGGCCCCTGATCATCAGTGGCCCATCTAGCAACCGTGTCGACCTTATCTTTTTTGGCGATGGATGTAAGTTTACAAGTGGAATCACAAGCACGGGATAGAAGCTTACCTGCGATACTTGCAGACACAACCGAGGAAAAGGACAAGTTTTTCGACGATGCCTTATTCTTGGCCACGAATCTCACCGATGGCCAAACATTCTCTGACGTGTTGCCAGTTGTGAATTGGTGGGCAGGCTTCTCTGCTAGCGCTGAGGTGCAACATAGCCGAAATCGTAGCCTAACATAGAAATCTTGACTGACGTCTCATTAGAGCGGTATTGGCGTTGGAGGGAAGCCCAAAGAGTGAGAAATCATTTAGCCTTTTCTTTCTGCAAGAATGCTAACGAAAGAAAACAGCACTGTATATGGTCTTTATCGCGATGGAACGGAGCTTAGGGGCGTATATTACCAGAAGCCCGAAGTCGCACGTGCTGCCTGTCAGTCCACGGATGCCTGCGATTATCCTATTCTTCTTGGAAATGATCCATTTTATGGCGGACTGGGTGGGACATTCACGTAAGAGGCATCATGTCATCTATATAAGAGGCACAGAATAACTAACACTCTCAAAGTGTCACCACATCCTCGCCTGGTAACGGGCCCGCTGTACTTCGCCATGAGCTGGGACACTCGATTATTGGTGTCGGGGAGGAATACGACGGGGGCCAGGTCTATCGCGGAGTCAACTCAGCACGGACACCACAAACCGTGCCGTGGACTCATTGGTATAGTAACCCGTCGAGCGAGCCCAAGGTACAGCGATCAAATATGCCGATCCAGGCTTACCCCTGGACGCTGCTAAATACGACCCAAGCCTGGAGCCGGACATTCACTTCAGCTGGTTCTTATGACAGCTACCTACTTCAATTTAGTGTGAGCGGTGTGACGGCGAGCACTGATCTGCGCGTTGAGATTGATGGGAAGGACTTGGGATGGGAAGTCAACCCCGTTATCGGCCTGGACCGCTGGATTTACAACATGAAATTCGACGAAAACCTGTCGCCTGGAGCTCACCAGATTAAGTTCACTCTATTGAATCAAGAACTCCAGGGCACTGCGCAGCTCTGCAATCTTGAGATCATAGAATATGGCGAAAACGATGCTGAGTAGGTTGAAATAATGGTACGAGAAGCTGCGATTCCTGCTAACTTGAAGTCAGGTTTACATTCGAGCCGGAGTTCCACGGAATCTTCCCGACGTAAGTTCATGAAGGACCACCTAGTTTGTCCGATATTGACCAAGCTTAGATACTCGTCCACGAATGCTACTACTTACCGCCCAACGAACGATCTTTGCCTCATGCGAACGATGCACTCTCCGGATTTTTGCCAGCCCTGTATCGAAGGCCTATGGATCTCACTCCTTCGCAATCTCGCGCTCGTCGACAATGTCACCCAAGTCGCTGACGGGAGCGGTTCTACGAACGTCACCCTGGACCTTCTTCCTCTTGCACAGTTCAGAGAGCAACCAAGACCTACTGAATCCTACATTTTAAGCTGGACCGCTCCCAATGGTACAAGGTTAAGCCAGTGGGACAATAAGACTAGTGCACTGCTTGGTAGTGATCTTGCGGAAGTCAATGTGGACATTGAGTTTTCCACTACACAAGTCAGGGTGGACGAAGGAGGTGTGCTCAAGCACCGTGAGACCATTCAGTTGTAATGACTTGATTCGATAAGTTTTGGCTTCTGTCTGATATAGTAGTGAAAAGAGCAGGGAGGTTAGACAACGATATTCCATCGCATTCTCTATGATGCTATCAATTGTTGGATTTCTTCCCATAGATCTTTGAATTGCATCAGCAAAATCGAGTCAGGAACAAATGCCCCTTCCATAACCTGATAGCAGGCTTCCCAATCTCGAATATGCATGGCTCGAAATATATTTGCTAAACTCGCAACGTACCAGCTTCTAAGACTTGGTCGTGAAGCTGCGCCCACCCCACCGACAAAGTATTGCCAGACGGTCAAGCTTGTTGACCCGCAGAGTGTTACTCGCGGTTCGCTTAAAGCATTTTGTAAATCTTTTGCGCAAGATACATGATCCGCGTATCCGGTTGACGGCCATGACAGTTGTAAGAATAAACTAATTGCTCTGGATACAGAGGCGATGTAAGCGACGCTGCTGTTGAAGAGAGGTCTAAGTTCTTCCTGGACGCTGGAAATAGTGCCTTCAATGTCCCCGGTGGTTGATGAAAGCGAAGAAGGATATGAAACAAGGTCTTCGATATTCTGTCGAATCTGATGTATTTTGTGCGAGATGTGAGAAATGGCTCCTAATGTCCGAACATCTCTCTTTCGTAGAGCTGCAACAATGCGTTCTCTGCGGACGGGCGTCGAGGGGATGACTTCCTGAATGGAATCACTGGAAAAGCTTAGCAAGGATGACGAAGAATGTTTTTTTTCTCTCTCCACGTACTAGAGTAGCAGATCCAAGAACCAAGAAGGAATTTTGTATAGACCCTGTTCTCTTCTTTGATTGACCATTTGTGATAAACCATTGAGATGTATTTCCAAGGTAGCTTCGTTCTTCGCTAGACGCTTTACTTTGGGTTAACGAAACGACAGTAGTAAGATGTATCATGGGTGGCATACTTCACCGAAAGTCAAGACGAATACAGCCCCGATCACTCCATCTGTGAGGCCATGTCCACTGTTTAAACGAGAGTTGACCATGCTTAAAGCCTTGGATAAATGGACACCGGCCTGCCGCTTTTGTTCCCAACAGGGTCCGCTAGGCCAATGCTCGAGCGCAACATACATGCAAGCTTCTACCAGAGCCGGCTCGGAGCGAAGCAAGGTAATCCATTCAAATTCAGAAGGGGAACTGGCTGCCCCGGCTTGTGCTGGGAAGACCAGTGGGCGGAATTCATGAAGCACTGGGAGTGTCAGCGGGTGAAGTGCAAGAAGCGTCGGTGATAATTACAGAATCGGATCGAATGATCAGGGTCTGCCGGGGGGCAAGAGACTTGTGGAGAAATGCTGGGCTCTTTGAACCCTGCCACGCATGCATCTTCGATAGAGCCAGTTCTTTCTTGAGCCACGGTAGTAGATTCTTTGCGTCTCTTCAGTCTCTCGATAGCGAGCCTTTGTCGCCGCTGTTTGAAATTGATCTTCGTGACGTGGGCTCGAGCTTCTCTCGCGTTCGTTGAGCTAAGTCTGGGGGCATCTGTCGTGTTTAGGAATGTTAAAGCCATTCTTCTGGCATTCGAACTCTCGAAAACAATTTCCATGGTCAAGTATAACGTTGGTGCATGAGTGAAATCCCCCTGATGGTGCTTCGGAATGTCGGAAACCATGATGTCGATTTTAATCTAACTTTTCCTAATACGGCAAACAAGAAAGCTTGGCATTTCTCCACATTTGGCTCCCTACAAGCCCTCCTACCTGGCGCCTACCTCTGGAGAGGTAGTTGAGATATCGATGGCTGTTGTCAAACCTTGTGATTCTGCTCTGGCCGCCGGTTTCCCTAAAATGGTAGAGTAGCTATATGGATTAGAATAGCACTAGGATGAAAGAGGAAAATGCGTTGAGACGTATCATGGTGATACCGCCATGTAGATGCCGCGAGGCCGAGCGAACTTGGCTCTCATACTACTATAAATATTAAGATATCTTCTGAAGTGATGTATGGTTCTCATATTATCATCATCAATAGTTTATTGCTCTTGGATAATAACTTCTCTCCTCGGATGTCCACTACAATGACCCCATTTAAGACCCAGCTGTCAGGAGCCCACGTCCTTGTGACAGGTAAGTCCTTGCGCTCAACCAATGGGACAACAGGAAACAAAACACTAAATCTAAACTTTATGCGTTAGGTGGAAATAAAGGTATCGGCAGAGTTATTGTAGAGTCTTTTCTTGCTGAAGGCGCCAACGTCTCTTATTGTTCACGATCCGCCAGCGAAGATGATTTCGCCACCTTCAATGGTGCAATCGAAGGAGCCAAAGTATTGGGAACAAAGGTAGATATCGGAAACCAAGACGATGTTCGGGCCTGGGTAGAGAAATCCGCGGAAATATTTGGGAGAATCGACGTGGTAGTTGCCAACGGTAAGTGGGCTTCCTTCAGGTAACAGGGGAGCCAAGCCGGGCTAACTCGAGCGGTGTGCAGCATTTGCCATTTTCCATTCGTCTTCTATTGATGACTGGCGGCAGAGCTTGGAAGGAAACGTCATCGGACTCATCACCCTAATCGACACGGCGGCCCCTCATCTTATCGCGCGTGAGGGAAAGGGCTCCGTAGTTGTTTTGAGCTCTGTTGCTGGGTTCGAGCTCCGTTCATCTAACCCTACAGGCCCACAGTCAGCGGTAAAGCGCTCACAGGCAGTAATTGCCAAAGGCTATTCCAAGATGCTTGGGCAGAAGGGAGTACGTGTCAATACTGTGACCCCTGGTATTGTGGAAACGCCAAGCCTCGTTCGAGCGGATGGCACCGAAGAGCTGAGTCCGTTTCAGATGGGAAAAAAGTTAAAGCCTGAATTCATGCAGAGTATCATAGATCAAGTCCCTATGGGAAGGCCCGGACAGCCACAAGAAGTTGCCAATGCCGTTTTATTCCTTGCGAGTGCTCTTTCTGGCTACATTAATGGGGTAAACTTGCTGCTTGACGGGGGATTCTCTGTTACTCTATAAGCTGCGAATAGGAAAGATGATTTCAGTCCCATCTGTTATTGAGGCATATTATTTCTCACTCCAAGTTTCTTTCTCGGTGGTCGCATAAACCCTATCTATAAGCAAATGAGGCTAGCAGGTTATTGAAACACGAGTGTGAGCAGGCTCGTCAACAATGCTACTTTATGGTTGGGTAAAACCTGGCCAAAAAAATACATTAAATTTCGGTGCATCAGATGCTGGTGTACATCAGCCAAGGCTGGTCGCTCAAGGATCAAAAATTGAGTTTTCTATTTCAACATTTGTTGGAAGCTAAACAGGTCTTCTTGATACCTATTGACTCAATGTTGTAATTCGCCTGCGCGTCAGAGCAGAAATGATGGAGAACCGCCATGCACAAGCATCTATATTTATATCCTCTATTGTTCGTAATTTCTCACATTGTTAAAAAGTAGACAGGAATCTCTGAGCAAAAGGTAATGAGGTGTCATATTAGGTTATTTTCTATTAGATCCAGTTACCAGGGGGCTTTCGTGCTGTGGTGAATTGTCGATATTTTAGTTTATATAAACAGAGAATACAGCGTCTTAGGTCTGACATCACATTTAACCCCTTATTAATCAGTGAGAAGTTGCATTACGTGCGAATGTTCGACATCTAGCTTAGGTGAGCCAACGCCGGTTCTGGGACTAGAGGCGATTAGAATAAATAGAAAAAGAAGCAAACGAAAAAAGAATCCATTTTGGGCATGGGGATTTATATCATTAATTTGTCATTGACGCCTATTGGTATGAATCACACTCTTCAATCTGTCACTGTCGGGATATCTAGGAGCTTCAATAGCCAACTTAATTTCTGTTCGATTGCTAACTGTGCCCACTGCAGTCACTGGTATTTGCTTGCTTTGAATGAAAATCGCAGCAGTGGAACTTTAGTTTCGTTTGACATATAGATATTCCTCAGGCACCGCTCGACTGGGTTAACTTGCTACTGTTCTCCCTTCAATTGTTTTTGACCCTGCCGTCACAAGTCTGGACAAATCTGTTGAGATTCATTAATTTCAGAACAGTGCTGAATTTGGAAATGTCAGTTCCTGCGGGATCCACGGTGCAGTACGGGGCCAACTGCGAGGTCCTGAGTACAGTCGGGCTGGTATTGTCACCAGCGGGGTACTCGATGTGGAAGACAGGCTTGCCAGCCCTGATAAAGGGCAAGTAGGTGCTGCATTCAGCGTTCTCGGCACATTGCTCATTGATTTCGAATTGGACAACGTCGAGCACGGATGAGATAATGCTGCCACCATTCTTAAGACCAATGGCAAGACCAGCGGCGCTCGCGGCAGGGGCTAAAACGTTTCTCATGAAGTTGATAGAATCCTGCCTTGTCATCCCCATTCCATTATCATTTTCCTAGATTTTATATATCAGATAGTCTTAGTTTCAATTATCAGTTTATGAATTGACTTACATATGCATCCATGTTATCAGGATCAACAGCGTCGCATCCGGCCCTTGCAGCAAGGGCAATACGCCTTCGCATGATGGCAGCAACATTAGAACTCCTGAGGTTAAGCCAGTACTCCCCCGCCCAGCCATCAAGAGGTGAGCCCCAATCACCTGCCCTGAAACTGCCAACATCAGGGCGCCAGCTCTCGTACGAACCAGCGCTGAAGTAGCAGATAACTTTCTTGCCAGCCCTGTGTAAGGTATCAATCTTGGAAGTGTTTAGTCTGCTGGCGTCAAGAGTATTCCCGGTGTTATCAAAAAGATCAAAGTCAAATATATCAGCAGTTACTGTAGAGATATTGGCGTCGCCCAGTAGGTTGATATCCCATTTTGCGCCAACAGCAGGCTGCCAGACAGCGCAAGTGGCTAGATATCCGAAAAGAGCACAGGCTAGAGAGAGACGAAGCTTCAGGGACATGGCTGAAGGAGGAGAATGTGTTGATTGAGTATAACGGTGATAGAAATCTGATATTGATGATAAAAGTGTATGGACTTGAAGTAGAAGCGTAGATGAAAAGAGAACTTACTTATACGTTTGCTATCCTGCCACTTTTGGACATGTAGGAAGTACAAATGTCTCACGTAGTCTATATACACTGGCGCGTGATCAGAGTGGTTATGATGCGATATCGGATGTTATTACAGAATGTAAGGGAGTGTATATGAATAGAGTTTACTGATATGCAATAGTGCTTCGTTTGTATGGGTCTCACTGGGTAGATTTCCCATTGTCCTATTCTCGAAAGAGATTTAAGCCTGATCACGATAACGGGATCTACTGCTGACTGACTGTAGCAGCGAACACAGACACAATTGTCTTGATTATGAGGAGGTCATGACCTGGCCATTTGTCGCATTCCAAGAAACGCACCTCCGAAACAAACAATATATGAATGAGATCTCCCTTCGATCGCCAATCCACCATACCCATATGGAAATCTTGCATACCTGGAAAGTATCATGGAGTCATTGTAGGCAGAATCCTGCGAAGCGTTTTTGGTGATTCAGAAATGAGGCCGCAACACTATTGCTGGAAGTAATTGCCATAATTAGCTGTTATCACGACGCTCCAACCCGAACGGTCATTCACTTACATACTCAATAAACACGAAAAGTCCAGAACTTATTCGCCACGTGTAGTCTTACAGTGAAGTGATGGCTAGACAGAAATGTCTTGGTTGGTCAGCACAAATAATTGCAACACATACCACAACTAGGTGCTCAACCGACAATCGGTCATAGGATTACTCAAGTCCTATTGATATCAGAATCTATTGAGTCACATGCATTGCATTATAAGACAAGATTGTGACTTCAAGAGCGTTACACTTCGCAGCATCTTTATGGAGGTTTCAACGGCGCATGCCTCTTGGGATGATCCAACTGCCCATGAGCTCTAGCGAACACCAAGTCAACGACAAGGCGAGACATGCCACAAATTCGCTTACTTCTGGTTGAAGTGGCTTTCATTGCGAGATTTCTGTAAGACATGCCGACTCCATAATCTTCGCTACGCTGTAAATGACAGCATTCGTTCATCACTCGTATGCATGACACATCCAATCCACTTGCTCATAAAACGTGGTTCATCTTACTACGTATATTCAAACGGCTCTAATTCATGGATCATTCCAAAGTATAGACAATTCTAGGCCCATAGCTATCAACGGCATCCTGAAAATAGCGCTTGTAATTTGAGCGAACATAAATGTGAGCACGACATCGAGATCGGGCAAACGTTGAGTGTTTAAGACATATGAGTCCAGATGCTCCTTTTTTACGACGGTCTAGCCGTATTCTTTTGTGCCACAACTATCAAATTCCTGGGTGAGACCTTAGCATCAAAGATTGGGAAAACTTCCACTTTGTCTAGCCCTTGTTCCTCGAGATACCAGTACCGGTCCAGAGCAATCACGCTCTCCACGACCTTACAGCAAAGAACACTGAGTGTCCACAAGATCGCTATCCTCGCTTCACAGTTTCGATATTTCTCTTCATATTTCTTCAGATCTTCGGTCGTAATCTCTGCGCGGTTGATGCCTAAACAGTCCATGGCCCTGTGTGCGAAGTGGGTGAAGTCAATCATGTCGCTTTTGCGAATACCCCAAGCTGGTCGTTGTTCAGCAGTTACTTTGATCCCTTTGTCGAATAGAACCTTTTCTAGGATTGCTCGATATAGCCGCCGCCTACTAAATATGCTGGTACTTTTGGCTGCTGTTAGTTGGACGTCTGACCGTTCCCAATTGCTTGGGGCTTGACAGGCCGTCATCAGCGCCGTGGCACTCAGCGTGAGGTTATGATTTCTCAAAGTCGAGCTGGTGGGAAACCCTTCAGGGTGGCTGGGGGAGCGAGGGATAATATGGTTGTAGCAGCATCCAATAGCCCCCAATGCCTCAATGCAGGGCATTGATGTAAAATATCTCAGCATGAGATCTGACAAGTTTCCGCAAGCGTGAAGACCAACAAGCATACACTTTTGTCCGTCGGCCCAATCTTCGATCCTGTGCGCAAGATTGGAGGATCCGTCAATCCAATGTACTAGATGTACCAATCTGCTCTCGGTTATCCCTAGTGAAGTCGCGAATTCCTGTGAACCACCAATCTGCGAGTCACTGCCATCGATGGCAAGGATTTTCAGATGCGGGAACAGATATGCAAGACTGACGGAGAGATAGCCCTGACCGGATCCCATATCAACCACACGGGTAATTCCTTTTTGCTGACAGACATCATGCACATAAGCAACCGCTTTTGAGATCTCGGCAACTTTCTTTGTCTTCATGCGGTGTGTCAGAGTATCTGGAAGCTCAGCCAACGGGCCTTCGCGCTCACTTCGAGGGAGCGCAAGTGAGTTCAACTTCTGCAGCCAGTTGACCAGAGATTCTGGCCGGCTATGTAAAAGCTCGCCATGATTGTCGTAGGACTCGGTCGTCATAAGCTCCCCTCTGTCCTCGATGCTATCAAGCAGATCTTGTTGCACAAGGCGATGATCGGGCCAAGACGACCAGTAACTTGTCCAGTCTTGGGGCAAGCTCTCCCAAGCCCCATAGATGAGAGCATCATTTACATGGATGCCTCCTGTAAGCTGATCAATGAGTGGTGTTGCGATGAATTCGCATAGATCATTGGTGTACTTCTTTGGGTCCGTGTAGCGGTTTGGGAGCACCAACATTTCAACTGCTACGCGGAGATATCTATCAGCCTTGTCTCAATTGTCTATTTGAGTGGTGACTTACTTCTGTTTTTGCCTCCGGAAAGAGTTACTTGGCTGCCTATGCTCTGGATGAAGCGCGAAAAAAGCTCAAGCGACTTAAGTTACTCCGTAGGTGCATCTTGCCCCACAAAGGTGCGATGTATTTTTTTTTTTTTTCACTCCAGCTAGGCCAAGCAGAGGGTCAGTTAGATAATCAAGGATGGATGGATAGCGTGTAATTGTAAGCAGACCCTCGCTGACATCAACTGATTGCAGTGCGTGGTTATTATGTTTAGAGAGGCGCAGTATTTTATTAGCGTCTTACCGCCTTGTGTCAGCTGATATTAATACTACAACAACCCAATCCCTCTCTCTCTTTTTCCATCTGACTGGTGGCATGATGCGCTCGCTGCTCTCAGGAATCTAAAGTTCATCAACGGATTCCGATTCACCCAATTCTCATTGCTTTGGATGGGGCTGCTTTGCAATCTTGCCCCGCCGCCGGGGACCAAAGTCACTAACACTCCTGAGCTTTTCGTTTTCTCTTGGGATGACGAGTCTCTGTTTACATACCATGGAAACCGAGTTGCAATCCTATGGGACGTGTCTCGGGTTGCACCAGCCCAAAAGCTAGAGCTTGGGCCTGGGACTCTAACTGCTGCTACCTTCACAGCGACACCTATTAAACAACTGGTTCTGACAAATGGCCCGGACCATCCCACGCAGCAGTTCCATATCATTGGGGGTTGCGCTGTGCCATACACCCCTGGAGATTTACTTTATCCCAGTGCTACAATCGTGAAGTCTTCTCCAGACGGGACTATGCTAGCTTTCGCAACAACCCACACGGTAGAAGTCCGCGTGGCGGGATCAGGACAGCATATCCGCAATATAGACTTGCTGAGAGAAGCTATTGCATTAGAGTTTTCACGAGATTCAAGGTATCTTGCAATGGCAGATACTCAGGGAAAGCTGAGTATAATCGAATTGAATGGGGATGAGGCACTGCAATCAACTTTGGGGAGGATCATAAGCGATTACACAACTTCTATACGACCGTGCCGATTCGATACGGAACTAGGGTGGATTCCCGTTAACATAGTGTGGCATTTAAAGCGTTTTGGCATCTATGTCACTTCTCGGAAGGAGTTTAGCCCCGGCGAACCGTCATACCGCCTCATGTGGTGGTTCCCTCGTTCGGAAGAGTTGAATATGCCATTAACTCAGGATCCTTATAGTTCAAGGCCATACAGGGATGTTCATCTGGCCCCTAGCCACAGTTTCTTTGCTTGTGTTACTACAGATCATGACCTGGTCCTGCGAGACATCAACCTCACAGTGGGGTATAGCGTGGGATTGAAAGGACGTGCCACAGCCTGCTCTGTATCAACAAGTAGTAGCCGGGTTGCATTTTCATGCTCGAACGGTCGTTTGGGAGTTTGGCATGTAGGCCAACCCTTATTTGGCTGCCAAGGGGGTTGAACATTTTATCAACTAAGCAATCAGCAGCGTTCTCATATGATATATCTACGATTTAGTCTAAGCCTACATCAAATCACTAAGTTTATGTCGCCCTCGAGATTGTCCTCATTTCTCTACTGCTAGTCACCGATTCGTATTAACTACTCATTCTGGAGATCAATCGTCTCTTGCCTCTTGTAAGGTAGGTATCTAAGGTAAGCTCGGATATCAGAGCACCTGAAAATTGGGTGGGGAGGGAGTGGGGGCAAATCCTAACTTGGCTCGCCGGACCCGCCGGATAATCCTTTTGCCTCATCTTCTGCATCACTTCTCAGGAGGCGGCTCAGATCGTCGACAGCTATGGCTGAGCGTCAGACATTACAGCTTCAAGATCGCGCGCGGATCATCGCGGACTATCCAATTGGCAATAGACTTGCCGCACTCCGTGCTTCGTTCGCTACCAACTCTGACCGAAAAGTCCAGTCTCGCTCTGCTCAAAGTCTGCTTGCCCGCCAAGGTGTGTCAACATGCCAAGGGAATACCAGTCCTAGCCCAACAGTCTGACTTACGAATGAGCGATAAATAGATCTGCAACACCTCGCCCTGGAGCTCCTGATCACGCTTAGCAATCTACCAGTTGCACGCCATCTCTCCTCAAGGGATGGCCAAGCGACGCTCGCCAATGACTTATTGAGCCTAATCGCCGGCGTGAGCTCTGACATCTCTAATGTCGGATCGATTGTACCTCTCCTGAGCACTGCTCTCGACCCTTCGTGCAAGGACGAGGAACTTTGGGACAAAATCTATGCTATACCGCCTGCTCCGCTGGGCTCGAAGCCTAGTGCATCACAACCCGCTGCCTCTGTATCCACGGGAAGATCACAGATAAGCGAACCAATCACCCGGCGCATACGGCCCCTTCGTCCCAATCATGTTTCCAGCCATGAAATAACGACTCGGCTGAGCAGCAGAGGAGGGAAGAGGTACAAAGTGGACATTGCTTGTAACCCTTGTCGCCTTCGGAAGGTCAAATGTGATGGAATTCGCCCAGGTAATAGCCAATTGTAGCTTCCAGTATACACTCAAGTTCTCATTTCTAACCGGAGGCACTGGTAGCGTGTGGCGCTTGCAGGAAGAGCAAACGGGCTAAGGCAACATGCCAATACAGTCAAGGCGACGAAGAAACTAATTTCAGGGAGAGGGACGACGATCTAGCCAACAACTCATTTCGACTAGACCCCATGTTAGGGCATACATTGCCTGATGCTGAACATCAAGGCCTCGCTCCTCTCGTTCTTCCCAACATTGAGAAGCAGCCCTTGATAACCGTTTCTAGCGGCACTGAAGCCTTTGCTGCTCAGGACAATATTGGAATTGTCGAAATATACCAGGAGCAACTACACGAGTATGGGATGTCAAGTCTGAAGGTCTTCTTTGACCGCCTGAGGGCGTCCATCGATGCACAGCTTGGTATACCGGCCGATGGCAACCCATTCAAAATTCCATTGACAGACGCACCGATGTTTTTGGCACCCAGCTCTAACCCGGGACCAACGGCTCAGAATGAGAATGACTTGGTACTGCCTTCACGCAAGAATGCTGATCTGCTCGTCGATATATATTGGTCACGCCTGCATCCAATTGAACCGGTCTTAGACCGCAAGCAATTTGACTCTCTTTACAACGCTTTGTACTCAGGAACCATAGATGATGGCGCTGAACATCTTTTCGGCTGTACTTTCAACGCCGTGCTTGCACTGGCTACGCAATGCCAAGAAGATATCGATCTTGAACAGAGACAACAGACGAGCAAGATGTATTTTGATCGTGCCTGGCTTATCATTCGGCCCGGCCAAGAATTATGGGAGATTCCATCCCTCGAACTGGTTGAGTGCCTGCTCCTCATCTGCAGCTATCTTCGTTGCACCACCAATGCTCACCAAGCTTGGATGGCCATGGGTGCTGCCATTCGTGTAGCCCAAAGCCTGGGGCTACACTTACTTGGAAACTCCTCTAGTAACGAAGCTTTGAATGCTAGGCGGATACAATTATGGCGTATATGCATCTTTAATGACAAGTAGGTACAGAAACCACCTAATTCCACGAGCATAGCTGAAAAGCTTCCAGGCAGATGTCGTTAGCGCAAGGTCGCCCAAGAACCATCAATGACTGTTTCGTCAATGCCATTCTGGAGCACAATGATACCTCTCAAGAAGATGAAGCAGTATCTAACTTCATCACAAAATCCATTGAACTCTACCAGAGCGTCACGTCGATTAAATCAAGCCTACCGAAGGCGTACCAGGGACGACCGGCACGAGGCATCGAACAGCTTGCACAGAAGGACGACGAGTATCTTCATATGGTTCTCAGGCTCGAGGACCGTCTAGTCGAGTGGGAGCAAAATCTCCCACTAATTTTAAGGCATACAAATGACTTAACAAGCCACACAAGTAAGAATTCGGCGCTCACAGCGGCCTTCAAGCTAAGGTGTGTGATACAATGTCTACCCTCGTAAAGATTTATCTCTCATTTCCAACTGCACACATAATTCGGTACTGGGGATAAAATGATGTTTTCGGTCTCTAACGAAGCTTCAGAATCGCTCATAACCGGATCTTTCTTTTCCGCCCGATGCTGGCCTATCTCTGTTTATCTAAATCCCACCACGACCAACATACTCTCTCAACTGAAACATTGAGACAGCAGATCATTCGTAATTGCGCCTCAGTGTGTATCAAGAATGCTCAAGAAATCATATCCATACTTCAAGAACAATGCCGCCCGGAAATACTTAACAATAACCCCATTCCGTGGTGGCATCGGATGCTCTACTTGCACGTGGCTGTCACGACTCTCATCGCTGCCACCCTGAGCGGCGATATGACAGCAGAATTTCAGACTTCAGCATCTTTGGATCAACTTGTCTCTCTTCTTCATACTCATGAACACTGCGCCAATTATATTTCACAATACTCGCAGGCTTTTGGAACCCTTCTAGCTAAAGTCTCAAGCATTCGCTTCGAGCCGCCCGGCGAGGTGCCGGCAACATCCGAATCACTGCCACCTACACCGTACCTACAGGAGCTCTTCCCTGGTAGTACTACTTTCCCTTTTGGACTGGAGGACATACTTTATCTAGATAATCTATGAAAAGCAGCATCTTAAGGTTCATGAAAGGAGTCATGCCGACGAAAGAGTTATCGCCGGGTATATCCTTTGGATTTAAACCTTATATACAGCTGGGGACAGCTATTGTTGGTGTTGAACCTTGTATACGGCCGGGTAAAAAGGCTGAAGTTTAATATATTGTGATACTGGGTATAGTGTCAAGTTGTTAAATTCTTGGTGTTTGGGAATTCCCCCCCTTTTTTTTCAGCAGCTGCATAGTTCTCTCACTTACTATCTAGATAATCTATAATAATCAACATTCTATATGAGAAAACAGATGAAAAAAGAGAAGACATCAGCAGATAATGGCCATTCTATAATTAGGAGAACAGGAAATATTTATATCCTTTACCAGGATGAACATCTTGGATTGTGAGAACTCTCTCAGACTCCTCTCAATCCGTCTCTTGAAGCTCCGACAAGATTTTGGCAGCCTCCTTGGCATACTTGCACTTCATTCGTATCTCCGGCCCCTTTCTGATGAGCCAGAATGTGAATGGCATGCACACCAAGGTTAAAAATGCTGGGATCGAACTTGCCCATTGTACTCCCAGTCCATGGTACATCTTTGACGTAAAAAGGGGAAAGGCTGTACCAAAAAAGGACCTCATCATGGCAGTGGCTGCAAGCGCAGAAGCTGCATAGATCACATATGCGTCGATGATGTAATTTAGCAGGCTGACGAATTCCAGAACCATGCCGAACCCGAATAGGGAGGAAAGCGTGATGCTGGCAGACCAGTGAATGCTCGGAAAGGTCGTCCACGCGAAAGAAAACATGCCGATGGGGATACACACGGAGCCAACCAAAGCTGGTGGCAGTCGTGCTTCGGGCGGTTGGTTGTCTCCCTTCTTCCTGTACGAGACGTCGAAAGCCACGAGATATCCTAAGCCTATGATCATTCCGACCATCATTCCAATGAATGAAAGGCCGCCAATCCCTTCGCCCCATCCTCTTTGTTCCTGATAGACAATGGGAAAGGCGCCAAGAAACATATATAGAGTACCGTACAAGATGGAGAGATATACAGAAATAATGAAGATGATTGGTTCAACGAAAAGCAATTGCCAAGGTCGTTTCAAAGCATGAGCGAACACTTGTCGAGGGCTTTTCTTCCCACTGTCGGCTTGGATTCGGCTTCTATAGACATCTCCAGTTTGACGGGAGAGCCTGGCAGCTTCATTGGACAGGATAACCGGCGCATATGTCTCAGGCATCAGGAAGCACCCAACAACAAAGATGGCAAATGTGAAGAGGGCACATACTCCCTGGACCCATCTCCAGCCTACTGACTCGCTGATGAAGCCCCCAATTATCGGACCAAGCGGTGGCCCTATGGATGGGGCACAAGAGAATAGAGCGAGTCCAGTGCCTCGTTCCGATGAAGGGAACAAGTCTGCGATGATGCCCCCAGAGTTGGTCAACGGGGATGCTGCAAATACGCCGGTAATGAACCGAAATATTATCAAAGTAGCCATGCTGTTGGCTCCGGCTGAGCCTGCCATGAATGCTATTGCACCTATGTGCGTGACAATGAACCAGATACGCCTCCCATACAGTTCGCCCAGGGGCGCCCACATGCATGGTCCAACTGCGAAGCCCAGAACATAGACGGCGACACCAGTAGCGAATACCTCGGTACTAGCGCCAAATTCCTCCTTCACCTCGGTAGCTGAGCCGGTATAGGCGGCTGAGGTGAGGGTGACAGCCAGGACAGATATCGTGGCAATGGCAGTATAAAGCCATCTTCTGGCTATGGGGAAATTGTATGGATTTCTAGGATCATTGTGATGAAACTCAACAATATAGGGATCATCTTCAGTCCCACTGCCTCTGTATGGATTTTTCTCTCGCGCGTGGACGTTGCTTGGTGGTGGTTGTGCCTCGGCGATCGCGAGGGTATCCTCTGATAGCTCGGCTAAGTCGATCGGGGTCTGGGAATCGCCTGTCTTGGACATGATTGAGTTCTCAGTAGATGAGCAAGCAGATAGTCTCAGTTGACTCGTGTGGCATTCTCAATTTGGTACTTTTAGTTTATATGGTGAAATTGACGACTCCAATCGAGGCCAAGCTTCTCAATTTCTCGGAGCGGGAACGGGAGGTTTCTCGGAATGAGATCTGGTTGGCTTATTTCTACTTCGGCAAGGGTCAACTGAGCCAATTATGCTTCATTCCGACGGGTTTCCGAAATTCTACGTGAATTTGTCATCCTGCGCTCAAATGACGCCCTCTTTAGCAGGGATTTCCTTCGTCATCGGACCATCTGTCATCCAACCATGTGGATCTTTTAGATAAAGAAACAGCACAGCGTTAATAAAAAGAAGCACGTGTAGTTGTCTTTTTCTATATACTTATTTATCTCTCAATATAAAGCAGATATTAACAGACTGCACCCTGTCCTTCGTCCTCAAATAGGAAGTGTGTATAGCCCTTCTTTAGACGCCTTGATCTGCAAAGCCAGGAACTTAGAGTACATACGGCACAAGGCAAGATTACCTCCCATATACCAGAAACCAGGATGGCCACTATATCTCCAGATCTGGAACCTCAAATATTAGTTTGGGCTTCGTAGAGGGCCAAGAATGGATCACTTACTGCGTTGACTTCTCCTTCATCATTCAAATCCCACACATCCAACAACCTGTTGGCAACCTTGTCTCCCAGAATCTTCTTGGCTGTTGTTCGCATGTTATCATATCCCGTGGCTAGCACTACCACATCCGCGTCAAGCCTCTTCCCATCTGCTAGAACCAAACCACCCTCATCAAACTCTCTGATGCCATCTACACTTTGGTGCACCTTGATCTTTCCATCGATAATGAGCTTGGTGCACCCGACATCAATCGAGTAGCCGCCGCCCTTGCACAGGTACAATCTCGTCACGCCGCTATTGTCCACTCCAAAGTTAAGAGCGAAGCCTACCCTCCGGAGACCATCAAGTTCTTCCTTCTCCGCTTCGGCAATCCGTGCCGTCTGATGAACTTTTAGTGCAAACTGCACTAACAAAGGTAGACTCTGATCATAGATGTCCGCGTCCTCGGTTGGTGGGCCCGTCTCATCGTAGATTCCGTTGTGCTGCATGTGCACCCCCTTTTCCACGCTGATGACGTATGTTCCGCTGCGCTGCAGCATCGTCACGTCTGCGCCGTTCTCGTAGAAGTTCTGGGAGATGTCATGGCCACTGTTGCCGGAGCCTTCTTCCCTTTGACGGACGGGTCGTGCGACGCATCTTGGTGCTGGCTGGTATGGTAGACTGTGCCGCTGAACTTATCTTGTTCATTGAACTTGGGCACCAAGGGCTCACCGGAGTGGCCCGTTGCCAGAATAATGTGCTGTGGGCATAGAACAATTACCGGACCGTCACCCCTGATAATCCTGACCGTCCATGAATTGGTCTCCTCGCTGTACTCGGCGCTCTCAATTGTGGTGCTTGTCCAGACATTGAGTTCCATGATACTAGCGTAAGCCTCAAACCAATCTGCGAGCTTGTCCTTTGGTGTGAACAGTGGCCAATTGGGAGGGAAGGGTAGATATGGCGTATGGCAGTAGTTGACTGGGTCGTGCGTTACCAGCGTCTATATAATGTTAGTGATTATCCGCACCCCTGACTCTGGATTGCGTCTTACTCTATAGCGGTTTCTCCAGTTGTCTCCAATACGAGGATTGCGGTCTATGATGAGAGTCGGCGCGTCAAGACGCCCAAGCCGAGCGCCAATTTCTAAACCGGCTTGTCCTATATTACACGGTAAGATTAAGAATGCCTCAGAGTCATGGAAGTAGGTTAACCACTCACCAGCTCCAATGACGAGGACAAATGGTTCCGCGTCGTTAAATTCCTTTTCTCTCTCCCTCCTCTCTTGCCAATTGCCTTGCATTGAGCCACCCTTGAGAGAATTGTTCCCTCCATGAGGCCGTCTCTCCTTGACGTTATCCTCGTGTCCCTTGAGCTCCTGCAAGGCTAGATTCAAAGCAAAAATGACGTTGTTACCGGCATCGTCAGTTACGAGACGCACCATGCTTGACCCCCTACCAATATCTGTCTCGAAGTCGATCATGGTCTCCGCCCATTCCACGCCCGCCGCTGGGTCGGGCTCCTCTATCCGCGGCGTGTATACGCCACTCTTTCGCCGCCAGACATTGCGTAGATTCAACCTGTTCGAGTTGTCGTTGATGTATTTGGCTATCTTGTCTTTGCCACGAATGGTACGAAAATCCACGAAAGCGTGAGGAAGTCGCGTAGCCATGCATCTTGATGAAAGACTGCCTTGAGGGCATCCGTATCACCGCTGTCCAGAGCGCGATTCAGTTTCTCAAATACATCATTGACGCGATCGAGGATGACTTGATTTCCCTTCTTCAGCCCCGCTGCAGACAGCCTAGGCAGCTTGATGGTGTGCTTATCACTCGAGCCAATCGACAGGGTAGGCGATGTTCTAATCTTGTAAGTAATAGGAGATCAGAGTACTCAATTTAAAAGATAATGGACATAAAAAAGTTATGGACGGACTGACATCAACATGGAAAACACCGATACTAAATACATGTAGACAACACCAGCGAAATTCACCAACTCTCTTCGCACAGCGATGAGAGAGTCCTACATCACCCGCCGGGCGTCTAGGCCGTCGGATCAACATGACGCGAATTCATGAACAGCCATGTTGGTCATTACTATTGGGGCTTCTCAGCGAATTGTCGACGAGTTAGCCCATGCCGAACTAGTTCGACTGTGCCGACTCTGGGGAGTTTCTGGAGCTTCAAGCGTGACCACGGCGGCCCGCCTCCAAGAGTCAACATGTGTGGTTGAATTCCATTTGGATGCAAGATGAAGAGGGGAAATGGGTAAGGTGAGGGGACACAGGTGGGGTTCATTTTCGTCTTCTCGGTCACGAGCGTCGGCCCGCCATTTTCACTTGATGAATCCAAGTTGTATCCGCTGACATATGTGGTTAGGCCTCGACCGATATCGGTTGCTTCTCACGTTAAGTATGTTAAGACCATTCAACCACGTGTGGACAATATTGGCTCCTCTTGTGCTAGTCAATGTGGGCGTCTGGGGACGATGCCGATGTCAGTTGCTGTTTGTACTCTGGCTGTCAATATTAATTCTGCTAACAGATGATGATGGCGCTTCTTAACATGGCTATTGAGAATCTCAACTGTTACGATGTAGCTCGTTTACACCCTGGATATTGTTCTTTGTAAATGTCAAGGCTCTTGGCGTTAAGACTATAAGGGCAATGTACAATTAGCCTTGAGCATTGGAATATGAAATTCGATTTGAAGAGATCATTGTGAGAATATTGAAGCGCCCGGTCACTCATGCGCCTGAGATTATGCATATATAACTCTAAGAGAACATGAGGATGCTTTCCTTGCCAATGCATCGCTTGCCTATAGTTTACTAGGTCTACTCCAAACAGCACTGCTTTCTAAGAAACCATGAACCTCGTCATCTCCCACAGTTGAGTTGCTCGTCATGATCCCAGCCTCTGGCGCCGAATCAGGTCCTGGGTCGTTAAATGTAGCAACTTCCCTGGTGCGTCCACTTCCCACCTCGAGAAGTAGTCCCGCCCGCTTGTCCTCGTCCTCTACGCAGCTCAGCATCGCCTCAGCCACCTCCTCAGGTGTGACCCAGGCGTCTCTTGTCTCATCCACATTGGCTAACTTCTCCGGATTCTCTGACCACAGGAGCGTGCGGGCAACCCCCGGCGCCACGGCGTTGACGCGGATACCGTATCGTTCTTCCAGGGGCGCGACGGAACGCACGAATCCCGCAATAGCGAACTTGGAAGCCCCGTACAGCGGTGCCCTGAACACGGGGAGGTAAGATGCTACAGAGGCGATATGAATGACGCGCTTTGGATTCGAGGCAGAGACCTTGGCGGGACGCGGGAAGGGCGCGGGCTGAGGCAGCTCACGAGGGTGCAGCCAGTTCGATATCGCTAGTTGTGTAGTCCGGAGGGGATGGGTGAGGTTGATATCGAGCAGGGCATAACGTCCCGAATCTACGGCGTCTCGGCTTTGCTTTGAGCCAGGGGGACACCAAAAGTTGGACCAGTGAGGCTCGTATACGCCAGCGCCAGGACAGACAATGTCGACGTCGCCGAATTCACGATAAGCCACATCGAACATTGCCTCTAGTGCGGGCCATGATGTCACATCTGTCTTCACGAATATGGCTCGTGAGGCTGGCGATGATGATGATGAATTGGATTGGCTGTAGCGTGAGACGACTTCCTGGGCTTCCCGCCGTAGTGAGAGATCTGCCAAGACGACATTACATTGCTTCGATAACAGAAGCTTCGCAAAACAGAAGTTGATGCCTGTAATCGTTGTCAGTCTAATGTGCTCGAGTCTTTGAATTAAAGAAACGTTTGAAGAGAGGCGTCACCTGATCCTGCACCAGTAACTATCGCCGTCCTACCGGCTACAAAGAAGGACATTGTTGTCCAAGCCAGATCAATGGATGCTATAGAACATTCAATACGTTTCCTACATGTCGTAAGACCACGAAATAAAAAAAGAGCAAGTAGTATAATAAGGACTCCAGGCCAAGGCTAAGGAACACCTCGTACCTCGCGGCTCGTTGTCAAGGGGTCCGATTTTGGGGAATGGCTGGGGAACGACTGGGGTAGGCGGCCCGCCCTTTGCCACCTCCGCAACAGATACTGGACGCCTGCTTTTGTCCCAACCTTTCCCGCCATCCGCCAAGAATATGGCACTAGGAGTAAGCGAAGCCAAACCCTAGCGGAGACGTATCAATCCAGTCACGGTATTTTAGGGGGCAAGGCACCCTATTTCACTAATACACTAAGTTATGGTAGATTAGGATTTCACGGCTCACTCACCCCTTATAGCTGATATAAACCTACAGATTACTAGTGAAGAGACAATTGAGATCAAAGCGCGGCATTTCGGCCTTGACCATGAGATCTTGTGGGGATTCAATCTAGAAGTAGCAGTTTTTTTTTGAACTCAACGACTCAGTGTGCTATTAAGGTATGTGTGGTTTAACTTCAGGCAGCGACGCTTTATAGAGTAAAACAAGACATCCCGACTTGCCTGGGCTTCTACTGTGGCTTTCATTCTTCGCCTTCATATTTTAACTAGCTTCACTTGGATAGTTTCGAATTCCGGTGTACAGGCACACCGGCCATCTTCCGTGGACTGCAAGTCTATTTCAAGAAAAGATTGGTCGAGATACTAACAAATGAACACCCTAGATTGAGATTATGGGTGCAAACTAGAAGTTCATCACAACTGATAGAATCTGCATTGAGCACAGAGCCACAGAGAAGAGGCCGCCCACACCATGATTGCATCGGAAGAACTATGGACCAACATATCCTATAGCACAACCCCTTCAAAAGATGAAAGGCTTTTACTCAAACTCTAGATAGAACAATGCTAAGCTCAGCCTAAGGCGAACCTTATATCTGACTTTAAAGAACTGTCCAACAATAGATCTATGACGATTCTACTCGGAAAGGCTTCTATGTCTAGATACTCGAACGGTTGATAAATCACGTGTCCAACACCTTTTACTGCCCCTTAACGATCATAGTGATGACTTTACTTCTGCTTCACCTAGAGACAACAGAAACGATGAGGTCAATAAGCTATCCGCTTTAGGGTCACTGATCCCTAGTCCTCAATCGACATATGCTAGTTTAGTGACAGCTTCTGAGGATAGACAATTACCTTTCTGATGAAGAAGAAAGTCTCATCATCCTAGCCATTGAGACTGCATTCGGTTCTTTCATGTAGTATTGGCTTTAATTTATTAACTAGGGATCTTCCGTGACACTTTCGTGTCTTGTTAGCCTCCTTCTTTTGCAACTTCTGGCAGCACTAACATACTGAACTGTGTGAGTCTGGTGATTGCCGACGCGAATAACAAATAAATCCGCAACTCTTCTTGATTGGATTTTTTCAACTATAATAACACGAGGTCTCGAGGAACAGGGGCATGTTACATGTCAATGAAGGCTCTGATTTCTTTTGATCATCCTTGGATAGAACCGAGAGTCAAACCTACAAATATGTTTCCATGGTGGCTAGAATAAAATGCCGAGAGATTCCTTCCAGCAGCTCTGATGTGTCATGATTGGAAATTAAGTCATCTGAGTTGTTGTCCATATCATGATCTAGAGCTTTTGCATCTGACGCCCTTAGTGCCGAGTGGCACCTGTTCTTTCTTGGCCGATCTGGGATGTAGAAGTTTGCTACCTCTTTCAGGTAGAATCTGAGTGAGCAAACCTGCCATTGTCTGGGTAATTTGCCGATGGATTGTGTGTGGCCTAGCGTGGCGTTAAACCTCTAATTTCAGCCGTAGACTTGTCTCTTCCAACCGACAGTCACTCCGAAGCTAAGAGCTACGACTACGAGTAATCGATTAGAGCTGGCCCACAAGATGCCGTTGGCTCTTTCTGGGTTTGACGGGTGCGTGCATCATTGATCCTGTCAAGTTTCAGCCGTGGCTGAACTCAGCTTTTCGTGTCTAAAGTCCCTCCGGCTCAACTCGGCCAAAAATTGCAAACGTCTTAACACTCATCCTAAGACAGTGTCTAAGACTATTAGTGAATTCGTCATCAGTCGTCGTCAGCATGGTAGTGGAAGATCGGAACATGCATAGCTAGTCTGAGTTTTCGCGTTTGTCATCGCATAGGTATAAAACACAAGCTTTATCCAGTCCTCAGACATACTTTTTTATATTCCTATCAACATATAAGTCAACAGCTGCGATCAACCATTACAAGCACTAGCACAAATTTTGTTTAAACTCTCGCACTCACCTAAAATGAAGTTCCTCGCCGGCATCCTCTTCTTCGCTGCTGCCTCCATGGCCACTTCAGGACCTGCTCCGGGTGATGACGACTACGGAAACAATGGCCAATGCCAGTCTGTCGGAAAACGTTGCAACTACAGCATTTATCCAGCGCTCGCTTGCTGTCCCCAGCTCAAGTGCTATATTCCTCCAGGATCCCCTCCTGGTGCTTATGGCTACGTAAGTCAAGACCTGGACCTATGCCTATGCCGCCCAGAGATTGTACCAGTACTGACATCACTTATAAAAGTGCCGCAAGAACTAGAAAATCTGCGAACGAAGGCGCGATTTAACCCAAGGAAAAACATGGACTACACAAAGAAATTCGTTGAACATCAGCATCATAAAACTCAACATTTATGCAAGGGCACATTAGGATATGTTTTTCTTTCTGCTTAGGTAGTCGACAAGAATTAGTTCTCAGGTTCAGTCCATAAATGTTAGGCTTCTTTTGTTTCAGTGTCTTGTAATTTATCGTGATCAGTGTAACGTTGTATTATCAATATCTATACTGGCAAGTAGATGACAATCAACGATTGAAGACAGATTATGATTCACTCACTATTAAAAAGATGAATAGTAATACTTAGCCCGCAAACGCCATGGTTTGAATTTTACCCGCAAAAACGACAAGCTCCATAACTGTTTATGGGGGTAGTAAAATGGAAGGAGTGTCATTATAAATTTCTCCCAGGAACTTATTAAGCCTTTCGAGGGTGTTTAAACACCGGGCTTCTGAGTTAATATTCCAGCACCACTCCAGAAGAGCGACAGGCAAGCCAAAACAGCAGTGGCAGGGACTGCAGCATTTTGCCAATCATTGGGATGGTTCGCTAGCCACCATACCCAAAATACAGTTGGACCGACAACAAAAAGTATGTGATAAAAGGCAACATACGCAAACGATACCGCGAGCACTGCCTCAAGGCCCCAGATCTCTGGAGTTTGATCATTCTCGAAAGATCGCCCCCTTTTCGGGATACGCTTAATATTCCCAACTCCATTGGGAGCCTCCATACAATCATGCAGGAACGAAGGCTTCTTACACATAGGCTTGCAGGCATACCATATTGTCTGGAACATATGTATCGATATTGGGGGGTTCTTCGCGCCCTGGGACCCGTGACGGGGGGCATATTCATACGTTACGTCGCTAGGGAGCTCCCTCTCTTCAGAAGTCATCCGGTTAAGCGATAGCCTATTGAACTGTCAAAGTGTTAATTTTGTTCTTCCCAATTGATAACGCTCCACGTTGTGAGTCCTACCTTTGCGACATGGCAATATTCCAAACGCCAGATAGAAAACCACATTCTCCAGAAACCTCGGCGTATTTCGTAGCGTTCTCTCAGGTCATGAAATACACTTGAGTCAGTGCTCTGATCATTCACATGCACTTCAGCAGGAGTAAGAGTTCGGGCTGGCCCTTGCGCACCGAAAAGGATGTAATGAGCTACCGTTGGGCCCCGCACCCTCGCGCGCTTGCTTCCATGGCTCTGCTGGCTTGTGAGGATGGTTCCTTTTGACGATGTTTGCTTCTTCCCTGAAATAGCGCAGTTCGCATTCGAGGTTCCGCTGGAAGGAGTTGTGCTTGACTGGGCACGAGCGGAGCTGGGAGTATATCTTTGGGCCGCCTGAGACAAAGTAGGAGCTTGAAGTATCAATTCAGATCTAGTTGATAAGGAAGGGCGCGAGATTTTGGTGCCACAGGAACTTGCCAAAGTAGGCACATCTGGAGAAAGATCCAATATCTTTCTCGTAACCTCGCGTTGTTTATCAGATATATCTTGCCACTGATTTGCACCGCATGTCTTTCAAAGGGATTAACTCATATGTTTCTGCGAAAAATTGTTTCTGCCACTTACACACTGCCAAAGTATTCGAGACTCGCCGGACCTGAGACTCCGTTTCGGCTGTTCAAGAGGCCACCAATTCCAGCGAATCTGTGTAGCATGCTCTACCCAGAGCTTCGTCTTATCCAGAACGGAGCTTTCCTGCACGTATAATAGCTGTATATTCTTCCTAGATATCGACTTAAAGACGCCCCTCAAGTCAAGCGGAAGGTATAGAAGGAGCAGGTCTCTCAAAAGTAGCTTAAGTGATTGTGACCCAAGTATGCTATCCTTCAATGCTCGAACGTTTCGAGGTTCATCGTCATCAGAGCATGACCAGATATCATTGTCACTTCTAGAATTTCCTCTTTCCTCGAGACTAGGTTGCCCTTTGGACACCGTCGCGAGCCATGTCTCGATCCTGTTAATACTTCCCTGCGAAACCTCAAAACGAGGTGCTTCGTCCTCTTCCTTGTCGCCGAGATTACCAGCAATCTGGTTACTGATTCGAGCCCTTCCTCGTTTGCTCCTCAGCAATCTAGCAATCGCTATTTCCCTCTCATCCTTCGCCTCCTGAAGCAGGCTTCGGTAGAACAGCTTCAATGATCGCCTCAGATTCTCCGAGAAGCGTTGTTTACCGATTTCATTAATGAGCTCCTCGGAGATCTCTCGAAACTGAGCGTGCTCAATTAGCGCTATGCCTAGAAGCGCTTTTGCGCTCATGACGTCGCTGGTTGTTTCAACTGATGACTGTGAACGAATGTCAGATTCGTCTGATTGAAGAGATTCCAGGTCTTATTCTGAAGGCGGCGGGATATCAGGCGGCATTTGGCCAAGGCCTTGTTCGTCTTCTAAAGTGTTCACATTTGCTTCCGGTAAAGCTGGCAAAGCCCCATGACGTGATTGCGATTCATAGCCTGAGTCTTTTTTCAATTCCACTTTCTGTTGGCTATGTTGATTCGATTGACTCTCTTGGGTCGTCCGGATCGTCTGGGTTTTCTGAGTGTTCTGGCTTTGCTGGTCCTGCTGGCTTTGCTGGTCCTGCTGGCTTTGCTGGTCCTGCTGGCTCTGCTGGCCCTGCTGGCTCTGCTGGCTTTGCTGGTCCTGCTGGCTTTGCTGGTCCTGCTGGCTTTGCTGGTCCTGCTGGCTCTGCTGGCCCTGCTGGCTCTGCTGGCTTTGCTGGTCCTGCTGGCTTTGCTGGTCCTGCTGGCTCTGCTGGCCCTGCTGGCTCTGCTGGCTCTGCTGGCTTTGCTGGTCCTGCTGGCTCTGCTGGCTCTGCTGGCCCTGCTGGCTCTGTTGGTCATATTGGTCATATTGGTCACGTTCGCTATCGGTATCCCGTTCGGCGCTAGGCTGGGTATATATGTAGCAATTCTCGCAACGATTATGTGAGCATATTGAACAAGCTACATGAACGCTGACACTAAGACCAGCAGTTCCACATTCGCTCTATATTCAGTCAGTCGACCTTACATCGCATAGACGCCTCTCACATCATTAAAAGCTACCTACACACGACCACTGCATTTGGGTGTAGACTTCCATGGTTAGAGCGTATGGTGTTGGCTTAAGAGGGGAAGGAAAAACCGTGTTTCTATGGGATAAAATCTTTAATTAATATGTTGGCTATGCAATGAGTTGGGTATTTTTATATGCTCCTGAGTTTTAATCAACGAACATGAAATCGAAGTGTAACAATGTCATCATATGACAGAAGTACTAACAAGAAAGGTGTCAGCGTGATGCATGCATAAGCACTAATGTATGGCTCCATACGTGGGCATGTTTAATTTGTTCATTAACTAAAGGTGAAGTGCAATAATGTCATCACATGATAGAAGGACTAAAGGCAAAGCAGTCAGCGTGGTAATGAGGCAAGCCATATACGTGGGCATGTTTGATTTGTCCGTTGGGCCAATGCATAAGTGTTAGGTAGGAAATGCAATTACACATCTAGCCGATATAATTTACTCCCTTCCTGGAATTTCGGTAGACCCGGTGGGAGTTTGAGTTGAAAGTGAAGACTAACAATAGAAGATGCCAGACCCGACATCTCAAAATAATGAATAATTATGGTAGACATCCATGAATCCCTGCTGAATCTCGCTAGCTGGTCTTGTCTCTTCTTGGATATATATATAAATATTCAAATCGATATTAAAAGAATTCGCAAGTCAACGATGATAAACGGGCTTAATATGCCAGATAATGTTGAATAAGCATTAAGCAAAACCATATAAACATAACTCCTCCGCGAGAACCGACGCTAGTTCTACTGGGCCAGACCGTGCAGTAAGTCATCTCTTCAACGAAGGAATTAGACAAATCATTGTTGTAACCTTGTTCCATACCTTCAGTGCTCGTCAAGTTTGAGCAGAGATATCTGAAATAGCCAACGTGGTCCAACCACAATCCGCTTCTCGCAAAGACTTTCTCCGAGGCGCACCTTCTGGTACTTTTTAAGGAGTGAGCACAAGAAATCGGACCAACGGAACGTTTCCCCATACTGGCCACTACAATTTGATGCCGAGTTGGTAGACTCCTCAAAAAGGAGCGTTAAGTTTTTATGTCAAAATAGCAAGTTACTTCACGTGTCTATTCCCTATGTGTCAACTGATGTATTACAGGCGATAGGTACGACGACCAGATCGCATAACCGCTTGCACAGCTCGGCCAATCCAAGTCTTAAACACTTCAGATACTTTAGAAAATGCGGCCGCATACGTGATAATCCAGTCATTCGTGGCGCTTCCCGAAACATTCCTACCAATATGCAATTTCATATCAAAAGGTGAGGAGGCTCTTCGATGCATTCAACCGTGGCAAAATTCTTCAAACAAGATCTTACCTTGAGATAGGTATACTGGGCCTAGGTAGCATTACGCGTCAAATAGCAAGCACAGCTCGTACATTTAAATGCTTGTACGATATCACAACCGGTCTAAATCAACCTTCAAGCTCGAGGAAGCGGTTGAATGCGTCTCATTTGACGACGTCTACCATGGTGATGTGATATAGGGTAGGGTCTTCTCATGTGTTCAGTTTAGGGTTGTACTTGTCTTGCAATGCTTACTGTATGGCGCCGCGGAGCCTGGTTTTCAGCCCGGTTGTAGGTAGCTAATAATAAGACTTGCCTAGGCTTGCTAGATTGCTCAATATGTTTATTAGGTGGCGACTTATGGTAGGATTACCCGCTGATGGCACCGGGATGGGCATCCTGGCTTATACGACCTTCAAAGCACGTCATGAGGAGGCTGCGGCAGGACACTAGATTTCCTACCATTCTCTCTACGAAAGATGAAACATGTGAATAACATTAAATGCTAAGCAATCTAGGGGAATAAGATGGAAAGGGGGGGAGAAAATGGACTCTCGACCCGGACACGAGCTACAAATGAACATCGACAGCATTAAGCCCTCCTCTTGAACTGGACCACAGGACCGAATCGCCTGCTAACAAATATGTCGTACAACTGGTACTGATCCGCTTCCCGACGACCCTCGATATTATCAGGGCTACCTCCACCCAAGTTATCACTCTTCGGGTCCTGCCTCAGCTCGAACTGGTGGACCAACTTGGCAATAACGACGCTCATCTCAAGATACGCCAGGCTCTTGCCGGGACAGCTTCGTGGGCCAACCGAGAAGGGCATGTATCCGCTGTCGGCACGCGCCACGCTCTCGACCGTGCTGCCCTTCTCGCCCACGATCCACCGCTCCGGGCGGAAGCTGAAGGGCTCATCATAGAGATCCTTGCTGTGGTGGAGGCAGAAAGCGCACGTGCTGAGCACAACGCCCTGAGGCACGAACTCCCCGTCGATGGAAATGCCGTTGGGCCCAACCTCTCGCGGCATGTCGGCCGGCGTGGGAGGGCTCATGCGCAGAGTCTCCTTGATGAAAGCCTGCAGGTACTTGCACTTCTTTTGCAGCAGGTCGCCGCCCTTGATGTCTGCAACTGATGGGAACGCCTGGCGAACTTCTGCTGCCAGTCTCTCCTGGACATCAGGGTTGCGGACCAGGTAGAAAGTGGCGGCGGCGGTCGAGGTGGCTGTGGTGTCGCTGCCGGCGATGATGAGCGACTCGCTCTCACCGAAGAGCTCGGAGCTTCCATAGCTGGGCTGGCCAGTGATTGGGTCGGTGGCGCTGATGAGGTAGTGGAAGAAGTCTTTGCGGATCTCCGACTCGGGTTTGTCTTGGGACTTGATCTCCTCCTCGATCTTGGCGCGCTCCTCGAAGCACTTTTGCACAAAGCCCGCCCAGTCGGCGAGAGCGGGAGGGAGGGTCAGAGTGAGCAGGGAGTTGAGCCCGCGTGGCTTAAGCCAGACCCAGATTGCGGCTATGGGCGAGAAAGCGATCTATGGAGAAGGTGTAAGCAGCAGAGAAGTGCTAGGAGGGATGGGTTATATCATGGCTTACGGGGTGGGTGACGGCCATGAACTCAATCATCAGGTCGGGGACATAGCGAAGCTTGCTGTCATGCTCCTTCATGTCGAAGGACTTGCCGAAGCAGAGGTCACCGAGGATGTCGAAGATCAGGTGAGCGGTCCAGTCAGCCATGTTGAGAGATCCAGACCACTCGCCGCCAGTCTTGTCGATCTCCCCCTTAATAAGCTCACACCAGCGGTTCAGGTTGGCATGGACGAAGGGCTCTGCGTTGCGCAGCGCCTTGTCCGAGAAGGCATTGTTCATGACACGGCGCTTGCGATTATGAGTCTCCTTGGAGGTAGCGTTCCAAGTGGTGACAGCTTCGGGCGACCGAGGGTACACCCCGTAATAGTCCCCCTTGCCAACATTGGCCTTGAGGTTGTAGATCTCCTTGAGGCCAGTCGCAGTGTTCACCGAGAGCTTGTCCGGGGTATATCGGAAAGTTGGTCCTGCAATCGACCCAAAAAGATTAGTGATGGAGCTCGCCGCGGAAGTCATATGTTATACCATATTGCTGCTGAAGCGACCACAGCCACACGTGGCGGTCCTGCTTCGCCGTATGATAGTGTGCTGGCCAACCAGAGACTTTACACCAAAAGGGTCCCGGGTATTTGGCCAAAGGATGGAAGAACAGTCTGTAGACGACCGTTGAAACAGCGTAACCGCCCAGCAACGTCGCCAGCAGGGCTGAAACGCCCAAGTAGGAAAGGTTGCCTATAGCGCTGGTTAAGAACATGTTACCTACCGTTTCTGCCTCGCAAAAGAAAAGATAGGGCAGTGAGAAATAAGAAAGGAAAGAACGCGATGGCAGGTTAGATGTCTGCGAAATTTGACCCCCCAGTCTGGAGTGTCTCGGATCTACATCGTTCTTATAGCGCGCGCTTCTTAGCAAGTATATGCCAATAAGTCGTCGAGCATTACTACGATTGAGACTAACGAAAGAGCCCACAACATTTAGATGGGTACGGGCCTTAGCACTCGGTATTATAGCGCGAGGCTGCTACTATCTTGGCGGCCTCGTCGACTATGGAAAACGTGCTCTGCACGGTTTAGCTGCTGCCGCCAAGGATTAACATGCATGTCTCGATGCGACGTCGAAGGAGGCACTTTGTGCAGCATAGTCGACGGTAGAACCGGTGCGTCTTTTTACTAGAACATCAAAGAGGGTCCGAAATATACAACGCATGCTAAAGCGGAGTTTCCTATTGGGACAAACAGATTGTGCCAGGCTGTCTACCGGCGCCGTAATGCAGGGATTCGATAGATTGCTGCACGCTCGGTAGGCCGGGATTAATCAAGAAAGCCATCATTCCAGCTTTTGAAGATCTTGACAATGAAAGACCCTTCCTACCACACGCGGATGACAACCGCGAAGCTGGCCTTTCCCCTCTTGTTTTATGCCGACCCCGCGCCATCTACACATCGCTCTAGCGTCGCACTTAGCGACTGTTGGTCGTTATCGTATTTGATCGTTGCCCGAACCGGTCCTAGCTGCCTCCAATAGCTCCCCCCGCCGGGCGGAGAAAGTGTAACAAGGGGCCCGTTGTCCTACCAGGATATATATTATATTTTCAGCAAGCAGTTTGTCCCCTAGTATTTTCTCGTTATGTATCGTGGTGAATCGTGTTGCGGACCTGGGTTCATGGACTCGTTGGTATCTATCGCCATGCTAATATAATACTTCGATCAAGCACTGTCATCATCTGGCCTGTCTTATGCGAGCCAACCAGCAAGCTGGTAACTAGATGTGGACTCCAGCTGGAACGAAGGATCTCCTTCCCACCCCCGGCGACTCTGGGGTCGAGTGGGCTCAAAGAGCAGCCAAGCTGATAATAGCTGTTTGAGATTGTTATAATACTAGTCGTCTCCACAAACGGCGAGAACCGTATACATAGTAGTGATCGAAGAAACCTGGGACAGGTTGAGCTATCATAGCACGCAATCAGTTAGCGTTAGTGTATCAGAGTGTTACATCGTACCGCATAAAACAGAGAGGCAAGTCGGGCCACCCCTTTTCTGGCATTCTCCGTCATCTGTTGAAGACCTTATGCAGCTGCGCTGGCGCCGGATATCGCGCTAAGTAAAGGAGCAGAGTCCCCGCTGGCGACATACAGACCAGGGTCAGAATCGGGAAATAGCCGAGCTACGTTGCCGCCCGCCCCGGCCCCGCGCGCCGTGTGGATGAGGTTGGGCATAACAGCGGTTTGCCAGATCCATGCTTGCGACAACTAGTCAGGGATGGAATTGCTGGGATATGCCCTGGCTGTACCAGAGTCCGGACAGGAGGGGAGGGAGGGAGCCAGTACCAGCAGAAAGGGGTTGAGCCGGCATACGCGGTCTCTACAATGTATCTGCACATCTCGCGTAGCAGCCTAAGATTCCCAATAAGGGTGTGATCGGCTACAAGGCTTGGAAAACGTTGAGTATGTGGGTCGCATAAATGCTAAACTTTTGTTGCAGAATCTGTCCATGTGCTAAAGAAAAGAATTACAGACTCTTCACTTGCTCAATATGTTATGCTACGTGGAGGTGATGGGCATTGGATAGAATTTACTCTCATTTACGTCGAAGTTCTGGCTTTAAACAGGTAGGTATAGTATACCAGATTATTATACAAAAAATACATAACCAAAGAAGATGACATTCATGACTCAATTGTGTGCCCAACGACCTTTCATCTTTAGTGTGTTTCCTAGTCTGAGAATAGCAAGGCGTTGATTTCTGACCCCACATATGTACTCCTCAATCAATTTCTTAGTTCTAGGCCGTGACACCCTGATCCTCTTCGACTCGGGGTATGCTCGTCTCCTAACATTTGCGTTATGATATCTGATCAGATCTAAAAAGTCTATTTACATCGGAGCCCCGGGCTACAAACCCGCAGCTCCATCGGTCCCTAATTTGTTCTCTCAGCTGCCGTTTTATCGGGGCTCTTGGGGTTCTCTCCATCTCTTTCACCCCATCGACACACACCCCAGACTTCCGAGAAGGATAGAAACAAAACGCGATGGAACTAACAAGCGGGACGAGTATCAACTCCTTCCGGCCGCGCTTCGATGGCGCGGCCATTTCGACCTATGTGTTGGCGATGCTATCGGTTCCGGTCAAGCTGTGGTGCAGGAGTCGCGTCTCAGGAATGCAGAGCCTGGGTTGGGATGACTTTCTCTGTGTGGTTACCTTGATATTTTCAAATGGCTGGTTCTGGGTTACAATGATCGGTATGTCGCTCCAAACTCCGGCATCTGGCGGTTCGCCAGGGACCTGTTTCTGACACGATATCTCTCTCTTTAGGTATCCGACCTAATCTAGGACGACACGTTGGGCTTGAAGTCAGTATGGAAGAGGTCGAGGCCTTCCTGAAAAACCTCTACGCCGCGGCATTGCTATACTGCTTGGCTATTGCCTTTATCAAGTTCACGATTCTTGCATTCTACTGGAAGCTGTTCTCTATTGCAGCCCGCATACCTATCATAATTCTAGCCGTGTCTGTGGGTTGCTGGCTCGTCATCTTGGTAAGGCTTTAACTGTCAAACAGTTCCAAGGCATGCAGATTGTTAACGAACGTCCGGCATAGCTTTGCCTCTGCGCTTTCGGCTGTCGCCCAATTTCTGCGCAATGGGACGTTACCATCACAGATGCTACCTGCATTCAGCAAAAGGGAATCTACCTCGGAGGCTCCTTGCCTAACGTTCTTGTAGACTTCGTCCTAGTCTTCATGCCCCTTCCTTACGTCTGGCGCCTCCGTGCCCCTGTCGGTCAGCGCCTTATCATCGTCGGCATGTTTACCCTCGGTCTCTTCGTCTGCATCGTCTCGGCCGTTCGTCTCAGCGAAGTCATGGCCATCAAAACCAACGACAAGAACGTCACCTACAACCTCAGGGACTTCATGTTGTGGTCCATCGTGGAGGTGAACATTGGTATCGTGTGCTCGTGCTTGCCTAGCATGCGTCGTCTGCTCACCGCCGTGGGCCTGAACCGCCTGTTCTCGAAGGGATCGAGCGCCGACAAGAGGACCGGCTCCGGTGCTCTCGGGGGCAACACAAAGAGGAGTGGTCTCGCGACAATCAGCGGAGGCGGGTCGCACGCGAAAAAGGGCCCTTGGAATCCGTGGTCGCAGGTCGGCCTGACCAAGATTGACAGCGAGGAGGACGTCCACGAGATGACGAATCAGCTGAACAAACAGGGACAAACGCACTCTGAAGTCGAGACGGGCCATCGAACCAGCGGCGACACGGCGCTGGTGACACAGCGGCCAGACAGCCCGCCAAAGCATAACAATGGGATTGTCGTCCAGAGAGACTGGACTGTACAGGTGGACCATCAGGACCAAAGCGGCAAATAAGCACGTGTGGTGACGTATTATTATAGTAATTGTCTGTCTTTCTTTCTTATAATAGACCCTAGGATCTCATGGTACGGATTGGTTATGATTTTTAATATAGCGATCGAAACGGTTCGATATTAAATGGAAAAGGGCAACAGATCATCGCCCACACTGCTATTTAGATGTTGTGTTTGATATGATTGGTTGTGGAATGCCTGAGTAATTTGGGCAGACTCGTAGGCGCTTTCAGCTGCGGCTGACTCCTACCGCCGAGCCATTTATAAACATGAGATTGTGAGAACACACATTCTCGCCCAAAAAAGCGCCATTAGCCACCCTACATAGATATAAGTGCCGCATGCCACGGCTGTCCTAGTCCGAAGCGTCGGCTCGGAGCTTACTTATGACCTACATTCATCGTTCCATGTCACCAGTCGCTCCGCCAGCCCAGGCGGTCATCCGCCGTGGTGCAGGATTATCCGAGGCAGGAAATGAGGAGACGGATTCGACTCGGCGCTTGAACCAACAAAGGGCGCTCGACTTTCATCATTGGTTGCTGCAGGCACTCAATTCCCTGCCCGCTTCGATATCTCAGCCTGCCAACCCCAGCCTATTGCCTCAATTCCGCTCTCAATGGAACCTCCCACCACCTAGAAACGAATCCCGCGTCATCGAATTGCCCGATACCCCTCCTCCAGCTACTTCTCCACCGAGAGCTACTGCATCAAGATTTGCACGACGACACTCGGACGACTCTTCTTCCTCGGGAGGCTCATGGCTGCCTCCGAGAGCTTCGCCGCCAGGCAAGAGTCAAGATGAGCTGGACCGCGACGCATATGATCATTTCATTGCCGATGTTAAGCGGCTCCTCGGCCCCTTGATGAATGAGGAAGAGGGACTAGCTGATGAAGACTCGACAATTTACAATGAAGGGTCTGTTTTCCTCTGCTGGGGCAGCGCCACGAATTGCCGAGTCCTCAACGTCAAGCATTTTCAACGAGATATGGACCACGAGCTATTCTGGAAGAAGCTTCATCACGCTTGGTATCAGGCACGCGGCAAATGGCGACGCAAGATTCCTTGGTACGGAATCCGCGACGTTAAAATGGTCGACATCCGGCTTGCAGGGCCGGTTCGTGGTTGTCCGGACCAATTCCATGGCGTTTTTCAGTTGACTGATAGGGAAATTCAAAGGGAAAAAGACAAATTGAGACAGAAAATCAAGAAGTTTCAAGAAGCTGAAGCTGAGGCTGCCAGGGAACGCTGGGACAAGAGCTCTGATGAGGACGACTATTACGACTACGACTACAACTACGACGACTGGGACTGGGACAAGTGTGTCTATGACGCGAAGCTTGGCCGCACTCTTCATGGTGACGGATGCATCGCTAATATGTCACAGTTCCAAGAGGATTGTGAGCATGGGGAGTATCCCGAGGCAAAGAACAGGCTCAATGGGCTCATGATGGAGTCTCTGCGCACATCGCTGTTCCAGAATCCACAAATGGCAGTCTTCCATAAGCTTTCAAACTCAGATCTTGTTCATTATAGGAGGTGCGTTTACTAGATCTTGTTCGCTCCCTTTCTACTCGAAAACAACTCGAGGCCGAGCCAGGACTCTAACTCGAGCTTCTCAACACAGCACGGTCCGCAGTCAAGTTGAGGGTAATCCTTACCGAGGCCTAGGTCAGATGGTCTTCCGCGGGCTCCTAATAGAGGACGGGTGGGCGTTTGACGGAGGCATGGGGGTTCTGTGCATGCCTCTGGCGGGGGTGATAGCAATCTTACTAGTGTTCCTTGCGTGGCTCGCGTATAGGGATTGGGCCATAGCATGGAATGTCGGCTCGTGCATGGTACCGTTGCTAATAGGACTAGCGAGCGCGCTGCCACAAGCCAAGGCTCCAAGAGCATAGTCAGGGAAGACTGAGGGAGAGCCGGGCAGTAAGGTGAAGTAGTGCCAAAATACCGTTGTAGAATGATAGCGTCGATCACCACAAACTCTCCTGGAATCATCGTAATCAGATAGTTACGCTCGACAGCTCAAGCTCTCCTGATAATTAATAATGGTCTTGACCTTAAATATCCAAAATTTCTGCAGAAATGGGATTACTATAGATACAGTTCAGTATTCTCGCACTATCGACCACAACGGATCATTGATTGCTTCCTTTGAATGAAGTGATTCTGGTGTCCAGCTGACCATTTTTTTTTGAACGTGGAACTCTCCCTGTTGTGGTATTTTGTTGGTTTCAAGTCGGCTGTTTCATTGCCTTGATTCCACCCGGGTAATTTCCAACGATCGGCGATTTTGCGGGCAAAGGTGAACTGGAACACTTGGCATACCAGATCGATATCAGCGTAGTGTTGATCATCCCAAGCTGACCGTGGATTGTTGGATGCTCGCTGGCATCCGTCATCTCCGTGGGACAGTTTCGGATGACGACACTCCGTGTTTAAGTTGGGACGTTCCGGATTCTGAGAGTTGCCTTGAGCAGCACTAAATACGACTTGTCAGAACATAATGTGTAACATACGGTAAGACGACACTCGCGATACCACAGAAAGACGTGTCACAGATTGCCGATGCAGTTGTCTGGTTAATGCAAACCCATGGGATCAGCGTTGCCAAGCCGGCACATCTGGCCTTGAGCAATATCTTAGAGCCAGCGCACACATGGCGCCTTTTTCCAAAACCTCACAAGCCGGGAGACCCTGGGCTGGACGGTAACAACGTCCCATCAGTTCGGGCCTTGGTTCCGAGTCGGATGCAAGCGGTCCGGGATATAATTCTATCTCCGTGCTTACCATTGGGTACACACCGCGAATCCTACCGCTGATCGACGGGGTGCATATTAGCCGCGACGCTTGACTACGACGTCAATGTGACAGAGCCAGTCGTGGTGCACTTTTTGAAACTCGTGACCCAAGGAGCCATTTGAGGCTTTTCACAGATTCCAAATTAACGCATAGATTCCACTTATAGTATCAAATCGATAAGAAACTCGAGAGGACAAGGTTGTTGTTAGCGGACTATAAAGTGATTGGATTCCCATCGGTAGCAGCACCCAATCTTCTCTTGTTTTAGCAACTCAAATCATTTCGTGTCCATATATTACCCGAATCATCATTCAACGATCGCCATCATGTTGTTGTCTTCTGCTCTTGCTGCCCTAGGCCTCCTCGCCACCCAAGTGACTGCTCACGGTGCTGTTACCAGTTATGTTATTGCTGGTACAACTTACAAAGGGTAGGAAGCCTTAGATTTGATTTTTCAAATAAAGTTCCGTACCTAAACTAACGCCCATTTACTAACGAAATGTCGCGGCTCAGCTACAACGGCTTTGCTCCCAGCTCTGAACCCGTGATTCAACGCCAGTGGCCCGACTACAACCCAACCTTATCTGCTACTGACTCCAAGATCCGTTGCAACGGTGGCACTTCTGCCCAGCTTTCGGCACCCGTCAAACCCGGAGATAGCGTACAGGCTATCTGGGCCCAGTGGACGCACTCTCAGGGACCCGTCATGGTCTGGATGTACAAGTGTGCCGGTGACTTTTCGTCTTGCGACGGCAGCGGCGCTGGTTGGTTCAAGATTGACGAGTCTGGCTTCTCGGGCGACGGCAAGAACGTCTTTTTGGACTCGGAGACGCCCAGCGGCTGGGGCATCGCCAAACTCGTGGGAGGCAACAAGGGTTGGACGAGCACCATTCCGAATCTTACACCCGGCAACTATCTCATCCGCCACGAGTTGATCGCTCTACACCAGGCCAAGAATCCACAGTGGTATGCTGAGTGTGCCCAGCTCGTCGTTGGGGGTTCCGGCACGGGATCGCCAAGTTCTGCGCAAAAGGCATCGATTCCCGGATACGCGCAGCAGAGCGACCCCAACATCAGCGTAAGTCTCTGCAATGACCATTATGGTCGGGTCGGATCACTAACTATTCCGATTATTAGTTCAATATCAACGACCACACTCTCCCTCAGACATACACCATCCCCGGCCCCGCGGTCTTCAGGGGCTAAATGCAGTCATATGAGCTCAAATGCGCCACGGTTATAGCAATGGATATTCGATGTATCGTAGGAAGTTCAATAGGTATTGTATCGTCGCGGTATATTATAGATTGAATTATCCTTTTAGATATACTTTATGGTCTAGCATATTTAAGATTAAAGTCCCTTAAGATACACATGCTCTACCGTGATAGCAGGATATATGTACTACCTGGTCAAGTTATACACTTGCGCCGATAGTTCTTTTAATCTTAAAGATGATTGATATTATTGTCCGAATGTTTGTGATTCCAAGAGTAGCTATAGCTAATTGATGGTCAGTTCTTAATAATAATATGTCATTCCAGACACTATCGGCCCTGCTTGGAGAAACACGACGGACCTATTTTTAGGCAACGGGGCCTCATGCGAAATGCAAATTGCAGGGGTCAGTCATACCCGTCGTGCCCGAAGCTAACAGGCCGTTCCCGACATGCAGATAAGGCTCCTCTTTTCGCAATCCTCAGGTCTCAGTGCGGTGATCCTTTTGGTCTTGGCACTGCAACCTCACTGCGGTGAACCGCACATTGGCATCCAAAATATGACAATAATTCATGTTGATTGATCAGCTTTCTATATGTTTGAGCAGTAAAAAAATGCAGATCCTCTTTGACGCTCTCAAGAGACGTCTTTAGGATTCGCGTCACCAGCCACCAGATTTTGCTGACTGCTGTTCCTGGGCGGATTTTGCGTCATGATGCCCTCAGTCTGCTCAACGCGCAAATCCCCTCGGTCTCCCCCCCCCTCGAGATCGGCGGGTGGTTCTCGGAAAGTAGTTCGGCGGTTGGTGAGGGAAATCCATGATGATTGATCCGACCGTTGATTGGAAGACTTTTTGGCAGATCCATCCGAGGATCCCGACAAGAAGTCCAAGCGTGGGACAAACTGGGCGAATAATGGCTTGAGCGTAGCGACTGAGCTGCAAATAATGGCGAGGTTGACTTCGAGGCTGGACCAAGTGCTGATCGGGACGGCCAGTACTGTATCATGTGTCAGTATAGAATTCTGCATAAAGTACTGATACCAATGACGAGGGAGAGCTCGTACCTGGAGCGTTCTCCCTAGGCCCTTCAAAGAAGTGCACAAGAGCATAAAATCGAACGATTGATACAACAGACGCACTGTAACATCGTGAGCATTGATTTAAATCCTTAGCCGAAATGATAGGAAAGACTACACACAGTAAACCACAAGTTAGAGTCATAATGAGAATCACTCTGACTCTAAGTGGCATCTTGAGCTTCAGAAGTATCGGGATTGGAAATATAAGGATGGCGAAATCATTAATAGCGTTGCATGTTGCGAGCACACTAAATGGGATTGTCAGCTCATCAATTAAGTCATTTCATATCAGGGCCTGAAATCCAGGAAATATCGACTCACTAATGAAGTTCGCCGCCTTGCATGCAATGCCCATCGAGAGATGGATTCCAGAACTTCTGGACAGGAATACAGCTGAATATGGGTGCGATGCAATTCACCAAACCGTAAATGCAAAGCCAACCAATGAACCATTTCAGAATCTTCCTCGGCTTCTGTGTTACGAAAACTCGCCAGTACAGCGCAAGAATCGACATCTTGATTACCCATTGATTCCAGGTGTAAATCAAGGTGGTGAAGAATTCCGACTTTACGAAAGACAGGTAATCTTCCTGCCGGACTCTGTATCCCAGTCCCAGCTCCATCTCTGAAGAGAGTATGTTAGCCGTGGTAAGTGATGGAGGGGAAAGATACCAAGACCGTACCATGAACGACAGTGCCAATATAAGCGATTGACAAAGCCTATGACAAGCATTAGCATATGTGTCGATCACTAGACGGCTTCCAAAGAGAAGACAATACCATTGATACCACCATCAGGTAATCATCGATACCGAATATCCGCGTGATGAAGAGTCGGGTATAGACTCTCATCAACACCACGGCGAATGCGAGGCATGTGAAGAAGAAGATAGCCACGAACCAGGGCCGGTTCTCGGGAATGACTGGCACTCCAGCAAAGTACCACATCCTGACTTTGTAGTTGGGAGATTTTGAAGCCAGGTCCAGGGGTCCTCGTGGCTCTTATTCACGCTAAAAGCTCGATGCCGGGAAGATTGGAAGAGAGAGAAAAATACCCATTGGCCATGTGCTCATATTGGATATTTCACTAGGATTTGAGTTGAGGGGGGCGGCATCTGAGTCGTAGGATCATGCATGAAATGTGGCTGCCAAAACAAGGTGAGTTCGAAATCCCCACCACCCTTCTTTCGAGGCTGAGGTTGCATCAGCTGCTGCGTTGCATTTGGCTGATTGGCTAGGGATTTCCCTCATTTCCCAGCTGGCGAGACACTTCTACGCAGGGCAAATCCTACCAGCTTTGCACCTTTTTTTGCTATTTTTAACAAGGGCAGCGCTGGTCTGCACCCAATTGGAAACCGCCATTGTCTTGTTCCACGCACGGAACAGAAGCTAGATTTGCAGATCTCGGGCGATGAAGATTAATTGCACCAAGCCTTGGAATGAATGCCACCTTCTGCTTCGAGCAAGCTGGGCATGCTGCAATGTGTATGTCAGCAGTCTGGATCAGGAAGCGATTGTCTCAAATGGCGGGATCTGCCGTTGCAAAGCGTAAACGGAGGTGGACTCTGTACATCCGCGGCCCATTTCATCGGTCCCGATTGCCTGACAATAAGCAAAGTGGTGTCGTAGTAGTGCATCTAGGCGCAGACCAGCGGCTTATTTGAGAGTCTCGTCTCTGTTAGCCCCCAATGGAATCCTGCAGCACACCCATTCCACGTCATCAACAGGTGGGAAGTCTTTTCGGGCGTAGTGTTTCGCCCCCGATCCGAGCATCAGGAGAGACAAAGTCGCGAAATTAATATCCTTCGAAAATATTCAAGAAGTGATTGCAAAGGCAGGACTTATATTGCCGTCCATAACGGCCATTTCATAGATACATATATCTCCAAGGACTAGTAATACCTTAGGTGCACATCGAAATTATTAGATGTTTCCGGATCAAGCATCACTTTTCTGAAATTTAGAGGCAACAAATCCCCAATACTAGCATCCTACATGCTTTGACAGAAATCGACCGGGTTTTGGCATTTTAACAAGCCTTAATCAACTCGCTGCCGGACGAGAACAGGATTCACCCCGGGTTTCATTCATCGACATGCCATCATCCGGAAAGAGGCTATGCCTCTAGGAGGATCCTTTGCAATTGATACCTTCGCTTCTACTCCGGGTCTACATGCCAAACTTCATCTATAAGAAGGGACTTAGCGATGTGCGTTTACCACACAGTGGGGAAATTACGCGCGCCTAACTTGGAAGAATAAGACACCATTAACCCCCCCCACAATCATCGTACCGTAATCATTATGCTCTGAATAGCCACTGCCGCTATCACCAAAGTAGAAATGCCATAGCTCTTGACGCTGTTGTCTTCCTGTCGAAGTAATGGATTGATGGTCTTCGAAATATATAGCTCGGAGCTTTAATATCGCCCGATAGCCTGATGTGCATGGTTACATTATTTGGGATCGAGAGTGGCTGTAAGTGTGTGGTGAACGTAGACCTAACCAGAACGTCTCATCAACAAGAGTGGGAATCGCTAGCTTTTCGAGTAGTGGGAAAAAGGTGGTTGGGAGTAGTGGACCCTAAGTTATTAGTAATTTGAGCTTACCAATCTAATGCCCATATTTGATGGGGAGGACATTGGAGTTAATACTGTCCAAGGTTAATAGTTGGGTAACTACCATGGAGTTAGGACATTTCAATATATCCGAAAATGAAATAAATATTTACTCTTAGCTGACATGCTAACTTCTTCATTCAAGTTTCCTGGGTAGTATAGGAAAACCATCCTCTGTATCTCGGGCACGAAATCTTCGGCTTTCACCTCTGAGTAAGTTGATTGTTTGACTTTGTTTTCGCGATACCTTACCTAGTACTGGACAATTTCTAAAACTAAACCTCTCTATCTCTAGTTTTCGTACACCTTCCCCATTCCAACCATGATCCCATCGGGGATGCTCAAGTATGTTAACGCCTACTTCGGAATATTTCTGACTGGCGCTGGGATAAATGGCCTTCTTAATCCAATACACATGGGGCAGCTTTTTGGAGTGAAAGAGGTCAGCAACGAGATGGCTGTATTCGTCCCCGCTTTTGGAGGTCGAACATTAGCAGCTGGAGTTGCTCTGTGGTGGATGATACTAGCTGGCCATCGCAGGGCAATTGGTATATTCATGACGAGCTGGGCGATTGCAGGGATCGCAGACACATACCTATTGCTATCGTATAAAGGCGAGGTCGACTCGGTCTGGATACACATCATGAACACATGTATCCTCCTTGTGGGCGGAGTTTCGCAGCTACGCCCATAAGAGGCGACCGATCGCGAACATGGGAACCAACAGATATATCCCGACCAACCGAAGAAGCTCTGTTCTCGAGTAGAAGCTATATAGTGCATAATAGCATTATTATAAACAACTTAAAAATACACATACTGTGAAACAAAAGATCTTGAAGTGGATTACGCTTGGCAGAGGAAACCTATATTTTCGACTTAATATCCACGACGGTCCTGCTAGATAATCTAAATACTGTCTCATTTGTTCCTTAAACAAACTCATCTAAAACGAGTCACCTTCTCGTAAAGCCCTGGGCTTTAGAGCCTGTATATACACTGTTGACGAATATATCTGGACCGTTGTTCAACCTCAGGTACCAGAATTTCGGAACATCACTAGTACATGGATAGAGGGTTTTATCAACTCTTCTACCTTCATCACCAGCGTTGATAAACTCGCGCAAAAGGCCGCAGCTTTGGGAACAATCGAGGCCATTGTCCATACAGCCGGGGTCGGCCCCTCAGTGGGCTCTGCTCGCCGCGTTTACGAAATCGACCTTGTTGGCACGGCAAACGTAATTGACGCTTTCCTTCCTGTCGCGGGGCCTGGGACAAGTCTCATTTGCATCTCCAGTATGGCTGGTTATCTCTGCCCACCGTTGGAGCCCGAACTGGAAAAACATCTCGCTACGGCCTCACGGGATCAACTATTGAGCCACCCGGGTCTTAACGTTGACAGCTCCGATGCACGTGCAGCAGGAATGGCCTACGCGTTCTCTAAACGCGGCAATCTGCTTCGTGTGCAATCCATGGCCAAGGCATGGGGCACTAGAGGAGCTAGAATCAATTCGGCGAGCCTGGGTGTGATTTCTACAGAACTTGGTCGCCAGGAAACGATGAACGGTCCAGCTGCAAAGTTTGTTGAAACATCACCTGCAGGCAGGGTGGGTACGCCAGAAGATATCACCAACGTGGTTGCATTCCTGACCAATCCGTCGTCTTGTTTCATCACGGGAACCGATATTTTGGTGGATGGAGGTGTTGTTTCTAGTCAACGGTGGAACAAGGCTTAGACAATCCTAGGCGGATTCTTGGTTACTCCTAATTTCTTCTGGTTGAATATCACCGTCCGTCGTCCATTTGGACCGTTTCAGACGGCCTACCTCGAAGGCTGAGGTAGTCTATGATTCACGACTCGTTGTAGGTCGGCAACAGTGAGCTCTTCATTTGAACTATTTAGGCGTGAAATTTTGGGGCCGTATAGATACGGTTTAGAATCAGATAATAGATAGTCGTGAAGGAGTTCATGGAAAAGGCATATGTAGCAGGCTGGCTGTCTGATTTTAGACTAGATCACTAACGACGCCTTGTATATAGGCGCTCAATTTTCCCTGCCAGCGTGTCCTTGATGAATTGTTCAAGACTTTCACCCTGAAGATCAGGATATAAATCTTTCCCAATAAGATACCCAAGATACTTGGCACACGCTGGAGCATTGTCTCCACGAATTCCTAGTACAAGCTCATACTGGGACATTACTAAGTTTCTTATCTGATTATTATCGCCTGCAGAGACAGCCTCATTCGCAGTCTTAATCTTGGACTGAAGAATATGTTCATCGACCTTGGAGATGATCAGCACGTCGTTGCGGTCAAGGCTAATTGAGAGCTGGGTGGTTGGAAGACTTTAAAGGATTGGGCAATTGTTAAAACTTACATGGTTCCTGGGTATTTCTTCGCTAGAAAGCTTCTCCATCAGATCGAAGATGCGATTCTGGGTCCAGATCTCGTTGAACACAAACACTGATTTGTTCAGTGTGCGTGGGTCCACGATAATCCGAGCCACGTATTTTCCAATGTCTCGTTTGTCGATCAAAGCAGTCCCAGTATTTCCATCGCCTGAGATAGTCTGGACGGGCATGGTGAGGGCATCTGCAAGCCTGCCCGAAGGTAGAGGGGGTAGTGAGAGCTGATACCACCAGCCAACGTCAATGACCGTGTAGGGCAAATACAAGCTCTTGATATGATCGAGGAGGTCTTCTTTCTATTCCGTACATTCCTTGGTTAGTTATTCTCTGATGTACTGATTTCTTGAAATGACTAGTTGTGTGTGTAATTACTCACTAGATTTCTAAGCAACATGATTCCTCGAGGGGGGCATATAGGCCCAAAGAAACTGGGAACGAAGCGGCCTACAGACGCCTTTTTGCAAGCACTAGCAAGGTTATTCTGGTGTTTAACATGTTCTGCATTACCAGAAGTCAAACAGGAGATGACGACATCGGCACCAGTGAGCAGCGCAACAATTTCGTCGCTGACAGTGCTGAGATCTACTGAAGAAATAGTGACACCGAGGTCCTTGAGTGCGAGATACTCTGGCTTGTCTAGCGAGGACTTGCGAGCGAGAGCAGTGACTTCCTATATGTGAAGCAAGTGTGTATTAGCTGAATTGTGCATAACCTGCCGATGCTTCACGTAGAACGGTGAGGCACGCACGATGTTTTCGGGGGACTTGATAAGACCGTGCACAACAGATGTTCCTGTCTCACCCGAAGCTCCAACTACAATGACTTTCATTTTGACGAGGCCACCCATTTTTTTTCTTGTTTTCTTTAAAATAAGAAGAAAGAGATTGATGATGATAAATGGGCTCAGAAATTGATCGAGAATGGCCTTTTTATATTTCCAGCTTGGGCTGTTAATCCAGTATGTTTCTATGTACTCTGTAGACGCAATAATAAACGGTGGGGTTGGAGCTTCAGATCAGCGTCTGGGAATATCCAATTAAAGTGCTCAGAATACGTAAATATACCATTTCCAGCTTAGCACCATTCTTGACGCCGTTGCCTTGCCGAGATTACAAAGCAGTCATGTCACACTGTCCTGTGCCTCGTGTCAACTTTCCAAACTCACATATACCATTGGATGAATTCTCAAGCGCTATCATGAGCAACCACGATCGAGCAATTGTCTCCAAAACTCCGCTGCGGAGATCGCATCGTAAGGCCCGGACAGGATGCGCGGTCTGCAAAAGGAGGCGGATCAAGGTAGGACAGCCAAGCATGTGTTGATTGAGGTGCACCGAGTGCTGAAGCACGTCTGGGTAGTGCGATGAAGGCAAGCCGGGATGCCAAAACTGCCATCACTTTGGTGTTGATTGTTCGTACTCGCAGCTCTCGCCTACGGTTCCTGATCAAGGCTGGACATTTCTCATCAACGGAGGCCCCGGACCGCACCAGGGGCGTGGCCGGCCGAGGTCCTCCAACTGGTCGACAAGCACCTTGACCTTGTTCAAATCACCATCATACCCCTCTAATTCTCGTAATTTCCCGCCCTACTCTCCAGAAACCATTCAATCCTATAGGTTACTGTTTGACTGCCTGACATGGTCCGGAGATGCAGCTGTTGTCAGTTCCCGTGAGGACGTTGCTGCAAAGTTCTCTGGCCCATTACTCAGAGTTCTGCATCCTGTTATCCTGGACTTCTGTCGGTGCTCTATCGCATCTCACCTTGCACGCCTACGGCCACAGCAACAGAGCCACTTTCAGGGAATGGCAAGGCGCCTCTCCTCTTCGGGCATTCGTGGTCTGGTTGCGATGCTACCCTCTATTGATGTGCACAACTGCCAGGCAGTCTTTGCTGCCGCTGTGCTCGTGTCCATCACTACACTGGCATACGGGCCGCAGCCAGGAGAATACCTTCTCTTCTGTAATAGTGGGTTTCCCCTGTGGCTTGGACTCTTCCAAGGAATCAAATCTATCCTTGGCGAGGTGGGGGTCAGCCAAGTATTCTCTGGGCCATTGGCAGGCTTCTTATGCCGACCGGAGCAAGTCGATAAGCCATATGAATCAAGAAGGCACCTTCGATATGTGGACTGGGTTCACCAATTCAATCATCTACGAACATACGTAGAAACTAGTGATGACCCCTATCATACAGAAAATTTGAAAGCCCTTGAAAGCCTCCAAATGTGCTACGAGGCAATTTGGGGCAGGCCAGACGGAACATGTAATAGCCACACAAGAAACCAAATGGTCTTCATATGGATATACTATCTGCGAGACGACTTTGTTCGGCGCTTACAGGAGAAAAAGCCTATTCCTCTCCTGATCTTCGCTTATTTCACAGTTCCAATGAAGACGTTGGGAAATTTCTGGTTCATCTCTGGTTGGCCGGACCATATTCTGTCAGGAGTCCGGGCTGCAATTGATGAAGCTCATCATTCATGGTTGCAATGGCCATTGCAAGTCCTGGAAGATATGGGATAGATGTAAAGTATTTTAATCGGAGACTATAAGAAGCCTTTGGTAGCAGAATTTCTTGGATTTGATGCGTTTACCAGGAAGTCATTTGTAGGTGGATAGCGACTACTGAAGAATTATTCTCAAGCATGATGAAGCAACAGCAGCTTTTAATGAGTTTGATAGTATAATGTGAGCCACTGAGCCGGATGCTTACTCCGCTTCGGCCGAATCATTAGTCTGTAAGCCTACTTCACGTTTGAAATCAAGCAGCCAATACGGGTTATCAGCAGGAGTTTGGTTCCATTGATCGTCACTACACAAAGAGGTAAATTAGTTAAAGAGCACGGTGGGGTTAAGGAAAGATTGCACTTACTCTTGGAACATGATCCATCGCGCATGATGTCGTAGTTCTTCATCCGAGGGGATGTGTTGGGCCGGATTCCGTGATGACGTGGTGCTTGCTACGAACCGTGAGAGTTCCCTGGTAAGGCGTCTATAACAATTGCTGTCGTGAAGGAACGACGAGGGCGCCTTGGCATTTGTGGGCGGTGACGGGGATGCCAAGGCTGTTTCACTGTGGTACGTCTCATTGGTAAGGCCGGCTGGCGTTTCTAAAATTGATTGCTCTAGAAATGTTTGAGAACCCAACGCGCATGTTGGATCTATGGCCGAGAGGGAGAAACTGTTGACGGGCATCAGTCGGGCACGTTGGCGAAATGCTTCAAGCCATTCTGTAGAGCCAAAGATGAGACTATTCAGGAATGGGACAAATATTTCGGAATGGATGGATGAGACTTCCCCGAACTTGAGAGCGATCCTGCCTGCCTCGGATTGTAGTTCACAGTTCTCAATTGTCAATTCCAACAGGACAAAGGTCTCAACATATTTCTGAAGCTCCCTCTCCAGGCCACAATCTTGAAAGATATTGTCTTTTCCGTGTATCTGCAACTGTGTGATTCGAAAACTGGACGAATCCTTCACTGGCCGTAGACGAGCGCGCTGAGAAATATCCTCGGATGACATGAGAAGATCACGTAGCCACGACGGCCGTGGGACGACTGGGACTGGGCAGAATAATTCTGAACCAAAGATGACGCAGCAGGCCTCATATTGAAGCTCGGGGTACGACGGCTCGCGATGTTCTGTGTTGAGACAACTGATCCGGAAATGCTCCAGCTCCAGTGTGAGCAAGTCGAAAGCGCTCACTGGAGTTTCCGGGGGGCCTTGCTGAGTAGTGAACGGCCAAGGCGAGGATCGTTCGGCGTGGATGAAGTCTATTGTGAACTCAAGATCAGTACCAGTCAGCATGGCAGCGAGGTTACGACGTGGCTTACACGGAGGCATGGAATTCTCTACCATGTCTAGTATATGCTCCTCAAAACCCCAATCACCTGTCCAATCGGCCATTGTTTTCCCAGTCTGAAAGTGCTCCGCAAGGTGGTCTATTCTGTCAGACCAGGAATTTCCAACGGTATCACAAAAGCCGCACCGCCATCGTACCTGCTCAACCACCTGCTTCCATTTCTCCATAGGGCATTTCCTAAAACCAGCCATATGGACGAGCTTCAGATGTTGTTGCAGGTGGTCCTTTCGATAGAACAAACGTTCTGATCCTGCCCTTTGGCTACAACTCATTGGGTTGTGGTCCACTAGATGCGCCTGGTCTGGGTTCAGCTCCCCACAGTAGACACAAGCATTTGTACCTTGGCCATCTATCAACATCGTAGGACCATATGGAGAGCATTCCCATTGCTCCAATGAGAGGTGGAGGCAACGCTCATGCCGCTTCCAGTTATGTTTTGTTTTGAAGGTCTCGGTGCAAAAGGTGCATTGAAACGTGTAATCAACCTGCGTGAGGGAATTGAGCGGGTTGTGGGTTGGTTTTCGTCTGGGAAGCCGACGTCGCCTTCGCTTGATTGATTTCCGAAGGTGCTCCAGAGTACTGGCTGATCCGTGGCTTCCGCCTGAATACCTGGATAAGTAGGATGCAGCATAGTGGGAAGACGCAAAGGAGCTGCCGCTGGAGTAAGAAGCAACGGCGCTGCTTGCGGACGAGTCGTCCCAGTAGGGATCTAAGGGTTTCCCGGAGTCGGAAGAGTGGTGTGAAGCCGGTGCCTGGGTCTCAGCTGCGCGAGCGATTGCAAAGGCTGTGGCGGGTTCTTGGTCAGGCGGGGAGTTCTGCCATCTCTCCAGTGGGTTCATTTGCTCGAGAGAGGCATCCAAGTTGGGGCCGGCTGGTCGAATAATGGGGGTTGAAGGGCGGTGACGGGGCTGGGGTTTGCGTCGCCTTCGAGCGTTAGAAAACCATCCCAATATCTGTTGCCGGCTCAGCCCAGTCTGTCGTTGTATTCTCTCGATGTCCCCGACAGTAGGATACGGCTGCTGCGGGTGACTTTCAAACCAGTCCTTGAGAATTCGACGTGACGTCGAGGAGAACCGCGCCCCATTCTTTGCAGGATTAGGAAATGATTTTTGAGAGCGGGAAGAGTCCGCATTGTCTTGGAGCGTGAATGACAGATTTGGCCGGTCGGTTCCGTCGGGCTGAGCTGGTGGTATCGAATTGGGTGGGAAGGGGCTCGGATCGGTGCCGAGGTCGAGTCCCTGCGTGCCACCAAGATTGGGAAAGAAATCCTCAAAGGAGAAAGGAGCCTCGCCAACCGTGTCCATGTCGATTAGCGTAGGGAGCAGCTTACGCAAGGGTGAATGAAGCCTGAAGAGCAAGGCGAATGACGGTGCCATGACAAGACTTCAGGTCTTAGCCAACTGTTCGCCTGGTGATGTTGGGTTTCTTGAGCTAAAGCATACTGGTGCACCCTGCTGAGGGGAGGTACTTTCCAAAGTGAGGGGGTCTGGGTGTGATTGCAAGTATCTGCTGACCCCTTGATTTTCTCTAACCTTGTTTCTCTAAGCCAACTCCATCTAGCCCAACACCAAGCCCCATAAATATCGTGTCTATTTCTCCCTTTAGAATCTGGTTGCCCCACAGACTCCGCCCTGCCTTTGGGCCTTCTCGAGATTCCCCTTGCCCACTCCATAAAACAACTGCGAAGCTCGTTCTCAGCAACAAGCGCCAATGCGTACAGTTCTCACAGATCCATCCCCCAAAGTTCGCCGTGAGAGTTGTGAGGCTTGAAGTGGTCGTCATCCTCATCGCATAGCTTGCAAAACCCTGCTGCCGTGTATAGCCGGATTGCTTGAAGCAAGATGCTCTGTGTCGACAGCACCATCTTTCTGTAGCCCTTTTCCCTCGCAAAGTCGATTGTTTTCTGAATCAGCTGCTTGCCCAATCCCAAGCCCCGAGCTGTGGGTTCTACGATCAAGAATCTCAGGCGGGCAGTGTCTTTTCTTTGTTTGTCTCTACACACGGCAACGCATCCAATGAACTCGTCATTGCGCTCAGCGATCCAAATTTGATCTGAGACTGGGTTGAAATTTTCCATAAAGTCAGTCATGGCACGGGCAATGTAGATTTCCACGCTGCCGTCCCAACCGTACTCTTGGCAGTATATCTGGCCGTGGCGGTGGATGATGTAGCCAAAGTCCCCAGGCCGGGGGTCTCTGAAAGTAATTGTGACCTCCATAATATGTTGCTGGCAGTATAGTGGTGCTGGTGTTGTCTCGACTTGTTCTACGTGATGTTCAATGCGTGTATCAGTTATTTCTATTCATATATATATGTCAAATTTTACACCGCCGAATGTTCCACAACATGCTCGAAATGGGTTTCGTGTGTTCGCTAGGGCGCGCAAGAGTCAATACGGGGCCCGGATGTGGAGTAGTAGTCAATCCAAAGGCGTCACAGCTTATCCAATGAGTCTTTTATACTGCTTTCGTAGTTTAGGAGAAGCTCCGTACACCACAACAGACATTCGCAATGAGTTTTGCCGGTTTTCGCCGAATACCGCGACTGCGGCATGACTATTGGATGATAGGCTATTGGTGTAAAAGATATAAAGATAAGATATGGGGTTGCTGATCGTGCATTCGTTGTTGGAAATGACGGAATGTAAGCCAGGTGCGATGGGATCGAGATGAGGTTCGCCGAGAGGGAAACAGAGGACAAAATAACGTCTCAACTGCTGAAGTTCACGAATTTCTATCTCTCAAACTTTTCTTCAAGCCCTGGCTTACTGTCACATAAGCTACAATATTAACAGCTACACATGAATAAGTCAATTACTCCAACTTCATTCGACTGAACTTTCCCTCTCATCTCTCTTAATTTCTCCTCTTAAGGCAAAAGTCCTGCTGGGATAAAGGTTATAATTTATTAAAAGAGAAAGATCAGCCTGAAAATAGCAACACAACATCAGATATGAAATACTAGCAATTATAAATTATTAAAAGTGTCACAACATGGTCCACATATTCAAGACGTAGCAACTATTGATACAAAGTTCAGCTTCTACTTAGGGCAGATTGTAGGTTAGTAGTTGTGAAAATACCTTTGGGTGTAAGAATTCTCACTGAGTGGCAAAATCTATGGTGTCTTAAGACTTGAGTAGACAGAATGGCAATGGGATCTGAAGATGCGGCTTGGGTTGACAGAGGCAAGTAGTATGCAATATGCCAAGAATATTTAAATCTCATTTGTTAAACCCTCAATTTACCCGACGTCCAAGATAGATCTAGCTGTGTAGAGTACAGCAGCAGCAATGCAGAGAATCCCGACGTATAGACCTGCAAGTGCCTGAGCCCCCAGTGTCTGTAACATTTGACCGCCTATAGGCACAGTAATGAGCAACGCGAAGCTGACAGTGAAGTTGAGAGTTCCGAGATAACGCCCGTAGTCCTTGTGTTCACATGTCTTCCCGAGGCAAGCTGGGATCAGGGCTGAGAAGAAACCAGTGCCCAAGCCCCACAGCGTCGCAAAGGCATACAATGCGTTCACCTGTGTTGTAGCAAACGGCACAAGCGTAATCCCCGTGCAAATTCTTGTCAGAATGATTGCGAGAAATAGGACGTTACAATGCCCGAATTGATCTCCTGGGAAGCCCGAAACGAGACGGCGAATGCTGCCACTTACGTTGATGATTGTAATGAGATTGTAGCCCGTCTCTATGAGGTTTCCAGACTGTAGTGACAGAGTGGGTAGGTTACCAGATATGCCAAACATGGCAAATTCAAGTGAGAAGAATGCAGTTGCTATTGCGGCGAACGAGCGTGATCAGAAAGCATCGAGATTGATAGCGTAGCTCCCACTGCCTTTCTCAGGAGGCTCACCCGATTGATCCTCGGTGGTGTTTTCTTCGAGATTGCGAACATGTATGTTGTACATCTTCATGTATGGTAGGTAGCACAAACACCCTGGTACCATGATACCAGCAATGAGAGCACCCATAAATCTAATCATCCACTTATAACCACACCTTGGAAACAGCTCTCTTAGTATGAATGGTATGATGACGCCCCTTAGAGCGGCACCGTTGAGCGCAAGTCCGATGGCTAGACCGCGATATCGAACAAAGAGTTTTTCGACAATGGGTAGAGCAATCGTGGAAGTCAGAGCACCACTGATGACGTCAAATATGCCCAAGCACAAAATAAAGTGCTAGTAAGCAGTACATTCGGCGAGAACGAAGAATGTTGGAATAGTCAAAAGGGTAGCTATGGGCGCAAGGATTATTGGGCTGTAGCGATCGATGATGAGCCCGGCTTGTATCCCCAAAAATAACGTGAGCGCTGTGTAAAGCCCGGAGATCCAGCCGATGTCACGGGAAGCGTACCCAGAGAGTTGACTTTGTTGTGAGTAGGCCTGGAATGTGCCGATTGCTTGTGGAAACCCTTAGCAGGGTATTAGCTTCGCTTCTGTTCTGGAACAACGAGAGTTGAATGAAGACTTCAGCAGTAAGATCACCTACCAGATGACGGAATTAATAGCAGAAACGACCCAAAGACGCAAATCCATGATGAAACAAGGGATTCACTATCCCGCGCTGTGGCATTTGTTTGACTGGGATGTCGGGGCAGCTGGGCGGCCGAATCCTCTGCCGTATTTGATGCAACTATGGATAAGCTTTGCATAATACATGCATCTGCTATGTGAGCTTGAATCTTTGGTTTCCAACGAGGTTAGAAATACCCCCTATCACAAGAATTACAAGACTGAGGTTGGGCGACGGATGGTTTAGAATTGTTGACGTGTAAGTTGGTATAGGGAGAGATCGTAGGTTTGGGCGGTGTATGTAAATTGCAGATACGGAGGTTACAAAGAGTATTTCATCGTAATGGCAGCAACTTGACGAACAGTAGCCCAAGCGAAGATTGAATAACGGGCTGGGGAGGGGAGTAAACGTGTTAACAACAATAATTTTCAAACCAAACCAAGTGATCATTGTGAGTTTTCTCTTAACAAGACCCATTGCTGCTTCCAGAAATTGGTTCCCTTAGATGCAGATTGTACGTGTCTATCGGTGGAGGCGAAGCTCTGTGTTTTAGGAATCTAGTTCCGGAGAGACAAGCCAGCTCCGGAGAAACGTCACCAGAGTCTCCCCACTGACTGAAATCCGTAGTGGACGACGGCTGATCCTACCGAATCACGCCGATACCAACTTGAAACGGAGCGCTTGGTCCGTTTCCGTGGGCTTGGTAAGCGGGATATATCACGTCGGATACGATGACTTCATCATGCAGATACATGGAATGGAATTATTGGCGAGAGCACATATGTGCTTCACGAATACAGAAAGGTTCGGCGCGTCATTGGCGCCAACTTTGGGGAACCGCAAATATCTGGCCGGACGGAGGCTGGCTCGCCTAGTTATGTTGACACCCATAATGCACGAGAGAATACTAGGTTAGACGACTTTCTGCGCATTCGACATCCCTTCGAGGAGGTTGACAGGAGCATTGAGGGACACAAAGATGCCCAAACTGGTGACCAAGACATTCATTTAGAAGATCCTCGAAATAGCGTTGAAGATGGATTCCACATCATTTACGATGTTCCCGAGCGGTGGCTGAGTCTCCTGTCGGAAACTCTCGAGCGCCGGGACCCAAGCTCTAGAGGATGCTATTTGCGCCTTTGTTGGGGGACCAGACGTGGCGGAAAACATTAACGCCAACGAATCGCCGAATGTTTGCATGTTCAGATGCCTCAGTGTATCCCTCCTCATCTTCTTCTACAGGCGCATTCGTAACGTACACCCTCTATTACTACAAGCGTATGTCGACGAAGTGATCCAGGGTCTAGAGAATTTCGACACATCCCTAGTGCGGCATCAGCAGCCTGGGCCTGGTTCGGCGTGGGCGGCTTTCATGGTGGCTGCAAGGCAAAGGGGGAGTTGAGACGGGCCAAGTTACGACAGTGGATGGATCGTGCATTTGACACTTGCAAGTTTCCGTTGTACCAGAAAACAAAGGAGTATATGCTACGAGTATGGGAGCGTATGGACCAAGCTCAAGAAAATCCATCAGGGGCTTTGCGTTGATCTACTTGGATGCAAATCTCACGAGATTCTGATAGATGGATTATATTAAATTAGTTCCTACAAATACTACCTAGGTATATTTCTTCCTTGGGCTATCTTCTCGAGCTTCTTGCCGCAAAGTAAGAAACTGAGAATGGTGGCGGTCAAGAGGCAAGCCTTTCGAGCTCATCATTGACTGTCACGTCACAGAGTAGAGCCAACTGTCAAGCTCAATGATTTCCAAGTCCCGATTTTGGTTGAGATTTGCGTGCCCACAGCCTTCAAAGGACCGTTCGATGGCCCATAGAGGAAGTGAGTAGAGATCATGTTGGGGATTCAGTGGAGACGTACATTCCGAGTCGCCGAGACAGATGTAGGACGAGTCTCGCTTTACGGATGATACGACTGGGCTGACCACACTTCTCATCAGTGCGACAGCACAATCATCACCGCAATGCACCATTGATATACTTGGCTTTCGAATTCCGCCATGGTAACAACCCAACTCTATCATTGTATCGTTGGCAAAGGACAAGATATTCTCTTGTCTCACAAGGGCTGTAGTAGCCATTGACACATTGTAGCAAGCCTTGGAAGCTCTTATCCAGTGTCCTGTTCTAAAGTTGGACAATGGTGCCGGTCGATCCGAGCGTAGTACTGTAACCCATACTTTCCGCTCCCACATAATGTCTCGTGTTACTTTTTCGTGAATAGACTCAGTGCGCCAGATCATTGACCAATATCTTTGTGATTCGGCCCTTTCACATATGTATGGTGAAACCATGGGACTCAGAAAACGAACAAGCGCTTGCGAATGGAAGTATTGTCCACTGTGCAATTGCTGCGCGATCAAACATGATGTAATTGTCTCGGCCTTGGATTGGCTCGAGGCTTTCGCGAATGTAACAGCTGGTGGCATGTGAAGACGTAAAATGAATAATGACCGGGGAAAGGCTGAAAAGGAGGTGACGCGAAGGCGACTTGAAAACGAAACAGAGTTGTACATGAGTGAGTATAACGTGTAGATACGAAATGTGCGACCCGAATGGTCTGAAAATAATAGTTTAACGGTTAAGTCGTAGAGCATGACGGTATAGGAAAGTGAGAGAGTTCTAGTAGCTTGATTCACACAGTACAGAGAGCGCTGGAAGACTCTAGGACTGACATTACGACAGAATGAATACGAGCATGATGGTAAGACTTATTTTGGGGCTGCATAATGGTTTGCACTTACGGACCTTTGTATGAGGCAGTAAAGTAATAATTGTGGGAAATGCAGTTATTCTGTCTTCTTCTCATGTACGCGACAACGGAATGAATAGTGGAGGGAAAGCTCAACGCTTACACAAGATCAAGTGGAAGAGCTCACTCGGGCGATACGTTTCTAGAGACACCAAAGATGCGGACAGGTGCATGGGGGCCAGTAGCACGATTGGGTAACAAAATCTCCTTTAACATTTGAACTAAGGCCTTGGGCTCGCTTCTGAGGGGCGCAAGTGAGATCTATGGGGGTAGGAGCGAATGACTTGGTAAGATAGTATAAATGACCACGACTCCCCAGCATCTAAACCTCAATACGATTCCAATTAGTTGAAAAAAAAAAATGTCAGGCTCAGCCCAAGGTGAAGAACGCTGGATCATGGTCCGGCTCATCAACGCCACACGCTCTGATACCTTGAGCATCAGGGATGCAGGTTGCTCCTGGTAAGGCGTCAAACAACCCATACTCTTCTTGGTGTCAAGTGTACTTCAAGATAGATCTAACAGGAAAAAGTTGGTAAATTCTCCAAGGACGGAAGTAAAGATGTGGAGATATCAGCTTCAGACATGGTAGACAAGAATACGGCCCTCCCCCGTCACCCACCACTACTAACTAGAGAAACTGATGTGTGTCAGCGTTAAACAGCTGTCCATTCCCACCTTCACAATATCCCTGTAGAATTCATTACTAGATAGCCTTATTTTGGTCTTTGTCTAAATTTATAGAAGGTATATTTTGTGGAGCAGCTGTTATCTACTACATCGACAGAGACACTTTGTGGGGTAAGTTGTGGGGGAAGGAGGGGAAGGAGGGGAAGTAGCGGAGGAAGTAGCGGGATTCTGGCCGGCTTTTGTGATATGGTGGGTTATCAAGAGGTTCTAGGGTACCTGCTCCCAAATAACCGTCGGCTCAACAAGAGCCCCTAACCAGAGATCCGGTATCCTCATGATTTGTCGTCGGCGAGGCCTATGGTAGGTTGCATGTTCCGAGAAAACCTGAGAAGAATCGCGTCATGGTCTCCTGAAGCTGAATTATTTGCAGAAGCACTCGAGGTACCGCTCGAAGAATGACAACGTATTGAGGCCTTCTGAATTCAGTAATAAAACAGCCATCACCGTCACAAGCAGCTTACATTTGAAGGCCAGTCCCGACGATCTTGGACATTCCTCTGGCACTGATATTCGGACTGCACCATGATCTCCGCTAGCCTAATAGTCACAATTTGGTTCGGCCTTGCCACTGGACGCTCTTTCTGGTCATCTACACCGGCTGGCTATGGCTCCCAACTAGCTGATGATTATGTTCTCAAAACCGCATATCCCCTAGGAAATGGCAGGCTCGGAGGTGAGTCGGCCTTGAGTAGCCTACACCTGCAATGAAGATGGCTGAATGAGTTGACCTGTGATTAATTATCTATACCTCTAGCGATGCCCTTTGGGCCTCCGTCATCGGAGAAGTTGCTCCTCAATGTCGATTCGTTATGGTCTGAAGGCCCATTTGAGATAGCAGTACGAGAATCAACCTTGTATGTCCCAGGGATACCGCGCGATCTGCTTACGCTCCCTCTAGAATTACAGTGGCGGAAATCCACCGGATTACGCCCCCAAGTACCCGGCTCTGTCTGATATTCGCGTCAACATCTTTAAGGCAGGCACGGGAGGTATGAGACCCAGCTTCACTCCCTGCTTGATGTCAGATGGTTAGAAGCGAACTAAGCCCTAATCGATTTTTCTACGCAGACGTTGATGGGTTGCTGGGCAGCAACAGTTACCTTGGGCCCTACCACGTGCTAGGCAACCTGACAATGGCCTTTGACGGGTTTTCCAACTACTCCGACTACAAGAGAGTGTTGGATCTAACCACCGGCACCCATAGAACAGAGTTTACTTCCGACTCTAGCTCTAGGAGAGCCTATGTGGACGTGACAACCTACTGCTCCTACCCGGACCAAATTTGCATTTGGTCTGTATGGAGCAACGTTACAATCCCACGATTCAGTGTGGGCTTCGAGAATCATCTCGTCTCCAACGGGTTGACCGAAGTTGAGTGCGGTGAGGATAACCATGTGCGACTCATAGGCTTGACACAGAAAGGCCCTCCTGAAGGCATGAAGTCCGAAGCTGTTGCTCGATTGAGCAAAGACTCAACCGCTGTAAGCTCTTGCACGGACGGACGACTGAACGCCAAGCCGGCCCAAGGCAAAGGCAGGGTTAGCATAATCATCGGGGCGGGCACAAACTTTGACCAGACAAAGGGACATGCGGCGAACAATTATTCTTTTAGGGGCGTGGACCCCGGCAGGGAAATCGGCTCGGTCGTGGCAGTGCTTTTCTAGCCTATTGCGTCGCCATAAGGAGAATTTCTCTGCTCTAGAAAGCAAATTCACTCTGAACTTACCAGATCGTCTTGGATCGGCGGATAAAGAGACAGCCAGCCTTATCGCTGGTTTTCGGGCGGAAGGTCCTGATGATCCGTTCCTGGACGGGCTCCTATTTGACTACTCTCGTTACCTTCTCATATCATCTTCAAGGGCCAATTCCTTGCCTGCGAACTTGCAAGGAAGATGGAACGAGAATATTGTCGCAAACTGGAGCAGCGACTATCACGCCAACATCAATCTGTAAATGAATTACTGGCCCGCGGACCAGACTGGCCTCCAGGAGACACAAGACGCCCTCTGGGATTATATGCGGCTGAATTGGGTACCCAGGGGTACCGAGACTGCCTGGCTCCTATACAATGCCTCGGGGTGGGTGACACACAACGAAATGAACATCTTCGGTCATACTGCTATGAAGGGTTCGGCTGGATGGGCAAACTGTACGTTGCTATCGTATATTCTCTTTCTCCTAACATCAACTTGTAAAATCCATCCCGCCATCCACCTGTGTATGGCTAACCGTACGTCGATCTAGACCCTACCTACCTCTGGCGCCTGGATGGCTCAACATGTTTGGGACTATTTTGATTATACCCAGGACTTGAGCTGGCTAAAGGAAGTTGGCTATCCCTTGCTCAAAGGTGGCGGAGAATTCTGGCTTCCCCAATTGCAGGAAGATCGATTCAGCAGAGACGGATCTCTAGTTGTGAATCCATGCAACAGCCCAGAGCATGGTCCGACAACTTTTGGTTGCGCCCATGACCAACAGGAGTTTCACCAAGTCTTTGACAATATTCTATCTAGCTCGGTCCTTGTCGGGGATGAAGACAGCTATTTTCTCAAGTCAGTCGCCTATGCGCTCTTAAGATTGGACAGGGGGCTGCATTTCACGGAGTGGGGAGGCGTCAAGGAATGGAAGATTCCTGATTCATACGGCTACGACGTCAAGAATACACATCGGCACCTGTCACACTTGACTGGATGGTACCGGTACCCTGGCTATTCCGTATCGTCATATCAAGGAGATTATTCCACAAACACGACTATCCAAGCTGCCCTTGAGGAGACTCTCATTGCTAGAGGCAATGGCACATCGGAGGAGGCAGATCCTGGGTGGGGCAAGGTCTGGCGCTCCGCACCGTGGGCAAGGCTCAACAACACGGATCAAGCTTACATCCACCTGAAGTATGCTGTCGAGACGAACACGGCGGTGAATGGCCTCAGCATGCACGACAAGAAGCAGCCTCCCTTCCAAATCGATGCTAATCAAGGCTACGGGGGGGCTGTGCCTAGTATGCTCTCTGTTGACCTACCATTGCCACACGACGCCGGCGATGACACCGTGAGGACGGTTGTCTTGGGGCCGGCTATCCCTAAGGCTTGGGCTGAGGGCAGTGTGGACGGTTTACGGGTTCGCGGAGGAGGGTTAGTTCACTTTGAATGGGACGACGAAGGCATTGTGGCAAGGGCCACTTTGGAGGGTTCCAGGACGAAAGTCAGGTTGGTGAATAAGAATGGACATGCTTTAGTCGACTAAATGGCGGGCACTTGGGACGGCTGGGCTAGCAGATCAGAGCTGCCAGGACGTCAAAAATCCCCTGTAGGCATTGCGCCCAAAAGTCAAACATATCCTTCCTTCACCTGTAGAATGGATATCATGCTGGTCAACTCTCAGGGTCTGTTGAGTTCCAACGGCTGTCTGGGAGGAGGGAAGGGGGCGAGAGAATTTTCTATTACTTACATATTTATGCTTGCTGGATAACTAAAACGTCAACCTTTTCCTTTCTGATACTCCCGCTCTAGAGAATCGGACCGCGTAGCGAACGGATGACTGCAGACTGCCAGCATTGGCTGATGCTCCTACGCTCACCTGTGCAGTAGGACACAAGCCGTAGCTTCAGCTCCGGGAGCGGATGACAGAGATGCGCTGTATTTGACAGGTAAAAGATAGACCGACCAGTCGGTTTTGACCCCTGCAAGAAATCTACTCCTCTGCCCCTTTCACCTTCCGTGGCGCCTGTTGCCACGACCCAAGTGCTTATAACTGACTCTGTTAGCAGCCAGAACCCCACGACGGCAGATTCCCAAAAGTACCCATAGGCTACTTGCATTTACGCCCGAGTAATCATGTAAAGGAGCTCACTTATTCCGTCAGGCAGGTAAACCAGCCCTGCCCAAGCATTCTGGTGTTTACTATCGATACTACCGTCCGGCTCGTAAAAGGTAAATACAAGCTACCTGCGGGAGCCAAACGGTGTAACACGCAAGAAAGAAAAGGATATGAGGGTTCCGAAATGAGACATCGGCCCTAGCCAAGATAAACGACTGGCTTAGGCTTCAAGGCGATACAACAGCGTACCATGACCGAGCTGGTCATACCCACCGCTCGTGGTTCCGTAATCGCCACCTCCACCCTCAGCTCCATCGCCTTTCCCAACAACAAGGTCACGATAAGCCTTTGTCCATTTGGCATCGCGGCCTTTTATGGATCCATAATGAGCGACGAAGAGTTCTGCCATCGGCCTGATAGTGCCACGGCCGCTATCGCTAATCTTTGTCTGCGTCCCATGCACTGCATTGGTATAGGTGGTGAAAGGAACATCTTCGCCGACGTTGTACTTGGAAACATATTCCATTCTGGTAAAAATCGTCAGCACATGCGCGATTGTTGCCGATCAATAACGTGTGAAGAGAAGAAAAAAAGAGAAAAAAAAGGAGAGAGACAAGGTGAGAAAGACTTACCCAGCAAGGATTCTATCATCCAAATACCCAAAAAGGTCTTCACCCTGGTTGAAGCCCTGCTGAGCGATGACACCTAGCAGAGCGAAGTCAAGGGTTGCATGGCCTTGGTCCCTACCAGCTTCCTGGTTCTGGCCTAGCTGCTTACCAGTCTTTTCTTCAGTATGAAGAGACCAAATCGCCTTCTCGATAGCTCCATTTCCTGCACCATGCTTGAAGTAGTCCACCGCTTCATTCCAGATGGTATGATTATCAGCGAGGACGCCGATACTCATCATGCTCGCAATATTGCAAAGATCCCAGTTTGCCCAGTAGTTCTCAATATGGGCGCCATTATGTGCCGTTAAGAAGTGTTGATTCTTCACATAAAACACGCGAATAAGCATAGACGCTGTTGCGTCAAGGCCCTTCCACCCAGGATAGGAACGAAGAATCTCTGCCACGTTCGCAAACTGGTATCCGTAGATGCCTGCGGCCAAGAACTTATCCGAGTTGCCCCAAATGTCAGTGAGACTCTCGCTCCAGGCATCGACGATTCGGGCAGCAGCATCCGCAAAGGTTGAATTACCGGTGACTGCCCAACGTACGGCAAGAGCGTATGCCGACGCGAGATCTCGGTAGAGAAGGACATAATTCTCCGGCCGTTCTGGAGTCTTGCCTCTGACTAAAATGTCCTGAGGGCTTGGCTTATAATCGGGATTCGCACGTCGCACGACCTTTTCCCAGCCGACTGACCAGGGTGCCTTACCAGAATCCACCAGCTTCATGACACGCTGGAGGTCTGCATTGGTATGCAGAAGTCCTGGATGGGTGAACGCATCAGAGGCCGTCAGTGTGGAGGAAAGCCCAGAGGGTGAGTGAGGATGGGGGTGCACTGCCAGGGCACAACCGGCAAGGCCAACAAAGGTCAACCAAGAAGGCTTCATAATATCGGCGCAAATGAAGATAATGGAAGAAAATCAAAGAAATCAACAATATGTCAATAGTAGGAATTGATAGGCGCGAAGGGAAGAGGGCATAGTGATGCAATGCAGAAGTCATAATGGCGAGGTCATCCGCTCTCATATAGGGTCGAAGTCATTCCGCCCCAACATGTCAGGGGCATGACACTCCCATCATTCCTGTAACAGGCCAAGGGAAGGACCATTCTCAAACCATCAATCAATCCCGGGCCAATCAGATGACGGCGCCTAAATTTGAAGGGTCAATCTTCTTGGCTCGGTGCAAGTCCCGGCACCCTACCGGCGCAGCTCTAGGCATATCTCCCGGCGGCAATACGAAGTAGGGGCTTCTCGATTCCGGACATTCCCCCGGCAATGACCAAGGATATCTGCTATCACTAAGAAGAAATCATGTCGCATGTTGAAGAGGCAGCCCCTGTCAAGGCGAGTGTTATATAACCAAGAAAGATAGCTGTATCCGCGTACTTCGTACACCGAACTCAGCTAAGAAATGACTAATGTTTTAAATGAGCCTATGACGGCTGGCTTGGCGGTCGTCATCGCAAGCGAAGGAGCCGGAAGTAGGCCATACTGACTAGTATAGTTGGTTCCTACTTTGAAAAGAGGTCTTTTGAGTGTTAGTCTGGTCTTTCCACAACAGCGATAGATATTATTTTCCTGTTACTAGAAAGAAATTATAATCTATCAGAAATTTCTAAATAACTAGGATAGTTAGTTATCTAGATTCTAGTTAGCTTTTTCTTTAATTAATTAGAGAAAGTCTTATTATTTAATAGAAAAAGAAAATTCTTAATTTTATTAAATCTAAATCATCTCTCTATATATAAGCTTCTTTATAGAAATTAAAAATATTTTAAATTTAAATAAAAAATACTTTATATTAAGCTAATTCTTTATATATAATATTATATAACTCTTAGATATAAAAAGTATAATAATAAATTAGAAAAAAACAATATATAGAATGTCTCTAATTTAAAGGAATATACTTATCGATGGCCTTCTTTCCACTTTCAATGGAAGTATTGCAGACCGCCGTGATGGTGTAGTCTGAAGAGCTCTGGAGATACGGCAAGTGAGATACGGGTCCCTAACCGTCTTCAGCCGAGAGGCCAATTATCCCAACACAGATTGGCGATTGTACAGACATGATAGAATCGGAGTTTCAGGCTACTAGAATTGAATTTAAAGATGAGCTTCCGCGCCCTCCCTATTTCATCTATTTCCGAGCTTTATCTTCTCGGCAGCTCCCTACGTCACGACAGACAATTATTAATCCAGCAGCGGCGGAATCTAGATCCCGCCGCGGGTAAACCCTATTATTAGCAAAGCTTTAGGTAAAATCATAAGACCAAGCAATGGCCCTGAGATGGTATTTTGTATCAAAAATACTACATGAAAACCTAGGCCCAGGCCACTTGGCATCAAGTATTTCTTTTCAAAAGGGCCAGTTGGAAAGACAAGATGGTCATGATTGTCTCACTGTGAATCGGTGGTAGTTTTTCGAGACAAATATATTGAAGCCCAACTTACTATATACCAAATTGTACATAGTAAACTATAAACATACTGAAAACAAATTAAAAATATAAAATATATATACCTAAGTAGAGATGGATTATAAGTGGAGCCGATGGATGCTGATTAAGTAGTGTTCAAAGCGAGTAGCAGTAACACGGTGCTGCTAGGCATGAATGACAGAACACGGCTTAGTAGTTAGGGTCCGAAGTATCATTGTTTTGCCAGTTGTTCACATCAAACACAAGCATAGACGAAGGGTTTAGCATCCAATCGGGTGTTTCTAATAGTTGACTCAGGGGAGATTGGCCAGTAAAATCCATATCTGGAAGAAGAGACTGTCTCACAGAGCTGTGAGGAAGCTGGAACTGTGTACTGCAAGCAGCCGCGCTGGCAGTCTCACACTGAGCCGGCCTAGTCTTTGAGTTATGGCAGACGTCAGCTTGGTTTTGGCTACTTTGCTCTGGTATCATATACGATGATGCACTAGGGTGATGTGACAGACGAGCCTGGATGAGCTGGTAGAAGAAAGGGTCGTGATAACCGGCTAGGATGTCAGCAATTCCCGTCACCGTGGTAAGAACCTCGGGTGCATTCAAGTCATCTCGGTGTCTGGACATTTCCAGTGCAAATATGCCTTTAGGGATTAGCTGATGAATACTTGGCGTCAAAGGTGATCAATACTATACATGTAAATGTCAAGGATAAAACTGTATAGTTGGTTGCCCGTTTGAGATGCCACCTGTACGACTCTAATTCCAGGATTAATTGCAATTGTTTCAAGGCAACCGCCATTACAAAATTGACCATCCTAGGCACTAGAGTCCTTGACCGCTCGTGATAATTGTCGATTGCCGCTGATTTTACTAATAGCAGCGCATCCGAGGAAGATTAAGGCGTAATTCTCTTGACCGCGCAGGCCTAGTCTCTGAAATGAAGATATATCGTAGCCGTAATCTACTTCGGTTTAGTATATCTTTCACCATTTTCTAAGCCAAGAGTCAAGCAACCTCTGTTGTGTGCATCCCAGTTCTGAAGCCACTCTTCAAACTTGCTCTCGATGTGATGCAGTCGACGTAGACCAGTATCTTGCAGGTCTCCCGCGGAAGTTATCTCGGATAAAAACTCATCTGGAAAACCGTCAGCGGGAATCAACTTTCTTCCATGCACATCTCAGACCTCGAACTTGAACTGCCTCAACAAGAGATGCAAATCTCATATTGGGTGGATGAGCCAGCGATTGGTGAGTGAGATATGTCAGATCGGCAGCTGAAACTTTGGGTATTCTACAGGATCTAGCAGTTCCAATCGCAACTTCTCTCTCAATAAGACAGAGCGCGAGCCAGACTCTTGCGTTCCGCATCGTTCGGCGCTGTTGTTCAATGTGTTCAGACACCCAAGGCTGGCTCAGGACCTGTTGATCAGACAAGATCCGGTCAAGCTTGGGGTCCTGGGCCATCTGCAGAGCATGGCCAATGGCGAAACAGGTGTTCTCGGCATAAATGACGAGGAGCATCATGCCCTGCACTGTACCAGTGGTTGCCCGGCAATCAAACAGAGTTCCTGCAAGGAGAGCTTTGATTTCAGCCACGCATTGTTCTAGCTGCAGCAGACCATCTATGCAACAAGCCAGTGTAAGAATGACACCAAAACAAAAAGGCTCACGAAGCCTCAACGCCTCAAAACTGTCAAGAATCGGATCAAAAATGGGCAGAAAATTCGTTGCGTTAGCTATGAACCTAAGGCACGTCAGCAATGCTACATTGTTAAGAATAGATCAATGCTCACGAGGTGAAAAGCTGCCTCGCCTGTTGGTGGCCAATTATGCCCTTGGATACCATGTCTTCCTGTTTCACATTTCTCTCGAATAAAATGCCCTGAGGGACCGCCCGTGGCTGATTGGTGCAGTAAGTTGTATCTGTAGAGGCTCTGGATGAATGGTGCCTGGACTCATCGTTCTGGCTCATGTTGTGCATGGCAGAGACGGGGGCACGCAAGTCTTGGGAAGTGAGCTCTGATGGTTGGCTTGTGGGCATGTGGTCGGTGTCTGGAAACAAGGGTTGAGATGGATGTAGAATAGGAGAATGCGGCGCGTCTGGGTAGACTGTGCTTGTTTCATGTTGACTATTGCTGGGATCAACACTGTGGATGGGACTCTTTGGTCTTGAGGGTGTCACACAGCTATAGTTCTATCAGCAATTTCAACGCTGACGATGCACAATTTTCATGTCACCAACATCCTTAAACGTGAGTTGTGTCGCTTGCTGGGTCTATCTCTTCTTCGGGAAGGAATAACATCATACAGGCATCTGACCCCATTGTCGTGACAGCGTTGGCAGGTGACATCGTCTTTCCGCTCACACTTGAGCTTGTGTTTCCGGCATACGCGGCATGCTTTAAACCATTTCCTAGAAATGGCGTTGGACTCGAAGGTCGACTGGAAGTGAGATAGGGGCTCTGGTGAACCGCGATCATTTGCGAGATCACCATGCTCATCCGATCCTGCCAGCGGTGGGGGGCATGGTGTCTGTAGCAGAATAGTTGGCCTTGGTATTCGATAATCATTGATTTCAGGGACCACGAGGTTTGTTCGTTACTTGCGACAAGCTTAGATGGGTATGGTGGCCAAGGAATGTATTTGAGCCCCGCGAATTCTGGGGCTTTGGCACAAAGGCTTGGTGAGGAGCAAAGCCAAACAAAAATCGACAACAGACAGCTCGTACCTACAGTAGACCAATGACGTCTTTTTAGCTTGAGCCCCCCCGAACGCTTCATTACTGGCTACGTCCCCAGCCAATGCCAAGCAGGTATCACGGTTAGTGCTTACAGAAGCATCTCACCGATGGCGCTGAATCATACGTCTGCCGGGCTCCGTGTATATATTGTTTTACTTTCCATTCTTATAGCTATAGTCTCTAATGATAACAGTGGGAGAGGGGTACGGGGGCTATATATCAAAACACCTTTAACAGACCCACCGCCGCAACAAAGCCTAGAACAACGACAAGGGTCAAAATGCAGACGGATTTGATGCTATTCGCAGTCATTCGACCGCCCCAGCGCAGAGAAGAAGAAGCCACACCGTCGCCAGACACGCCTAATGCAAGAAGCTTACGCTCATGGCCCGCCCGGACTCAACGTCGTCATTCCTATTGCCGTCTGTGAAGCTCTCGACAGGCAAGGTTCGCGTCTACGAGTCGACATCACTATTAGAAGGATATGCGTCCGGGTGCAATTTAAAGATGCTCCTCTCTAGCTCAGCCTTGACCTTCCTCCACGGCGTATTGTCGGCGAAAAAATCGATCGGGATCCGGCATCCCTCAATAGCAGATCCTGCGCCGATGGTAAGGTCAAAGTTACTCAGATCGCGCGGGCTTGGCTCCTCGTAGCCCTCGGGCATGGAGTCGTAGTGTTTATGGCGCCACTCGCTCTGGCCGACGTATGTATGGAAGCACAGCACGTCGCCCCAGTCGCCGTGGGTGCCCCGTTGAAAGTGCATGTAGCCGTTGCCGTCTCGGCTAAGTAGAGCCTCCGGGTTGCGCAGGTGACGCTTGGTGTGGCTGACGGCGTACGAGTCTTGGATGATGTGCAGGCAGACGCCCAAGGCGCGGCGGCCAACGTCGGTGAGTCAGTAGCTCGGTGTCGTGGCGACAAGGAGGGCGCGCAGTGAGACCGAGGCCCATTCTGGGCGCGGGAACAATGACTCCGGGACATGCTTGGTCACATTGTCGCTCTCCGAGACGCCGTCTTGGTCCAGGGACAGTTGGTACATGATATCCATCCACATCAGCAGCTTCTCGCGCGTCACCTCGGGCTTCTCGCCTACGGCGCTGCCCATGGAGTGAAGGAACTGCATCTGACACAGGCACAAATTGATCTGTCGAAAGATGAAGGAGGCAGAATGGAGAGGAAACTGACAGCGTAAAGGATACCCTTTAGCTCCATACCATCCCACGTCAACTGAAATAGCATCGGTTGAGCGAGAGTATCTCACTTTGTTGCCGCTCCAGGCCAGCTGAGGGCAGTCGAACTCGATTCGAAAGCGTTCTGTCTGGCTATTAACTCGCACCTCATACTCAACCCAACTCTCTGAGTCTCCGGGTCCTGTAATGAGTTATTTCAGCCCGATTTGTAGTATGCAAAATGCATGGCCGTCGTATACGTACCAGCCTTGTCACTTAAGTGAACCGTCTGCGATGCCCGTGCTTTGATGGTATTAACGGGCTGGCCTATGGGTCACTCGCCCCATTGGCCGATAAGCCCAAAGGTATCCAGTAGAAGATCTCGCTTCGAGTCATTCTTGATCGTGATGTAGCAGCCAAAGTCTTGTATGAGACTAGCCGGATCGACAATATCAGATGTACCGCCTGGCGAGGACGTGTCCTGAAAATCCATGATAATAGATGAAGAGAGATAGGGAGAGGGGAAGCACCGTCGCTTCAACTAGCCGTGGTCAAAGGCTCTCAGGTTTACCTGTTCCCCTCTCTCAATTCCCATTCCTGGCGAGCTTTATAAACTCCTCAACCGTCAGACCCAGCAGTAAATCCTCATTCGCAAACCCCAAACCACCCCCCCAGCCCCATGACGCAACGACTTTCACTTCAGGGTCCCAGTATGAGTTTGAATACCGTGACCGTCTGATCCTGGTCACGCAGAAGAGGAACATGGACCAGGGCCCTACAGCAGCAAGTCAAGTCAGCGCCTACAGCTACTCCCCGGACGATTATTTGTCGGGATATAAGGACGACACCCAAGCTGTGGGCATGTATTTCGACGGCGGCGTAGCCAGCGCCATGAGCCTCTCGCCAAGCGGAAGTGGCTCGGTCGAAGGCGGTGGCGAGGCTGTGGCGGGCGAGGAGAAGGAGGACGCGTCCATCTTCTTCGACTCAAGCAGTTCGACTCAAGCAGTGGTACACCACTTTGCACCGTTACCAAGATGACGAGCGGCGGAAACACAGAAACACGCTACTTGCTAAACCAGCTCGAATCAAGCGTGGCCGTCTCCCCTACGCACTCCTCCGAGGGCAAGCCAAGCTATGTTGCCAAACCATACGATGCTTACGGGGCGCCACGCAGCGTCTCATCAGGGAAACAGGCAGTTCAGAGTATAAGATAATCTTTAAGATTAATCTATATACTAATATAATATAGCTTATATATCCTAAAAGAAAAGTTAATCTATAAGTATATTTCAGCTATAACTCAGTAGTAATAGTAGGAGTCTATAGAGGGCTGGATTTTTAAGAAGATATATATATAGATCTATAGAGAAATTAATTATTATATAGTAGGTAATATATAATATATCTATAATAAGAGCTAATATACTGATATAGATAATAAGAAATACTTAAGCTCTCTTCTTTAAAAATTTTATAGTTTTATAGATAAGTAAGATAGGTAGAATAAGGAGACTAAGGTTAAGAGTAATACTAGTAACCCTGTATAATAAGGAGAATTTCCTTTCCTCTGTCTTACTTATATACTATCAGTCTGAGGCTATAATATCCTATAGATTACTAAAGATATATTTATTACTTAATAGTTATTATTACCAGCAGTAAGGAATATATATATACGGGATATGTTCATACTCAGTAAGGCAAACAAAGAAGATAATTACTATTATGGAGAACTATTTAATCTATAGAGTAAGTAGTATTTATTATTGTTAGAAAGAAAAGTCTCTAAATAACTACCCTTCCTTAGAATAATAAGAAGTCTAAAAGATATTAAATACTAAAGCCCCTTTTTACTTAGAGCTTAATAATTTATGATTATTACGTCTGAGCGCATCTCTCTTCCCATCTTCAAACCGGAGGAGCTCGTCAAGCTCATAATCAACCTCCTCTCCGTCGACAGCGCAAAGTAGCTGCCCTGTGACCGCCTAGGCAACTACCTCTACATCCGACCGACCATAATTAGCACACAGGCCTAGCTCGGCATGAAAGAACCAAAGGCAGCCCTAATGTACATTATCATTACCTTCATGCCGGTTATAGATACCCCCGCTGGCGGCATGCGTCTGCACACATCCCCCGAGGACATGGTGCGCGCCTGGGTCAGAGGGTTCAGCTATGCCAAGCTCGGCGCGAATTACGGCCCTTCCCTGAGGCACGTGCTCGTGGCTTCCATTAGATTTTGTGGCTATACGGACCGGATCTTGAGTACATCGAGGCAGGAGCTAGTAATTTCTTTATCCTCTGGAAGAGAAAGGACGGTCGTAAGGAGCTCATCGCAGCTCCTTTTGATAATAAGTTGATTCTGGACGGTATCACCCGTAGAAGTTGCTTGGAGCTAGCTCACGAGAGACTTAGTAATAACATTGTGATTACAGAGCGCAAATATTCCATCAACAGGGTGATCGAGGCTGATTCCAAGGGCCGCATTCTCGAGGCCTTTGCTGCTGGTACTACGGTGAGTACAGTCACCATAAAAAAATGACATTCTTGGTATAGATCCCACTAACACTCTTCTATGTAGTTCTTTATTTACGCCATTTCTCAGATTCACCACCGTAGAAAGGATATCAATATCCCCATGGGCCCGGAGAATGAACCAGGAGAGGTGACCAAGAAAATTAAGAGCTGGCTTTTTGACGTCATGTACAGCAAAACGCAACATGAATGGGGAGTTGTCATCCCTGAAAAGGAGTGAGGAAGAAAAGAGTTACTGATGTGAGATGAACCAAGAATTTCAATGCTGTATATAAGTCTGAAGAATATGCATATAACAAAAACAAGATAGATTTTGCCAATCGTCGTTGGTCTGATATCCAATGTCGGTGGTCAGGGCATGTTCTTGAGTGACTGTTGAAAAGCGAATGCTACTACCGCGTCTATGTTCCATGGACTTGTTGACCAGTCAGCATAGCTAATACTTATAAGTATGTCAACTTTTTCCTCGACCACTATCGTCATGTTTTGGATGAGCTTAAACCCAACGTATTCCACAGAAGCAGTTCGAGTATTTTGACTACAATCATTGCCTGGCACGACCATCGCAACCTCAAAACACGACCGTTCGTTCCCCAGGCGGGCCTTGCCAGCCTTGCCGCCCAGCTGAACAGAGAGCCAGAATAAAGTTTATTCATTCCATGGAATTATACTCCGATAACGCGCTGAATTGAGTTTAGAGTATTGGCTCGCCGTTGACGTGCCACATTCAAATTAGGTTTCTTAGCCACTTCCCCCGCGATAGATCTAGACTGGTGATGACGACAGCCAGACGGAACAGAAGGGTCTCATCAATTCCAATAATTGAGGTAATCGGTATTGATATGAATTCCTCTTTATTTCTCGAATTCCCGGTTAACGACCTTCCTGCTTTTCTCACTCATCTCGTAAGGAGGATGGAATAGCGAGGATGCCCACCATGGCGTATATAACAACGCTGGCTCTTTGGACACTCTCGGCGGTCGCATTCTCGCCCATAAATAATCAATATGAACGATCGGATCTTGCAAATGTGGTAGACCGGGCGCTTCCAGACTCTCCGAGTGGAGGCTACGCTCCAGCAGTCGTCGATTGCCCAAAAACACTTCCCTCAATCCGCTTGGCGAATGGCCTCTCAAGCAACGAATCATCGTGGCTCAATCGCCGACGCAATAATACAATTGAGCCCTTGCGCACTGTCTTAGAGCGCGCCAACCTCAGCGACTTTGACGTTGGATCTTTCCTGGACTCGAATAAGAACAATGCTACCGGCCTCCCGGACATTGGGATCGCTATTTCGGGAGGCGGGTATCGAGCTCTGATGAATGGCGCAGGGTTTCTCTCGGCTGCAGATTCCCGCAACCGTGACAATGGCGGCAATGGATCAATTAGTGGCTTGCTTCAGGCCTCAACCTATCTCGCCGGTCTCTCCGGAGGCGGCTGGCTCGTTGGATCCATGTTTGCCAACAACTTCTCTACTGTACCCGACATGCAAGACGGCGAGAATGGCACCGCTTTATGGCGATTCAATAGCTCAATCTTCAGGGGCCCAGAGGAGAAAGGCATCGGTCTACTCAATTCTGTGCAGTACTGGACTGAAATAGTCGATGACGTTCATGCAAAGGAAGACGGTTGGAATACAACCCTGACAGATTATTGGGGCCGCGCTCTCTCATACCAACTCATTGGCGCAGCAGAAGGCGGCCCTGGATACACCTTTTCCTCCATTGCGGATCAAGAATTCTTCCAGAATGCTTCGGCGCCTTTCCCCATCCTGGTCTCAGATGAACGACCGCCGGGAGAGAAGATTGTAGCTATCAATACGACCATTTATGAGTTTAACCCGTTTGAACTCGGATCTTGGGATCCAACTACTTACGGATTCGCGCCTCTACGCTACATCGCTTCTAACTTTACTAATGGAACAATTTCGAAGGACGGGAAGTGCGTTCGTGGATTCGATCAGCTGGGATTCGTCATAGGTACCTCTTCCTCGCTCTTTAATCAAGCGCTACTATACAACATTACGGCAACTGGCAACGCACTCGGACTGCCACCTGTTATCACAAACGCCATAGAGAAGATATTGCAAAACCTTGACCAGGAAGAAGATGATATTGCCCAATATACACCCAACCCATTTTTAGGCTGGGATCCTACCAACAAGAGCATCAACGCAAACGACAATCAGCTCTCGCTCGTGGATGGGGGTGAAGACCTCGAAAACATTCCTCTGCAGCCGTTGATCCAGCCATTCCGAGATGTAGACATTATCTTTGCCATTGATTCTTCTGCCGATACATCAACCTACTGGCCTAACGGCACAGCCCTTCGTGCGACATACGATCGTGCCGGTACAAATATTTCTAATCATACACTCTTCCCGCCTGTACCCTCCGCGAATACATTCTTGAACCTGAATTTGAGTCGAAATCCGACTCTCTTCGGATGTGATCCCAGCAATTTTACTCTGTCCGGTAATGTAACTGTCCCACCTCTCATTTTCTACATTCCCAACGCTCCTTATTCAACGCTCAGCAATGTGTCCACCTTTGACCCTGCCTATCCCACCAATCAAAGCGATGCCATCATTCGAAACGGCCTCAACGCAGCGACCCAAGGAAACGGGACCGTTGATAAAGAATGGTCTACCTGCGTAGCCTGCGCCATCATGAGCCGGAGCTGGTGGAAGGCAGGAATCGCGACACCTGCTTCCTGCAAGTCGTGCTTTGATCGGTATTGTTGGAATGGCACGACGGATGATGCGAGTGTGGGGAACTATACACCCTCTTTTATTGTTGGGGAGGACTTTAAAATGACGAACGGCACTCAAAATGAGGGTAATGCTGGAGTGAGGGAGGAAATAGGCAGCACTTGGGCGCTGATTTTGGGGCTTTCTATTCTCTTTTTAATTTGATCAGGCGAGATATTTAGGTATTATTCGATTAATCCGGGGGGCCCGACTGAATTTGCTAGTATTGGCTGTCTATCTTGTTTGATCGTTTCGTTAATTGCAATAACTAGCTTAATAATTGCATCAGCTGTCGCAAAGCTCGTTGTAGCCCTGTGAAAGATCAGTACATGTCTCAAGTGCGATAATCAAGGAAAGGGTGACATACGATAAGCTTGCCCGGCTTTCCCTTGCAGTCGCTGGAAAGGGGGAAGCGGCGCTGAACAGACCAAAGCAGGGAGTCGGGGCCACGGTTGAACACTGTAGGAACATTGGGAGTCTTCTGGCGGAAGAGGAAGAGTTCGCCTGTGTAGCCAATGTTAGTTTCTCCATGAACTTGTAACATACCCTCGAAGAGGGTGACAACCTCGACGATGGTAGAGGCTCTCATGCCGAAACCGATGCCAGTAACATCCCACTTAGTGCCCTTGAGGTATTTGGCAAAGTCCTCCTGAGGCCACTCAGGTCCAGCCTAAACAACTAGAAAACAGTTGGCAATTTAAATAACATACTTTGCTTTTGGAAAGGGAATAGGACTCACTCTGGACATTGTAACCAGCCTCAAGAGTGGCATTCACGTCCTTGCGGAGTGCGGCATCAATCTTGACAGGATCCCAACCCTCCTCGATGACGAAGGGGTGGTAAGGAGGAAGTCCCTTGTTGACATTTGTTTAGCATAAATGTGAACACTTGGCAAGTTTCGATCAGCTGATATGTGTAGAAAACGTTGAATTCACCGCAACCGGGCAACTTGGGGACTTGGGCTTCGGCTCAGGTGCTGCAGTAACGGCGGCAACGTCAAGCGCGCCCAGGGTGAAGAGAGACTTGAGAGAACCCATTTTTGCGTCTTTTGATACGGCGGACGAAATTGGTTGGAAATTCTAGGGACAAGTTCCGGCAGTAGAAACAGGAAGCCTCTGCTTTGGTATACCACTCCCTATTTATTTGGATAGAGATGTGCACAATACGTACTGATCGAGAATCTGTAGCCAAGAAGCATTAACCCCAATAGCCGTATGTGGCTTGCCTTGGGCCTGCGAGGTATAAGTAATTTAAGAACCTAAAGAGAAAATATACTACTTACTAAGGAGTTATATAAATAATAGTAAATATATAAGGAAACTATATGGTAATTAATCCAGACTAGAATAGTAATTAGATTATTCTATTCTATATATAAATAAAATAAATAAAGAAAAGTATAAATGAGTAAATTATATAGATATCATACTAAAGACGCTGCCTGAGTCAAGCACGATCACGTCGCGCCTTGAGACAGACCAGCCAGCAGTCTAAGGTCTAGAAACCCGAGTTATGTCGCATCCTGGCAAATATGCCAGATGAAGTCTAGCATAGGATTTGTGAAGGCCTAGACGATCAGGTCTTGCTGAACGTGGGAGAGGTATACTACGTTAAGCCTGTTCCACTCTACAATCGATTAGCATCCCCTGCTTTTATATACCTCGTTCACGAACTCCTGTCTCCAGTACTAACCGATCATTTCGGGCGAGTCGTACAGGCATATAAGTCCCTCCTGGAATCGGGGCAGTCTTCAGGATTCAACGATGAAGAAGCGATACACACGATGGGCGAAGCTCTCAACATCAAGTTACTTACCATACCACTCGGGCATGCAATTGGCCAACGAGCCTTCCCTGTTTCTTGTGGATTCTAGAAATTCTTCTATAGCCTGATTCTCTATACTGGAAATACTAACAGCAGAGTGGCCTCATGAGTTTTGCAATACGCCGTGGAGCTGATGTGTCCGCGCCGCCGAGCGAATGCCCCAGGCTCAGGCTACCCATATGTGCTGCAGCTGAAAAGCGAACACCGAGAATCATGTCACAGCTGATACTGGCTGGCGGCGATGTGAACTAGAAGTGGGAACCCGACAACGCCCTATATACTGCTTCACGGGTAAACAATCTGGAGAGTGGTATAACTGCTGCGCAACGGTGCCCGTGTCAAGATCCTATACTCTGACGAAGGCTCTACACTATATATCGCTGCTGAAAAAGGCTATTGAGGGGTAATAGAGGAACTACTGAAGGTAACCCCCCCTACTGCGGGGCTTGGAATCCAGAGAGACTGGATAATAGGAACACCTTTCCTCTGCGCCGCCGAGAAAGAGCACCTGGGAATCCTTGAAGTCCTCGCTATCGACAGTTATAGTATATCTCAGTACGACTACCTATATATCGAGCTGTAATTACCCTATATACTTAGCCTCTGAAGAGGAATACCTAGAGGTAGCTAAGTACCCGTAGGGGCAATCGCTATTTCTAATAAGGACTATTAATCTCCGAAACCCAGGCAGGAAAACACTATTACCCTAAGCTGTTAGTAATAGGTACCCTGATATTATAGGATTAATACTCAGGCGCGGAGGAGATACTATTGCAAAAGGCCTCTGTAGTAATATACCTCTGTATAAGATAGCTGAAGGGTTATAATCCGAAGATATTATACTGCTCCTTACGATAGGTTATAAAATTAATACTCAGAATAACCTAGGGGAGATATCTCTATAAAGGGTACTTTGGAGTACTAATTGGGTAGCAGTAAAAATACTAGGGGTTTACAGGGCCGATATTACTTAACCCTGGCTATTACTCTATAATAAATATAACAGGGAATAATTTGAAAGGGTAAAAGATATACTCCTATAACTAATATACTGGAGATACTTAAGCTCTATTATTCGATAAGTAGGACTTATAAATAGACTAGCAATCTGAGGATTCAGACTAACGGGACTGCGGATGGTTATTAATATCAAGTATCGCACTAATGCAGCCAGATGTGATATAATATAGCGTAGAAAGAACCTAACTGAACAGTGGCACCTGTTCTTGAACATTAAAACGTGCCTTATTAAGTGGTATTGTGCTGAGCATCAAGGTAAGCGCAAATAGAGAAGAGAGAGCCCGGAGAATACTATAGGCTAGTCAGTTTGCATCGCCGGCTCTCCTCACTCCACGTGGAATCTAATATTACGAGTCCAGGTTAGCAAGGTTAGCCAGTCAACAGCTTCGGGCGGTGTGGATGAGAGATATATATTATGGGGGAAAAAATCCCCCAGGTAATTTCCTACTTTGCTGGTGACGACAAGAAGGTGCTGCAAATAGGGTGTACGATGGATGCATGGCGGGAAAGCCAATACGTTATTTCGCGCAGTGTCGTTTGGTAATGCGCCCTTTCCAAAAGACCTTCCCTTACCCGATGGTCCCAATGCCTCCATTCCAGGGCCGGAGGATGTCTACGGTGATGGTGATGTTATTCCTGAGACGACGTCGTTCAGAATGTTTTCCCTTGACAGGCCAGCGGCTTTCGAAGAGGCCGATCAGCTTTTATTCCTAACCGACGCTATCCAGGTAAGTCGGACGAGTCAGACTCAAGGTGCTGACAAGACTGAGCCCTACGCCATGCGGGTCCAAGGAACCGCAGGGTATTGGGTCCCGGAAGGCTACCTGGAAATATCTTATATATGCGTATCCTACCGTATTCCCAGAACAGCTGCTTAGTACTGAAGTTAAGGTTATAGGTACTCAGGAACTACTCTTAGAAGACCTAAGCTCGCTAGTTCAGAGATACCTTATTAACTTCGTAGGATTATATACTATTATCTATAAGATAGTATATTCCTATCTTGAGACTGGTCCAGATAGTCTGAATAAGAAAGAGATATATAATAATAATATTATAGGGGAAAAATAGATCTTTACTCCTATTCTTAGTAGCTATAATAGTAATACTAAGGTAAGAGTTAGTATAGATATTATCTATATAGGCAGACTCTTTAAACTAGTTACTAATAATATTAAGATTCTTTAGCTTATCTTAAATAATATATAGATTATTAATCTAGATATAGTAGACCCCTAGTATATAGGTAATTTAGATTATATTTTAAAAAATCTTTAGTAGAGCTAAAAGTTTAATATTCTATTTTATAGTCTTAAGACTATAGGTTTATAGTATCTTAATTTTAAGAGATCCCTAGTAATAATAGAGTATTATATATCTTATATCTCTATTTAGATCTAGAGAGCTATTTATTATATAGAGAAAGATATCTATAGAGCTAGAGCTTCCTATATTAATAAGCCTAATTAGAATAAAACTCTTATTTTTATAGTACTATAGATAAGTATTATATAATTTATAATATCCGAGCTATTAAGATATAAAGATTATAGTAGAAAATATATATAATATAAGAGGAGATTTAGATTTAGAAATAAGATCTACTACTATTAGTTTATTAGTTAAAATAGAATATATTACTAGAATATTATAATAATTATATTACTCTAGTAAAATTATAATATTTTTATTAATAGAATATCTATTATCTTTATATCTCAACATCGTCTCATTCTTCCGAGGCCGCTGGCGGAGCATCGGCGCTCCTCGGCTTCACGTCCGAGTTTACCTCGCCCGCCATGTCCATCGTCTAGCTGCGGGCGCGACACTACAACCCGCTTCTGCGCAGCTTCCTCACCATGGACCCGCGCCGTTTGCTCTCCACGCCAGCCTCGTCGTCCCCTGCCAACGACGACCACCATCACGGCAGCGGCAGCACCGCGCGTGTGACGGAGATCCGCTACGCCTACTGCGGCGGCGACCCGGTCAACCGCATCGACCCGACGGGACGGTCGTGGTCGTGGCTCAACGACCACCCGCACCTCACGATCGCAATCGGTGTCGGGGTCGCCCTCGCAGTCGCCGTGCTGGGAGGCCTAGTGGTCGAAGCAGCGGTCGGCGCTTTAGCCGCGCTCCTACCGGCCACCGTGCCGACCGCGGTGGTGACCTTCGCGAGCCAGTTCATCGTGGGCGCCGTCTCGGGCGCAGCGGGCGGGCTCGCGGGAAGTATAGCCACAGGGGACCTCGACAGCTACACATGGGGCACCGCAGGCCTAGACGCCCTAGAGAGTGGGCTGGGCAGCATGGCGACCACCTCTGTCCAGCCGCACTTCAGGACGCTGTTCAACTCCAAGGGGGTACAGCGGGTTGTGAAGACCGGGAAGCTGCAGAGCTTCCTGAAGTGGGGAGACAGGAAGGGCATCGGCGCGTTCGCTCAGGGCACCAGCAAGGGCATTCCTGCAGCGGAGAAGCGACTAGGGAGCGTTCGGGTTTGGGGTGATGATATGCTTGGAAATGGCCAAGGTCTGGGCCGACCAGGTGATGATGATGGATCAGAAGGGCAATGGGAGCAAAGTCGAGAAGTGCGGGCTGGCATATGATGGTTAGAATGGCTTGTTCTGTAGCTCACTGTGCTCAACCCATCACGTCTCTCTAGATAGTCCGGAGCAAATTATCAAGGACGAGTTTGTTGTTGCTCTCTTGAGTGTGCCCCTCGCCTAGCACGCTTAACTTGTCCGGAAAGGAAAAGGATTTCAGGAATTTTGCGGACGGTGAGGACGTGAGGTCCGGCCCAGCGCTGAACACAACCTCGCGGCGTTGACAACAACCAAAGTCGGGTTATGTGACAGCCACCCGAAAGGCCCAGAGAGCTCACATAGGTAGTACGGAATCATCCGATCATCACCTGAAGTCACTATGGCATAACACATTCTTAAAACACCGGAAAAGGGATAAAAGAGGATCTTTAGGTTTAAAGGCTATCGTATTAAATTAACTAAAGGTATGCTTATTCACCCGGGAGATATCTTTCACAAAGATAAATTTTCAATGCGAGTAGTGAAGACAAAGAGGTAGTTTAGATCTTCTGACCCCACCTCTCTATGCTCTGCGCTTTCAATCTTAACAAAATACTTGATTCATACGCCGAGGTGAGGTTCCTTAACTCAAAGGCGAGGTAATTACCCAAATTACTTCGTCATTCCCATTGCTATGTAATGTCCTGGCGAAAAGATGCCTGTCTGAAACTGTTAGCGTACATCTACGTGCGTCTGGAATGTGCTGACTGACGCCACTCTTGGCGGAGGATTGCAATGGCCCTCTTCCGTCCAGGGCATCTGACATGTTAGTTTTTCCTCTATAGTGTATGTAATTTGTCTGACCTTAAAGTCCTTTGCCAATTGTCCTTGATACTTTACATGTCGCCTTCGACTTCAATATGAAGTTTAGGTGTCTGTCAGAACAGGAAGCAGTATCCCAGATTGTTTCCAATCCAATATTTATTTTTTTCCTTGACTGGACAGTGATTAAAATGCATGTACTCCAGGCAGAGAACCTAAAAAGTGAACTTCAACTCAACCCGAAGAATGTGAAGGCTGAAAACAGCGAGTTATGCGGCTGAGTTGCGGCTGGACACGAGGTGGCGGCGAGCTGAAAGCTGGAGCGCTCCTCTGACTCTAATAAGCCACTACATCTTACGGCTGAAAAGCCCGAGAGCCTAATTTACGATATTTTTTCACATTTCGTTATTGCATTTGGCCGAAAGTTGGCCACGGCTAGGTGTATTGTGTTCTAGATCGATCATTTTATCTATATAAAGTCCTTCGACTCACAATCGTTAAAAACCTTACGGCCAAGAGCGTCTCATCGGAGCATCTCTGACACGGCATCTTTATTCATATTTTTTCAGGGCTTTACGATGGCTACTCCGCCTCCTCCATCCAAAGCCTGGGACCACCAGGTAGACGATCGTGTTAACCACATCGTCGAAAAGCTTGACCAAAATCCCGATTTCTCTGAGAAAAAAGCGCCCGGTCTTAAAGAGCTCTTGTCAGACTTTGCATCCCCCGACGTGCTAGTCTCGGGTATCGAGTTTCATCGGCGCCTTCTTCAAGTTTTCAAGGATTCAGAAACCGATGACACGTATTCGAAGACGTTGAGCCAGTATACACCCGAGGAGCAAGAGTAGATTAGGAAGTTTGCTGAGGGAGCCGATCCGAAAGACCTTGGCCAGAACTTCACCCTTGGGCCGAGCCTTGGCTGCCGGGAGGAGCTTTCCAAGCTCCAACAAGCAGACTCTATTGTTCAAATTACCCCCCGCAGTGGTGTCGAGGACATCACTCCCACGCATGCATCAGCCACAGCTTCGAATCGCACATTGAGCTCCAGAAGGTTCAGGGTTGCCAGCACCAAGCAAGTTGCCGATGACTGGTTTGACAAGGCTGTCAAGAATTTGGCGGAGTTTCTCGATGACGGCAAGCCTGATCAGCTAATCAAGGTATGGGAGTACCTCACAGCACTAGAACAAATACGAAGCTAGCTTATTCTTAGGTGTACAAAAATGCCGTATTCCAGAACTGGGGACTGAATATCACCAACACCCCTATGCTTACCTGCGTTCCCAGCTCCACTGAGGACATACAATCAATTGTCCAATTCGCTAAACTACGCAATATGAGCGTTAGGTGCTCTGGATATCGTCAGTCTACTCTACGGTATCGATTCGGGCCCCAGCTAACGTGTGGATGATAGGACACTCGTGGTCGCCAATCTTTGGCAAGAATGGTCAAATCCTGATCTCCATGCTTGATATAGCGACGGTCACGACACTACCCAACATTGCAGCGCTCCCACTTCCAGAGCCACCACCTAATAAGCTACAGGAGATTAGTTTTGTACCTGGTAAACCTCGAATCCCCGGAAACAAACTTGTCCGCGTGGGTTGCGCAACAACAAACGAACGGCTGCGCCGGTGGTGTATTGAGCAAGGGACTGTGACTCTTCCTCTCAACGTCATCATGGTCGAGATCACACTTGGTGGTAGTAACGCCCCAATCTGCCACGGCGCTGGCCGCCAGAATATGACGCTGAGTGACCTTGTCCGCAAGATTGAATACGTCGATGCAAACGGCGTGCCACGATCTGTTGAGAAACCCGAACACCTGCGCGCTGCTACTGGCTGTTTCGGCCTTATGGGAGTTGTTACATACATAACGATGGAGTTTGCGCCTATGAGCTACGCAGAGCTTGCTCCCAAGAAGATGCCCGTCATCCAGGCTGTACCTCCACCACCAGGTCTTGCCGAGGAGGATATCCCCCCTGCTCTTCTCAAGTACTGGAAACCCTTGTCTGCCGCTGAGAAGCAGAAGTGTCAGGCGAACTTCGAGAATCGGGCTACCAGCGACTACTATGCTGAGTGGTTCTGGTTCCCCTATTCCGACTATTCCTGGGTAAACACGTGGAACGCCACTAAGGATCCTAAAGGCGTAGTGTCCTTCCCGGACAAGACCCATATCTTCATCTCGTTTCTTCAAACAGTTACGATGAACATTCTACAAAACGCACCGTTAGTCAAGGACTTGATACAACTTGCCGGCCTATCAGAAGCTTCGGTTACACTCATCTCAGCCGCCGCAATGAAAGCACTCCCAGAGAAGCCTGTCAAGACCTTCCTCCCGGATGCTTTACACTTTCAGCGAGCAATCCAGAACGTCCGAGTCCTTGATATCGAAGTCGAGATGCCCCTCGTTGCAAAACAAGGAGGCCCTTCGAGCACAATAGACTATACTCCGGTTCAGCAGGCTTGGTGGGATGCCATCCTTCTTACCTACAAGAATAGCGACAGATGCCCTATGCGCATGCCTCTTGAGATGCGCATCATGGGTGGAAGTGACGTGATTATGGCGCCGTAACGTGGAAACTCTCTTGGTACCTGTAGTATCGAGGTACTGACTCTACACAGCGCGAAAAACATTTGGGGGCCATTCGCACAATCAGTCCTAGACAAGTGGGTAGCACTCAAGGACCCTTCAACAGGCAAAAGGCTGAAGATACGCCCTCATTGGGCCAAGGAGTGGTACAACTACAATGTTGACGGCAAACCGTGGGTCGACCGACTCAAATCGGTCGATTACAAGAATGAGAGACAGGAGTTTCTCCAGGTGCTTGCCGAGATTGGAAAAGAAGCAAACTGGTCGTTGCAAGATCTGCAAGCCAGATTCTCAAACGAGTTTTTCGACACATTCTTCTTCGATGAAACGGCGCAGACGGAGAGTGGGGAGGACGGGGCAAGTGGGATGAATGAGAAGGCTCGCTTAGCTTGATGGTTGAAGAAGGAGTACTTGGTAAAATCTATCCTTAGTTTCGTAGTTCAATCATCGATATCAGCTAATGCTGTACTACCTTTTTTTGCAATATATAAACTTTTGCGTTTCGAAGTTGCTATAGAATATCTGGCAAGAAATCTTGGCGTTAAAAGACTACCTAGTTTAGGTGGCCCAAATTGGAAACTTGTACTGCGCTACTATCGCTTCGAACGTGAATTATTAGAATCGCACTGTATGTACTTTAGCCAGTTTTTCAGTTTTGCCATAAAATCGTTAATTCGGTATACATTGCAATCGGCAAGTTCGATAGTAGAGCTAGTCGCGCTTAATACGTATAATCGCTAATTTACCCGATGCCATCATAGTATGTCCATTCCTATCTTTCATCCCATATATATACAACTAAGGACCCTACGGATTCGTGGTCACATTCGATGAACCCGGCAAGGTCGAGCACGTTAATATAACTCCTATGCCTAAACGTGAATTCAGGATGACCTACTTCATAACCTTTTCACGCCATATATATGCGCAAAGCCATGTATTGCTGAATCGAGTAATTTCATAATCACTAGCTTACTTCCGTGTCAACCATGACAAGGGTCAAGGAATCAAGCCATTCTGACAAGCGGGTCCCCTTTCAACGTTCGCTTCTGTTGGTAGGTCTTGATGTAGGACAGACTTGTCACTCCTGCTAAGTTCAAAAAAAAAAAAAAAAAGGAAAAAGGGAACAAATGGCCAAAAAAAAATCCGTGCCTATTAAGGTCAATAATCCACCAAAGACATGGAGCTTTCAAATGTCTACCTCTTACCCATCGGTGTTCATTGAGATGTTGTCGTGTCAGCTCACTGGTGTCCTCATGTGGCTGACGAAGCGGCATTGCAAGGGCCTCAAAATCATCCCACCCGCCCCTCCGGCCGGCCCGTGTGTCAACTTGGCACCAAATCCTTGAAAATACAATCTATCTTTCTGCACGAAGCGTTGCGGGAACTGGGTCACTCTCTGGCTCACTAGGCAGTTCCTAGAAGCCATCGGAGGATCAGGTGGGATGATTTGGCATCTTCTCTATATTTCTAATACCTCTAGCCAGCGAACAGTGGCGGGATGGTTTGAACCACAAATCATTATAAATAGCCAGCAGTGCAATCATCTTGGTACTCACGGTTTTAAATCACGATCTCAAGTATAACTTAACACCTTAGGCATAACTTAAGCAAACGGTGCACAATTTGTCTCCATTCTTGCCTTAGATCATCACTCTCTGATCAAGATGAGATTCCTTATTATTGGCGGAAGTGGTCGCACTGGCCAACATGTTTTGAATGCTGCATTGAAAAAGGGTAAGAGAGGCTTCCGAGGCCATCATCCACATGCCTAAAAAGCCAGTGAGAAGCAAAGCTGAGACATCTTCTAGGACATCAAGTCACAGCCCTAGTCAGGAAGGAAACGTCTCTTGACAAGCAGAAAGGCCTTGACATTGTTGTGGGGTCACCATTTAACGAAGCCGACATCTGCAAGGCGATCTCATTTTCTGCCTCTCCGATTGATGCGGTTTTGGTCACTCTAAACGCACCAAGGGCTAGCGACAGCCCCTTCTCTGCGCTTGACCCAAACCTACCACTAGACTTTCTGACCCAATGCGCTCGAAACACCATCTCGGCTATGCGTGCTGCTAGTCCCCCGGTCCGAAAGATCGTTATCATGTCTACCGTCGGCACCGCAGAGTCAATAAAGAGTTCGAATTTCATCATGCGCTTCATGTTCACTCGCACCAACTTGCGCTATACTAGAGAGGACCATGAGGGGGTCGACCGGGAGCTCCGAGCGCTCAAAGACATTAAGTACGTCGAGGTTCGATCCACGATATTGACGGATGGCGATGCTGCACCAGTCAAGGCGTATCCTGACGATGGCGCCGGATCTGGATTTATGCCCAAGATCTCTCGTGCCAGCGTGGCCGAGTTTATGGTTGAGGCAGCCGAGGGCTCAAAATACGACGGTTGCGCACCGGTGATTTCGAACTAGACTGAGCTGTATGAGAATCCATCATTGAGCCAAGCAGCGTTTGTACCTATAGAAATTACTTCGACTTAATTATGGTATCCGAGTTAACTATGAGAGTGCCGACTGATACACTTGTGGGGAGCCAATGCGTAAATCGCAAATACCAATCGTTCTTAGTAATAAATCAAGCAGTTCGCCGAGCAGTTTGCACTGCGCGAGGCCACAAACCCAACCAAAGATACGATGTTCCTAAACTACCAGTATCTCGGCAGGAGTCGTTGAGTGGCCATGGAAGGGGTGGCCGCTCAGTAATGCATTAGGCCCCTAGACGACAGGAAGAAAGCTATCTAATGCCTATACTCTAAGATATACTCTTTCATCGCATTATTAAATTGATGCGTCTTACCATGGCCTAGGCATACACTTAGCCAAGTAATAGATTGCTCTAAAAGTCGGGGACTTGTCCGGAGCCAGGCATATTCATGGCCAGCATCGAGTCTTTGTCAGCCAAGCTCGCTAAGCGGTACACATGAATCAGGCGCCATGAAGACTCTGTATCCCTCTATGAGAATGAGTCAGGCTAGTGCTGGCCCAACAGTCTCAGTTCGGTTATCAGCGGCAGTCACAATAGATACAGCAAGGCATGGCTCAAGAAGGAAGAGGCCATGGCTGCCTACCTTTCCGGAATGATGGTCTGTCAAGCTAGCGTGATGGCGGAAACTCTGAAACGTTATTGCTAGCACGCAGTAGGTTGGGGCAAGTATAGAATAAGTAGAGCACCTGGCTAGCTCGTAATGGTTGCCCTTGAAGCAGTCACATCGTGGTGTTGTGGCCTGGGCGTCGGTGGTAGCACAAAAAGGATCATGGCTTGCATAGGCGATATCCGTGGCGTCCAACGGCAAAACGCGTAGCTCGTGGTCCGTCTCCACTCTTGAACCCAAAGTGTCGGTTTATGCCTTGATTAGGAAAGGCGACCAGCTTATTAATGCTACTCTGCACTCTAAATCGGCCTGTAGCCAACGCCACGGTAATTCATATCGACTGACTTCGACCACATCTACTCTTGACACAGTCCGACCCCAAGCCAATGACTCAAGAGGTAAGCACAGTAAGGATCCAATCTCCCATGTGATACAGACGAAATTACCTCGTTTACCCGGTGCGGGGGATTGTACGCTAACGAGTTCAGCTGTGAACTAGCGCAGGGGCTAGGTGCATCCTCCAACCGCTGCCACTCGGGTAAGCGGTTGTGGCATGAGCGAGCTGGACGCATTCGTCCTGACGAGACACGCACTGACTCGCGGACCACGGAGCAAATTTTCCAACGGTCTGGATGGCTGGGTCTGGGCTGGCCCTCATCGCTGCCAACCACGCCACGAATCGGCGATTACTCGCTAAGCGTCATACACACTGTGCACATGCAGGGCCTTGAGGGTGTCGATGGCAAAATTGGCTTGGTCTAAACCGCGCTGGGCCAAGTCGGCGTAAGCAGGCCAGGTTCATGCTTGACCGACGGGTCTCAGATCCAGCACACCGTTGAGAGGCTTGGGAGGCTCTACGGCTGCTAACATGTACCACCACGTTGCGTTTGTCTCGTACGGCAAGTCTTATGCCGATCATGATTAATAATAGAAAAGATGGTGACTTCAAAGCTTTCTTGCAATCCCCTCAGTCACCTGTAGCCTCGGGTGTTATGACTGGAAGTTAATACGCACATCCTCCCCCCAGCCTTGGAGGGCCACCCTTCACCTTGCCGCAATTACGCTTCTCCGTTTCAAGCACGATGAACGTAATTGATACCGTGCAGATACACTGTACTTATGGATCATTCCCCGCCGATTCCTACTAAGGCGCCCCCAGTGATCTACGTCCCAATGGTCATTCGATCTCTTTTTCATCCCAAGATTGTTATTTTCTTGGTCCGCTTTCATCCCAAGCACGGATCATGAGTTCGTTCTCTCTCTCTCTCCAGTCCCTAGAGCTCTGAGAGAGGGCGCAAAGGCCAAGAATCCCTCCCTTTGTCTCATCGACACACAAGGGGAAAGGGCAGGGAATGCTCGTATGAGCCTTGTAACGTACAGCCTCCGACGTTGACAAGACGTCGATTGGAGGAGGACATGGGCTACGCTGGGACAGGCGGCGACTCGTCGTCAGAAAACAACTACACCATCACCATCCTCATCGCCATGTGCATGGGGATATCGCTCTACAATGTCCTCGAGCTCAACATCCTCATCGCTACCACCTTTAGGAAACGCCACAGCCTCTACTTTTGGAGCTTTCTCGCCGCCACCAATGGCATCGCACCCCACACCGTCGGGTTCCTGCTCAAGAACCTCGCCTCGTCGACAAACTACATTCTCTACATCACCCTCGTAGCCATCGGGTGGGTCGCGATGGTGACGGGCCAGTCCCTCGTTCTCTACTCGCGACTCCACCTCATCTTCTGGCACAAGTTCTACCTGCGCCTCGTCCTCGCCATGATCATCATCAACGCTGTCATCCTGCACGTCCCCATCATCGTCTTCATGTACGGCTCCAACAGCTCCGACTCGAACCCTTGGGTGCGTCCATACATGATCTACGAGAAAGTCCAGGTCACCGTCTTCTTCCTCCAGGAGCTCATCATCTCGGCCATATACATCAAGAGCTGTTCATCCTTCTTCGGCACCGACAGCATATGGCACCGCAGCGGCGTGCAGAAGATGCGCAAGCACCTGCTACTCGTCAACGTCATGATCATCCTCCTCGACATCCCCATCCTGGCCCTCGAATACACCGACTACTACGACTTCCAGACGGCGTACAAGCCCCTCGTCTACAGCATCAAGCTCAAGCTGGAGTTCAATATTTTGAACGACCTTGTCAACCTGACCATTGGCAACGACCGCTCTCGCTCACATAGCCAAGGAGCAGCCAGTCGCGCTGCAGCATCTGGTATCAACATGAGCGCCTTTCGCGGAGATGAGGCCGAGTATCGGGCCACGGTTCATGGTGGGAGGAGTAGAGTTACTGAGCAGGACAAGTCGGACACGCGGCCCAGCGTCGAGAATGCCATTATGCGAAGTACGGAGATCTCCGTCCATTGCGTCGAGAGGAGAGATGATGATCACGATAGCATAGAGAGCAGCTCGGTACCAGCTACCGAGGCCAACTATGCAACGATGAAACGAACAGGAGGCATATCGACTACATCTTCAGAAGTCAACCTCGCTACAAGAGGGGCCTAGTAAATACATGTGACGATGATCACCATAACAATCAAAAAATTAATTAACAATAATTGACCACAATGTTTATGGATCATCATGTCGGATGAACTAGATTTGAAGCCCGTGTCTCTTTATTATGCCGAAAGGAACAGTGGCACAAGATGGTTGCATGGTCTGGCAACCAATGGTGTAAAATTCCACAGTAGTCAAAGACGCAGGAATCATGAGGAATGTAAAACGAGTATCATCCATTTATGAGTAACAAAGCAGTGGTGTATAATGCTATTTATACCAGCACGTTGGATAGATATATATAAAAGACTTATTATACCAAAACAGAAGGGGATAAAAACCAATTTTCAGAAGGAAGAACAGTATGAAATGGTTTTTGTCTTGATATCGTCGGATGTGAAATGGACAGAGAGTGTCGATGTAGGGTAGGTATTTGGAGAGGTGCTGTTTGACTCACTCAGACGCCGCTCCTGGTTGAATATAGCAGATGATTTGTATGCCTATAATAACAGTATCTTAATTCTGAAGATAATATGCTGCTACTCGATATCAGAGTAGTTTTTCAAACCGAGATAATCAGTCAACATTTCAACTGTTATCGTCTATTGTGGCTTATGTTGACTAAGATTAATCAGCGAGGAAACATAAGGTGTGGCGTTTCTATGCTTATGTCATGCACTCGCAGAATTCATTACTGTTTCGGGCGAGATCACGTGAGTACGTGAATAATTAAGTGGTGATTGTTTACATCTTGACCTTCTCAGGCGAAGGAGCATGCGCTTCCCTCGCATCACAATAACGGCGAAAGAATGAGACCTTCCGAGGTGTGCCCGATATGAGCAGTGAAAAGGCAATTGAACTGACCGTCCTGATCGACGCGACAACGCGCAGCCCAGAGTGGCAGGGCCATGCTGGTGGAAATCGCCAAGTTCAGTGCAGTCCACGTGAAGCAGGCTTACAACAACAGGTACCTGTAGGTTAGTAGCGAATGAACAGCTGGAAGGAGCATCTCCTCTCTAAGTCGATCACCCTGATGTAGCAGTTTGCTTACACGCACAGCAAGAACTCAACTAACACCGCTGTAGTTACTGACGCCATGAATTTCCTATACACCGATTGATTTAACAGGTCTATATTGTGAGCCGCGATCGCGACTCTACCATGCTTACCTCACGTATCCGTGAGTTTGGCTTGCTTGTGTACGGCCTCGGGGAGCGCGAAACGCTCTTATCCACCTACTATCAGTTCATTTACATGGAGAACCTGGGGCCGAATCCAAAAGCTAACCTCGGCCATATGCCCGGCACTGCCAGAAGGAGCGCACTGCCATGAAGGAGCACGATCAAGCGCGGATTTGGCACACTTTCAATGCCGGAAGAGGCGAACCGGCTGATGTCCAGGGCTAGAGTAGCAACATCGGACGACAATGGCGGGGCATCACTCGCAGAGCTTGGGTTTCAGATCCTGAACTGGCAACCAGCTGTCAGCTCTGGCACCTATGGCTTTGAGAAGCTCAGCTCCGGCTGTAGTAAAGTGGTCGCACAATCTCAGCACTCGAGGGCCACGAAAATCAAGAAGACAGTTTATATGAACGCAGGAGAAGTTTGATATACGACTTTAAGTAAACTGCTACAATTAAATCAACTATCGTCAACACCTCCAGTATCCGATCCTCCCTCATGCTACCGACCTCCTTTGCCCCGCGTTGGCATCTGTGGGCCATAGGCCATTAATCATGCTCAGGTCACCTCTGGCCTCTTCCAAAAGGAAACGGGTGCAGTTCACGGGCTCTCCAAGAACGCCGCAATCATGACATTTTCCACTGTGCCCGGCACATACCGCCAAGAGGTCAGGGAACGACTGGATGAGGAATTCGGTCGTCCCGATATTCTCTTGCTCGACTGGTCAGTATCGAGCGGCACTTCCGGAGCCGCTTACGATACGCTCACGGTCTTTGCCTGTGATACTGATGAGGGGATGGCACTCGTTGATCCCGTCCTCTAAGTCACTGTCGCAAATTCCGGTGACAGTTCAGATCAAGTAACGAAAGTTGCCCTTCATCGTGGGCGCCTCAACCGCATTATCCAGAGCCTCCACCTTAATTGTATCTGTCCCGTTACTCTGCCTCATCTCCAAAGCTGACTCACGAGCCTCGAGCTTCTTGTTCGAATTGATGAGTATCATACGGAAGACCCAACATCCAATAACTGTAGTGCCAAACATGGAGAGCACTATCCCATAGCTTTTGCGGAAGCCGTCCGCCTCGAGCTGCCACACATAAGAACCCGCAATATTACCCAACTGGCTAAAGGCGTTGATGATCGCGATAGCTACTGCGCGCTTGGCCGGCGGACGTGGAAAAGACGAGGAGATCCAAGAGAAGAAGACGATGAAGCCGGCATAAGAGCTTGTCTGTAGAAAGAGGGCAATATATCGCGCGGCCACATTGAGGGTCGACATGCAAATGATGAAACCGGCCATGCCGACGATAATCGGGCCGGAGATGTGCCAAAACTACTGCTGTTAATACTTGCACCTGTACTGCATGTCAACGCATTGGTACATACCTTTTCTTGAGTTCTATCAGCATGCCAGGCATTGACGATTGACACAACGCAGGAGAACACCCATGGTGCCGAACTCAGCAAAAGGGTAGGAACATATCCAAAGCCCAACGTCGCAGTCAGAGTGGGAAAGAAAGCATTGAAGGAAAGACCAACGACGTAGGCTGTAAAAGTAACCATCATGATGTAGATCTTGACATCCCTGATGGCCAAATTGAATCCGTGGAAGATGCCCTCCTCTTTCAAGTCCCTGTCAGCCCCTCCAACATCCTCAATAATACGCAGCAGTGCAACCTGTCTCTCCTCCTCTGTGAAACCGCTTGAGTTATGGGGTAAATCAGGTAGGATAAATACTGCTACTATAGCAACAGCCATAGAAACAGCGCCGATAATCCAGAAAAGCTAACGCCAGGCAGAATGACCTAGCGTACCTTGCATATTGGAAAAGATACCAGCGGCTATGAGTGCTGGGAAGGCATTGGAGATCAAGTTGCCAGAGAAGAGGATCGCAGTCCTCGTGGTGAGTTCGCGGCGTGTATACCACTTGGATAGGATCAAGAGGACACCGGGAAGTAAGGCTGCCTCAACGATCCCGAGAAAGAATCGCACAAAGAACATGCCAGAAAAGTTGTACGTACTTCCAGACAGTATTGATATAGGTCCCCGAATCAGCACTACACAGGCAATGTACAATGACGGCCGCTGAATGCGGTTGATCACTATATTGGATGGGACCTGCATTAGGATATACCCAAGATATAAGATACCTAGACAAGTCGCATATTGGGTGTCACTTAATCCAAGATCATCCTGAAGGCCTTTGAGACGTGATGCTGGTATACTGTTCCTATCTAGGTAGTTGGTGACGTAGATCAGGACGAAGGGACTGCATCGTGCGTCCAGCTTCCTTGTCAGCTGCCTCTCAACGATCGCTCGGCGGACAGGATCTATGAATGGTATGCTGCCGAAAGGAGAATCTGACATTGGAGCGCTGATAGATCTGCCATTGGCAGACTCTTCGATGGGCTGGGTGAGGAGAACACCCATGATGTTTTTTTCCCAGTGATGAGCGAGAGTGATCCGTCAGTTTGTGATGAGCTTGTGCTTCCAGGTCAGGTTTTCAAAACTATCAAAGACATTGGATGGTAAAAATCGTGTAGGGATATAGGGAAACCTATGTGGGCTAGTATGGGCGATGACCTATACGAAGGATGGAATTTTCGCGGTAGGCCGTGGAATTTGAGAGAAGCCCGTGGGCACGTAGGAATACTGATTAAATCATTCAAAGCAAGCAGCTGAGTATAAAGTAAAGAAAGGTCACCTCTGATACGGACACTCCATGCCGCAAATGACAAAGCATCGGACACACCGTAAATTAGCAAACCCACCGACAGGAGCCGATTGGGCTCATTACAATTTGAGGACCGTTGATTTGAGTAAAGCCATCCTGGTTGATCATAGAACTGAACTCCTAAGAGCCATGAGGTCGGACCTGGTTAACATCTTAGGCCCCCACTCGGCGCCGAATTTCCCATTTCGGCAAACCAGGGCCGAAGACATTGCGCGAATAATTTTTCTTCAAGATCCGGGACTGAGATGAAATGTCGGTCCTGAGCCTGTTCTGAAGAACGGAAAACAAGCCCATACCTGTGATGTGTTGGAGACATTGTTTTGACAATCTGATTGAGAGCGATAGTGAGGATCTGTATCTGTTTCGTAAGTAGAGCTTGAAACTGGAAACTACAACATGGCATTAGAGTATAGGAAGTCGGTAAGTGATTCGCGGCCAGGGATCTATACTTACGGGGAAGACATTTTGATTGTGTGTCGGGAAGACGTGGAGGGTTAAAGTGATGAACTGAGTGCTTAGGGCAATCAGTCAGAATTTACAACAACCTTGGTTATAAATGCGTCTTGTAAACATCGCTAAAAATTGCTTCATAGCATCTGTGTGAATGTAGACTTCGAATCAAGTTTGCAATTAAGAAAAAGAACTTTTTCTCATAGAGCTGAGTAACAACTTCATAATAATCTAGAAAGGCTGTACCTCAGGGATTAGAATGCGTTGAGAATGAGTTGATGATATAGAATAGAATGACACTTTCGGAACAAAATAATAAGCCTGATCATCACCTTTCTATTTCGGCTTGAGTATAGCCTTGGAGACCTTCATCAAATCGACATTGACATTTCCCTCCGCGACCATAGAGGCCTCGTGCTAAACTAACTTGCCTACCACATACGGGCGGAGATTTCGAATATAATGTAAAAAAAAACCAATTGAAGATGCCAGGCCTGACATCTCGTGGACTGATTGAGAGGCGAGGCATATATGCTTGCACGTTTGTGCAAGAGCCTAGTATCCTGGAGTACAGGGAGAGCAAGGTACAAAGCCGAATCCATAAAAAAATTTGGGTACGTTCGCTCGATAACGCCTTGCTCGGAAATGTTCTGCAGGATTATTGCTAGTAAAACAGCCGCACCCAAACACTATTGCTCTCTGTCTTGATTGCTGGTCTTCCAGGATAGACCTGGCGTGAAACTAGGTAATTATGAAGTGAATAACTCAATACTAAGAAACACATGATGCTGTCCAATGTTTGCCACATGATCAGTAGCTGACAAACGGGAAATTCTTCCTCTTGCTCGAGTTGCTCGGCCATGACCCTTCTTGGCCCAGGTGGCCCGAAGTGGGAGAGGGTGCAGTAGTGGGACATGGCGCCTTGCTACTGGGGGTGCTTGTGCAAACGATTATTGACCGGCTCGAGTCACTTGACGCTATTACCTATACAGACACATAAAGTGTTTGAGAAGGGAAGGTATCAGCAGCCTCGTTCCACTCTCGGGATGATCCCTGCCCGATGTAGCACCATCTGATTAGATGGCCACATCCTGGCTGTCTTGGCTTACTGGAGTAGAGAGGAAATGGCCTCTTGAAAGAAGAAATTTCAAACGGGTTTCCACCGTTATCCATTCGCAAGCTGGGGGTTGTCAGCAGTATTCCGTTCCTGTCCCCGACTCCGGAGCAGGTGAGCGCAACAGCAGGGGCAACTATTAACCATTCATTACATTAGGTAAAGTCGCCCGATCGCCAGAATTTTGATAATTGTCTCCCTTTCTCCCCAGCTACTCTTCTTTCTTTTCTTGGGTCAACTGGCTTTCATTGGATTTTCGATACGCAACCATATTGCCACAGCATGTCGATGCCTGTTGGCAACAAAGAGCCTGATGGCTCCCAGCCTCAGGCGAATCCTGACCAGAAAAACACCGCGTCCACACAGTTTTTTGAACCGGACGAGAAGCACGACAATTCCACGCGCGATGACGATAGCCACCGGTTAGCCGGCGTGAGCAAGGTCGAGGCCTTCAATAAAGTACTCTACCAGTCTGGTAAAAAAGGCAAGATTCTGCTCTGGTTGCTTGGTGTTTCCGTCGGGCTCACCATGTTTGCCTACGCCCTCGACATGGGCATTACCACGACCATCTTTGGTACCTTGGCTACCTCGACTTTCGGTGTACATAGCCAGCTAGGCACCGTAAATACCGCGAGTCAAATCATCCGCGCCATCAGCAGGCCTTTTATTGGAAAGCTGGCTGACATCACCTCGCGACCGACTACATATGTTGTGATTCTTGCCTTTTACACCGTAGGCTTTGCAGTTGCAGCTAGCGCCTATAACTTCACATCCTATACTATCGGTATCTGCTTCACGTCGGTTGGCAAATCAGGTCTCGATCTTCTTAGCGATATCATTGTTGCCGACTTGACCCCTCTGGAATGGCGCGGCTTCTTTGGCGCCTGCCTATCCCTCCCGTTTATCGTGACGGTGCCTATTAATGGTTTTGTCGGCGATGGCTTTTATGAAAACTGGCGATGGGGGTTGGGTATGTTTGCTATTCTGGTGCCTGCTCTTCTTATTCCTGCCATATCCACGCTCTACGTGATGCAACGCCGCGGCGAGAAGGCGGGCATGGTCACCATGGCCGACTCGAGAGACGTTCGCGTAGGTGCTTCCGAGTCCACGCCTAAGAACTTTGTGTACTGGGCCAAGCTTGGGTACCGAGCTTTGATTGATATTGATATTTTCGGTCTTATTCTCCTTGGCTTTGCCTTCTCGCTTATCCTCTTGCCGATAACCCTGGCTAAGAGTGCCAAAGGTGGATGGGATAACCCGAGTATGATCGCGATGATTGTCGTGGGCTTTGTTATACTTATTGTCTTTATCTTGTTTGAGGTATTTCTTGCCCCTAAGCCTCTGATGACGAAGCAAATCTTGAAGAATCGTGCTTTTATTGCTGGAGTCATTATCCATACATTCAACCAAATGGCCTCATCCGTCCGCAACACGTATTTTTCATCCTACATCCTTATCATCAAGGATTGGACTAACTACCAGTGGATCATCTTCCTGGGAATCACCACCATGGGTTTATGCCTAGTTGGACCTGTTGTAGGCCTGATTCACCGCGTTTCTCATCGGTACAAGAGCCTCATGATTTTTGGCGCTGCGGCTAAGATTCTGGGTTACGGCCTGCTAATCCAACCGAGCGGCAATATGACGCAGGATACCGCCCGTCTAGTGGCGGCACAACTCATCTTCTGTCTCTCATCTCTCAACGTCGTTGGAGCCCGTGTTGGTGTCCAGGCCTCTGTCCCCCATGACGATGTTGCCTCAATCATCTCCATTATTACCTTGTGGTCTACCTTGGGGTCCAGTATTGGTAGTGCCGTCGCGAGCAGCATCTGGACGGAGCAGATGATGGACCAGATGAACGTGGAGCTGCCCGGTGTTTCCCCTAGTGTCATCAAGAAAATCTATGGCAATATTAAGACGCTCAAGACTTATGCGTTCAACGATAACATCCGCCAAGGCTCCATCCGCGCTTACGCTATTGTCAACGGGCACATCACCGTCGCTTCTATCTGCTTGTCCGTGGTGCCTCTGATTGCATCCATATTCATGCCCAACTACTACCTCGGCAAGCAGCAGAACGCCGCCAATAACAAGGGTCTCGACGGTGAGGTTGTCGACGTACCGGACAAGCGCGAGGGGAGTGAAGACGCCGTCGCGCAGCGAAGGCCTGCAACATTCTGGCAGAAGGTGCTTGCTTTGTACCACAAGTAATGATCGGAAAGTATGGAGTGTGCGAGGATCGGGTTTTTGCGAAATAATTTTGAAGAATTTGGGCTTTCAAGTTCTTTCAAGTTTGTTGTTGTCCGTGCATGATCGATCATCTGGCGCCTGAGGTATGGTTGGGATGGCTTCAATGTAAATATAGATCGCCATGTATAAAACTAGTTCAATTTCAAGTATTTGAGAATCTGCGAGCCCAGCAGACCTGGCGAACTTTTTATTTGTTCAAGTCAAGGATCAGGTCGAGCGTATGGACAGTGAGTTGTATTGACGAAAGGTGTGCATGCTTGAACACCGGCACAAGTCGATCTACTCATCCAATTCAACCTGTGGCAATACGACAGGGTACTGCCCGTTTCAGATGCGAAAATGCTCTACTGACAGAAACAGATATCTCCGACTGACGGACCACGTGATAACTTGACCCACAAACCAAATTATCTGATCATCTGATAACTTTCAATTCTCGCTTACCCCTGAACTTAATCCTCCCGCACTATGCCTCATGCTGGCTGCGCTTATCCCTCACTTGCCAGACTCACACCAGAGACTTGAACTCGGATAGGATCCGGTTCACCCAAAGAAAATGCGCTCTTGGCGGCTGAGTAGTACAGCATATTGTCTCGCTACACTCTTCTTTGATAACTTTGCTCTCGCAGTAGCACCGGTAGTTGGCGGCGAGGTATGCGGGAAAGCTTGCCGACAGACATTCCGGACATTGGGATTCTCGGATGCTCCTGACGGGGTCTTTTTCGCAGTACAAGAGTGTACTAGCCGTTTATATCAGCAATCAGTCCATCTCTGCTGGGAAATTTACTGCTCCGAAGATGTTTGGGTTTTGGAGTCAAGAGGAATCAACCAAACATGTCAGGAGATTGACGGCTCACAATTTCCAACGCACGATATCATTGCTGGATTTACAGATGAAGATGTAGTCCAGATTGCCAGGTTCAACGCGACAAGCCCAGACCGTGTACATCCCCTTGATCAGTTGATGTTGCCATCACGAGCCTTTTACGATCTTTGGGGCCGAACGCTGGTCAGTCTTCCCTTCAAATGCAAACTCGTCTTCAAGTTAGATAACTCACCTTTATGTAAAATAGGACGCACATGATTATATATGGGATAAGCATTATTATTACGGTTGGGCAATGGGAATCTTTTGGGCAGTGGTTGTCGCAGTCGGAGTTTTAAATCGAGCGCTCATGCAATGGGAGGCTTGTAGACCTCGAGCGTTTAGGACCCAGCAACGAACAGACGTTTGGTTCAAGCGCCACATTCTTGCGCCAGCGACGTTTGGCCGGCGTTGCGTCCAAGACTTTGGAGGCTGGGGTACTTTGCCTCCACGTGTGCAGACATTGACTCTGACGCTGTTTGTGCTCATCAACATAGTGTGCGCCGTGCATGGGTATAGGTTCTTTGAGGGTTACGGCTAGTGAGTCCGCCAACTGTTGGGGTTCTGTTTTTTTTTTATTCTTTACTAAAAGAAATACGCGCAAGTTATCCGACTATAGGAATGCAAATCCTCCGGCACGTCTCTGATAGAACGGGCATTATTTCATTTGCCAACTTTCCCCTCATCTGGCTTTTTGGAATGAGAAATAACGTGGTCATCTGGCTGACAGGCTGGGATTTCAAAACATACAACAATTTTCACCGCTGGGTCGGTCGGCTTGCCGCCCTGCAAGCCATCATCCACTCAGTGGGGTACACGGCCCTTATTCTACAAAGTAAGATCCCATATGTACCTTTGAGAGAGCTGTCATTGACCTTTAGTAGGGGGCGGTTGGGATTACTTCTGGCGGATGTGCAATATGACGTACTGGTGGACTGGGGAGCTGGTGAGTTATCCAGCCGTCTACCAGATGCCGGAACTGACTCTTTGATAGGCAACAATTTTCATGTGTTCTCTTGTCGGCCTATCAGTTTATTGGCTTCGGCGTAGGCAGTACGAGGTCTTCCTCTTGCTTCACATAATCTTATCGATCTTGGTTCTTATAACTATGCTGGGGTAAGTCGTATGGTGAAAGGAAATAATTGGCTATGGAGCTAACTACCTCCAAGGCATGTGTCAATATTCAAAGGCGATTATGATGCTCTCGTGTGGATTCCGGTCATGATATGGGTACTGGACCGGGTTGTACGCGGCGCGCGGATCGTCGCTTTTAGCCCACAGTTCTGGAATGCAAAGGCCCGGATTTCCTACAACGAGGATGCACATATGATTCGTATGGTCGTCCCAGTGTCATCCAGTTTGTACAGCATAGAGCCTGGGACATTTTACTATCTCATGGTGCTCAACAAATGGAACTTTTGGGAGAGCCACCCATTCACCGTAGCATCGGTGTCAAAGGTTGCTCGGTGCGACGCAGAATCCCTGAACGAGCACTCGCCCTTGTTGAACTACTCATCAACTGTCTCTGAAGAAATGAGATGCTGGTCGGGAAAGTCTGAACAAGAAATGACCTTTTTGATCCGGCCTTATGATAGCTTCACTTTGCGCTTGAAAGAGTATGCGGACGCCCAGCGGCCAAAGCCAGCTACAGTACGAGTGGCTATTGACGGTCCTTATGGGAAGCCTCTACACTTAGAACGGTTCTGTAAGGTGCTTTTTATAGTTGGTGGCAGTGGAATTGCTGTCCCACTCTCGTATCTTGACAGGCTTACAAGGTCTCAGAGCCGGCCAAAACTGATCCATATTCACTGGGCAGTACGTCAGTGTGCTCTGGCAATTGACGTACTTGGTCATGAGCTCAATAGTTCATTCAACAGTGGACAAGTCAAGATCAACATCTACGTGACTAGTGTTGATAGCAGAAGGACTGAAGATGAGGACATCTGCCGCCTTGCAGAGTGGAAGTTTAAACGGTTAAATGTTGAAGAAGTTATAGAGGGTGCCCTTAATACCGGAGAGGAAGAGAGCCTTGCGGTAGTCACAAGCGGCCCGGCCAGGATGGCCGACGAGAGTAGATATGCAGTAGCAGCCAGGGTGGTGCATTCTTCACCCTATATCGAGTATTTTGAGGAGAGTTTTCAGTGGTAGTGAGCGGTCATGATTACAAATGCTTTATAGAATGATAGAAGTTAGATCCAATGTGCGTACTTAAATGAAATGTGCCTTTATTGGTCTGAAGACCCTGGTAAATACTTGTCTGGACCCGATAGGGCGCATGGATAAGCCACATATACGCGACTTGTACTTGTGTGTGCACCATATTTCTGCTAGTTTTAAACTTATATTCCACTTCGAACGGCCAGGCAAGCTGGGAGTAGATGATAGCCCCTGACGTGAAAAACCATTTGCTTTCAGCCTCATACAGTTGAGCTAGAAATGCGGCGAAATTTCGTTGTTTCTCAGGACTAATTTTTTTTTTAAATATATTCGATCATTAGTTTTAATTGCTATTATGATTGACCAGGGGCATCGCACTATCTCTGACACTATCTTCAGCTATGATTAGTGACAGTCCAGATATTCCTGTCCAAAACGCCCCCTTGTCATCTCCCACGGCCTCTCCAGTTTTAGGATAGAGAATTATCTGCTGTTGGAGAAGGTTTGTGAAGTCTACCAGCTTGGACTGCTGATCAGGCGATCTTTCTAATGCAATAGATACGACACGATCTTCAAAGTTCACCACCGCGGATGTATCGGCAAGAGTATCTTCGCTCATTTCAGTGCGGAAACGGTGTCCAACCATTTCCTGGGCGTAGTAAAGATGTACCGGGTATTCTCTAGTGGGCCAATAGTTGGTGTCGTTAACATTATAGTTGCTGCCGGTACTGGCCTTGCCCAACAGGTAGGCAAGTTAGTCGTGTAATTCGTCCCCACCGAGCCAATTTGCATGCAGACCAGGCGAATTGTGACGCTCCAGTTGAGCGATATTCCAGGCGGTGCCGGAAGGTACCTGTTGGTCTGGATTGCCGTACTCTTGCACATTTCAGACACCTTGGTAGTCGATTCCACCAGCCTCTAAATACTGTTTGGAGCTTGAGATGGACGTATTCAAGTCTCGATTTCCATACAAGAAGTGAAGACTAATCTGATCCGGTATCGAGTTGTTTCTTGCAATAAAGTCTGCCCATCGAGAGAAATATTGCTCGGCATCTCCAGCAAGGTTAGGAAGATGGCCGTACGAAGGGCTGATTGTCTTTCCATTAGGATACTCGTTACTAGTTTATTCGAAAAATGTCAGCGCTAGAACACAGTAAAAATAATTGTAGGGAAGACTCACACAATCTTGTGGTGTGCGTGGCCCCAGCATTCTTACCACCTATTGATTCCACGGTCTAAGAAATTGACATTATCAATCTCATTCCACGAATCCGACCAGACGTTGTCTATGATTCCATCCTCGATAAGAAGCTCAAAAAATACATCAAGAAGATGCATAGAGTAAATAATATAATTCACCTTCTTACTATCAGAAGGCCCTAACTAATTAGAGGTTTCTGTTTTTGATAAGCTTAAAATAGAGCCTCTTTAGCTTATTAATAATAATGAGAAATGTTGGAAGGGATTTATCCCTCTGGAACTACTGCCTAGGTCCCGGGCTCTTGTCGGGGCTCTTAGCAGTAGACGGTTCAGGTGAGTAGATAATGGTGGTTATATTTAACTAGCTAGAGGGTCAGAGACCCCTATTTAACCTGTTCGTAGGTCACGTGACAAGGGTCCAAAAAGGCAACGCCAACCTAGCTAATATACGATTCAACAAGAAACATAATTAGAATAATACGAGCTACTTTGCTAAGAACTATAATAGGGAGAAGACCTAGAGAATTATATGAGATATAACGTCTAAGATAAATATAAGGAACTAACAGTGTAAAAAGCAGTCCCATACTAGTATAGTTATCTTAATCTCGGGGTTTACTTACATAGCTACTACTCTATGCACAGCTTGTTTAGGAGCCATGCATATAAATACCTTAGTATCTCAATAACTGTTTTTTAAATATATAAGTAAGAGAGAAAATTGAAGACCTACGCAGACTATCCGACTTATAACCACGGTTTATTATATACTAGATCTAAGAAACTGTCCGAAAAGACGTGCGACTTCATAGCGGATTACCTATTGCCTATTAGAGGCCAGATTAAAACCTACTGGATAAGTTTAAAATGGATTATACGAGTTCAGGCCTGGCCTCTCCAGACTAGTCCACCCATTCAGTTCCACAACCAGGTCTGCATGGCTTTTAGAGCTTGCTCTCCCGCAACCTCACCGGCAGATGCATCCCTAGCAACGCTTTTCCTAGTCTTGAATGCATTGTAAAACTCGGACAGCTTAGGGTACTCTGTGGGAGCCTCTTTCCTCCCGTATACATCCATTTCCAGCTGTCCAGGCCCCTTTGTCATATCCTTGCCGTAACAATCTTTGGTAAATTCTAGAAACTGGTAGAGAATAATTTCGGCCATGTTTGGGCCGTGCTCCCCGCCCTCGCGAAGACCGGAGAAGTCGCGATCTTCAAACGAGGCGTCAATGGTGGCTAGAGTGCGATGAAGCCAGCGTATCATTTCCTTGGAGGCTTCAGGGAGCGCCATAGTTCCAGCATTTGTGCCAAACGTCCTCACGGGGTTCCAAGAAACTGTAAGTTCATCGGCCAAGCACATGAGCCCGGTTACTTTGGCCCTGCTAAGCCCATCTTCGCCGCGCATTGAGTATTGTGACTTTGGGAACCCCTGCTCTCCTGCATCGCAAAGCTCGTCGAGGTAGCTCATTATGGCAATTGACTGTCGAACGTAGGTGTAAGGGCCTGAGCCCGGAGACTTCGAATTTGGGATTGCCAGGATGGGGAGACTTCCAGCAGGACGCGGAGAAAATGACTTTGGGGCCTCGTCGCCAAGTTGAGGGTCAGAGACTGGAACCACGGTAACAAGAGATGGGCCGATGCCTTTTTCACGGAGGTAAATGGTCACTCGCCGAGGAAAAGGCATCCATGGATACACGTAAAGAAGCCAGGGCTTTCCAGTCATGATGGAGGATATTGGGATTTATGAATCAGGGAATCCAATGTGGAGGACAATGACGACGGCTCTGATGCCGGTGCTGATAGATGAGGTAGCTTTGTAAGTTGAGGAGGAAATTATTCCGTGTCCCAGGCTATATCGTTTGATACTTATAGTAGCTATGATCTGTGATGGGTTCCATATCTTTGCACCGAAATCTTAGACCCACGATTGGATTTCTATATTGCGTTGACAAATCACCTTTCTAGGATCTTGAAGCTAGGTAAACACGGTCCAATCATATGCTTGGACTTGCTCGGCGCATTTTCGAAAAGTCTCCAAGACTCCGAGTCTAACCATTTTCCTCGTTGTAAAAGTCTCCGAAGAGCAACCAGTCAGCAGCATTGCCTTTGCCGTTTGCGAATTTTACACCTTACCTTCACGTGAAGTTTCGAGTCGGACCAAGGCTTATCCTGGACCATCACGCCTCAGTCTTTCTGCGAATGATCTAGGAATTTGCACTTGTCGGAAGCCATGCAGTACAGTCCTCATAGTGACTAGGTCCATGCAACTCGCCGCCATATCCCCATTAGCCATAGCTAACTAGCCTCAAGACCTGCATCTCAGTAGAAGTGGTGACTTTATTCCGAGCATCAGCAGAAGAAATGGATCCCACAATGCATGTCTCAAGTCCTGAATTGAATGCAATACCAGCAGACCAACAACAGTTGAAATCACGCGAGACATGTCAGCGACATGAGAGGTTGATGGCCGCCTAAATACCCATCAACACAGGGTAGTAGACAGAAGGAAATTCACCTCGTTTCATCTACTTTTCGCTTCAGTTCTTTTTATACCTGCCCTACCAACGCTTAAGACATATTGCCCTACGGGAAGCCCGAGGCACGAACGCATCGGCCATATCCACGTTGTCATCGATCAACACCCCCATACAGAAAGACATGCCTCTTATTGGGAAAGTCTTGGGTTGGGTCGGTGAAGCATTTCACCTGCATGGTTAGGGCCATTTCACTACAGCGTTGGCCCGAGATTGGAAGCGAAGCGCGAGAAATTGCTGAAAACATGTATCATGGTTAGTTGAGATATTGGAAATCCTAAGTCTTACTGGAGTAATAGGTAAACTAATGATGTGGATTAATATTTTAGAATCAATACTTACCGATCTAACTGAAAATGTTCTTGATAATGGGTGTCTTTTCTGCTCAGCGGAGGTCGAAGTGTTGAAAGAAAAATTCGCTATCCACGCTAATTCAGATAAATATAAGGTCTCCCTTTTTGACTGCAGATATATATTGCTCACAATAATTCCTTCAAGATTGGGATAAACAATCCCTCGAGTCTTGTCTTTCAGGGCGGATGCCTCAAGATACAAAAACCCAAGGTCTCTTGAAATAAGCCACTTCTTCTCTCTGGATGTTGATCACCTACTTCGCCGAGTGGCCCTTCGCTGCAGCCTCACCTGCATCCAGACCAGACAGGGTGATATTCACAGCCTGGGTCCGTGAGATTGCTTTTCTCTGCGGCAGGCATAGCCAGATCTTCCAACCCTGGGATCCAGAGGATCATCTTTTTGATCGCAGGAAAGAAAGGGTGGGTGAGACGGATTTGCCAGTTTTGGAAAACCTCTTTCGGGGACTGGCGACAGACATTGAGCCTCCCTAGGACCCGCCGTGTTAAGCTGGTCCTAATTGCTGACCGGCTTTGTTCGCCTCTGGTACCTTCGCCATTGACGAGCCTCACTATTCTGATGGAGGCTCTCACTCCACTCCTTGACATATTGCTTGCGGTTGTTCAGCATACGGCCCAGTTTGATGAATTTCCTTGGGCGAATTAGCGCCTTGGTGAACTTTTAGAGACAGCTCAAATTGAAATACGAAACATAGAGGGGCTGATAACATACGATATCTTCACTAAATTGCTGAGCGACGATATTTACCCAAATATCTACAACGCCGTTACCCTTATCTTCACTGTTTGCCCGAGCCCTAAAATTATAAATGAGGGGATTATGTTTGATCCTATGTACCGGCTGTGTTATCCCGAGCTCGTCCGGAGTGAACGAAGATTAAATTTGATGGCTTTAAGGCAGCCAGGTTTCGGTGGAAGTGGTCCTTTGGACATGCAGCAGGGCGAGAATTAGCTATATCGCAATGCAGGAAGCCAATATTATCTGTTCAGGACAAGGAGAATGCCTTGTATGAATTCTTGCTTATATCAGTACCATACTAGGAAGAGCTACAAATATTACAATGGTCCTTGTATCTCTGCCTTATTTGTACATTACCAACAACACGGCAATGCTTCGCTCTCAGAAATTCCATTGGTAGTACAATTATTTCCCTTAGTGATCAGTACTATCAAGATCGATCCAAGATCAGCCTGCCTATTCGCCTCTTCAAGGGCTACCATGCAAACATTGGATGTAGCCTCCGCAATCATCACTGGAACATTTTGGTATATTTTAGGGTAGTTCCTGTCTTTCGATGTAGGCGCAGATCAGGCTCCAGATATAGTAGGCTCTGGTGCCGCAGACCTGATCCATGATAGGGCTACTATTCTGGAATTCCACCACACTCAACTCTACCACACATGATCATGCCGCGGTACCTTAACCTATCGCTGTATCAGAACGCAGTCCGTCTTTCCTCTGACTACCATAAAATAATTACGTCAGATTTCTCTCTCCCTTTGTTTTCTTCATTTGGATATCCCGGTAAATCCTGCTAAAAGGAGATTTCCTGCTCCCCAACCTTCTTATTTGTTTTGCTCTATTAGGCCATAGAAGAATGAGGAACTGGCTTTTACGATATTATTTTTAATTCTTTTGCTTATCAATTTATAATTTATCAGCATATATTCTAAACCACATCCCTATATAATTCAGTAATTAAAGAAGCTCCTCTGGTAATTATAGTATATAGCGCCGAAAGACTTAGTCTGAAATTATACTCTTACTACAGTCTTTATACTATACTAATATAATAACTAGTAATAAGTTTCCTGGGGATATTTCCTATTTTACTCCGGCTCAAGACCCCCTGCTAGTACTCCGCTTAACCTTACTTTAGCTCTAACTTTATATAAACTACTCCAGATATACCGTATTCAGATTTATAACTATATTAGTATTTCTCCTATAGGTATATACTCCGCTAGAGAAGATAGATATACTACTAACTTTTATCTTATATATCTAGATTAATTTATACTTAAGGGGGTTAGTTTAGTTTTTATTAAAACTACTGCTATTAAGCTATAGGGTTACTAGAGCCTATATAATATTAGCCTCTGGAATAATAATAAGATTATACTAATTAAGTATATTACTAACTTTATCTATAGCCAGGGTTCTTATATAGGGATTCAGATCGCTTATACAGGGGTTCAGGCAAGCCTCCTACTGTTATAAATTATATTATTATATATTAAAGTTATATAGATTACCCTACCTTTTCTAACTAATCCCTAGTAGATTATTAGGATCTTATAATAATCCTAATAATCCAGAATAATAGATTATTACTAAGTATTAATAATCCTCTAGTATATATATATATCTATTTTATTAGATAGAATACCCTTTCAGATAGTTATTAATAATATTATCTATATATCTATTATTACTAGCTTTATAATACTTATATATTAATAATAACTTATATTATACAGCCTAAGATAATCTGATTATACTACTCAGAATAATACTCTAATTAGTTTAACCTTAACCTACCCTAGATCTTATTCAGTATAAGTTAATCTAACTATTATATATTAATAACTCTTATTCAGCTAATTACCTTATCTTAATTACTATATAATAATAAAGAAGATATTATAACTACTATAGTTCTATAAGTTTAATAGTATACTATATCTGCTACTAACTATCTACCTACTCTATATATTAAAGATACTATAGATAAGGATAATAGCAGTAGTAATAATAGCTATAGAGTAGAAGTTAAACTCCTTAGGGAATAAGTTCTCTAACTCTAGGAATATCTTATAACTATATAATAAGAAATAGCTACTACTACTACCCTTATAGGATAGTAAGCTGCTTAGAATACTAACTTTCAGATCTAGGCTTAGACTATAGCTTAAGGAAGGGAACTAGAAGTACTACTTAAGCTACTACTATCTAAGATATTTAATAGAATTTAAAATAAGCTCTAAGGCTTTATAATCTAACTTTAAGTATATTTTAACTATTTCTCTATTACTCTTAATAGTAATAAATAGTAAGTTACTTATATCTATTTATAACTTAAGGGAGCTATACTTAATTAGTTTAAATCTATTATAAGGAAATATCTTAATAGTTAAGGAAGCTAATAAACTATTAATATTATAATAAGCTTTAACTATTTTATAGAAGTTCTCTAATAAACCTTTAGAATCTAAGATAAGAGATATAAGGCTAAATATAAAATTAATAAACTCTTTTAAACTAGATCTACCTTTACCTTTAGTAGTAAGTATCTCCAGCTTTTAGTAAAAACAGGATAGAACTAGGAATATACTATATTATACTACTTTAATAGGCTAAAGAAAGAAATCTAGAAGGAACTCTATAAGAAAGACAGGCTAGTAAGTATTTATAAATATATAACTATAGTTATAAGAATTAATAACTAATAATATTATTAGTAAACTTATAATAAGAAGATAACTTACTATACTAATAATAGTTAATTATAATAGTAATAGCAAACTATAGTCTCTGGGATATATATAGGCTCTATAGAGCTAGGAGCTATAGAAAAATATAAGTATTATAACTATAATAAGATTAGATATATCTTACCCTAATACCTAAAGCCTAAGAAGTAGAAGAATTAGAAATCTACTAAGAAAGGTAAAAAATAATTAGAAGTAACTAGGAAAACTAAGATAAAAATACTTAGAATAGTTAGAAAAGTTACTTAGGAAAGGAACTATATAACTACTATAACCCCTATACTTTCCAGATAATCCGTATTAATATTCTATAAGATACTGGAAACTAGTAAAATACTAATAGTATTAGAAGGGAACTACTAATATATTATAGATATCTTTAGAGAACTTAAGTAGAGATATAAGGATAAGAGGGATATTATAGATCTTAAACCCCTTACTAAATATAAGTATATATTCTACTATATTAATAAACTTATTAAATATACCCCTAAGGAATAGGAATAATATATATTTACTAGAGAGGAAATTAAAGCTGAATATAATAAACTCTATACCTACTATTAGTAGAAGATATAAATATAAAACCTAGATTTAGAAAAGACCTCCAGAATAGTACTATACAGAAGAGATACTATAGATACTATATAATACTCTAGTAATAGATATAATAACCTAACTTATATAAAAACCAGTAAAGAATATAATTATAAACTAGAATCCTGGATAATATACTATAATATATAGTATACTATATATTAGTAAGAGAAAATAGTAAATAACTTCTTTCTATTCCTAGATAGGAGAATACCTAGGAAATATACTATAATTTAAATATAATAATTTACTAATTAATACTATAGAATAGGATTATATACTATCTTTAAGATAAACCTATAGAAATACCCTACTGAGTATATAAATAGGGAACTACTAGCAGAGTTATATTAGGAATAGAGATATAGAATTTATAAAAATAATAAGATTAAGCTATAGTATAACTACTAATAGGCAGAAGATCAGATAATATATAAGTATAATAGCTATATTAAATAATACTATAATTAGAACTATAGAAACTACTAGGAGGCTAAGTAAGAAGTACTAATACTAGTATAGAATAATAATAATAATATAAATACTGCTAAACTATATCTTAAACAGTAGTAATTATAGGAGGAAGAACTATAAGAATACTGCTTAAGAGGATAACTATCTCTTATAGATAGTAAAGATAGTAGTAAAACAGAGGAATAGAGAATAATCTTAACTAATAAGAAGGAATAGGATAAGGTTTACTTTAATAATAGGATATCTATAATAATTAAGGAATTATATAACTAGAGAATTAAGTTTATAAAATATATTCCTAGCTATATAGAAGAACTAAAAAGTCTTAAGGATATTCTTAAATAAGTACTTAAGAATAATAAAGATTAGAAGTAACTTTAAGAATAAATTAACTAGATAAAAAATAACCTAAACTATCTATAATAGAGCTATAGTATAGAATAATATTAATAATAGGTTAAAGAACTCTAGGAGCTATAGAAACAGAAAGCTCTATATATATCCTTATAGAAATAGAGATTAAGAGGAACTAGCTTATAATATTTATTAACTATAAAGTATAAGAGAATTATATCTTACCTGTAGTAATTAACTAACTCTGCTTACTATAGAAGAAGAAGAAAGAAACCTATATAGTTATAAATATTAAAAGCTTAAAGTTTAAGTATAATAATAGGATTATTAATTCTAAGACTAATTATCTTATAATTAAAATCTAAAGAAAGAAATTTAATATTATCTATAATTTAGTACTACTAGGAACCTATAAAGTTATACTAGAGTTACTATAGCTTTAAGATATAAACCTACTAATTAATTAGTATACTAGCTATATAGAGTAGAGGGATATTCTTATATACTAATATCAGGATTAATAAAAATTAAAATTTTATTAGATATTAGGAAAATATATTTATTTTTTAATATCTAAGAGTACTACTATAAAAAA